AACACAAGATACTATGTACTTATATTTCGAGAACATTATATTATATTTATTCTAACATAGAAATGTATCTCAAGGGCATGACTCCTTGAATTTGTTATTAGTCATATAATCATATAAATTATCATCAATGTATAGAGCTTGAATATTTTTCAATGATATTTAACTTGTGATGTAAATAATCATAATGATTCAATGAATTACACAATAACTCATTCAAGAATAATTCATAAATAATTTTTTCACTATATATGTCAAAACCAAAGACATCTACACACATTACATATCATATTCAATTACCTTTCATGATACCTTGTCATAGATCAAACAGAAATTAACATTGAATGAGATATCGCAAAATGAAACAAAAGTATATTTATTGTACTCGATTTTGGTATGTGATAAATATTGCATATGTTAAATAAAAGAAAGATGAATATCTTTCATATTCGTGTGACAATAATTAAGGAGCCTTCAACAATTGTAACCTTTAAGTTGCTAGGATATGGAGCATAAATAGAAAATAATAAGAATGAGGTTGCCATATGTTTGATAATTGATTTGACAAATTAGATATTTAATTGAAAATATATTTCCTGAGTCTATAATTGAAAATTTCAATAAATTAGATATGAATTAGTATTTAAGACAATCAATTTGACTAAGAATGAAAACTCATCTAATTGAAATAGAAAGCCCACTGCTAGATATGTTTCAACTTGCTTAATGTCCTCTTAGTTTAATAGATCATATATTGAACTGAAAAACATGTAATTTTTTATTAAGATTTTTTAATTAAAATATAAATAGATCTATTGTTTTTAAGTTGTGAGTTGTCATGTGGAATTATATTATAGAGTTTGTGATAAGTTTTCATTATCATGAGTTAATAATTAGTAAATAATATAGTTTTAGCCTTAACTCATGATAAATAGACTTATATTTGTGTTAAAGAATGATTTTTGGTTTTCAATTGATTAACATAAATTTTTGGGTAATTATGTGATTTTATACGATTTTTACAATCTTACCTTTGAGATAAATGAAGAACAAGAAATAAAAATAAAAAATATTGCAAAATGGGGGGGACCTGCCGGGCCCACGAGCGAGTCGGAAGCGCAGTCGGGGAGTAGCCGCGAGCAGGGGCTCGAGCGGCTTAGCTTGGACTGATAGGGGAACGTGTGCGCCACTCCCCTTCCACGTCACCAGTGGCCAGCCGGTTGTGGGGCAAAGAGTGGTCGTACACGCGAGAGAAGGAACTCAGCTTGTAAAGTTAACATTACTATATATTCGCCCGAAACATCAGCGCACAACCGATGTGGGACTAAACCCACATCACACCTTCCTCACAGGCGGACGACCGGCGTAGGTTCGAATCCTTCCAGAGTCAAAATTCATATATTTTTATCTAATTATCGCGACTTTCCTACATATCGCCGGTGAAGGATTAAGTAACGAGAATCGCTGGATCATCGGCGAAAATCTCGTCAACGTGATTCACAGAGCATTGCTACTAAAATTACTGAACAATTCGCGATAAAAGGATCGCAAATCCATCGAGTAAATCATCTCTGATTGATCGACGAACAAGTCGTCGTCGAGAAGAGGACGATCCGCCGGGAGACGAGTCACCACCTCTTGAGAGCGCACTAGATGCGATGAAGAGCCTCCTCTTGCTGCGTGGACCTGAGGATGAAGCTCCTTGACACGCGCCCCACCTCCATCCAGCTCCTCTCCGTCGGGTGACAGCCGCTGGAGAACCGCAAAGTCGCCACTTTTCCGCTCCACCAGGTGACAGCCACCGGAGACGATTCGACGACCCACTTCATTGATCTCTAGACTTCACGAGAAGATCTAGAGATTGCCCACGTCGTCTTTGTCCAAGGAGAGCCTTTAAGGCCATGGACACTACACGACGACCCTCCCAAACACTCAGGATTCTGGTGCATCATCGACGCATCGCCGTCGCGACGCCGGAACTCTATTTCTTGCTTTCAATTTAATTTACACTTCATTTAGTGATACTTTATGTGATTTTAATTTACCAAACTATACTTCATTTAATTACGATTTTCTCGACTTTTACAGATCTTAATTTGATTAATTAAGTCGTCTATAATCGCTTACATAAGAATCACCGGGCGGAACTCTATTTCCACTTAATTCGCGTCCGCACCCTTATTTCTTTTTCTTTCGTGAATTTTTAATATATTTCCTTTTTTGTTCCTAGTATAAAATTTGTAAGAAAATCGTATTCATTGAGAAAATTTTTGAATAATTACCAAATGTTATATTACATCCCTATGATCGACCTAGAAAATTACCGCTATTTTTGGAATTTTTATTGAATTATAATTGATATATTTATTTAGAAATACTTCTAAATATCTAAAAATTCGTATTTTCTAGTTTTATAAATTTTATATTTGAGTGATTTAATACACAATGACTGAGTCACGTCAATTTGTAACACCTACCATGAATATGATATGGTTTGTTGCAATAACTACACCATAAATTGATCTTATTGTCATAGTTTTAATTTTTCTTTTTTTTATCAAGTGTCAACTGAAATTGAGGTTTAATTCTTTCTAAATTTACACATCTAACTATAAATGTAGTGTTTTTCACTATTATCAAATAAATATAATATCAAGCTTCTTCTTATTTCTTCCCTCTAAATTAAGGACATTACTTTATTCAATTGTAGTGATCTTTCTCAATCAATCATTTTTAATTGTACTCTGTCAAATTCTAAATTGAGACCCACTAAATAATCATCTTTCTCAATTTTGTAGGGACATCTCTATCTATTGCATCTATCACTATATCTTTTAAATAAATCATTTGATATTTATCAAATTCTTATCCTATAGTTATCAATTCGTTGATGTATTCTATCACTATTTTCCTCCTCACCTCAAAGTCATCATTTTTAATGTTAATTTAATTGAACCTCATCATTTACTCTACATAATATCTTATTTAAGTTTTGATAAATATACTTTCCTCTAAAAAGAAATAAGCATATTCTTCTAATTTTGGGAAATTACTGCAGTGCATAATCATATCATAATTTTTAAGTTTACTTGATCTCATACTTCAACATTAAGATAAGCAGCCTATGGGCCTAGATGTAGTAAGTGACTCATAAGTTATTTGTTTTTCAATATAATTTTTACTTATTGTAACCATCCAAAGTAATTTCAACATCTAGATTATCTTTTTGTAGAATCATAAGTGGTTTTCAATATATAAGTTTTTGGTCTAACCTTAAAATCAAGTTACTCTCTATTTGTAAATGAACCTCTAACATTTTTCAAGTCAAAATAAAATTAATAAATTCGTATTGTAGTCTCACCAACTAAGATCATCTAATATCAATCACAGTAAACAGAGAAAAATAGTGCCAAGATAATCTATTAATCGTGTGGAAGCCAAACTCACTTTTAGACCAATCTAAATATGTAAAATAGACAATACATCCGAACATTCAACATATAATAATGTACTTATACATATCAATGTAAAAAGTGGCACAAAAAATCTTATTATTAGTAGCTTTTAGGCTACACTAAGATAAAAAAAAGGGTTAAATTGATCAATTCTTAACCCTTTTTAGGATAAGATCTATTTTGATAAGTTAATCATTTATTTAAGTTTTCAGTTATTATGGTCTTTCTAGATTGATAAATGTAAGACAACTGAATTTATAGTGATTTAATTCACTATCTAATTCCATTCTCTAATAATAAATCTTGTTCTTAGGTTTTATTAATTATGATCATCCAATCACAAACTATTAATTATCAGGTTCAGCTCTTTTAAAATTTCACTCAAAAATTATTTTCTAGATTCACAATTATAAGAGGCTAAAAAAATGACAAACCAATCATTATGGATAAGATTGACTTGAGATAAAGAAAATATTGTAAAGAAGAAAATAAGTACAATACATAACTCTCTACAATAATAGATCTACGAAATCATGTGAAGATGACGACCATCTTGAAAAAAAATATATTACTTTTTAGTCACTATTTTGAGATGAGTAAGCTCTAACCAAAACTCGGTCAAAGGGGTATGTCTACTAACATGTGAGTCTAGAAACACTTGCAATTAGAAGGATAATTTAATTTTTAATATTTGTGTGTATTGACCAACTACAATTTTGCTTGAACATATCAAAAATGTCAAGTTCAATGATTCAATGGTGTAGACCAAGGTAGCAAGTTAAGGCAAAAGGCTAAAAAATGTAGCTCAAGTAACCTAAGAGTTCAAAAGGAAGACTCCAATAGAAGACTAAAAGAATTCTCCAAGCGACCCAAAAGGTCAACAGTATGTTCTATTTTTATCCCCTTAGAAACGATTTCAATTTATGTAAAATATCTTACAGGTGAATAGGTTTTCCCATTTTACTCTATTGTTTAAAAGTTCTAGTACAACTTTGTGCATACTCCAAGGGGTATGCACAAAGCACACTTTGTGCATAAAACAGTCTCTTTTCACCATAATTAAGATCACCTATCCATCACTAACTACTGAAAATTCAAAGCACATTTTCGTTTCTTCCAAACTTTTTGCTATGTAAACAGCAGTTGTGATAACGATCAACAGTGGTCAAGGTTATGCAGTGATAGATGATGAACGGTAAGGGTAGGAAGGTACAAGGGGCCCAAAGTTAAAGGTACTGATAAGTAGAAAAAAAAAAGAGCAAAGGGTCGAAGCTGCAAGAATATCAGGAAAGCCGAATTCAGAAGAAAAAATGGCAGCTTCCACTACAGAAACTCTATAACAGGCAATAGATACATGATTTACGTGGCCACTGGTATGTGATGCATTCTTACAGATAAACTTCGCAGAAGAGACAGCACTTGTGTGCCACCACGCCCCCCTTCGGAATATAGGACTCTGCAGATAACAAATGAAGATGAAGAAAGAGAAATCTCCAGCATCACCATCTGAGTCCATCAAACTACACAACCCACACCGGCAAGGCATCTCTACATCACGGTGCAATTGCACTTTGACTCCAGCTTCGGAGGCTTCATGCTGTCAAGCTTGTTGGGAGGCTTGGGTCTCACAACTGATGATGCCTCCTCGGGGATCTTCACACTGGTTGCTGGTTCTGCAGAAGGGGGCATTGCCTCTGCTTCCGAGCTCTTTCTTTTGGTCTGTTTCGGCTTCGCTGTTTGTCTACTGCGGATCTTATTTCTTTCTTCAGAAGTAGACTTCCCGAGGAGCATTACAGCAGGAAGACTGATTTCTTGTGTTGATAATGAGTCTTCCTTTTCTATCGCCATGGCAGCTGCCTTGAAGGCGAGATCGTGAATAATAGAACTACAGAAAAGTATACTATCCCTCGCTTCTTCCAATGTTAGACTTCTAGATTTGCTCCCTCCTGGGCCATGAACTGCGATGGTTGATTCTCCTGTCGAATGAAGAACCTTATCATGAGATGAAGATGGTAAAATCCACAGAGCTACAGAAAGATTTAGATAAACTTGAAATAGGATGATATCAACAATGTATAAACTTTATTTTCATTACTTCTTCGGTAATGAAAACGAACAGGAGCTCCGAATTGGTGTACCCATACCGTTAGAGATGGAAGGTAAAAGAAAATTCATGCGGCAAAATGTGTTCTTGGATGCCAACTCAAATTAAATCAATCCCAAGTCAGAGAAAAAACGGTGTTTATCCATACAGCTGCACCCGATGCACCATCACAACCCATACCGATGACCACCTGCCTACATGGGCAGCTCCTACGCAGTTACTTTTCTGTAATAACAATCATGATTCGCTTGATGAGCTTGGTTCTAGCATAAAACAATACGTTTATCCCCTTGGCTTTGTGCGACTGAAAACTCTTAGCTGGTCTGCTTTATTCCTTCCACTTTGCAGAAACATGTCCCCGAGGATGCACTCTTTCTTATTTCAAGAGGTTTAGTTCCCTAGCCGAAGAAATAATAAGTTCATTGCCCTGCTATATGTTCCCCAGGTTTTGCAACAGAAACGTGTACCTTCAGAAAACTGGAGATGGGTTACAAAATAAAGGCCTCAGATTGAGCCCTTCCTTTCTGGATCTTAAAAATGATCATTAGCATATAACTTCAGAAATACAAAGCATTCGTTTTCATGTTTCTATTTCTTATTTCCTGATGAAACACTTAATCCAGAAAAAATGACTTAAGAGTAAGGATTATTTTCTTGAATCTTCATAAAGGTGTGGCATTGTAGAATCTCAATCAACAACCAGATAGATTGTGGATTCGTTATTAATCCATGATGTACCAATCGCATACCCATCTTTCCAGAGGTCCGCCTTGAGATCCCCAAAACTAACTCAGCTCAAACCAGATTGATCCGACTCATTTAAAATTTTGACTTCTACAGCCAGCGCAACGACATAGATAAAGAAACTTTAAGTATTAAACTACTTTTTTATGAAAATCATCAATGGTACTTGCATGGCAGGGTACGCAATACGAACTCATTGTTCCTATACCACTTAGCGCCTTAAAAAGTTAATTGAAATAATAGCATTTCACAGAAAGCAAGTGAAGTATAGGAATTACATAAAATATGCCCAAAAATGAAGACAACTATGCCCATAGCTCTATTCAAGCACATCCACACAGTTGCATTTGATGCTGGGAGTCTAAACCAAATGAAATTAGATGATTGAGTCCATACAGGAATACGAAAAACTTCAGCCCGAGGTCAAAATTAACTTTCGGCTACCACTAAAGGCTTATGGTAAAAGAAAACCAAAATTAATTTCAAATGATGTAGAAAACGTAGTAGTAGATCCGATAGAGATAGAGAACAAGAATCCTAGTACTTATCAAGAAACAGATGAAAGCTACCTCCCAGCCCCGCCTAGAGTCCAAACTACCGCTCCCTAAGTGCACCAAACCAAGCAACTAGTTTCCTTGAGGGCGAGCTTCTAAGACCCTCCTAGCTGTGGCAGCAGGTCGGTTTCTAATAAAAATGCTTATGTACCAAATATCCATCCGGTATGCACAATTCGTGCTACTGACAAACTTGAGACACTGGAGGACAAACCCAGGACTGAAACCTAGCAGGGGTCACACAGGTTGAGAAATAACAACATCGCTTATTTAAAAGAGAGAAATTATAGGCAAGAAAACTCAATATCAAAACATTACAATCAGGATATAAACTATAGGAAACAAGAGGTAGGGGAAACTGCATACCATAGTTGTCATTATCATAATCAATATTCTGGGATTCCAAACCAGAAACCAGCTTGTCCTTCTCTGAAGTTGGAGAAACAGAATGAGCACAGGAGGAACCTACAATATTACTCATACTTTGAGAAGATACATCTTTCACTCCTGATGAGCTTGTCTCACATGTTTTGATTGGGCATGGATCCCAGGTGTCAATTGTCATGTCTTTTTGAGTGGTGGAAGTATTGAGTAAAATATGGCCGTCATTGTTTAGAATAACCTTAACTGGCACATCCTCCAAAGGAGAACATTGTGCTTCGGACACCAACTTGGGTACGGTAGCACTTTTGCAACTTTCACTACAACTACATTCATCTCCCATTGGAATGGTGCTCTCAGTGGCTGAGGAATGTGTACTAAAAGATTTAGTCTTCTCCAGAGGTTCCATTTGTTCTTCAGTAACTGACAAGGGCTCTTCATGTGGCTCATATTGCATTCTCTCCGTAGAGACATCAAAAATTCCTTCATGCCTGCTCATATGAGTTGCCAGATTCACAGGTAAGTTATTTGAAGCTGCTAAGAGGGCACTGTCATTAGTCCCATGCTTCGAAGTAAGATACCCTCTGCCATTCATCAGACTGTCCAACTGACACGGACTGTAAGGTTCCGATCGTCTCAGAGAACCCAGATCAGTGGCTAAGAAAGCTGAGAAACTTTCTTGCGTGACATGAACTTTCAAAGCATTCACATCATTCATGGAGCATAGAGACTTATTATCTATGCAACCCATATCTCCATGTAGATTACACGAGCTTTCAGATGGAAATATCTCAGTAGTTTGAGATCCTAGACCATGTTCACTTGGAGTGCACAAGTTAGCAGTTGAATTGCTTACCTGTTTCTGAGTTTCAGTATGCCACGGCAACCCCACATTAACAGACGAACATTCCGTAGAACCGGCCCACGCGGGAATGCTTTTCGAAATATTCACACTGTTCCCTATGGAGGATGGCTCTACACAACATACACTAGCAGCAGTAAGAGGCCGTCCTTGAATAACTAGTCCTTTACTGCTGCTAGACCTTTCTAATAAAACTGAGATACCAGCTCCTTCTGGAGAGCATACTCTTGACTTCTGACAGGAACCAAAGGGATTAAATTGCTGAAAGTTTTCACCTGTATTTTGAAATTCTAACTCATCCCTAAGATTTTGCTCTGATTTTTCATCTCTGCAAAACTCAATGGGACTTGCATCGGGTGAGTATTTAGAATCTGGTTCCACTTTTTGTAGCTGGCCAATGAAATTTTCATTATTAATTTCAGATATTTGAGGCACATCACTTCCGAGATGAGATCTCTCACTTAATTCAGATATAAATGCATTCACACTTTGGTGATGACGCAGGTTTTGAGAAATATGTGGCACGGTTTCTGGAAATCCCGGAGTATATGTCCCATCCATAACATTTTCATGTCTCTCAATGCATTTTTGGCAAATAGCAACCTTGACATCAGATATTTCAAATGTTTGAGAGCTTTCATTGTATTTGGAGCAAACAGTCAATGCAGTAGTACATTCGACCTCAGAAAAGTCATGCACAGGACATGGAAACTCGGATGAAGGCTTTCCACATGATTTATCATCAAGATCATAAGACTGTTGTCCAATTTCCTTAACCTCAGTGTTCCTCTCTGTCCTTTTATCAAATTCTCCGGGAACAGTTTTAGGTTCCACTCCGTTAACTTTGTCCCCAATATCTTCAGTTCTGTCTGCCTCGTCCAATTTAAATATCTCATCTTGCACTTCAGCATTTGGTATTGTATCCCATTCGACAACAAGATCATTTTGGTCATGGTCACTGCCCTCAGTATCAGGTGCAACACTAGCTCCTTGATCAGAGCTTGCATTGCTGCTAGTTGTCAGAGAAGAATTCCAAGAAAATAAAGGACGGTGCATGGTGTTTGATTTCGTAGTATGGAAACTACTATGATGGACACTTGACAAAAGTGGTCTGAACATGTTGTGAGGAGTTCTGCATTGATCCTGAAAACAGAGATGGACACAAAAAAGACTGGTGAGAAAAATGGATAACATTCAAGGGGCTATTATTTACCAAATCGAAGAGGTAAGTTTACACTAAGGGAGAGTGGAAAAATATGTAATGAATATCCTCAATGTCTATGGGCACATTCATATACCGAAGATAAAAAAAATACAAAGGACAAAAACAGTAAAAAATGAAATAGAAAATCCACGGACATCATTCAACTTGTGCTTTCTACAGAAAAGATTTGGACAGCATAATGGCATAGCAGCTTGACAGCACCCGACCATAACCTAGACGCTCATTTTGACGCACATGCACACAGAAATCCAATAGAATTTACACTAATTCTCCCAAAATATTTGCATGTATTCCAAGAATGGAAACATAGGTGCCCTTACAAAAATAAGCCCATCAGATGATGTGCAACTTGAACACAGAACATCCACTGTTATTGTAAACACTCAAGTAAAAAATAGCAATGATTCACATGCCCCCTTGTCTATAGGGACCTCGTGGCATAGGGGCATTGCTTCATTCTTGAACAAAAAGAATGAAAAATTGAAAGTCTACAACTGAGAATAAAACAGCTGCAACCAAGCCAATCACGGTAAACATTGCGAAATTTTCTCTTTCCACAGGCACAGTATCAAACATAACCTTGCAATAAACTTGGGATTTCAAAAGGCTCTGACGGGTTTAAATCCACAATATCAGAGTTTGACAGCACAAAAATAACCTTGCACATTTAGTACAAACATAATATACCACTGCTATTGTCCAAATGAATTTACGAAACTTGCGCATTCAATTCAATACCCCTTGTTCTGCCAGTAGAAGTTAAAGCACAGCAATAAAGAATAGGTTCCCAATATAGAAAATTCAATTCAGACTAAGTACTTTTCCATATTCGAATTATATATGTTTTCAATTTTCAAAAATCAAACAGTGAAATTTGATTCAAAATAATGAAAATTCAAGATGATATGCATACCATATGTCGATGGTCAGCACTAAATGAACCTTTTGGAGCCAAATCTGAAGTTATTGTCCGAGATGGCTTCTTTGAAATTGTTGTGTTTCTGCTGCTGGCAAAATTTCCATTGTTTCTTAATGTGGGCCGGGATGAGAACCCCACATTGACAGGGTACGTGATGTCCACGTCATCATCACAGGATGATGTAACAGAACCTTTACTCCGGGAACTGAAATGGTCTCGATCATTACTTTGTGAGGAGCTGACACTTCTGGAAGCAGTTGGTGATATTGATTGCCTGCTACTTTTCAGAGACACTTTCCTTCCATTTCTAGATAATGGTGAAGAATCCCTTGCATGTGACGCAGACCGATCAGAGAGAGAAGTTCGAAGGTTAGGAGGTGGTTCTGAAGGGAGCCCTGGAAAGCTCATTTGCCATTCACGTAACTTTGGAGATGCAGAATTTCCCCTACTTGCCTTCACTGGGGAAGTTCCCGTTCTCCCAAAAGAGGCTACGCTACTGCTTGATCCACTACTAGTTCTTCTGTGTGTCGGTGTTGAAGACCTTGGAGTCGGAGTTGAGGGTCTATTCTGGGGAGTAGTTGATCTTCTTGAGGGTGTTGTTGGATGCAAAACTACGGCAGGGCTGGCACTACGAGCAGAAGATGGCCTTCCTCTCAACTGAGGCTGTTTATTACCAGATCGAGGAGATGGACTTGACCGACTTGGGCTTGCACTGCTTCTACCTGCCCTATGACCTTTCCCTGTCTGTGAACATAGAAGAACTTGGATTGAGGGATGTTTGACAATTAAGAATTAGACGTGAACAAATGTCTCACTATTCTCAGTCTGAACATAACTAGATGTCGAAATGGACTAGCAAAAAAACCATGACACTTACCGAACTAGATGTCGAAATGGGAATTGGTTGGGCTCGAGACCTGCCCCTAGAAACCAAGTTAGCGGAAGCCAGATCTTCATCATCCAGAGATGAGAAAAGAGGAGTTTCTGGAGGCGTTAAAAGCCTGCTTAATCAGACGAATAGCATCTCATGGTCATTATCTCTAAATATAAATAGCAACAGCAAAGAGATCTCTGCCAAAACCAATATGAAGCGCACAACTACATACATCTGAACTCAATCATCAAACTAGCATCCATGATGCAACAAACATTGAAGAGCATAGGTGTTATGCTATATACACAATCGAAATTAGCTTCTCCTGGTTACTTACTCAGTTATAGAAAAATATGAGATCCATGTGGTGTTGAAAGCCTGTTTCATTACAATGAGAGTATGGCATAATCATTACATTTATGAAAAAACAACTAGAAAAATGAAAAAGCATACCCTTTTCCAAAGCCTAAATGTGGAACATGGCAACATTCATTTGAAATGTAGCATACATTTTCTGTCGTCGTTACAAAAAAAAAAAAAATTCCAGAAGCATTTTTACCTTAAGATACGGATTAGATTAATTACAGCTTGTAATCACTCATTATTACATTATAAAATATTAAAATAAAATATTTCGCTGCCTTCTCAGAAATGTTAAGATTTTAGAATAATTGAATAATTTTCTGTTTTTTATCTCTATTTGTTAAAAATAAAATTCCCCGTCCTAGTCAAAACTTACGAAATACATTGATGAGGTACAACAACTAAGTTTCAAGAAATTGCATTTCAGGAAAATACTGAAGCAGTTCAAGTCAATAAAGATCAGAATTTTTCACCCTTGTATATCTCCCTAGTATATGAAGATGTTTCTACCTGAACGCATCACGTCGAACTTCTAAATGCTTCAGAGTTGCACCCAGGTCAATGTCATATGTTCAAGTATGATGAATTTAGACAAGAGAGATTAATCAACGTTCAGATTTGGTATAAGACGTGATTCACTACCCAGAATGTAAAAGGTACAAGATTGACAGGAGTATCAAGCTAAATAAGACCACTGAAATCTAGTGGGGGGGGATCTGATTATAACATTTGACTTTAATGCGACAAGTACGACTCACCAATCATAATCATTCTTTTCAGAACCGACATTCAGCAGATCATTGCTCTCCCCACGGACTGGAATATTTAGCTTGAAATCGGAACTGTATTTCAGTTTTGCTGATACACGAGGGAAACATACCAGCAACGCAAGGAAGATGCTTTAGTTTAAAAGAGTAAACTTATAGCATTAAGAAAGAATAAGCAATGCACGTAAGTATTCTGGACAGGATAATTACCCAATGAGTCATCAAAATCATCACTTGAATTCAACAAGAAGTTTTCACTCTCTCTCATCTGCATATCACTAAACAGAAGGAGATCATCTTCTTTGAGTTTGATAGTTAATCCACTATCAAAGCTGTGCCCTCTCTTGTGGTTCTGCAGTCTGAAGTCCCTCTTAGAAGAACACCTCATCGACGATGAGAGGGTCATCTTTCAGCCAATCGAGAAAGTCCAGCTATTCGAATCTCCCCACAGGCAGAATATCTTTAACATTCACCCGATTCAAAATGAAAAGAGGTTCCGCGACCAAAATTCCCCACGTAGAGGGCATTCTTCCTGTTCAAATATATAAATAATTAGGTTCCCTCGTTTAGTTATCAAAGCTAAGCAGTAGAAAGAACATATATTCAATGTTTTCTTCCGTCCAAAGATGGCAGATCGACTCGTTTCTCCAAGGAATAGATGAAGTGCATCTCGGTCTAAGATGAGGATTTAATAGGCCAATAGAAAACCACGATCGCAAGCTACCAGGCTTTCGTCTAAGGATGCCTAAGCGCCGCACCGATCATTTGGGGGGGTGGGCGAGACACTGCAAGCTTGTCGGTCACTTTTCCAGGTCGGGATCGAGAAAGTGAAAGTAATAAAAAAGAGATGTTTCTCCAAGGAATGAATAAAAGAAAAATAAAATCGTCCGGAACTGGTACAGTCAGGTCATGGAATCATTTGCCTAATTTATAAGAGAAACAAGAAACGCACAAAATCTTGGTACATCATCCAGAGGGAGTAATGCACCCAAATCAGTGCAATTGCACAAAACCCGAAACTTTCACCGGGTAGAAACTACCAGGCACTTCGCAAACTGAAAACTTCTTGGAGAACTGTGATTCTCCTCGAGGAACAGGCAAGAAGAGAACTTCTACCTCACCTTACTAGGAGCGAGTCCTGCCCTTTCTGACGATCACGTCCTTCCAGAGAGCACGAACCCAGGACACAAACGCTCGACATTCCTGGCGAATTCAGTTCAAACCGAGCTATACTGTAGGCGCCTGGATCTTGTGCCCAGGGCGAAGACCCCTAATCTACTACGCGATTCCAGAGCTCGGAGGACTTCCACTGGAAGCAACAGAAGTGTAGGCAAGATGAACTTTGAAGCCACGGACAAACCTCCGGCAATTCGACGGCGAAGAAGCTCAGGCTGCGTCCCAATGATCAAAGCTCCAGCCCTAATTTCCTGTCCTTTTCGTCACCGCGTCAAATCACATCATTCCTCCCAGAGGTACCCCTGGCTAAAAGCTTCCTGGGCACCTGCCCCTGCGCGCTCGAGCCCCTTTTACTCCTCCCCTCCCCCTCTCTCTCTTCCGCCGTCTGTACTCTCTCCTTTCTCTTTATTTCCTTTTACTGATTCTGCTCCCTCTGCGTGAGCTCTCCTTTTCTACCTCCTTTTCCCCTGGAACGAGGCGACAACGTCACGCAGCGATCACGAAGACAGAGAGAAGAGAGAGAAAGAAGAGAGATCGGGACAGAGCTAGGAGAGGAGAGAAAGAAGAGAGAGAGAGAATTATTAGCGCACGAGACGGCGGAGAGGAGAGGAGATGAGCGGGAAAACGTAGGCGTCCGTACCCACCGAGTCCACTTACATTTAAGTGCAGTTACCCCCGTCGAGTTTCCCGCCAGCTGCAGCGGCGCCGCCGGAGTTCACGTTGTCTTAAGCTCACCGCCTCCGGTCAGGCGGAGGAGCGTACTGCTGACGCCGCCCTCCCCTGCCAAATCCCTATTTTCTCTATTTATCCCTTCAATCATATTTAATATGCCCATTGAGACGACGTTAATCAATACCTACCCTCCTAAAATCCATTTATATATTTAATTAAAACTAAAAATTAATTTAGATTGAAATGGAGACGCGGTGGGCCAGTGTTGGCTGGCCATTCGGTGGCAGGCCCAGAAGAGAACGATATTTGGGCCCACTTGATGGGCCTCTTATTGGGCCCCTGCACCAGCTCACGACGATGGAAGGTTCCATTAGCTCCAAGACTTGGCGCCATCGTCGGCCAGCCAGCCGATACGAGAATATTCCACCGTTTAAAAAAATATTTTATTTTGAAAAATATATACACAAATTAAAGGTTGGATAATTTTATTCGACAGTAATATTGGGGTCGGATTCATCTTATAACATGTCTTCGGGTATCGGATTGGACCGTTTAGAGTGGTGGTTCATGTTTATGGTATCGTCGTCTCCGTCGGGGAGTGGAAAGGGAACGGCGAAGACGTCGCCGGCGCCATGTCGGCCGCCGTGAGATTACGAGCTCTTGCTGCCATCTCCTCCGGTCTTCTTCCTTCTTCCGGGAAGCTGTGGCAGCAGCAGCAGCTGCGATGGGGAGAGATATGGCCAGTTCGAGGATTTGGCTCTCTTGTGCCGCTGGATAGAAGAGGGTGCCTGGGAATCGAGGAGGTGGAGAAGGTCCTGAGCGACGTGAAGGCCGGCGACGTGAGGGTGATACCCATCGGAGGGCAGTGTGGATGGACGGATCACATGGTGGTCGCCACAGGCAAGTCGGCCTGGCACGTACGGAACATAGCCCAAGCCCTAGTGTACAAGGCAGGTTCCTCTTCCAATCGTATGTTTATCTTCCGTTTCCCTTCCTCCTGTCGCAGTCCACACCGGTGAATCTTCTTCGCAGCCATCTAATTCGTCCGGAGCTGCATTCGTCAACTGATGCTTCGCAGATAATTCCCGACATGCTCTTTACTGTTCTTATTGTGTATTGTTGGTTCAAGCGTCCATTCGTATTGCATCACCTCGAGAGCATGTTTATGGAGAATTGGGGGGTCTTAGGCTATCACTGGTTCACGATTCTACCGGCACTGATGGCTGCTCTACCATGCGAAAACAGGCGAAACAGAAGCAGAAAGGGGCTAATCGGATGCTGCTTCCCAGCATAGAAGGTCATCAAGGAGGGAACTGGATTGTTGTCGATGATGGTGAGCTTCTGATCCCCTGATCCCTACTCATCGGACAACGTTTTTTGGCTTAAATCGGGTAGACTTGCACCATTCCTCAATGCTACTTTTAGAATATGCTGTTAGATTCTCGTTTCTTCTGCGATTTCCCATGAAAGAAACTGAAGATCTTTTTCTTTTTGTGATCGGCGGTGATGGTGCAATTATTTAGATCGCGTGAGCTGTCGCATATAAGATGATTCGTCGTGGAATGAAATTAATTGGCGATCGTTCATGAACTGACGCTGGCATCAGATATGGGTATCATGACCCTCTCATCATTCATGAGGGAACAAGAACAGGGGATTGGGCATTCAGAAAGGATATATGAATTGTTGACTCTCATACTGATATTTTGAGATACCTTATAAAATTATCGATATTTCTTTCCTACTGCTCTTGTTCTGAGTCTCCTCGAATATTTTCTACTATTTTTTCTCAGTCATGTAAAATATTTTGATTTTTTTTTTTTACTCCTTTTATCAGCTTCTTAGATCTACATGATGTTGTTCTCAATGTTGTTGAATATTTTTATTTATTTATTTTTCTCAATCCTGTATAACCCTTGTGAAATTGTTTAAGATGATGTTGTTGTCGTCCATGTGAAACCAGGCTCTGTGGTTGTCCATGCTCTAGATGAGAAGGCAAGATCGTATTACAAGCTGGAAAATCTCTGGACAGAAGAGAAAACTCCCGAGGGCCCTAATCAGGTGAATTCGCTGAGCACACGCTTAGCTCTTCCAGACAACATGCTTTTGTCCTTAGTATCTCTTCCACCTCCGGATTTTGTCAGCCTCTGCCTCTTCTTCTCCGATATTTTTTTACACCCACTACAACCACGCAAGCAGCAGGAAGATCTTTCCAAATTTGGTAAATCATTTTCAGGCTATTATAGGTTATTATATTCTCATGGAAATGATTGAAACGAGATCAAATTAGGGCACGATTGAAATGATTGAAAACCCATTATGTGTTCTATGTGGGCCTTCATTCTGTTGGAAAAATTTATGTAATGAGCAGGGAAGAGAGCCAGCGTCATGCCGAAAAAGGGAGACTCTTTTTGAAATCTGCCCTGTCCTGTTCTCTTTCTCCACTACCTCCTTACTTCTCTTTCCTTTTGTCTTCTGCCCAGGACTTGAAGAAAGCGTTCATGAAGATCCGGCCCAAGAACAACTCCAAGAAGCGTGGAGAGAAGCTTCCCTAGTCTTCCTTCTCAATGCAGCCTTTTCTACATCCTCTTTCCTGGAGAGATGTTGATGTTTGAAAGCGAGGAAATACCTTTCCCCGTGCTGCTGAATTTGAGAGGAAAACTTTGATGGGTTTTTCTTCCTTTCTGGGTGCTTTTAGTTTTTTTTTGTTTTCTGTATAACCTTTTTCATAGATTCCACAGCATGAATTTAGCTTCATTGAGTGAAACTCTTGACAAGATCTTATATTTTCTTATTTTATTTCTATTTTTTATGGTTAAAATATAATTATGGTAAAAGTCCTTTCGATACTGAATTTTCGGCACATGACTGATTTCTTCGTGATTCATGCTTGGTGTTCGATATGTGAGTTCCTTAGTTCGAGAGGGAGCAAGAAGATCAAGAGTGATCATTGTAAACAGATCAAGATGAAATCAGAAACAGAATCCTAGGTTGGGGAAGGGAAACATCTACAGATGTGGACAGTTTCAGAGGAGTGATGAAGATTTTTATAAGCTTGCCTCTCTGATCTTACCCGGTTTAGGTTCCTGGGAGAGATGACTTGGAGCATTAGGGCGACTGAGGAGACTGAGTCGCCGGAACATGTCCAAAGAGCCGATCGGAGCGTCGGCAGCGGTGGCGGCCGCATCCTCATGCGCTCCAGCTTGGGGGAAGCAGTACACGGGGGTCTGCCAGTCCGGATCGGGGAGCACGGCGCCCACCTCGAACGTTATCGCGTGCATAGACATCCCTGCGCGCGATTACCATCACCATCTCGATTTCGCTTGCTAAGTTTGGTAAGGGTGGCGAACTCACCGTTGTAGAAGTCCCATCGAATGGGGCGCTTGGTGGCGACGTCCTCGTAGTATCAGATGAAATCGAGCTTCTGCCACAGATTGCAGAGGAATCCATCGGTGCTCACTCGACCTAGGTAACTGGCATCGGAGAGGAAATCCGGCCGCAATATGCCGACAGGGAAGGTGGCCAGCCGGCACATCCCGCCGAGCCCGAGCGTGTAGTAGAAGGAAGTGCCATTATCCCACTCGAGGTCGTAGAGCACGTCCGAGATCGTACCAGAGATCGTCGATGACGAGTTTCCCGGTGTCAGTAAAGTTTGTATGCATCATCGCGTGAAATTGTTCCGGCCATGGCGTCGGGACGGGATCTGCGCCGCCGGCCGCTGCCGCCGCCGTCATCACGCAGCACCAGCAAGAGAAGAAGAGGAAGAGGAAGGGGATGACGCTCCTCACGGCTGCCATGTTCAGGAGTTTCGAAGACCCGATGAGGACTGAGCGGCCTCCATCCTATTTACAACTTATCTCTTACAAATAAACTCTCAAATCGTTTATCAATTAATTAAATACCTTGGAACTTAAGTTAATTTCCTTGTGACGGTTATCTCAGATGCGTAAAACAAATAAGAATTGTAAATGGGTTTATCTGTAAATAGATTCGTTTTTTAAGATTCAGATACTCTCCACGGATCAACCAGGATAGGTACTGATCTCTTCGCTCGTTGCAACCGCCGTCGTCTCCCTCGTCGCCGGCGTTCCCATCGGCGGCGGCGACTAACCGGTGAGACGAGGGAGTGACAAGAGGGGAGTCGACTGAAGTCATTCAGGAGCCTTCTATCAGCGACGGTGAGCTGTCGGTAGATGATATCACCTCGATAGGTCCTCGTCATCTCCAACGCAATCGACCGCTTCCTCAGAAGAACGTCCATGGATTCAACCTCGAGATCGCTCGCCTTGCTCCTTCTTCTTTTTCTTCTTCTTGTCCTCGGTCATGACTCCTCGTCTACGGGCCCCGATTCAGCAGCAGCGGCAGATCCCCAGCCCCAATTGCAGGCGCAGGCCCCAACTCCCACCCCATGGCCGCTTCAGTTTCACTCCATTCTGTTCATGAACTTCTCAGGGGCCATATCCCTGATCGACCTCTGGTACGACTGGCCCAAGGGCCGTAACTTCAACATTATCCAGGACCAGTTAGGGCAGCTCCTCTACGATCTCGAGTGGAACAACGGCACCTCCTTCGTGTACACCCTCGACGACCCTCGCCGCTGCAGCGTCCTCGATGTAGGGTTCGGCATCCTCCGCCCTAATTGGCTCGACGGCGCCGAATACCTCGGTCAGGAGCGCGTCGGCGGCTTCCTCTGTAACGTCTGGCAAAAGGTGGACTTCATCTGGTACTACGAGGACGTCGCCACCAAGAGGCCTGTCCACTGGATCTTTTACACAGGTACATCCCCTAGGTTTCTTCTTCTTCCCTTCCCCTCACTCCTTTCAATCTTCCTCGAGAGAGAGAAGGTTTGAAATCCTCTTGTGGCAGGGAGATCTGCGCATGTGATGACCTTCGAGGTGGGAGCGACGCTGGAGGACGAGAAATGGCAGGGGCCCGTCTACTGTTTCCAGAAGGACGAGGACGAGCTGCGGCCGGAGAATCAGACCGACCTCGGCGAGTATTCTCGGAGGATTCTGACGGATAAACGCTCCTTCAGAGGTCTCTCGGGCTTCTGAATGTTGCCGGCGATGAGTCCTCCCTCCTCTCCATCCATCGCTCGGCTCCTTAGTAGTTCGTCCTTTTTTTTTAATCAGTAAGTACCTTGGGTGTATCTGTTTCCTTTTCTTTCAAGCAATATGAGAGCATGGGCGTTGACCCCCAGGACTTAGACATATGTGGGTTTCGGGGAAATGTCAACGAAGAATCTAATTCCATGGAGAATTTCCCAGCGAAGAATGATAGTCTTAATATTTGCTGCAGAATGGTTAAATCTGCAAAGAAAAACTTTAAAGGGGGTAATGGATGTGGTCGATTCTAGGTGACTCAGTGCGTTAATAAATCTGGAAGGAAAAAATTAATGGGCGCTATGGGCGGGTTGACTTTAACAAAGTCAATGCGTTAATGAATCTAGAAAACAAATTAAACTCGATTTGGGTAAACCCCGGCTGGGTCCAGACCTGACAGAAAACTCGATCAAAGAACATGTTGTCTGGGAAGGACCCAAATCCTGCCTGGAGTTAGAGAGAGAGAGAGAGAGAGTAAAATATACTACACTGGGCTTGAATTTTAATTATATTAATATAATTATCAGCCCTATTGTATGAATATATTTTTTATTTGAGTCAGGAGACATGTTCTTAAAAGAGAATAATGCACTCATTAAGTTCTCCGTCATTTATAGGTAATTTTTAAATAATTAACTAATTTTCTTTTTATTTTTAAGCTTCCGTCGGTGAGAAAAATAATTTTGAATTTAGTGTTGGAAATTATTTATCACTTAAATTGGTAATTATTGGGTATATGAAGAATTATGAGCATGGTTATTTTTTAGGGCCTCGTAAACGTGTTGTTTATTTTCTGGGGAGAGGCTGGGACCATTGTTCGGGTTTATCATTTATATATTCAATGCTCTCGGAGACTATTCACTGACTCGGACGATTTTATCGGGGGTGACTCGGACAGTAGTGTCGTACTCGGGCTATTGGTCCATATGCGCTATGAGCCATATGGGCTCCAGAGACATCATAGCGTTCTGGCTCTTAATCATAGGAGGAACATGAGAGAATTAGTAGATACATTATGATAGTTTGGATCTGGGGAAGGAAGGTCATATATAGTGCGTCAAACGACGTGGGGCGCTGCGCTAACGGTTTTTTTTCTCTCGCGGGCAGCGGGAGCGGTCGGAGATGGCGGGGGGCGATGGGGACGACGGGGCCGAGCTCTTTCCGGAGCTCCTTTCCTTCGCCGGGAGGGCTCAGGCGCTGATCTCCGAGCTCCTCAGCGTCTCGGAGGGGGTTCCGTCCATGTTGCATGATCGCCGATTCGATCCCGTTCTCTTCGATCTCAGGCATTGTTCTTCTACTGCTCTTCTTATGGCCTCGGGGGCATCGTGTGATGTTTCTCGTTTCAGTTTCTTTCCCCCTTTTTCTCTTGGTAGTGTGCTTTCTCACTTGGATTGGAATTCGGACTTTTGTTCTTCTTTTTCTCCGAAGTATGGAGGATCATCTCCTTCTATCGGTCGCTTAGGGAGTATGCTATGAATCGAGTGTTTCATTTCTCATGGACGATCCTTTTTTACAGGTACTTGGACAATCCGGACGATTTTGAGGCTAGAATCAATGGTAGCAGGGAGCTGCAGTCTCTGGAAGATGAACTCCGTGAATCTTGTTCAGCCTTCTTCCAGAGGTTCTTTCTCCTGGCTAGTGGCATTACCAATTACCACGAGGAGCTCCTCAAATACCTCGAAGATCTTCAGGTTGGTAGGAGTTAACACTTCGTGCTTATGAAGGGTAGTGGATTAGTACTTATTACAGTTCACTGTATTTTCCCAACGACTGGTTCTGTTATTACGTGCCATCTTACTGGAGATGTCCATCAAATTGGGGTAGCTATTCTCTGTATGCCTAAAACACCTTCAGTTCGAAATGTTGGTAGAGTCTTTGTGCACAAATACCTACGTTAATCTCTCACGTAGTCAACTCAAAGGCTTGCATAAGTTGTTGTGCTGTGCAAAATATTATGAACCAGTTGTCTCAAGTATCAGACTTTTTATCATGCAGACATAATATTGAGTGTTTTCTTATCAAATAAAAATAGCCTTCGAGGTACGTTAGGTAGTGTAACTATGATCAAATGTTATTTGTCTAAACCCATATCCATTATGCTCTTGATGGTCTTATTTGAGTCAGTCCAAACAAGAGAGTTGAAAAAATAGTGATAGGTGGAGTATGCACGAGCTGTCAAAAAATTCCCAATAAAATTTATGAGGTTGGAATGTTGCATCTATTATTATTCACGTTCCTTTTATATTTAAATTAAATCAGAAGATTCATAATGTGTGCTACTGGTTATTGAATTCCATATTCGTAAGAGAGAGAAAATAAGAAGTATAGGGAAAGAGAGGACAGATGCACGGAAGACCTATATCTCGGGTGTGTGGTTCTAGAAGAAAATATTGCTCACCACAAGCCACCAAGGTAAGTGCTCTTTGGTGGTTCCTGAAAAACATACAAAGGACTAAAATACACACATATGCATGTTTTGTACATGGGTTTAACAGGTAAAAAGTGAGAAAACAATTAAGTATTAGATTACGGGATATTGGGTCTAAGAATTCAATACTCTATCCACGGTTACGAGGACAACATCAGCAAAAAGAAGGAAATGGTTCAGAATATTAGAGGTGGAATCAGGAGTTGAGATAATGCCGGATACCCTAGGTACAGATGAATAGAGGACATGTTTTATTTGCAGGCCCATTTCCAGGGTCAGGTCCAGTTCGTTATTTTATTATTTTCTTTTCAATTATTTGATTGGGGTGGGCATGCCAATTCAATTGTGGAGCATCTATGGATCGGACGTTCTGAATTCATTAAGAATTTTCTGACCTTGAGTGTTAGAGTTAATATATCATGATGGCACTTAGTGACAGAACTGAAATTGCAAATTCCAGAAATTTCCAAAAGAGTGAAACTTGTAGCTATGGCATCGCTTATTGTCAACATGGCTTTGTGTGGTGTTTCCTAGTCTGAGGCATCACATTTTTGCCCAATATTTTTTCTAGTCATTATGAGTTGGACAGATGCGTAGAAGGCAAGTTGAGTCTTAAAATGTTACATTTAAGGTTGATATTTTCTTTGCATCGCTCATGGAATGAACAGCAATTTTGCAGAAGGTAAGTTGAGTCAACTCAGTTTTATCACGGGAAAATCTTGATGAGATACCGAAAAACATGATGCGATCTTAAGGATGTGAGTGTCTCAACGCATGCATGTCAATGACTTATGTATATTAAAGATTTTGAGCTGGAAAATCATGCAATGCTCAATTGAGTTAATTCACCCTTCTATTTCATCTCGTTAGGGACAATCTTGTTTTCATAATGGTGATAAACTGGGAAAAGGAGATAAAAGGACAATGAATGGAAAATGTATGGGAAGACATACTTCTGGGTCTTTGGTTTGTGTGGAGAAGGCTGAAGCCCTAGTGGACACAGATACTAGCTTTCCACGTAAGGTGATAATAAAGGATGATTGCTTGTTTATTCAAATAGTGTTACAACTGATGGTTAGTGAGGCTGAAAAGTGAGTTAACAGAAAATCTCATTGCACTGACGCAAAGGAAATCAGTTGTGATCTCCACCTTGGACAACTATTTTTCACGGGGCAGAGACCCAGGGATGACCCGCTTAAACATAAGGAGGTTCTTCATCAACCAACAGACAAAGATTTATGTCGTTTGTCTCATATTCTGTTAAGGTACAAGTATGTGGCATGCATCTTGGAATTGGGATGTGTATTGCTGTTGGGTTTGGCGTGGATCTTCTTTTCTTGCATTTTCCTGAGTAAGAAATTTTAAACTGTTCAATCTTGATCATTATCCAACTTTTTTTCCCTTAACCATGGGCTTAGGGAGATTCAGGAAGTAGAATTTCTAAGATGAAAAGAGAAGGAGATTTGTACTGTTCTATTCCATGGCTATAGATAAGTGGAATGTCGAAAAAAAGGTCATTTGGGGGAGCTGAAAAGTGATCCACTGAAGGGTACATGCATATTCACCCAGTGGTGTATGCTGTCAAGCTGGAGGGTGTTTACTCCATTAGAGTGAAATATATTGGCAATTGTTCCCGATGGCACAGTTTATTCTCTACCTGTCAAGGGCACATTTGAAGAGAGTATCAAAAGTTGATGTAACCTGGCCATCTTCTATTTCTGCCGCCTCATGAGGAAGAAAATTGAACGAAAAAATGTTAAATAAAGTGAGTTTTTTTTTAATTGCTGACAGTAGAAGGTGTTTCAACTTGTAGCTTTTCACGTCTTTCTGCGAGGAAAGAAAATCCGGTCTTCAGAAGTAACATTTGGATAGTTGTTGTCAAGCAATCTTACATATGACTACTTTTGTTTAACAGTGTAAACTGGTTGTTGTCTTTTATGATTATTGTGCTCTTGCAGAGTTAGAGATTCTTTAAATTATTTTTATTTGGATTTTGAAAACCCGAAATAATTCTTTCATGTTTGTTTGAAGATTTTTTTTTTTTTTTGAAGTAGGGCTTTAATGCACACGCTTTATGTGCCAGGATGGTGTTCTTATGCAGTATCAACTGGACAAAATCCTGGAAAATGAGAGTGGACGACAGTTGCTGGCAGAAGCATTGACCTTTTTTGGCTTTTTGTTACTGCTAATGGAGCACCGAATGAGTGGAGTCTTACGGGAGAAACTGCTTGTGGCACATTTACGCTTTGACCATTGTTCTGATAGACTAAATCTCGAAAATCTATGCAAGCTTTGTCGCTTGCATCCTTTCTCAAGTAGCCCGCCTTGTCAAGATGACTTAGTCTCTTTCATGATTGTAGTACACAGTCCTGAGGACCTCTTTGCTAGGTTCCCCTTTCCGAAAACAATTGTGGATGCTATCATTTGTCATATAAGGGACGGTGATCTATACAGATGCCTTCGGCATTATCCTGATCCACAACACCGAACTGTGGCACTGTCACCACAGGCTGGATATTTGTACGTACTGTTGCTCTACTCTCCAGAATCCCTCCAAAATGGCTTTTTGATGCGAGAGATTGTAGATCGATTCTTCAGGGATTGCTGGGTGTGCCCCATCTTTTTGTATTTTAGTGTTGACTTGTCAGTCTCTTGGGATGCGCATAGAGAAGCAAAAATGGCCTTGTCGTCCTATCTGTCCTCAACGTTTGTTTCCGACCGGACCCAGCTCAGTTGTACAAAGGTTAGTGTGTCTATGATGTAAAAACTAATCTGCTTGGAAGCAGGGAATTGTTAATATCTATGAAGGTTTTAAAAAACGTGTCAAGAGCATGATTGATTTTGTTATCGATATATATGAGCAGCTGGCTCTAACACCTTTTCCTGGTGTCCCCTAGATATTGTTTTGACCCAATGGTTATTCACCTTTGTCTTTCGCTTTCAATTCTTACCAACTCGTCAATTAGATGAACTGTTACATCTCAATTGCTTCTTTCATGTGGACCTTCGCATTTATCTGGATATATGTCTTCTATCCTCATTGAAATATTAGTGCAACATTGTTTGCATGCCCATGGCATCCTCTTATCAAGCTCATTTATTTGTGGGGCATCAGTTCGTTCTACAGGTTCGATAATGCTGCTGACCCATGCCCTTGGCTATCACGTCGTAGTAACATGGAAAGTAATTGTGCTAAATGATTGCTTAAAATAGGTAAAGAGAAAATGAATTTTTTTTTTTTCAAAAAATTGTTCTCTGAAGCTTTTTCAAGTTAGATTTTGGAATGTTTCTGTGAATAGTTAGCAGTATATAGTCTGATGAGGAATTGAATTTGAAAAGTTAAATCCTGGTCGTACATTCTATCTTCAGTTTAATTTTTTCCATGAATTGTTGTTGGATCCTTGAATGGAAAAGAAAATTTGGGGAATGATGATTCACTGGGACAAATTGTCATTATTGGCTGGATAGATAGGGGAAGAAATTTAGTGTAATTATTTTTTAAAATGTACGAAAAAAAACAGATCTTTTTTTATTGGTGTTAGAAGACAGTAACGATAGCCAGTAATAATAGGCTTTAGTGAATTTCTGGGACAACATTGGATTAGCTGATGAGGCTGAACCAGATCAGCAATGTGTCTATGTCCAAGACAGAAATAAACCAATAATCATACATGTTATATACTGCCAGCTACCACCCACTTTTGAAAACAGTGTTATCGACTATCAGAATCAATTAATGGTGAATCTTCGTGCCTAGTGTGAGAGAGGATGAAGAAATGTGTGGTTAGTAGTGAATTACATAGAATAATCATTTTTCTCTGTATTTATTGTTACATGTTTTTTGTCCTTTGTGAATTATTTTGTGGCTACAGAAATTATATTGAATTTAGTCATCATTGATACCGCAGGTTAAAGAAGCCCTATCTGAGTTAGATTCGGTTCTCTCAGACGGTGTTCTTACAAAGAATTATGTATTAGAGAACTCACATCATCTTATTTCCTTGGTCAGAACATGCAACGTCTTCATGCGCTGGATTTTGCTCCATAAATCTGTTAGTTCATTTCCAAGCACGTATTCGTTTCTCCTTTGAGATGTTGAATTTTTTGATACTTGTTATCACTCTTTGAATAGTTAGATGCAGCATGCCATGGTACATAAAGTTGTTTTTTATTCATGGAAATCACAATCATTGTTGCACAGACAAGGCAGAAGATAAACAATTGAAGTTGTTTGATATCCGAAAGTTGCTATATATGAATGGGAGGATTAGTTCCAAGTAATAACTTGGACTTGTGGTTGGACGCAATTAACCCAAAAATGTTAAAGGTTATTGGTGTAACTTATACAAGTCTCATCAGTCAGTCAGAAACTCAAACACCATTTTAGTTTATTAGTTTAAATCCTATCTTTTGAAGCTAATAGCTATATTATCATGGTTTTATAGTTTTAGGTCTAGATCTTCATGTTCAGGGTTATATTAACTTTTAAAAGTTAGAGTCACGTATTTTTTGGGCTTTAAGATATTCATAACTTATAGAATTTGTACAACACAGAAATTAGTTTGGAAAAGTTACATGTCATTGGAAAGTGCATAGTCTTTTCCTATAAGTATGGTTCTTTATTAAAAAGAAAGAATATGTGTTCCCTTTTTAAATAACACAACCCAAGCACAAGATGATAAGCACCACCAGGAAGAACAAGAGGCCTGTGTACCCATTGTGGGGCAGTGATGTTAGTCACCAATAGATTACAACCTCAGGAGAGAAAATGAGACAATGAAAATTTGGTGGTTTCACAGCATTGATTGATTTCACCGACTCTGGTATTTCTCCCATGGTTTGGTGTTGAGGTTTTGTTCAATGCCAACTTGCTTGATAAAAATTGACAGCTTTAGGAGACAAGAGCCTTCAAAGATTATATTAACAATTTGGTCCTTAGAACGTAACCAGATAAGAAGGTAAGCCGCATGTTTTTTGCATCACTGATGAGTAGAAACATTGACCACAAAATGCCCTGTTCATCCACAGAGAATAGGATGTTCAGGAATCTTATGTCTGCTGGTTGTATTAGTCTGGGAAATCCCCTGAAGTCATTGGTTCTTACATATTGTAGAAGATCTCTGTTGAACCTTATCAAGAGGATTCGAGACTCAGTCTTGCCTTATTTTTGCATATCATCTGACAAAGAGTACATTGATATTTAAAATATTAAACCATTCATGCGTAGGCCTGTAATGATAATGCTTGTTTACTGAAACCAGAAAATATAGCCTTATGTCTTGTTTACTGATCCTAGTATTGGACTGGAAATTGACGTGTAAGCATCCGTAATCGCTTGTTGAAGACGAACAAGTTTTGATTGTTCTTGCTGATCTTCTCTTGCTCCTGTATTTTCTAACCTTGCAACCCCTGACGAAGCTGTTGTCTGCCATGATTTACTTGTTGGACTGTTTCACTTGCAGAGTATTGACAAGAAGCTGAGGGATATAGTTACATCCGTTTTATCTGCTCACCAGATTGGGGATGAAACTCTCTTATTGCTGCTACTGAAGATAAGCCGAGTATGCCTATATTCATCCATGTTTTTTTAAATAACGTTTCAAGATAAATGTTTGTTTAATTTTTGACATATGTAATCCCTGAAATGATTTTTTTACATTTTCAAGCTTGAGTTCGAGATGAAGTGTTTCTACTCGAAACTTCTAGAAGGGAGAGAAGCCTCATGGCATGACAGTAAGCATTGTGCTTCAGATCGTATGAAAGAAATATCTCATTTCTTTTCTGGGTCTTGGGTAAGAAATTTATTCCATAATTTTATTATCTATATTCGTTGACTAGATATTTTTAATTCTTGGTTTGCCTATTTGAAAGCCCCCTTTCTATTCAATCGTGGACTGAGTTTGTCAGGCTCAATGATCCAATGTCAAGTCGCAAGTTAGATGGAACACACATAGATTATACAAGCCCGGTCTGTTGTTTTGATCTTGTGATATGACACTGTGTTCACGATATTGCATGTTTAGTTGAGCCTTAAATTTCAGTGTAAGACAATGGCTATTAAATTTTGAAAGTTACAGCCGACCATTGGACATGTCAATACTTTTGTGTATGCGTTGAATGTTTATCCAATCTAACTACCAGTTATCTTTTCACTGGATGAAAAGTTAACTTAAGGAGTAAGGCCGCTTGAGGCAAGGAGTTCTTTGTTCAGGCAGCCGTTGTGAAATCTCATCTTGAATAAATATATTTTGCCCTGGTTTTTTGTGACTTATCTTAGCGACTGATTGTTCATATTTTTCCAAGGTTTTATATCATAAAATTGTTTATGTTGTAGAAAACGTCTCAAAGAAGATATTTTATACAGCTATAGCTAATGTTGTCATTGATCTTCGTAGCTATTCCTTTTGTAATACGTATTTTTGATTTTTAATGTTATTCTAGGCCTCATCATACAAGATGAAGAGTGAAAGCTTGAAAATATGGTTTGGGAAATTGCTTTTAGAGGTCAGTCTTAAATCTGATGGATTATCTTGTTTAGCAAATCACTGTCATTAAGATTTTACGGAATTTTTTTATATTCTAAAAGATGTCTGATTTGTTCTTCATTGTTTATATTTCTAAAAGAAAAATGTTGAACCTAACCAGCTGAGTTGATTACTAATATTATTTGAACTTGGATTAACTAGTGTTGAACTAGTTTTTAAGTTTGTACACCTGTTGTCTGTGTATTTTGTAATGCATTGATATATATATTGTTGGTTAGTTAGTTAATGGAATTTTATACTCTGTTATAAGAGAGACATTTTACTGCTATAAAGACAGGATTATTGCTGATAAAATCTTAATCGGTTGGCTTTGATGCAATCTAGAAGGAAATAACTTTTATATTAGCTCGGCAAGGATACCTTTTGTCCTTTTGATGCTTTTTAGTTTCTCTCTCTCTCCCTCTCTCTCTCTCTCTCCCCCCCTCTCTCTCCCTCTCTCTCCCTCCCTCCCCATTTGTTTATATCCTGGTAATGTTGAAGTACTTATGTCAAGTGCTTGTTGAACTCTCATTGCCTCAGTGACTAGTTAGCAAAGTAGTTCAATTTTGCCTAGGATACCTGCAGTTTTGACCCCAGTTGATTGTATGCTATCTCAAATGTTTTATAGAAATCAGGAAGCTACATGACTTGAACTTTGTCAATACTTTCCTTGGTCTCGTTGAATGAATGACCTGCCAACATATAGTCGCTAAATTTCTTCGATTGAATTCATTGGGAATGACATTTTGTGACAGGTTCAGTCATTAGACTATTCAAGGGCCAGAAACTCAGAAAAGAAACTTTATCATATATTATCGGCTCTGAAAGATGTTGAACAAGTTCATCAGGTATGATCACCAACCTTTGGCTTTATTCATCATTTATTAGTGTTCTTCTCTTTTGGTTGTTCATGCCTCAAATTAAAATGCTCTTGATTCCGTTTGCATCGGTCATAGAATATAATGGTTTAAATCATTATCATTGTTTTTTTTTTGAGGTCGATGCTTATTAGTTTCGTGCTAAGTGCTATTGATGTGATCGTTTCGAAAGTCAAACGTCTTTGTTCTATTCCTAAATCTCTCTGTTTAGCAAAACTTTTCTAAATCAAAACAAAAAGAAGCTGTGCTTAGTTTTTTCTCATTTCTGATTTTTTTTGGTGAGAGGACTGGTTTGTCTACGTACTCTGTAGTGTTATTATTTCCCTGTGTCAGCAGTTCACGGGCAAACATAAACCTGTTGGGCTTGTTTAGCAGTGGAATGCACAGTAGACACTTTGAAGAGGGGAAACCTGACGGAAAATGCCTTCAGCATAAACTAGATTATTTGTCTCCTTAGAAAACTCCTTTCTTGATACTGGGATTTTCATATTCGGTTTCCCCTTTTCGTATTTACTCACATATTCCTATTTTTGACCGGCACAAAAGTGCCCTCTTTCGCTTTATTTTCGGCTTGGCATTGCTGTTTTACAATCTGCATTTAATTCTGTTGTGTTTTTCTACTCTTTTTCATTCCACACGTGCTAAAAAATAGGGAATGCTCTCTGTGCATCTTCTTTCTTCAAATGTTACAGAAACAATCTCTGTTTGTACTCCCATTCTATTTTTTTCTTCTCGTGCTTTGATGACTATTCTCCTTGGAAAATTGCGTGAAACCTCCTTTCTATTTGATTAAAAGACAAGTGCGTAGTGATAAATATTTTTGAAAAGGATATATGCTTGAAATTTTATTTTTCTTTAGTTTTATCTCTTCTTCTAAGTCGTTCTTGCTTCTTCAAAACTAAGCATCTAGTCCTTTTTTTTGTTCTTCTTATGCTACTCTTTCAATGAGTTAACGTGTTTCAGGTTGAGGAAAATCAGCCAATCAGAAGAACCATATCTGAAATTCAGCAGTACCTACAGGATATGCTTAAAGCTTTGAATGTTGGTGATGACACGTTGTGTACATTCTCCACGGTATGTTTAAAATCTTGGTCCTAAGTATACCCTAGTGCTATTTTTATTAATAAGTATCAGAGCGAAATTATGCACCTGAGGCCCTGGATAAGTTTTGAGTAAAAAAAGATGACCAAGAGGGACTAGAGGGGCTTTATTTAGCATTGATAGCTACATTTAAAAATATCATTTTTTAGTGATATTCTATAATGTCTTTAGAGTATGCTGTGATAATATATTTGACTTTCCCAGTGTCTGTGGAAGTCATCCAATTATTTAGGTTGAGTCATAGGCTGTCACATGTATGATTCCACCTTTCTTCACTTAAGCTCAGGATTTAGATGTTGATGTTCCTTTATTTATACCCGCCTATGCAGTTCACCTTCTCTATTTCAACACCTCTCAAGTGTTTTTCTTTGACGACTGTTGCGTATTTCTCTAGGGGTAGATCAGCCATTATTACATACTTCTTCTTTGTGGATGCAAGGAATACTGGATGGAGAAAGTTGATTATTTCTTTAAACAGCTTTGAAACACTTTTGCGAGCAACAATTCATTCACCTTGATATTAGCATAGGGTTATTGGGTTACTGTGAAGGGCAGACACGCAAAAGGCCTCAAAGTCATATCCAAGTTTTCTCAAGAATGAATCTGATTTTTTGTAAGTTTAGTATAATTATTTACAACTCAAGACTACCAGTTTCTTGAGATTCATGTGACCTCATTTACTACTCATTGTAAAACTCTTACACTTTGAAGAAGAGGCGGGATTCATGTTTAGACAAAAGGATCAGCAGGATACTATTAAGCTTAGATACCACGCCATATGGAGTGATGGTGATGGCATGACAGAGCAATTCCCATCCAAGCCATTGGCTGTCATGTGCTGTAATGAAGGGAAGGGAGAGCTTGCCCAGAACTTGTCTTCTAGATGAAGAAAAACAATGTCAGCAGCGACAATAGGAGGATTCGAGTAGTTTTTCATCTAATTTAAACCGATGACAATAATTGTGTTCATAAAAATGTAAATTTTCAATCATTCCTTTTACACAATGGAAAGAGGTTTGCAAATTGGAAGAGAAACAGAGAGTCAGGAAGGAATTGAAGAGAAATCCCATGTATGGCATTTCTTTGACAACTATCCTTGCCTTCGTAAAAAGAAAACACGTGTATGATATTATTACAATATTCGAAGAGGAGTTTCTTGCATTTTCTTGCACTTAATTTTGGGGCTGTTCTACCTTTGAAAATTTTCTTTGTTGATTTATGTTACTATTACTGAACTTTAAATTTTTACGCTTTATGTTTTCCAAAATATTTGATTCTTTCCTTTTCAATATTTTTTGAAGTTGATTTACTCTTCCATGTTGCAGATCACTGGATCTATCTACGCCTGGAGTTTTATTGAAAAATTCTTTGCATTGCTAAGAAAGAAGATAGAGCAAGATTCATTAGTTGTACTCAATTTGCATTACTTTTTCCTTAAATTTTCTCCTCTACTGGATGCACCAATGTCCCGAATCTCACGAAGTAAAAGGTCTCTTTCAAACCAATACACCTTTAAAACCTCAGAGACATTATTTTGTTCCTTTTAAATTGTGTTTCACCATGTCTTACTATAGATAATTCACTGCCAATACCTTCTTTAGTTAATGAAGTTCCTTTCTAAAAATGGATAGCGCCATAGATCGTTGAGAAAGGATAAGAGTGCAATGCATATTGTATGACTTCTTGAAATGTCCAGAATCTACAAATGTAGGCAGAAGATGCCTTAATGTCCTTCATACTTTCAAGAAAATGCTGCCATATAATTCAATGATTCATTACACGTAGTTTTTAGGAAGCATCCCATTAGTTGTTTTTGTGAACTTTCTAAGATGTTTTTTCCTTTCTCTGTTTCTTTTCACTGTATTTGCGTCCTTCTCTGTCATTCCCTATGTTAAATGGATCCATTAGATTGTTAACAGATCCACTTAAAGACTAATATAATGGGCCTAGCCCATTAACTCATGTAACCCATACTTAAGCTGGAAACCATGATAATTGACTTATAAATTTGGGATTGCGCAAACTCTGCTTCAAGAAGTGGTGACTGATTCATCTTCTTGGAGGAGGAGGATAGTGAAGATCAACTCCTTTCATTCTCCAAGTTGCAAGAATCTCAATCAAGATCAATTCTTAACATGGTATCAGAGCGGTGATGATTCTGGTGGGATCAGATACTTCTTTTTCTTGAATCTTGTCTTTCTTATTTTTGTGGAAGAAAAAAACCTTCTGCAAGTAGTGAATTGAAGCATTCTGAAAAGTACGAAGGAAAAAAGACTTTTAGAATGCATTCAGGGGAAGGGTCTTTGTCATCCATGGAACTTGTATCATCTCCAGTGACGATTGGAGAAAGGGAGAGACTATATCTTACTCTCCCAAATATTCCAGAGAAAGTTAGATTTAATGGGATAAATCTTCATCAATGGGAGCAGTTCGTTGATCTGATGCTTCTTGGAAGAGGCTTAACAGATCACCTTATAGAAGAATCATTTAAGAAATCAGATCCAAAATATAGAAGATGGAAATCAGAAGAGGCTATTATTCATACGCGGCTGCTAAGTACAATGACACTAGAGATGTGTGAGAATTTCCTATTCATGCACTCAGTGAAGGAATTGTGAGATCAAATTCACAGAAGCTGCTTGAAGAAACACAATTGGAGAATTTATGGCCTGGTGGCTAAGGCAACACATTTAGTACAAGGAAGTAAATCAATTATGGAATATTCGTGTGAATTAAAGACTATATGGAGGGAAATTAACCATTATTGCTCAATAAAGAATCCTAGTTCTGAGGAGCGCATATATACATTAAAATACAGAATGTATACATTTTTAATGGAACTGAACTCTGATTATGCAGGCCTCAAGGGTCAAATTCCCCATCGTGAGAAGGTAACTGATCTAGATGAAGGTATCCAGATTGCTATGGAAGAGGAGAGTAGATTGAGTCTAGTCAATACTGAGAAGAATGAGTCAACAGCCTTTGCCTCTTGCTTGGGGAATTAATTAGAGAAAAAGCAAGGAAATAAAACCTCAATCACTGCATCACAAAGAAGATACCAGAAATGGGAAAATAAAGAAAACTTTTGGTGTTCATATTGCAAGAAGAAGCGTCATACAGGAGAAAACTGTTGGAAGCTACATGGACAACCACCTCAACAGGGGAGGGCGTATGTGGCAACTTCTCAACCAGCAGAGACTATAGAAGGTCAGTCTGTGATGAAGAACCCTCCCAATCTTAGTAATCAGCAGAAGGGTGATGAATTTGAAAGACTGAGGGAGGAAGTAGAGACACTCAATAATATGTTGAGCTCTAAGTCCTTGGTTCAGTCAGGTGAGAATAAACTTTTTTCAAAATCATATGCATTCAACTGGGAAGAGGATGATCGTGCACTGATGTCTGTAGAGCAGTAACCTTGGAGTGGAGTCAATGAACACAAAAAGAATACCATACTATTACAACATTGCCGTGTTGGATATTCTTCCTTTGATCTCCTAAAAACATGGTTTCCTTCTATGTTTGAAGGTGTTGATTTTAAAACTCTAGTGTGTGACACTTGCCAATTGGCCCAAGAGATATGTGAAGGCTTATGGATTCAAGGTTTACTAGATGAATTGAGAGTCAACCAATCAAATCATATGAAACTGTTTTGTGACAACAAGTCAGCAATAGTTATTATATGAAATCCTGTGCAACATGACAGGACTAAACATATTGAGGTTGATCGGCATTTTATCAAAGAAAACGTAGGAACAGGAGATGTAGATCTGATATATGTTGGGACATCAGAACAGGTTGCTGACATGTTCACAAAAGGAGTCACAAGACTAGTATTTCAAAGGATGGTGTATAAGTTGGGCATGGAAAACATCCATACTCAACTTGAGAGGGGGTGTTGAACTTTCTCGGATTGTTTTTCCTTTCTATCTATTTCTTTTCACTGCATTTTCGTCCTTTGTCATTCCCTATGTTAAGTGGATCCATTAGACTGTTAACAGATCCACTTAAAGACTAATATAATGGGCCTGTCCCATTAACTCATGTAACCCGTACTAAAGCGGGAAACCATGATAAGTGACTTACGAATTTTGGATTGCGGAAACTCTGCTCCAAGAAGTGGTGACTAATTCATCTTCCTGGAAGAGGAGGATCGTGAAGATCAACTCCTTTCATTCTCCAAGTTGCAAGAATCTCAATCAAGATCAATTCTCAACAGTTTTAGTTGACACTGATTGCACTGAATGGTCTACCATAATAAAGATCATCCACTGCATTGGTGTAGAGTGGGGTATTGAATTTTTGAGATAAGAATCTATCAGTTAAATGTATAAAGTGAAAAATGAAAGTAAAGCACCTTTCCCTCAACCTATTGACATAAGTTGATGGGTAAGCGAGCTTTACAATATGGCAAAAATTAATTTTTGTCAACGAGGGAATTTGAGGAGCTGTTTTCGTTCTGATGATTCTGTGCTCGATTGAGACCTTATTTCTCTCACATAGATGACGCCACATTTTGTGAACTTCTTAGCCTTCCAGTTACTCTCCAAATTTGACCTTTTATCTTCAGCCGCAGGCCTTTTACTTATAGACCATATGATGGTGATCTACAGTTGAACTTTCGATGTGTGAGGGCTCTCACCAACTATCAAAATATGAAAGAGGGAAGAAAGTATCCTTGGAAGCTTCACATGGAGCTGACGACTTCAGAGTCACTATGCCTGTCGATATTTGATTGGAATATGTATCTATAACTTAATTCAATTCAGTCATCTCACTTGTAGAATGACTGTACACACACCTATGGAAGAGTATTATCCAGGAGGGAAGAGGGAGATTGAAGGTAGACTCTGCCAGTCACACCTTTTGTTAAAGCGGGAATAATTGTAATGCGAGAGCAATTGGCTCTACGTCACTTCAAAAAATTATTTTGCTTGCTAAATGGTATGCCCATTCTGACAAAGTTTGGTGAGAGTAATATTAAAGCATATGAAGGATGTTGTGGCATATCTGCTAAAGGGAAAATAATTTAAATCTTAATTTTTTTTCTTTATGTGGCAACAGTTATGGTCTTTTGACCTTATTTATCATATTGTCTAGTAAATTTTCAGTATTCTTTCTTTGATTGACTATGCATAGTTTGTGAGCTTCTTTGACAACTTTACTTATTTTACTTAGTGATAATTTATGAATTTAAATAAAGCCTTTGTATCATCCAAGTAATATGTAAGATAATATAAAAGATGTTTTGATATATATCTCAAGCATTGACACATTTTTTCTTTATCCAATTTCCTCAATGAAATGCATAATTATTTTTTTTCCGTAGATGATATTTTAATCTCATTTCCAGTTCACGCTTATACTTATGTATCCATTTTTCGCTATTCCACCATTTCAATTTACAGTTCATATTTGCAAAATCGTCCAAGTCATTACGCCTTGGAATATGTATCTCGTGTTCGTTCAATCTTAAACTTTCTACCGGTGAGTCTATTATTTTTTTAGACTGTTTTCAAGATCATATATTTCTCTTAAATTTGATTATATTTTTTGTACTTGCTAATCATTTTATTAAACATGTCAAATATTTACATGACAACTTCTTCCCATTTATTGATTCGGTCCTGTCACCTTCTATTAAATGAAGGTATTGCTAACATTTTTTCACCATATTGTGGTATATCTCGGAATAGGTTCAGTTTTATTTATAAAAGACTCACGTGGCAATATTTTGAATTCACTTGATGCCTTTAGAAAGAGAAAAAAAAATCCTTGTGTATACTCTCCTATTAATGCATTTTCATGGTTTTTTAAAAGTACGTGTTGAGCCTGACATTGATTTGAATAAGTCGCAATGTTGTGGGTTTTAGGACAAAATATTCTAAAAATAAAACAATGACGATAAGTTGATCCAATAAAAGCTACCTGGTCAGCAATTGAAAAAGTAAAATGCTATATATAAAGGATCAATTTAGAGTCCAAATGTTGACTCCCGCTGATCAAGTGTCTGCAATTCACAAACTATGGATCGACATGTTACTGCTCAAGTAGCGACTAAAATTATGGTCAACTCAAACCCTCTGTCAAATAATATGGGTTAACCATCCAATGCTAAATATCTGTGCTTACTACGTAGGAAGCTAGCTTTATTATTCATCTACCTCTAAATCCTCATCTAATTGCATTACTCCTACGAAGACTTCAATCCATGACTTTGAGATGGACATAAAGATAGTTAAATTTGGGTCTCCACTCTTCTTAATTTGATTTATATTCATCAAAAAAAGATTTTTGTTTTACCCTCTGATTGAAATGTACATAAAATCCTCTCGTATTAAAGCCTGCATGCCTGTCTAGATTTAGTTTTGTGGGAAAACGTTTTATTATGAATTAGTTTCTGTTGGTCGGTTTCCTAGTTGGTCAGTTTCCTTAGCCTAGGTGGTTTTCTTTTTTTGTGGCCAGGGTAATTGCATATAACTTGCCACTGTTCTATGATCTGAGGAGTAGAGATTTTTCCCGACTTCTTTTGTTGTATGGTTTCGGTCATTATCTAGATATTGGGACAAGCCTCAGACGTGAAGTTGATTTTACATCAAGTACTTGAGTACGGGATTGAAGCCTCTGGCATGCCTCACCCCAAAACTAATTTGAGAAAAATGGAGGATCTCTTCTCCTAGTAATCTAGATAGGTATAGTTTTCCTATCCCACTTCTTGCTCTTTTACCTTCTCTCAAGAGACCTCTGGTTGTATGTAATCGGGGTATTATTTTTTTATTATATCTTCTATTTAGGATCTTTAACTTCTTATTAGAGGGTCAACCAAATACCTCATCGACGCTGAACCTAGATTATGACATGTAATTTTGTTAGGTTCGACCTCTATCCCAATGGAATACTATTGAAAAAGTCAATCTTTGAAATTTGCACAGAGAAAGTGTAAAAATAATCTATGAACGGACTTGGCTTTGATTTTCCAAAAAATAATTTCTAAAGCATAAAATAATTTATGTTTGTTTTGTACACTAGTGTTATGGGGTGCCAAATATTTCTAAAGTCTCTACTATTAATTAATGGAATTTAACATAGTCATGCTTGCAACACGTTAGACCAAAACATTGACTGTTATAGTTTGACCCTGGAAAAACACATCGTGACTTCTGAACTGGCATTCTATGTTTTGGAAACAGCTATGGAAGAAAGAAAGGGTCTACAAATATTTAAGTTAGAGAACCAGAATGATATGCGATTTTGTCTGTCAAATAAATATTTGTTTCTTCAAAGATAGAATTACCAGAGATGGAATTGATTATGTGAATTTCAACTTTCATTTCTCTTTGACGAAATACGTGTCAATTCTTCAAATTAAGTATTTTCTATTTGATGTGATTTTGAATTTTCAACAGGATGATTTAGTAAGTTTCATCTTTTGTCCCCTTGATCAGTCAGCAATTTGATCATTGCATCATCATGGTTTTGAAGGAGAAAATCATTCTATTATTCCCTTTGTTAAATGTAGGTGATGATTTTTAGAATATTCAATGAGGATACTTTGCACGATTTACAGCCTTTAAATCTTCCAAGTTGTGTCGAAATTGCAAATCTCAAAGATCTCGTACAGGTATCACCTTCTTCATGTTCTTCTTATCAATCTATTTTTTTTTTCGCCATCATCACTAACAGCTTAGTTCATAACTTGACAGTGACAACAACTTATTTTTACTTCACAGTATGTTTTTTGTTGTAACCGAGTGGTAATATGGTTTAGACTCCCTCCAGCTGCCAAGAGAAGGCTTGACGGAGAGAAAAGAGAATGAACTGGGAAGATATTCAGGTCGATCAGAAAATAAACAGGGTTCCATAGAACCCTAATAGAACCTGGGAAGTAGTTCGAGAAGCTTCGCGTCCGTTCCCTAGCTCAACCGAGCCTAGGGTCCTGTTCTCCCAAAAGATATCCCTCTCGTTTGTTCGAGGGGGAATTAATACCGTACCCTTACGCCTATTTGCCCATCTAGCCTCTTACTTCCCTACCCCTCTGTACTCTGTTTTTGTATTCGACTGTCTTCATCGGAGCCTTATCATAATATTGCACGGTACGCCACGCAAATTCCACATTATTGGCATGGTACAACACCCAAATTGTCATGTGAAATTCACAAATTTGAGAAAATGTCTTTTTTGAACCAAGAAATCGAATATACTTATACACATTCAAGCTGTATGTTACTTTGAATAATTCACAATCTATTTTTTATAGGTAAGGTCTGTTCACTTCAAGATTCATAGAATTTTTTTCGAACATCTTGTACAATTCACACTGAGATTGTGAAGAGGTCGTGCTTTTTGCTCGAGCAACTCTAGTCCTGAGAGCCAGGGCTGTCGTTCATCTGCTTTTTTAATGAACCCGAAGGTTCAGAAGAAGCAGGACCACACCTATTAAATGAGTTCGAGAGTTCCGCATGCCTCATAGGATGGATCATTTTTTATCATTCTCTGAATGCGAGAATTTCAGCGTTGAGGTCACAGATAATAGCGTATTAGAACTTTTAACAATAGATATAAAAGATAATGACAGATTCATTGTTGACTGGTCCAATTCTTTTGCGTGCAGCCAGAAGAACAATCCAATTTGATGGAGGCAGTCAACAAGATATCTATTTTCTCGCGGGTTAGTTTTCTCAGTAATATACGTCACATTCAAGATTTTTTTAATGTTTTTAGTATTCTCGAGATTAATTACAGTTCTCTCCATATTGTCTAGATCAGAGTAGAGCTCATCACTGTCCATTAGTTTCTATGGTATTCTTCTAGATACGTTCATCATCCCAGCTGGTATTTCCTGGGAATGATTTGATTTACAATTCACATCTCGACGATTCATTTGAAAACTGAGTCAATTTGCGGTAATATGACTCCATATTCATGTAATGGCCACCTTCCGCTTGTGGTGGGACCATGGGGTGTTTTACTTGGCTGGGTCCAGGTAGATAAGGACTTGGGAAATATGATAGCAATCTAATGTCAGAGCAAATAAAATTATGAGTGTCAAGTTGAATTGTCATTGCACGGTATCTCTGGTCTTTATAGTATAGGTGATTTATTTTTCTTTGTTGCAATAGAAATTTTGAAAACATGACTACACCAAGATTTGCCATTTACATCACGTCATATTTTTTTTGATAAGTTCGAGTCGTGTAGTGTCAGGCATTCATTTACTGCAGCTCATGGTACTGCACATATACTATTACTAACATTCCTCAGAGAATAGTAAGTTTCATTTTTCTAGAGACTTAACCAGGCTTAAAAACTCTTACTGAGATGCTTGAAGGCGATTTGGAATTATACAATACAAAGTTGAAGGATTCTGGCATTCGATTCTTTTTATTTATGACAGATGCAACAAGAAATGAGTTCAGCTGTTCTGCCTGCGGTTTTGGTTTCCTTACACTTCCATTACACATGCTCCACTATGGATTAAAATTTCTGCATTACATTATGCTCTTCATGTCAATTTCCTGCACTTCTTTTCCTCGGGGTTTTGGCTGTAATCATCGAGGGCTAAGATGTGCGTCCCTAATCTAGTTTAGTGAACTCTTGGGGACTTGATCAAACACATTCATTGAAGAAACTTAGTCCCAGAAATGGCTAATCACAAAAGTCTCGGAACGTGATTCATGAAAATTGATCTTTAAATGTTGCAAGGTCAGTCATTTGCCATTGAATGTGAACCAATCTCGCATATCCAACTCCCTAACATTGTGACTAGGCACAGACTATTTTCCAATCCATGTCATATGCTGCTTTGATGTTGAATTCAAATCAAGGAAAAACATATTTTCCATTAAGGGTCGTTTCTTCCAACTTTTCCGTGAAATGGAACTTTTTCATTGAGGCAGCTTATGGTCAGCTTATGAGTACTGAATTCAAATCCAGTACTCATAATGATCAGCGCAGTTGTTTGTTATCCAGTGCACATTTTGCTATTTATTAATTTCTGTTCTTCTTCCATTGCCTGTCAACGTAGGGAATGCTTCTTATGTCCAGGCATTTGAGTGGCCTTATTCAATTGGTAAGTAAAAAAAATTCCTTATCAATGAGTAAGAAAATTCATCCTTTTAACTTTCGATTCCTCATATATATTTTTTCTGGTCTAGGACCTGAAAAATTGGACCGAGAGACAGATATCAATGGAGCTGTTAAGACAACTAGAGGATAAGTCAAAGTCTTTCTTCATATCAACAATTGGTAAATTTCACGAAATTTTGAGGAAGTTTTATTTAATGTTATGGTCCTATAAATGTGACTATTACAAAAGGTCACTCTGCAGGTCAAATGTCAAGCAAATGAAATTTATTTACTTTGTTTTTGCATTCCAATTAGTAAAATTCGGTGAGTTCTACTAAATCCGAATATTATAAGTAGCTGCTAAAAGCAAATGATGGTGTACATGTTTTTCGATAAATGATCCGATTGAGCCACTTAATTGCTCTATTTTTTTTATTATGTTACAAGGACGACCAAAAGTAGTCTTATCTTTTCATTCTTTCCCTTCGTCTCCGTTCTCATTGATTTTGTGGATCTGGACGTGGGCTAATCTCGCATCTTTTAAAAATTGCCTGATTTGCGTAGATATGAATGTTAAGAAGATGTTATTGAGTCTGCAGCACATGGTTTTGCCTGATTACTGATTGAAGAATGAAAAGAGGATGCTAGGTGATGAAGAACGCTAGCAAATGATGTGAGAGAGATGGACACGGGGAAAAATTGTAGAAATGAAGAGACGGAGAAAGCCCAGAACACCAAGAGAGACCACCGAAACTCTAGTTTGAGCGGTGGAGAGAATCGTTTCTTCAGAGAATTTTTTCTTGCTCGCATGTTGAACTAGGGTTAGATATGCATGTGTGTGTGTTTGTGTGTATGTGTGCTTGTTTGTGTGGATTTCAAAAATGGTTCTGAGACATTAGTGGACCTAAAAATGGCTCTGAGAGTTAAATAGGTTTAGTGGGCTTAGACATCAATGGGCCCAACTTAAATGGATCCGAGACTCTAAATGAGAAAATGGTATTAGATGGTTTTCAACACTAGGAAAAAGAGGAAACTTTTTCGCGACATCATTCTTCCTTTTTATAAATTCACTTACGTTTTATCATTCCACAAACACATGACTTTCAATGAGGTGATTTGTCCTTTTCTTTATTTTTAAGCTGTTTTTTTACTTTAAAACACTTCTCTTAGATGGATTGAACTTTGAAACTAACTCTACGATATCAAATAGTGCAAATGTTAACAAGAGGTTTCTCTCTTTCACTTGCTAGAAAATTCTTCCTAGGTTTTGTACTTACTATGCATAAATTTTCTTTTCAGCCTAGACTAGAGCTTTTTGGGCTTCCATCAGTTTTATCTTTTGTATGTCCTTCTGAAAGGGTAGTCTATATGCAGTTTTTTCTCCTTCAGAGAGAGGGAAGTCTGTTTGATCTAATGCTTTAATTTTTTTTATTGTTTTTATTGTTTTCTTCTACTATTAACATCAGTCTCAACGAGCTTCTTGGAAATTGTAATTGTACAAATATTTTATAAGTGCATGCATGATAAGGTATTATCCATTTTTAATATATCTGGCTGTAAAACATTGTGTAGTATCTTTTGCAGTTGAACCAGAAGAATTTGAAGTGAACATGAAGAAATTGACTTCCTATGTTCTTTCACAACAGCATATGATGGAATGCTCGCAGGTTAGCAATATGTGTCTTCACATAGCATCTTTTTTAGTGTTTTACAGGCATTTTGCACAGTGAATATTTGTATGAATAGTGGAAAGGTGTTCTTATCATTATTCCATCAGCTGAGAGTCTTTAGGACAGAAAAGAAAATGATATGTAATGATGTGTTTTGTCGATTACGTACAATGGATGCACAGTAGCAGGAACTTTGAAATTTCTTCAGTTAATGCACTAATGAGCGAGTAAGAAATGTCCCCCATTTATTGTTCCCTCTACTGCAACATGAATACATTGAGCACGCCGCAGTAAAGATATCTCATCGGAAGTATATTATGGCCCTTAGAAATTACTGAAGTTCGTAAAATTATGTTCCTTATGCTAACGTCTAATATATGAATAATAGACCCAGGAATGTCAATAGATTTGTTATCTTAATTGAACAGACTTCATAGCAATATTTGACGAAAGTGTGAGAATGGACTTCGCACTAAGTTATTTTATAAACGAGGAGGTTCAAACTTCATAGATATTGATTTACCTACTAACTTTACCAAATTGGAAACGTTTTGCTACCATTCAACCTCTTACAAAATTAATCTTACCTAAGCCAGTAATGTCATTAGGTAATGACAGAAATAGTGGACAAGATAGCGGCTCCGACCATCGTTCACCTACCTGCTAGTGCCATCATGAGTAAACCCTTGTTCGTTGTATATCCTGTGGTGCAGGGGAAATTTCAATCCAAGTGTTGTATTGTTCTCTACTACTACACATAGTGGAATGTTTAACTGAAAAGCAAGTGCCATAGTTTCCTATATGTTAGTCTCGCAATGATTTCTCTCCTCACTGTCATATAATTAAATCATTTGCCTTTTTTCTCATAACATTAATATCATTTTTTACTTTTGACAGGATTTTCTTCACATACGCGGGAATCAAATTTGGAATGAAGTATTATCTGACTTTTTGAAGGATTCTGCTCAACAGGTACTGTAAAGAAACTACATAATTGTATTTCCCTTTGCTGAAATTCGTCATTATTCACTGGCATGCTTTATCTTTCATAGGAAGCTGATAGTTTTCTAAGAAGATCACAAGGTTCAATTTTCACGCAGAAATTGAATGACCTCTCTAGAGCACAGACATTACTTGGTATTTTTTTCATACTTAATATTTTTTTCTCTTCATAAAAGGTATTCTCTTCCTTTCTTGGGAAATTCTTTCATGAAAAATAGTAATTGTAATTATATCGTAAGCAGGTGTACATTAAACTTGAAGGATCTGCAGAAAATGCTAGAAATGTTATCAGCTTCTACAACAAAGGATTAAGTTGCATCTATTTGTAACTAAAAATGGTACAAATATATCCTAAAATTATATTAAAATGTTATTTTATTGTTAAATACTTTAATAGTGAAGAATCAAGCACTGGTGAATAACTCTCGATGACTGGAGTTGAATTTTCTTTTTATATTTGTGATTATTCTAAAAAGTTTCCACATATTCATGGTGTCAAAAACGTCAACACAGTTGAGAGACAACCTAAGAGCGTGAAATAATTCTCAAATAGCATGTTAAAACAATGGGCTATCTTACTCAAAAATAGTTTTAAAAGAGAGTAGACAGAAGATCTGTATAGTTTATCTCAATATTTACTCTCTTTCAGTGTGGAGTCATTCTAATGGAAAAATTCGGGCATCAATATGGCATTAAGGATAGTCAGAGTGAAGTTATCCATCGTACTTGATTTCAAGGTTTCTGAGTCAAACTCGCCGTCAAGCTGGCTTAAGCTTTCTTTTGAAGGTTTACGTTTGGTCATAACTTATTCTCTAGTTTAAATGAGCAAGACATGAAATCCATTTGAAATTTCATAAAATGACATAATACCATGCAGTGGAATCCATCAGCAATTAGTTTTAAATCATTTTTTTCAGAAAATTAGTGTTTATTGCACTGTACCAAAAAAACCCGCTTATTTAATAGCATACAAAAGGATGGCATTCACCTACCACCTTAATAATGGAGCCATGTAAGCAAGACGAAGTGGGATGCCAATTTGAAGTACACTTTTCTTTCCCTGTCATTATCGCTTTTTATGTCTTCTTTCCAACTTCTCAGGACGGCTGCTACATCAAATACTACATTTGACAAATCCCTCCAGGTCCATGTTTATAGAGCCTATGAGTGGCTGGTAAATAGCTTCATATGAATAGTAGCATTATACTATTAGTGGACATTAAGCTTACTTTCCTCCATCTTTCTGTCATATCCTATTGCATGGTTCAGCCAAATTACTAAAGCTGTTTTTTTCTACACTGATGAACAATTTTTTTTTCCAGGTTTAATTTGGAAGGGCATCAGCTGTTTGGATTGCATTTTTTTAATTTACTTGAATTCTGGTATATTTCTGAAAAACTCTCATTTTCTGTTCCTCACAGACAAGTTTCTGTAACCAATACTAGAATGCCAGTAATGCTGCTTTTGATCCTCATAAAATTTGATTTGTATTTTTTTTAATCTTTCTGTGGCCGCTAAGAAATGAGATGAGGGACCCCTATTTCGAGTCATAATAATTAGGGCATTGAGAGATTTATCTGACAAGAGAAAGACCTTTATTGAAAAACTTTCTCCAAGCATTTTAGTTGTCTTCACTTACCACCTGCTGATTTCCTTAAGGCTTATTTTTGCAGTTTAGGGACTGCCGGATTGACAAACTTGGATTCATTACTGTATTGTGCCATCAAGGTGAATTTGGAAAATATATTAAATGGCGTAATAAATGTGGTAAGGTTCAGAACGTTCTGGTACTCTTTTATATCCCACATGTCTGTTTCTGTTCATGGCGAAGATATATTTTAAGTATCCATTCAGAGGAAAATATTTACAGAGCTGTCAAATTAGGTGTGATGATGACAGAAGACAAATGGGGGTTTAATGGGAATGCTTCTTGTCACTGATATCCAATTACTTGTTTGTTTACTTTTTTTATCAAAGCTCTTTGAGATCTATATTTTGGTTTTGAAGCAGAAGTTATCGTCCTGCTTTACCAGGCGAATAATATTGAATGAAGTAGTTCACTATGTAATATTCCTCATTAGATTTTTGGCATCTCAATGTAGTAAGTTTTCATGCGACCCAAAATGATCTTGAGCTGTTAGAAAATATTCTGTATTGTTTTAGATTTTGATTACTTGTAATTTGTTATTCATTTTATTTGTCTTGCAATTGGACGTGCTTCAGAGTATTTCGAGTATGAAGCGAATGTATGGAAGCCAATCTGTGATCTTAATTTTAAATCGAAACCATATCTTAAACGATTGATCAGTCGTCATATTTTTATCCTGTAACTTTCAAATGTTGTTTAAGCCAAATTCAAATTGTTAGTACTGAAATTTTCTATGTTTTAGTGCAGTTAAATCAGAAAAACATGGAAGAACTATGCAAGTTGGATAAAGCACTGGGTCCTGCTGTATCATTGCCTTTATTGGGATGGTTGCCATACCAGCCGATGGTATGCATTTGTTGATTTCTTTGATTTGTAATTTTCATCCTTATTGGGGAAGTCTATCTTAAATTCTCGCAGAGTTTTTTTTTCTGTAATCGACTTGCTTTCTGATGTTCACATTTGGATTGAGATAATTCAGTTGATGTCGAAGGAATTGATGAGAACAGATCCAGAGTTTAGTGGCTTGTTATGAGAACCAGTAACTAATGAGAAAGTTAAAACAATCTAGTTGAAAGATTTTTTAAACAAAATGCAACTATATCAGATGCTTATGATCCTTCCACATCCATAGAAATTTTAAGTTCCAATATGTTTTCTAAACTTCTTAAGAAAATTCTATTAGATTTTGAAGACCCAAGAACTGGCCATAAATGGTTAATTCGAAAATATGGAGCATGTTGGAAGTAAAAAATGCGCCTCACCAGAATGGAACAAAGTTTTAAAATGATTTTTGCGTTTTGAATTTGTGGAACCCATGTTTAAACCATCGTTTTCTTATTCTTTTATACCCTAAAATCTATCGATAACCAATGCCAAAATTTTCGATTCCAATGTCTAATTTTTATAGATTTTTCACTTGATATTTTCTATGAAATGGACGCTGATATATGGCTAGTAGTCGACACTTTAGAGCTGTAGATTCAACACATGTTTGGGAGTTAACACCCAACTTAGGGGTCAATCATTATATTTCACGACTTCCACACTCAAATGCAATCGTTACCCCTCAAGGATCAACACTTTCGGTTCAAAGGTTGACATTTGTGATTTATGGCATCTATTTTACTCTCAGGTTCAATGCTTTGGTCTTGGAGGTTGACACCTTGAATTCGTGATTTGATCCTTGTACTTTTAAGCATCTATTTTATCTCTTAGATGTCGACCCTTGGTGGTTCAATTTTTTTACGTATAAACCAGTTTATTTCTTATATATATGGTCCTGTAAATTTTGAAGATCAATACCTGTCCTACTGCCATAATGTTTTTGACAATCTTGGCAAGCATGACTCAGATATTTTTTCCTTAATCTCATGCAAAAGATCAACACAAATAAGTATAAATATTATTTTTTTTAATCATCAAAATCAGATTAAGTTTGACTGATTCTTGACTCATATATTTATACCATGAAATTATTTAATTGTTATCAAAATGTGAAGCTTTCAATAAACTTCATGGCGAGGTAAGCTACACTTACCAAGTCTTTCTCAAGCAGAAAGTGAAAAACTGCCAATTCTAAATTTACACACTCCAATGTGTGTTCTTTTTTTTTAAAATTAACCCTTGTCACTTATCTCGCACCATGTATCTCCCTTTTTAGAACACGGGACAGAGGAGGAGAGGAAATAACAGATGGATCCATAAAATGTGGGAAAGAATGGAGATTTACTATTCTCATTTTGAAAACTTATTTGTTTCCTTCTTTTGATCATTCTTATTTGGATAGAGTTGAATACTATAATTCAGAACCAATTATATTCTATTGTTGCCTTTTTCTGTTCAGAGTTGCTTTATTGTGGGAAGTTCATATATAGAAGCCCTGCGATTTCACTAAAGGAAGGGCATTACAACTCATTCATGTTGTCCGGTTCTCTCCTAGTGCTCTCTCTTCTTGTCAGGAGTCACTTGGGAGGTGCACCTAGGAAAACACATCCTATCCACCCCTCTGCAATTGTCATACACCGAAGAAGCAAAAGACTAAAGTTTATCCTTGAAAGTTTTGAAGTTTATAAGGACTCTCAAATCACACTTCTTGTGGAAGGAATAAGAAGGTTGACGACAGTTTTGGCAGTGCTGGTGAATAAGGTCTTGGAAACATTTATTCATTCAAATTCTTAGAATGGTTAATTGTGAGGATTGAACGCAGAATCCCTAACTTCGATATTAATGCTTCCACCACCTTAATTCGCAAGTAAAAAAAAATATGTACATCTCATATATTCTAAATTGTGTATTTTGCAAGGGAAGTTGGGAGCTGTGGAACAAAAAAGTAAGAACTAAAGTTAAGTTTCTTTTCTAATGATCAATTAAATTTCTTCTTTATAGTTGAAGAGTTTCAGTACATCGTGTCAGCCGTGGGCCGAGTCTCTGGCGACAGTTGGTCAGCTGCAATTACTTCGCCACATGATTTCCTTGAAGTTGAATTCATCTTGTAAGGTAAATTAATTTTTCCATGATAATATCATCTTTCGGAATGATTTATGTCCTATTTGCTATTTGTCTTCCCCAGAGCTCCAATGATGAATGGGTGTTGCCTTTTTTGAGAATGATTTCAGTTGTTCTCCTTTTCTCTCTCCATAATTAAAAAAATTGTCACGGTTCCTTCTGTGTATTGTGATTTTCTTTCTTCTTTTCACAGCATAGAAATGTTGAAACTAGTTCCCATTCCAATTGGATTCTATACGCTAACATTTATTCGCTGTTGTGGTCAGCTTCACTTTCGTGCTACACAGAAAATAAGCATTCACTAACATTACTGAATAACATGGTAGTTGAAAGAGAGAAGGTAACCTATCATATATAAAAAATAGAAATCCAGTCAGTTAAGAAGCTTGAACACTGTGGAAGAAAAATTTAACCGATTTCAATCATGCCTGATCTGATTTCAAGGAAGAGTATCCTATTCCTTGAAACTGAGGAAGAGCAAAGAAAGAGCCAATAATCAGACGGCCTCCTTTCTTACATGAGTCAGTCTCTGACAAATCATGTCTTTAATTTCTAACAGAAGAAAAACAGTGGAGTCACTGTTCTCAGATCTGTGACCAATCACTCATGGCCATATCTGCTGTTCCAACCCACCTGCCTCCTTTCCCCTCTCTGAAGATTGGGTTTTGGACCTGATTATCTTGAGGAAAATGGTGGGGGTCACACAGGACCGCTCTTCTTGCAATTCAAGAGGCAGGTAAATGATTTACGTACATCAGCTTTTTCAAACTCCCACCTCAGGAAAATGGTGGCGTTTCAAGTTCCTTGGAGACACTATAGTCGGCCAACATTACATATAACACAGCCATCAGCTAATCCAGTAATTTGGTTGGCTTTAGGTGATCTACTGAGTCAACTGACATAAGATAAAAAACCGTTAACACAAGGATGTTTTTACAATTTGTGTAGGTATGTTCGTAATTTTACATGCGATGGTTTTTAGGTTTTGTTAGACAGCCTGCCGTATTCACGGGCCCTCACACTTTCAAATGCTAAGTTTTTACCAATTCATTAGGGAGAATATGGACACCCGTGCGGTGGCTGTCGTGAGCAAGCATGTCCATAGTACGTGACTCGATATGACTTTTTTTTCCTCTTATTTTCGTTTTACTCTGGTGGCTAATGGCATTTTCCTTGCCCCTTCTCTTCCTTGGTTTCTCCTACACTTATCTTCTCTCTCAAATTTGAGCATAATCATTGTAAAGGATAGCGGCGGTAGGCATCCAAACTGAGCTTTTGTAACAATCAAAAAGAGAGACGATAACAGCTGAGAGTTGTCCATTGTTGTCCTTCTTCCTATGCTTCTGACAGGGAGAGGGCGTGCAGATGATATAACAAACTGAAGTGAGGTGTATTTCTCTTCTCATTCCCCACTTCTTCCTCTCACACTATAGAATTGGTGTGTTAAACGGGTGGGGGCTCTGGCAAGTCACCCTAAAAAATTCACATGTCGTAACACTGGCACTCTCTTGAGGAAATCAAGTTTTATGTCTAGTGTTATTTTAGTAGTTTCCTCTAAAAAAGTTCAATGATTGCATTTTCTGGATAAATCGTGTGAAGAATTGAGGTTTCCTGTGGTAGTATTATGTTTTTTTTTCTTGAATAACGTACTGCCTCTTTAAGAAGAAAATAAATCAGGCTCATTGTATAAGCTTCTGCATAAATCTAAATATCAAACCAATCCTGAAGTTCTATTTCAGAAATATCTTATAGTTTCGTATTGCATGGAATCTGGAAAGGATAATACGGGAACTCTTTTTCCAGGTGATGAATAATGAAGGAACGATTTTTGGCCGTCAGTCTCCCTTTAGCAACATCTACATGTGCAAAGATTCTCCTCCTTTCTTATGCAGATGTATGTCCATTATAACAATATCACAGGTAACTTAGCTACTCTTGAGTATTTATTAGCTTTAAACGAAATCTACGAACAGAAATCCTATGTTTCTGTGGTTGTTACAATTTGGTTATGAAATTCCTTCTTCCGCATACGTTCTTCATTATGTAACAACTCTTTGGTAAGTCAGTTAACTGGAAGAAAGAATCTAATTCACTGCTACCTTTCTCCTTGGTGATAGAATCTACTAAATAATTGTGTAACAACCACTCTTGAGATATATTACATAGAAATAGAATATAATCAACGGGATGTTTTGTCCTTTATTAATGAGGTTATGTAATCAGGCTATTCAAATACCCAAAACTTCTAAGCTTCAGAAATTTTACAATTTATATTTGGTAAAATTTTGAAGGCATCTATACTAGTTTTTAATGATGATGGTAAACCCAGTATATCTGAGTAATTTTTAGAACACGTGCATGGTTTTCGGCTGTGGGCAAGTTAATATTTCTAGACTAAAGCCTAAAAAATGTGAGACTTCACATCCATAGAGCTGAACATTGACCATACACGTTCGAATTGATTGTCTGTCTTCCATGTCTTTTCCAGAAGAAGAGTGAAAGAGCTTGGGATGGAGAAAATAAAGATGTGAAATTGGCTATCTTGAGGAGATTGGCAATAAGTTTCATGTTGATATATGAAATTAGTTTTCTTTCTCTTGTGCATTTATCATCTATTAGTATAACCAACTGTCTTAATTGAGATTTCTGCAAACCCTGCATGCAGGATTTAATATCTGGAGTCCGATGATGTCCATCATGTCAAATGTGATTATTATTTTCCAATTGTTTAACATACAAAAATGATCGATTTGTTGCAATGTGTTCATGTTTGCAGCTGTCTCAGTATGTATTTGATCCTCATTTGGGCACCTTAATATGCCAAATGAAGAAAGCAACCGATTTCTCACCCATGGTAAGTGCTTACCAAATCTGTTGTTTTTTGAGTTTATAATATGGTTGACAAAAATTATTCACAATGCCTCTGTTCATTAAGTTTTTTGTTAGAAATTTAATAAATAAAAGATTTATAAGAGAATAAAAGATTTTGAAAACAATGTTGAAAATGCGAAGCGACTTTAGTTTCAAAATATTAGCAGATCCAAATATGTGAACCAGAATCGGAAAAGAGTGTACACTTTTTCAATGCCATTACTAATATAAAATAGAGACTGTGGCCCCTGCAAGTAATGCATAAAAAAGTTTTATCTGCCTGGGAAATCCGCCATTGCCACTCTTCCCTGTTATAGCTCCTGATGACATTTCCGATAAATATTCGTCGGGAATTCAGATATTCTGGTTTTCTTTTGATGCAACGAATTGTTCTTTTGGCTGGCCTTCAGCTATCAGGTAGAAAGTTTTTCATTCCGATTTGACTTTGGCAATCAATTTAACAGGATCTGATGCACTGAATTTATAGTTTCAACTGCCACTTCTAAATAAAAAAAATTCCAGATTCGATGGTTTTTCCCAAAAGAAATCATCGTCAACTGAGAAAACAAAAATTCTTTTTTTGAAAGTCGATATCTCTTTGATTCAATTATACGATTGAGATGCTGCAGTAAATGAGCCTTCAACCCTGGTCGAAATTAGTATAGTCTACGAGAACCTAGTTTGCTAAGGCATCAGAAGAACTACGAAAATCTTATCCACTGCTAGGTTACTAAACGCTGTGGTCCAGTGGGATAACCCAAACCAAAATATTACTGCAAAAAGATGGAACTTTTTGAGAAACTAAAACCAAAGCTTTGAAAATGGTTGTCCATCGTGTCAAGTCTTCCCTTTCTTCTTATCTCTGCTTAGCTTATTATCTTACTTCTTTTTTTTTTTCGATTCCATCCCTTCTTACTGGTTTTTTTATTCTCTTATATCTAATCGTGACTGCTGAAAGGATTCAACAAAATTAGTTCTGGCATTTTCTGAAATAGTTCCTCTAGATTTTCATATGCATTGAAGAATACTGTCGATTGAGCTCATTGAAAAAGATCATCCTACAGTCAAAGATGTTTGATGAAAATAATCATTCTCATCAAACATCTTTCTGCCTGTGATTTTTAACACTTTCAAGAAATTAAAATCATTTTCCTCCCTTCAGATCATAGGGCTCGGGACATTCATTAATCAGTTTCACAGCACACATATGGGGGAGTACCTTCAGGTAGCGTTCTTTCATATAAGTTGATGGCATATATCCCCTTTCTGCAAGTTTCTGGTTTGAAGGAAATTAAAATTGTTGTTTCACGCCCTTTTTACATGGGCCATGCAGTACATGGGCCAATATGTACGAACAATAGCAGGAACTGCTGGGATTTCATCTGAGCCTGCCATCGATCCAGAATCTGAGGTTGGTAAACAGTAAGCAGTGGGCATCTTCATCCTTGCACTCTCTATCATTGACTTTTCATCTCTATCTTTTCCAGGTGACTAAATCAACATTCTGGCTGATGAACTTCTGTAAGCACATGGAAATCCCGAAGGATATGTTGGATACCTGCCTGCCACCTTCTCTCTTTCCAGTACTCCAGACTTGAATGCAGCACAGTTCCTCTCAGAGCAGCTGGGTTACCCATCTTGTCTACCATCCGTCCACCTGTCATCCTCATGTCTCTGCCCGGTCTGTCAGTAGGGAAGGCCAATTCATAGGGTTTTTCAATCACAGTGATCTCGAAGTCGGCTACTTAGGATTGTAGCTCATCAACAGTAGGATTGCAAAGGAATGCCCAATCATTGAACCCCGGATGACTGACTAGTGATCTCTTCGTTGTATAGTTAAAATAGGGGAGATTTAACAGTAGTGAGCCTGAAAATGATGCCTATTCTGTGAGGAATCTAGCTAGAAAACCCACCCAACCATCTACACAAACTAGTGGGTGTAGAACTGTTGTTCATTGTGAAATCAAGTTAACTAGACGGAGTAATCTCAATTCCACCTTCCTCTTGTGGCATGAAGATGGCTTTTTCATTTCTTTCTACCCAGACTCAAGTCTCTCCTTACTCTGGGTTACAAGTTTCAACTGCATCGTCCTGCCGCCATCGGGTCTCCTCAAACCTCGCAGAGATAATCCGGGGGTTTGCCATTGCCAAGGCCAGAAGGCTAGTCCTGACCAGGTGAGATTAAAGGGCATTATACTCTTCTACTAGGTGCTAAAGTGATGAAATAATCGCATATCATCTGTTGATTGATCCATTTTAGCTTGGTAAACAAGGAATGGCGAGATAAAACTAATTTTGAGTGATATTGTCTCTCGGTCTTCTCATCTCAATTCTTAAGGCGGTTTGATTACTAGGAAAGACGTGGAGAATAATATTTATATTATTGAATATCTCGTAGATATTATATATTAACTAAATTTACGTTAGATGTCGATGGGGTGGTAACATAACATAACCTCTTTCCTAATATTTTTCAATATTCTAAAGACGGTCGGGTCTTTTGCCCAGGAAAATACTACCTACATGACTCCAAGTTGCCACATATTTTCTGTATTTTTTTTATTAATTATAAGCGCCTTATAAATGTGAAATCGGAAGCCACTTTTATTTTTAAGAAATATTTATAAAGTGATTCGGATCTTGCCAACTTAGTCAGCTCTTCTGGGGAGACAAAAAGGGGAAGGGACTTTCAACATCAACCCTTGGCAGGGTTTTGAATTAAGGAAAGATCCCTGCCCTTCCCTGGATTTTGGAATCAGACATTACGAACCCTATCAATAGAAGCTAAACCGCCTCAGAAGTCGCATTAATCCATCTCAAGGCATTCCCACAAGGCCACAAAGCTCAGAGGCCGGCTGGATCAAACGCTTGAGGAGATGAGACACATCTAAGTTTCCTCCCCAAAACCCTAACAGTTCTGAGATCAACCCTGTTTGCCAGCAGAGCCAATTCAACTAATCCTCCAATGGCTGTTTGACAGGACAGCCGCCACAAAATTCTAGATATACCCAGTTCCCGAGTAGATGAACCCTAAACCCTAGCAACGAGTCCTTAGTGTGTGTTTGTTGGTCTTATGAAGGAGCCTAGCCTAAGATTTCTCCCAAAAACCCTAGCAATACTGGATGAACCTTGTTTTGTCAGAAGAAGCAACTCAAATGGGTCCTTCAACGGCTTGAGCCTTAGTTTGTTTGGTGCTTCACCTTACCAAAAAGCCAAAAGTCAATCCAGACAGTAAACCTGATCCATGAGTGGCTCCAATCTACATAATCTTGGGGACTTCAATGCCTGGAAAGCTTGAATGATGAAACCGTGGCCAGTAAACATCTATCTCCATACACAGTTCCTCTTCTATGGCACTCAACTTATTACAAGCAGACACAAATGGCTGATATGATCTGTTTCTGATTCAAGGCACCAAAAGAGAGAGCGAGAGAGAGAGAGAGTACGGGGGGGTTAGATTAGGCAGGGCTGGTAATAACCTTGAGGGAGTTGCCCTTCTCCTGGAGGCTGTCGAGGAGGCTGTCGAAGCTCTTCTTGAACGAGTCAACTCCCTCGAGCTCGAGCTTGTTGCCAACATCACTCCAATCGATCCCCAGCTTCTCAAGGGCGCTGTAGATGCCCTCGGCCTCTGATAAGTTTGCGTCAATGGTCCGCGAGACTGTGCCGTGGTCGATAAACGCTTGCAGTGCTTGATCGGGCATGGTCGACACCTGAAATGGGATCGTTCTTTCCATCTTAAAGAACAAGAAGAAAAAAAAAAAAAAAAAAAAAAAAAAGATCCCTTTTGACAGCCAGAGGGTCAATTTACCGTGTCAGGGCCAATAAGCGGGTCTACATAAAGGGTGTCGGGGTAGGCGGGGTTCTTCACGCTGGTTGAGGCCCACAGCAGCCTCTGTTTCTTTGCGCCCTTCTTAACGAGAGCTTCCCACCGGGGGCCAGAGAACTTCCTCTGGTAGAGCTTGAAGGCTAGCGCTGCCTGAGCCACCGCCGCCTGCGCCGATATGAGGCGATTAGGATCGGTGCCGCTTAGGTATGGTCCTGTGTTGGGTGGTATTGAGACAAACCTTTCCACGCAGGTTGAGAGCTTCAGGAGTCCCAATCTTCTCGAGCAGCTTGTCGATCAGGGTATCTACCCGGCTTACAAAGAAGGATGCCACACTCGTGACCTTGGACAGGTCACTTAATCCACTGGCCTCAAGGCCATCAATGTAGGCGTCAATCACTTCTTCATACCTCGCGAGAGAGAAGATGAGCTGCAAAATCACCCGCGATGAGGAATTATATCCGGAAACAGTATATTGGTTGACTTTTGGGTTCACTGTCAAATAGCGGAAAGGAGATCTGGACAAATATAGCATGCAACTGAGAAGAAAAAAAAAATAGATGCCTGTCGCTATGCATCTGGGTTAGCTACAAGAAAGAGGGAGCATAAAATGTGAGGAGAAGGAGATTAGAGAAGACATGAACTCACCGTTACATTGACGCTGATGCCAAGTGAAATAACTTCTTTGATTGAAGGAACACATTCTGCTGTAGCGGGGATCTTTATGTATACATTTGGGCGGTCCACTACCTTGTGAAGCCACTTTGCAGCATCGATGGTCCCCTCAGTTTCACGGGCAAGTCTAGGAGAGACCTCAACAGACACATAGCCATCACCTGCATCGGTCTCATCATAGATTGACTCGAAAAGCTTGCATGCATCTTGAATGTCCTTAATCACAAGTTCCCAGTATGCACTTTCGACATCTTTTCCTGCTAGTATGAGCTCCCTGAAACATCCAGGAACACCATGAATAAAAAGAATATGGACACACAGAGGAGCAACTAGGGCGAATGTATTTAATCGAGCATTTTATAAAGGAAATTCCGTAAACAAATGGATTCCAGTCGCATTCAATATCAAGAAACCAGCGCTTGCGTGTACTAAAAAGACTTCCTACCATGTCAACCCTTTGTGAACATGAACATGCATAAATCAAAATCCTATCTGTGTGCGTGTGCGTGAATAAGGTAGACAGGAAGGACACGCGGAAATGAAAAGATAATACGGGGGTCATTGCGAAGATAAGATTAAGAACGAATGAAGAGCTAAGAAAATCCTGTTTCTTTCTCAAATTAAGACCTTTAAACTAGGCAGGCAATCTTATGATAACGAGAAAGGATCTCAGAATACCTAAATTGGTCATCATAGGCATTTGACGATGAGATAGCTTTCTGAAAAATCTGCACCAAGAGAATCACATACACACATTCAGATACTGCTCCCAGCATTGCACATAGATAGAGCACAAGGGAATTCATATAGTTCAAGAGACCAGGAAGTAAAATCTTACAGTTGGATTGCTGGTGACTCCCCTAACGCCGCTACCTATCAATGGCAGCAAATCTGTGACCGGGCGGCAGAGATTGTCATACCAAGGCGATTGGCCCTCCTTTTTATACAGATCATGCAGCGATGTCTTCTTCAGTTGTGCCCCATTGCCGTCTGCCAGTGAAACTTTTACCCTGAAAAGAAAGGAAAAATTTAATGGTAGCAGAGAAAAGGAAGGAACGATCAATTAATCTCAAACAACAATCTATTTCAAGAATTTTGGATCTTGATAAGGGCATCCAAGTGGAAGGAAAGGAGAAATACAAAGACGCAGCCTCCTCACCATCAACTGCAGCATATAGACGTTGAAGAGGGAACTAGGAAGGCATTTCATACCCAAAAATTCAGCCCCTAAATGTTTGAATTTCGTAGACATCAAATCCTAGAAACTTGCCTCCTACACTACGAAGCACCAACAAAACATGAGATGAAAAATAAAATAACCCTATCACACTTTCCCCAACTGGGCCCCTCAAACTGTCTTCACGTGATTATCAGTTTGCATGAAAACTGTAAAAATTGAGGATTGATACTGTAATGTTTTGAAACGCAATTTATTCATGTTGGACAAAGTCATATCAAAGACTAAAATATTGTTTCATAGTCCACTATTGAAACAGTTTAAAACAAGATCAGCTGGTTTCACTGCATGAATCGTAAAAAACTGTTGGTACATTAGTTCGAGCACACTGATCAAGATAGCATCACAACAATTAACTGGTTTCAACGACACCTAATTGAGAAAAATGATCAAGAGAGTTAGAGGCAAGAAGTAGGAGCACATCTTAACATGCACAACACAAACGAAAGTTCGAGCACAAGCACCACCCCCTCAACAGCAGAAGCGACTTCAACGAGAAAAATGCAATAACTAACACAAAAGAAGCAGGAAATTTTCCATAAAATTCATACAGAAGAAAAATGCGGTAACTAATACGCAAGCAATTTCAGAAGAAATAGGTGACCAAAATTGGCCAGTATTCCGACTCAAGAAATTAAGATACTTCAAAAGTGTATCTAGACTAGACAATGATATATCTTAAGTCAACACCAACCTATAGTTGATGGCGACGTGCATAACAAAAAAATTCCACAAGCAAAAAAGGAAAAAGATTTTGGAAACTGAAAGTCCCAACTGACGGATTATACGAGAGTTCAAGTAGATCTAAGGAAAAAGACGGAACACGACATGTCGACAGAAAAATCAAACGGATCGTGACGCAACAAAACGACAATAAAGGGGACAACGCAGCGCCAATAAATAGATACTTTCATCCAAAGAGAATCATAGTCGAAAAACTCTATTCGGAAAAAGAGTCAGCTCGGTGATTCAGTTAACAGAGACTGCGAGCAACAATGTTTTGCGAACCATTTCCTCATCGCAAAGCATCATAACCATGTTTCGCGATCCCCCGCCGCCGCCGGCGACTAACGGGGAGGGAATAGGAAAGATAGCGAGGGAGAGAAAGACGTACGACAGCGGTCTCCTCCCGGGGCGGCCTCCGCAGACGGAGACGCTGAGAACCGGAACACGGCCTCTGATCGAAGACTCTCTCTGGAACCGGAAAGAGAGCTTCCCCTCGGAGCACAGTGCGGACGAAGACGACTTGGATGACACCGTAGCGGCGAAGGCGGAGCTTCCGAGCTTCGAAATTGAAGCCATTGAAGACACGACGAGAGTTAGAGCGAGAGAGAGAGAGAGAGAGAGAGAGAGAGAGAGAGAGAGCTTCAGGATCTCTAGGGCTGGGTTCAATATATCCTGTTAAATGGTGACAGAGAAGAGAGAGTCGTTGTGCGCACGTGGCGATCGTAGACGTGTTTGATGGTTGGAGTGGCAAAATGGTCAATTTACTGCCCTAGGCATTTTTAGGGTTAATTTGGAAGTCTAAATATCCGTTTTCTTATTGGCTGAAGTGAATTATGACGACACTAAAAAATAAAATTACGTCATAAAGAGGTCCGGCTGGGTAGGTGGAAGGGTCGGTGGTGGTCTGTCGTTTTGTGGCAGGCCTCGAAGAGGGGTTGTAGAATACCCTTTTTACCCCTCTCCGTGGAGACCGAACCTCTGATGTGAAGTTCCCGTTGTACTTGGTGACCAAACTCTTATCCTGACCAAAGGTTCTTGTACGCGTCACGGACAGTGAAGAACCGCGCAGCGGGGTGGAGATATTTCTCGTCGGGGGTAAATGACGTCATAAATGATGTGGATCTTCGTTGAAGAGATGGTCCACGGATGTGACGTCAGCAAACGTCGTTTACCGTCCAGAAGGCGATGGCCGTTGATCAACAGAAGGGCTCAAGGACTCTACAGATGCCGGAGCGGCGGCCGTTCGTTTGGATCCCCCAAAGGTCAACGGTAGATGCCGTGAGGGACAGCTCCAGCCACCGCCGCCGCCGCCGCCGACGGCCGTCCGGAGAATTGATTGACGACGACCTTGGGCAGCGGCGTCTGTGTCGGAGAACCCGGTCAAACTCAAGTTTTCCAAGTTTATTCGGGATGCAGTGGATAAGAAACGGATTGGGATTATTGCAGTTTGACCGGCCCAGTTCTCCTTCTCTAAATGGGTCAGCGGCCCGATTTGGAAAAAAAAAGCTTCCAGCAGATTGATACCATGGTTCTTCTAGCACACGATCACAAGAAGAGGGGAGGAGGAAATTGAGAGATTGAAGCATGATCGGACAAATTAGCTCTGAAAAATGTATTCCTGCGACGACCCAATTGATTCAATCTCAAAAAGCATCGACCTTCAATCCGTGCAAGAATCTGAATTGCCAAGAACAGGACTCGAATCGCTCGAGAAATTTACAATTCTGAGGAGCCCGCCCGCCCGCCCGCCGCGACGAGGGATGATGGCAGCTACCAGGGCTTCAGATCGCCAACGGGGCCAGCGTTCCAGTCCAGGACCCGCTCACCAGGGCGCAGATAGGTGCTGCTATCGTGTGGCAGCTTCCTGGCGAGCCCGTTGAGGATCTGGTGAAAGGCGTCCCCGGGCTGGCCCGGCTGGGGGAAGAGCATGGCCTGCTTCATGGAGGGGTTGGCCAGCAACCTCTGCTTCCTCAGCACGACCTCCTGCGGGATCGACGTGAGGATGGTGTCGAGCCGCGGCACGTCCTCCTCCGCCACGAAGACGCCAATCTCGTCCCACGGGATGGCGTCGGCGAAGGGCAGCACAATGTCGTCGGCGATGATGACCGGGATGCAGCCGAAGACCACCCCCTCGACCAGCCGAGGGCTCCACGGCGCCCACCCGAGCGGGCACAGGCAGAAGACGGCCCGCTGCATGTCCTCGTAGTAGGTCGTCGGGTGCTCCGTGGATATGTCGAAGAGCGGGTTGTCCTTGAAGTTCTCCCACACCGACGCCCTCGCCCCCCTGCAGAGAACCCACAGTTAGAACAAGGGGAAAACCAGGGACAGCCCCCCGGCACGGCATCCGCCCCATGGTTGTGGGCTTGCCTGGCGTAGTATCCGCCCTCAGGATCGTTCCCGACGTCGTAGAACAGGCCGCGGAAGTAGACGAAGATCGAGCGGGGAGTGTCAGGGGGGATCAGATGGGCCTGCATCTTCTGGGGCGGCGCATAGGGTGGGATGATTATGGAGCCTTCCTTCAGGCAGACATGGTTCCGCTGCCCGAAAGTCTGCACCAGGGTGGCCCGCTGGAGCAAGGGGAGGATTCCTCGCTCGATCGCCTTCTCTTCCTATGGTGGGAAATGTCAGATATAGATTAGATAGCCATCAATCAAGATCATGAGATGCTAAGCAGTTCTATTTCCATGCACGCAGCTGTTCTTCAATGAGACTGCGTCCAGCACAAAATCAGTTAATTACGATAATGAAATTAATATGCACGAATTAAAACCCAGGAACTGATGATTTGACCGTGATCAAAGGAGACGAGAAACATGGAACATGGCTCGAAACTCTTTGCTAATGAGAAAACTGGGACAAAAATTAGAAGACGATCTTATTAAATGTGGGATGATAATTCTAAAAAAAAAGGATTTTTACCTGATAAACCCAATTCCCCAATGCCCAAAACGAGTATACTAGGCCAAAATCTGCTAACCAATCCAATGCAGGATGATAATTATGAAAAGAGAATTTCCCAACGACCAAAATCAGGTCTCTCATGAAAAGTGGGGCAACAGGTATAATAAACCAGACAAAACCCATTTATTGATGCCCGAAATAAGTGAAGCGGGGAAGAATTAGTTATCTCATTTTATGCAGCATAATAGCTACATTAAATGGATTTTTACCTAATAAACGAAATTTCCAACAACCAAAACCAGTTATCTAAATTGAATGAACAATAACAGCGGGTTCACACGGGAGAAACCCACTTGCCGAGATCAGTCATCTCATTTTACAAGGGATGGTAATTATGAGAAATGGGCTTTTTACCTGGTAATGGAAGCAGGCGGCAAAGTCATGTGGCACGACGAAGAAGTGGTCGGCACCTTCAGTCCTGTTCCAGTAGGGCCATCTGGAGGAGATGAGCTGGATGGCACTTCTTATCATCCTCGGGGACTTGAAGGGCAGAGGGAGCCCATTGGGGGTCAGGTCACAGGTGGAGTAGACCGGGGTGTAGAACCAGTCAGCCTCCTCAGGGTTGAGAGTCCGAACGGGGCTGGACAGGAGGAACCGGTGCATGAAGATCTCTGCCGCAAACATGTGAGTAAGGCACCTGGAGTCCTTCTGCAAGATTTTCTTGTTGTATTTACTGGGCAGCTCGTATACAAAGACCTTCAGCCTTCCAATGGGATCATCCTCCAACACGTCACCAGCACTCCCTGCAGTGAGAACAATCGTCACACCCAAGACCCAGGTGGGGTTTTCGCCAATGAACTCGCGGGAACCAGGGGAAAACTACCGGATGTGAAGATTAAACAGAAATTAATCATAAGAAGGACAGAAGTTGCAGAAATTAATCATTTAAAAATTAGTATACATAAAGAAGGTGGTTTGTTTAATGGAGAATATGGGGGATTTCAGTTTCAGGTAAGAACATGGGATCTCAATCCCATCTAGAAGATGATACAAACGAGAAGTCTGAACTGGATGAAATGGGTACTTATTATCCAAGAACAGTTCAGAGATTATGATCCCATAAACCTATGTGGATGGGTGTTAGAGCCCAGAGACTTGAACTCAATCTCTCCGGAAAAATTTTGAAGGATACTTACCACGGTTTAGCGGGTTTTATTTCATCCAAGTTCATAAAACCGCTGTTCCAAGCAGATTTTTCAACTCAGTTGAGTAAAATATTTCCAACTCCTGGGCACAAGTGGTGAACCGGCGCAGCTAGTAGGAATTCAATGACCCAAGCCATAAGAAGAATAAGACAGAGGCTAGAATATTGGCTAGTAAGCGGAGATCTGATCCAGAAGAAAAGCCGGTCCATTAGCTCTAGATTTCATGAAATTTCTGGAACTGAATCAGAATTTGATGCCGAGTAGGTGCTTCACTTTTTTTTTTTCCTCCACAGCGGAAATTTTCTAGGGTTCTTCGTGGGAAGCTTTCCTCTACGTGATTAAATGTATCACATTAATTTATCGTGCCACGCAGAGACAGATCCAGGATTTCCTATTCTCGGAGCAATGCAAAAAAGCGTGTGTGAGAGAGAAAGATAGAGATGTTTGGCGACAAATTTCCTATAAAAGGTTCATAATTCCCACATGTCGGGATTCGGCCTGAGCAGATCTGAGGGAACGATAGATGACTCAAGTGACCAACGGAAATGCCACAAAGGATACCTGAAATTCGCTCGGTCTGCTGAGTCTGATCGATCGCAACGGCGCCAATATTCAAGATAGCGAGAGCGATTACAAGGAAACAAGAAGCCCACATCCCGTGACCCATCTCCTCCCCTGCAACCAAACCCCGGCTACCTGCCGCAAGGGGAGATCAAGGGAATGGAAGAATGGGGCGATGGATCAGCGCCTGCCCGTCCGGAGAGAGATGGAGAGAGAAAACGGGGGGGGTAGCCGGTGGATTGTTGGTGCAAGTGGGGCTGGTAGGATGGGAGATGGGAAGATTGGCAAGGGATTTCTCAGGTTCCGCTCCCCCGGAATGCAGGGCCTTGCTTGAAGTCAAGGAGAAGAGGGTTAGGAGGTCGTACGGGATATCCGCTTGAAAGCTCTGGTCTTTCTGCTGGGTTCGATGGGCGGTCAACCTCACAGACACGGAGAAGGGGTCTCTCTCTCTCTCTCTCTCTCTCTCTCTCTCTCTCTCTCTCTCCCCTACTTTATTCCAGCCAAGCGGAAGATTTCTTCAGCTGCAGACGATGATTGAACAGCAGCTGATTTCGGAAACACGTTTTTTTCCCATCACTTTTAAATCATTTATATATACCCCGGCCCCTCTTCTCTCTCTCTCCTCCTTGCCTTCTTCTATAACCTTACTAAATCGTGGAGATCGTTGGCATACTTTGCATAATTGGTGACGTAAATACGTGATGAACCTGAGAGAAAATATAGTCAACGTAGCTGTTAGTGGACTATGTATACTTATTTAATTATTTTTCCCTAATTTTAGCTTCGAAAGTCAACCTTGAATAAACCCAACTCCCATTCATCTCACAAATAGCTGAAATAGAACCCAACTTTTTTATGGTAAATTACTTTCCACAGTTTTTCAAATGTCGTACGATATTAAAATTATGAAAAAAGATTGATAATAATGGATGCTCATTGCTAAAAATAGCCGATTTAATGGCATACTTGTGGTCTGAGATTTTTGAGCTTTAAAAATAGTAAAAAAAATACATTTTTAGGATATATTTGGAAAGGAGTTCATTTTAAAATGGCTACATCAATTAATTTATGTTGATGGAAAATAAATGATTTTTTTTTTTTAAGAAGTGGAATCATATCTGACCTCACCTCAATTAGCCTGGAAAATAGCTCCGGTATTAGATTCCATAAAAACCCACATATGCCTGGGATGATGGTGGACAGCTGGTGGCGTGGAGTTGGTCCGAGGTGAAGGACGATGACGTCATTTTGTGTATAGACAGGGATATGGGCACGTGGCAATAGCCAAGCCCAAGAGGGAAATGGGCCAATGGCCCTTATCCATTACTAAAAAAGGAAACTACTCGTCCAAAGCATGATATCAAAGATTAGTTAAGCACCTTCCGCCACGTGGCTGCTGAGTGGGTTCGTTAAAGTGGGTCCCATGTGGTGTCGGTACAGATTATTACAAAGTTGGCGGACCACGTTTCTATGGAATGCATGGTTTCCATCTACGAAATGCAGCAGCCTCCAAGTTCTACAAAGAGAGAGAGAGAGAGAGAGAGAGAGAGAGAGAGAGGCCATGGCTTTGACTAACAATCAATTCTACTTTTAAGCAAAATGGCCTATGATTAACACATATACATGAGCTTTTTATTGATATGACAATGAAAAAATGATAATTTTTATAAGAAAATAAGAAAAAAAAGTCACATATAGTAAAATATTAGGCCCATGACAGGTCTTACATATTCAAGATACAAGAAAATGAGCATAGAGCCTAGCTTACCTCTATTAGGGGACAACTCTACCCTTATGTGGGAGGGTTAACTCAGGTGCATATAATGGAGAAAATGCTCAATAACTATGTCAAAAGTAAACATTGAGACTTCCCCCTTGGGGGAGAAGGAAGGGAACTAATTATGAGAAGAGTCCAAGGAAAGCATAGCCTCTCACGCATCTCCACATGTTCTAGGGTTCTTGTGGAGCCCATACATTCAATAGTTATTCATTCTATCTTTGTTTTCATTCACATATCTACTCTTATCTAATTCGTAGGCAAGAGGGGGGCTAACCATAAAACAACCCAAAATGATATGGTGTAGCTTAACTCAATATGATACTAGATATAAAGTCTCTAATAGAGGTTTGATAATAACTAGAGACTGATATTCATCAAATATCTAACTCTAGAAAGTCAAAGTTGCCTCATTCATACTCTAAGAGAAGAGGATAAATCTACCAAACCTCTATAAGTAAACTAGGAAAAAATTCATGATTTAAAAGAAATAATGAAGGGTGCATCAAAGAATGAGGGCGAAGAATGAAAATGCAATAATGGGGAGAATATGGAGAAATGTGAAAGAAGTAGTTCCTTAGTTAGAGGTGGCTATAACTTTAAGATGCAAGGAGGAAGCTATCTCTCCCTTTTTTCACCTCCTCAACATCGATAATATTTCAGTCTGGTTGGAGAGATATCATAATTTTAACTCGAAAAAACTGTGAATTAGTATTATATAAAATCCTATGAACATTATGTTTGAGAAGAATGAAACAACACAATATGATAGTTTATGCCCAAGTCAACACCTAAGAGCTAAGAGCTCAATTGACTTGACAACAAAAGAATTTGAATATGGGAGTGGTTATGCAAGTGAGATTGTCTTAGGATTGAACAAATATTTAGAAGAAAAAAAAGTGTGATGTTATATTCATCAACATACCGTTCTTTTCATTTTGGTTGAAACTATTGAATTTGAATGTAGATATGCAAAAGAAAATCTATTTAAAAAATGTTTGTATATTATCTTTCGATTTTTTTAATCAAAATCAGTGAATTTGATCAAAGAAATACTATGTAACTTGGCCATTCTAAATCATCTTATGAAGATGTTTGTTGTTGGCATAAACTACTTTTCAAACTATTTTATGTCAAAAATATCTTGGTTTGGGACTTTCATCGCTAAGAGTGAGCACAATATATATAAATGAGAATGGAAGAATGAGGAAAAGAACAAGTAGATCTTGGGCAATCCAAGTATATAACTTGTTCTATAATCTAAATCCATGTTATAAAAAAATGAATAAATTGAATTTGATGCTCTCTTGGTTCCAAGGAGAAATCTCCAATGTAGGAATCTCCAATGTGTCTACAATGTAAGTAAAGACAAATTGAAAAATGCCATGTGTTTAGATGGGTATTAGAATTGTCAAGTTATCTAACTCAAACCCAATTAGTCACAATTGGAGTAGACCCATCTTTATAATCAAAACTTGTGTGAGTTGAGTCTTGGGCTCTATCATGTGAAAAATCACCTCAACTATAGTATTGTCACTATTAATTGAGTAGCATCAACTTTGTAGAAATCATATGCATCAATTTTACATTAAAAATATGTATTAAAGTGAGTGGAACACTTATTCTCTAATAGGAGGAAGTTCTTGAGATTACTTGCTCATCAGCTTCTAAGAAAAAGTTCTTGAGAGAATTTTAGGTGTGTATCCGTCATTTGGGAAAGTCTTATTATCAATAAGGTAGTCCTATTTTGGTTATTATACAAACAAGTATGTTATTATAAAGACAGGTTTTATTTACTCATTCTTAGTTGGTTTTGGTTGTGTTAGATCACATGATAACCTTAACATTGCATAAACAATGATGGTTGTTATGAGAATGATCTATGGATTAATTGAAGCTAATCATCTAGCCTGTTGCATAGGGCCACCACAATTTGTGCGTTTGAAGTAATACCCATCAATTGTCAAGATCACTATTCGATATTGCATACTCATCATAAGCTGCCCTCTATTGTTAGTCTCCCAAGCTTCAATTTAGACTATGAGCTTCTATATTAATCTATCTTTTTCCTCACCATTCTTGTTGTGCCTTCTATAATTTAGTCTTTCAACTGCATGTATCTAATAGAGACATGTCTATCTAATTTTCAAAGATCTAAGAGCTTTTCATGACCCTCCTTAGAGAAGTGTTAACTTTCCTCTAATTCCTTCATTTATCAAAGAATGATAGACCTTCTCATAGAAGGAAAAAAAGAACTATTCACAACATATGAAGGAAAAAAATGACTTCAAAATTCATTTACATCGAGACAAAGGTTTGTTATTTATAATAGATCTATAAGAAATTCTAAGCATTGAGTCTTATATCTTGAGACATAGAAGTGATGGTCATGTGTTTCTATGAGTGAAACACGTGATACACCTCACCACAACTACTAATGTAGTATTTACACTATATTTGAACACTCTCCCTCAAGTTGGTGAGGGGATATCATCTATTCCTAGCTTGGAGAGTACTTGTAATTGAATCACAGAGACACCTTTTGTCAGCAAATCAACTAATTGATGTTGAGTGGAGATGTAAAGAATGCATATTTCTTTAGACTACAAGTTTTTCTTGATAAAGTGATGGCCTATCTCTACATATTTTGTGCAATCATGTTGAATAGGATTGTTTACAAGATTAATTGTAGATTTATTGTCACAATATAACTTCACCCAAAGTAATTTACATATTTCATGTGCAAGGACCCTAGATTTTACTTTTACACAAGCGAACAACAACATTATATTTATTGTTGTGCCAAGTAATTAAATTTCTTGTCATAAATATCATAAGAGCTGAAGTTGACCAACAATTTAAAGGCAAACCAGCATAGTTAGCATTAGTATGCATCTCAACTATTAGGCTACCACTACATTTGAAGAGAATGCATTCTTTAGGGGTTCCCTTTAAGTAGTGTGACACTTGATATGCAGCATACAGATGAGATTCAATTGGTTGATACATGAATTGGCTTAAGAGACTAACTACATAAGAGATATCAAGTATAGTGTGTGTGAGATATATTAATCGTTTAATGCAATATTGATACATTTCTCGATCAATAGACTCCCCTTTACTAACACTAAGTTAGTAATTAGGATAAAGAGGGGTGCTAGCTAGTTTGTATGTAGACTTTCTAATATCCTTTAGAAGATATGCCCCATACTTTCATTAAGAGATGAATATGACTTTAGAAGAATGAGCTACCTCAATGCCTATTAAATATTTAAGACAATTCAAAGTTCTGATATCAATTTTTTTGACAAGATATTTGCTCAAATTTTTATGTTCAATGTCATAACTTCTAGTAATTATATATGTTGTCAACATAGACTAAGAGTATAGTAACTCTTCTTGATGAAGTATATTTAAAAAATAATGTGCAATCAATACTACTAAAATAATAATCAATTTTTCACATGATAATAGAAAATCTCTCAAACTATGTGTGTTAAGACTATTTCAGTCCATACAATGACTTTCTTAGTCTACAAACAATGTTAGATGATACATTTTTGTTATCACCAGATGAATAATACATATATACTTCATCAGTAAGATCCCCATGAAGAAAAGCATTCTTCACATCATATTTTTAGATATTTCAACTAAAAATAACAACCAATGATAAAATAATTTTGATTGTGTTCATTTTTACCACAAGAGAAAAAGTTTCATATTAGTCAATTTCATAAACTTATGTCTATCCTTTAGGTACAAGTATGGCCTTGTATCTTTTAATTGATCTGTTAGCATTACGTTTCATAGAATAAACCCATTTATAGTCAATTGTTTGTTTATCCTTGGGGAGAGGTACAAGTTTCATGTATTGTTTCTCTCAGGAGCATGCATCTCATCATCCATGACTTGTTTCCACTCTTTCTTAGAGAGAGATTATGAAATACTAGCTAGAATGGTAATCTTATCCAAGGTAGCAAGGAAGGTTCTATAAGATGCAGAAAGTTTATGATAGGAAATAAAGTTTGTTGAAGAGTATAATGGTTGTTTTGTACAAGATCATGAAAGTTTCTTGGGGGTAATATGAAGGTCATTATATTAGGGACTTGTAATGATAAATGTAGTTTCTTGGTCATTAGTTAAGGCCAATTCAAAGTCTTGGGTTGATTCAAAATTTGGGATACTTGTGTTTTGGAATAAACCTAACAAAATCTGAGTTTTTTGAGAAGTGGATCAGGAAGAGGTGGATTTTGATCAGACACATGAATTAATAAAATAATTTGACCTAGAGGAGAAGAAACTCCTTCTGAGAAAGAATCAAGTAAAAGTAAAAATGGCAAAGATGAGTCTTGAGATGTTTTATGGAAATAAAAAACATATTCATATGTTATAAAGGATTTTTGAGTTAGTGAATGATAACAATGATATCCTTTTTGAGTTGTTGAATATCTAACAAACATATATTTATGGGATCTTAGATCTAATTTACCTTTAGTTGGATTATGATTATGAATGAATGAGACGTCCTAATATACCAGGCTCTACTGAGATATAGAGATGATTAAGAGGAAAATAAGAAGCTAACTTCTTCATAGGACTTTAGAAATCTAAGGTTTTAGTAGGAAGACAATTTATTATATGTGTTGTAGTGAAAAGAGCTTCACCCCAAAAAAAATTAAGTGCACTCGCTTGAAATAAGAGTGATCATGTAACCGCCAAGAGGTGTTAATTTTTCTTTGTGCCAATCTATTTTGTTGAGTGTAAACACATGAAGACTTGTGTATAATACCCTCAACGTGAATAAAGTAATTTAAATCATTGCTAAAGTATTTATTAACATTATCTGACCTGAATTTATTTATAAGATTATTAAATTAGGTTTTAATCATTACACTTGTTTTAACATAATTGAGCTTCTAATTTTTACTTAAGAAAAAAAACTCATATGTAATGAGTGCAGTCATCCACAAAGGTAACAAATCATTTATTACCAAGTAAATCTACATTGGGACATGGTCTCTAGACATCACTATTAATGCAAGAAAAAAGGATCTCACTCTTTTCATTTCTAATTGGAAAGGAAACATGACTATATTTAGATAGTTCACATATGTCACATTTAAGTATTTTTACATACACTTTTGAAAACAAGGAAGGACGAAAACTCTTCATAGTAGCAAAAGAAGGATGGCCTAATCTTTGATGAAGGAGCTGAATTCATTTAAATCCTTATGCTCTGGAGATGGATCCACTTCCACAAGACAGATTTGGCTAAATCCCTCCAAGATGTAAAGTTCTCTTCATTATCTAACAACCCCAATCCTCTAGTTCTGAACCTTATCAAAGATAACACAAATATCTTCATCAAAGAAGTCATGATAATGTGTGCTTTTAATAAGGCTTTTTACATAAATAAGATTGGTGAAAAAAATGAGAACATGGAAAACTTTGGTGAGGATTCTTAAAGGCTCAAGAATCAAATCTCTAATACCAACAACTGTGAAAAGTGTGCCATCAATAGTAGACATTTTTTTATCACTAGAACATGGGGTGTAGATAATGAAATGACATGATGAATTTGTCTTATGATATGTTACTCCTAAATATATTACCAAACATTTAGTAATATCTTGGGATGGAGCTCGAACACCAAGAAAAGAGTGTAACTCACCAATTTGATGACTTGTTGTTGGTTGTGAATGTCGTGTTACCATTGCCTCCAATTGCTCTAATTCAAGGCAAAGTTTATCTACTTCACTTGATGGAGTTAAATCAATATTTTTTAAGTATGTTTGTTCAAACTTCTAATTAGATGAAGAATCAATCACCATGTGAATATGATTCACTCGATTCTCAGAATTTTGTGATTTATTATGGAGTTTATATCATCACTCCTTGATATGATGGGGTTTCTAGAGATTATTTCTATAATCATTTTTCTAGTTCTTATGTAGCACAAATGATGTTTGATTACTCAATTTTTTTATTGATTTAATGGTGTCCTAGTTTAACTAAAAATATTATAATACATGACTCTTGAGTGGACAACATTTTTTTACGACTTTCTTGATTTAGTATAATTGATATCACCTCATTAATATAGTCTCCATTCACGTCTTAGAATTTGTTGTGATATATAGCAAAAAATAAGACTCAAACCTGTCAAAAAATTTAATAACCCGCCTTCTTTCTATGATATTTCGTAATGCAGAAATTTCTTTGGGTTCTTCAATCCAAAGATCAAGATAATAATCAAGCTTCTGTCATAAATTTTTAAGTTCTCGTGTGTACTCCATCACTGATTTCAAACCTTGAGTAGTTGATTGAGATTTTATCTCCATTTCATATGTGTGACTCATTATTTTTTATCGAATCTTTCATGTGTACTATTCCCCAAATCCTTCACAATTTTCATAAAGAGAAAGTCTCTACTAATCTGAGGAACCATTGTTCCCCATATCTATGTCTTTATCAAGGCATCCTCCTCTCATCATTTTCTAAATTACCTTGACATTAGATCTAGTGTAGTTTCCTCTAGATGATGTAGCATCCCTCTACTAATAAGAACCTCTCTAATATATTCTAACCACTTGATGAGATTATATCCAGTTAACTTAAATTTTGTAGGCATGGTAGGGAGTTCAATCATCAATCTTGATGATACATGATTGACTTTCATAACAATGGTAGAGACATCACCTATTGAGGTCTCTCCTCCTTCAGACATAGAAAAACAACAAATCGAAATAGGAACAACCACTTACTAAGCAAAAAAACATAATTATCATACTTCTTCAAAGGAAAAAAAAGAAATGTCTTGAGAAGTGGCTCAAGAAATGATGTTGATCTTCTAAGTCCTTAAGAAGAGACACATGAAGCAACATAAATCTCTTATACAAAAAGAGATAATAAGAAAGGAGCAACCACACCTAGATTAGCTCTAATACCATGTTGAATTTTCTCTAATTCCTTCGTTCCTCAAAGAATGATAAACCTTCTTGTAGAAGGGAAAAATGAACTTCTATTCACAACATATGAGAAAAAGAAATAACTTCAAGATTTGTTTACAACAAATCTTGAAGTTCACAAAGGTCTGTAATTTATAACAAATCCATGAGATAAGGTTTTAGGCATAAAGCCTTACATCTTGAGACATACATGTGATGTTCACATGCTTCTTTAAGTGAAAAACGTGATACACCTCACAATAACTACTAACATAGTATTTACACTATATTTCAACAAAAAGTAGATAATATCTCATGTTGACTAACCAGGTAAACTAATCCTTCGTACTACCATTAGGTTAATCTAATTGGGCCATTTGAGGCAATGGGGTAAGATGAGTATAATTGGACAATTTTAGGGAAATTGATGGTGTAAGACAATGAAACCAATGAAATATTTCTTGACGATTTGGGGCCTAAAAATCACTTCTTCTTTTTTTTTGGGGGGGAGGGGGGGTGGGGGAGACCATGAAACAGAAGCATGATTATGAGTAAGTATACATACAAGGTCAACAAACAGGTTTGTCCAATAGCGTATGGGTTTGTGAGAAGCCACAAGATTTGCACCATATCACGGCCGGCTCCAGAGAAAAGTCCAAAAACTAGGCCTCCGCAGGAATCAGCTCATCTCTGATCCAATCCACCAATCCGAATGAAATGGCTACCAAATCGGTTTTAAACCCAGATTCTTGTACAGCTCATCTCCAACCCAATCTAGAGGGCCACATAAAATGCCCAGAAAATATGTTTCCGTGCCAGATGCCTACAAGGCTCATCTCCAATTGAACCTAACTAGCCATATGAAAAGCCCAAAAGATAAGTTTCGGGCCCAGATTCCCTATAGAGCTCAGTCTACTATCAAACCTAACTAGCCATATGAAAAGTTCAAAGGAAAGGGTCTGGGGCTAGATTCCTCAAAAGATCATTCCCAATCCAGTCTAGAGGCCCAACATGAAAAGCCCAAAAAGTAGGTTTCTTAGCCAGATTCTTGTAAAGCTCATCCTCAGCCAAGCCCAACAAGCCATGTGAAATCTTTTTAAATAAATGCATGGTTTGGGTGGAATTCCTACAGAGCTCATTTCTGATGCAATCCATAGCTCCGCATAAAAAGCCCGAAAAATAGGCTTCTGCACCGGAGGAGGCACTGGACCTAGAGAATGGTATCAATTATATACAACTTCTTTGAAGCTAAGAAGTGGCCAGAATCTCTTTCCTCTGCATGTAGCTCAAGAACTGCGATGGCAGCTCAGCAAGAAGAGATTGAGCAATGGAGAGCTCTCCACCTACATAAAAAGGATAGAATAATAACAAGCTATCAGCACCCACCCAATCTTCCTTATCATGGATAAAACAGAAAAAATATTTTAGATAAACTGTTTTCCACGGCCAAATTGCCGCATCATGGCAAAAGGAGGGGATATACTTGTTGACTAGCAGATTAAATAAATATATATCTATATATATATTCGAACTTTAATTGCACAAAAAAAGGTAGGCGCACGACCATGTTGTGGATAAGAGACGCGATTAGGTTTTGCGCTTTGTGTGTGTGTCTGTGTTTGTTCTGTATTGCCCTGACATTATATTCGATCTAAAACAGAAAACAAGCATTGAGGCCGGTCACAAGCTAGAAAGAAAGACGTACTCTCCACATCCCCCATGGGAACAAACTGCACAATGTCCCGAGATGCAGCTCGGCCAGTGGTGCTCTGGAGTCTTTCTCCTTTGTCGGCATCCAATATCTGCATTTAGCAAGAAACACAATGTGATGATGAAAATAGAAGCAAGAAACAAGAAGGGGAAATCAATTTTTTTCCTTTAAACAAAAGGGAAGGCAAGGAGATGTGTATCATGCGTCTGGAGGAGGGGGGAAAAGGTGCACACTTGGGAGAAAAGCCAGAGGGCAATTATCTAGGAAAATGGCGCCTAGTTTTGACATAGTCTCGAGCTACCTTTTATTTCTAAAATCAGACTTTGCTGGGTCATACACATCTACATATAAGGCTGTGCCGAACTACATCTTGATGAAAGGAATTAGGGACAAAACCCACCTCCATCTCCTTGAAATCAGCCCCACCAACTCCGACAATGAGGATAGACAGGGGCAGATCAGATCCCTTCACGATGGCATCTCTGGTCTCTTGGAGATCTGTTACCACTCCGTCCTAGGCAGTGGTTTCACAAATTTCAGAGCAGAGTCGTTGAAACCAACAGGGGAAAAAAAGTCAAGTTTGATTCTTACTGTGATGATTAGCAAGATGAAATACTTCTGCTGATTGTGAGCCAGGGACTGGCTGGCTATTGTAGATGCCGCATTAATCACTGGCCCAAAAAGGGTTGGCCCGGCTAATGATACGTTATACAGAGCACTGAAGTAAGCTGATATTATCCCTGGGATTCCTTCAACCTGCGAACATTTTATGTGTTATCAGGGCATGCTTGTTGTGGCCGATGTGCTTTTCTTTCCCATAACAAAAAAAGAATATCCACGGGCTTCAAAGAAAAGTGCCAAGAAAACCAATTCCAAAATGATCAGCCTTTTGTACGATTTATTTTACAGATCATTTTTTTCAACATGTAAAACCATAAAATGATTATATGAGCAAAGATATTTGGCACTCAAGACTCACCTCTAAGCGATGTCTTCTGACTATCTACATCCATTCATGTTAAAAGGATGACAGAGTACGGCATGTTAAGTTCACAGTATATGAAACATTCCTCACAAAAGAAGCATGATTTAATGGAGACAAAACCCTCCGTTCACATTTATCCCACGATAGATTAGATGTATCGGCTCAGAACAAAACAGTGAGTCTGGACGCAAGATGTTTTCTCTCAGTTTGACTACGTTCCTGAACTTATCTGAAGCATACGATAAATATTTTATAGCAATGGAATTCTTATGCACCTCTGAATGGCTAGTACTTCCACTCAAGTTGAAACAGTGAGAGACAGGTCCATCGATTGGCCTTGCTCCAAAGCCCCAGGCAGAAAACCGTTTATCTGAATCATAAAACTGCAAGACATCCCCAACCTCCATGATCGCCTGCATGGAGGAGATGCATAAAAGTCGGCAGATGCTTAAACGATTCACCATAAGAAATCAGGCCATAGTATTTTATTTGGAACCCGAACTCATTTACTCACTCTGTGGTACGCATTTGGGCGACCTGTTGGGTCAATATAGTGCAGTGAGTCAGGAAGCCGTGGGTTCCCATTAGAAGCTACCAGAAATAGGATCCATGGCATCAGCACCTGACAATTGTGAAAGTATGAAAGCTGAAATTGTAACATTACTGCCAGGAAATATCTATACCTGTGAAGTCTACAGCCACCATGAAGTTCAGTTCACAGCCACCAGCTATGTAATCTAAAAACGTTCGTTTTGTGCTCTCGGAAAATCTCTCCACAAATAGTTGACTCTTTAGTACCTGGTGATAAACACGAAAGCAAGAAAAAGGAGATTGATCTCCTCAACATGGAAACTCTGACGCAAAAACCATCAAAGAGAATATTCAACACATATTACCCTGTTATGGTACTCGTGGTCAACAGCAGTTGGCAAGAAGAGGTTTTCCCCCAGTTGACTACGATGAAGATTTTCTAAATCTGAGAGTGACTTCACAATTTTCCTGTTAATCACGAAATATTTTATGACTAGCATAAGAAGTCTCAAAGAGAAACCACCAGATACAAGGAGTGAACGTTGGATTCATTACCCGATGAGATCATGCTTGCCATTGCTATTGAAGTTAAAGCACTCTATGGTCAAGGGGTTTTCCTGCAAGTTCCAATAGATGGGGGCATAAGATACGACTGTAAAAAAAGCAACCAGATTATCCATGAAGCTTGATCTTGCCTTGCTTCCTGCTTGTTGAAGATTCAAAATTATTGGTTTCCACGTCGGATCAAGATTGTTCCTTCTCACTTCCGTCTTACAAATTGGAATGCGCGCTCCACTCTCAGCTGTTCTGGATATCAACAAAAAAGGGTCCTGTGAAACGAAGTGTTAAAAGATTATGCAGTAAATCCTATATGCTCACATTACGTTGTGTTTGCTGTTGGATAATCACTTACACTTTTGGAGAATAGATCTCTGTTTTCCAATTCAGAGCACCTGAATACAATCTCTAGGATAGTCTTCGCAGCAAAAGCCTCCTCTGCGTTGATAGTGATCTCTCCAGAGTTTTTAGTATCCACTCGACTGCCATCTCTGTGGTCAAGATTTAGTGTCAATGACCTAGACGATCTACTGACTATCTGCAAATGAGAAAAAAAAAAAAGGGAACCCACATGCCTTTCAATAAGTGAATCCTTTAAAACGGACTAAGATGACACCGCAAACAAAATATTCCCACCACGACTGCAATTCTGAACTTATTAAAGATGAGAAATTCACATGTCGAACACAGAAGTGTCAAAACTTGAAGAATCTCTACGCAAGTTTTGCAATAATTGATAACAGAGAAGATACAAGAGGGTTCTCATTGCGGTAGTTGCCCTAGAGTTTCAACATTAACAATTAAATCTAACAAGATTTACATTGAGTTTTGTATAGGTTACGGCCATCATCCTTATTTTGATAAAGCAAACATACCTCAGAAAGATTACAGGTAGCTTCTCCAAGAAATTGCTGCTCATCCAACTTAAGCGTCTGCACAAATTATAAAGCTTTGAGTTCCGTTTGTAGATGGTAACAAATAAATAACCTTGGAATATTATTTCATCATATCTTAAAGGAATACTCAATGCTAACCAAAATAGGAATAAAGAAAATTCCAAAAAGCAACCAACTCTGAAAAAGGGATTAAATCTTTTTTTTTGACAGCATGATAGATTGGATCACTTTCTTCGGATCTTTACAACCCAGACGGTAACACGAATCATGCCTAACACACAATTCTGCAAATGAAAAAGACAGAATCATTACTCAACATCATGAAAAAGTATACCTTGACTGGTATGTTGTGAAACTGAGTATCAATGTCATAGACTTGGAACCTATAAGATGGTACCCGACCATGTTAACTCACAATGATCCAACAGAAAAACTACACTTAAAAGAAAATACTAAATATATATATATGGTCCCACAATGGAACGGAAAATTACAACAAACAGAATAATTATTGCTTACACCAGAGGCTGCACTATCTCGAACCGGTAGGTGATAGAAAGCTTCTGAATCCACACAGGATTCAATGAATTTAATACCACTTCTGTTCGACCCATCTCTTCAAGAGTTCCATCTCGTTTTTTTGTATAGATAACAGCCATGGGGTCACTCTACATTCAAACTGAAGTAATTTAGGTCACAAGTAAACCAAAAAATATAATCGTATAGCTATCATACCCCATCACAAGTGGGTTAAATATGCATAGCTAAATAGCGCCTATGATATAAACAAGAAATTATAAAATTATAAAGAATGACTTTAAAAAGGACAGTGATTTTACAGAACCTTTTCGCCAGGGAAGCCACTTCTTTTTATTATTATCTTAAGTTCTTTGATTTGCATCCAGGTTATTAAACTTTGATCATATTTTTCGGTAATGCTCAAAAAATTGGCATTTAGGCTTCAATCTCAATAACTATGTTGCATAATGAGAAGATATGTGGCTGTCATGATAATTTCCTCGCTATCCAATCATCCCCCGCCCTCCCCTAAACGAACAAATAGGTGTGACCTTCCCCAGAATTATTGAATGCACGGATACAGCACTTCAGATGGCACCAAAATTAAATAAACCGATAAATTCATTTCAATTTGGCGTGAGAGAAAGAGAGATAGAGAGAGGATGAGAATGGTAGAATCGTGGACTCTATGCATTCCATCAATGGTGGTGAATGCAATCTATCTTAAACAAGAACGTAAACATTTAGAGCTTGTGACCTAGACGATGACACAATGAAAGGCAAGATAGAACAATTTATATACACACTTTTTCAGACTCTTAATGTAGCAGATGGGATCCATGATAAGTGCTCAGTAAGAAGTTAGCACCTTCGAAAGTACATCCCGATCACGTAACTTTGATGCAGATAGAGATAGCTGTCCAGGAGGTATGTTAAGAGAAGCCAAGTCAGTAATCTCGAAAAACTTAAAACTAAAGTGCAAGACTCCCAAGAATATCACCATTCTAAATGTTTGCGTTTGATAGCCATTAAACGTAGAAAGCATCCAGCATGATGGAAATGAATCTCTTGAGCTTGGCACCCAGCATAAAATCATGTGTAACAAACCGTTCATTATTTTGGGCTGAGATTGGTTGGCTATAAATGTTCGTGATAAATTTTCAACAATATCTATAATTCAAGACGAATTTTATTATCGATATTTCATTAGAGCATGCTTTTGACGCTTAAATGTAAATATCACATAGAAACAAGTCACCATCCGCATGATGTAAGTAACTCTTCATTATGGAGTATAGATCTCAAAGGAGGAAGGTGTAAGAAGAAGAATCGAATTACAATACAAAATTTTAAAGCAGCTAAATTGATAACAGCCAGGCCATTTATGTATTCATAGTCGTGACTATGAAACTCACTAAAATGAACAATCTGAGCGCTAAAATCCCCACTAAAATACTTCATATGATTTGATTCCAGGATTGAGAAAATAAGTTTTGAATTTTCATAGATGCAAAAAATTAGGATTACAATTTGTCATTATATTTTTCAGGGAAAAAAAAAAGAAGAAGAGAAAGTTAAGAGAGCAAAGAAGTTCGGTTTAATGCTTTATTTTGCTTTAGTTTATGGAACAAGTTGGTTCCCACCTTTACCTTAAGATCAAAATATTAGTTAGAAAGACGATACCGCTGAATAGATAGCTTGCTTAATTATAACCGTTTTCCTGATATGAAGCCTACTTAGATGTTCTTCCTGATATCTCAAATGACGTTGACATGGTCATTGAAGAAAATGCCAATGTCCGTAGGTGCTACAGAAACATAATGTACCGCGCAAATGTACCCACAGTGGTTGTTTCGTGGATTAATTCGTGTTTTTAATACTCAGATCTCTGCACCATTATTATGAATGTAGACAAAGACGCATTTGTCGGTACGACGGCTTCCTCGGTTGAAAAGATCCAAAAAGCCTACATTCAAGATTGAATCAAGCGAGGAAACGCTCCCCACCGCGGAGAAGGGAGAGCCAAAACTACGCCACCTTCCACAATCCGACTTCTCTGGGAAAGAGAGAATCAAAAAGGAACGAACCTCGATCAGAGAGAAGGAGCGGAAGTCGCCACGCGACCTGAGGAATCGGTCGACGGCCTCCACGGCGTCGCCATCCTCCCCCATCCCGCCGCCGTGGGCGGCATCGGCGACGCCGCCGGCAGCCTCGCGCCCTCCCCGGCTGTCGCTGGAGCAGCAACTTCCCATACTCGTTGATAGAGACGAGGAGGAGAACGGGAGGGGAGGGAGAGAGAGAGAAAGAGAGAGAAAGAGAGAGAGAGAGGAGGAAGGAAGATCGAGCGGCGGCGGTCTGCGCTTCTGGGAGGACGTGGAGAGAACGTAAACTGAAACACTGAATCTCAAGTTGTACTACATTTTGATGGGCACATTAGATCTACGCAGCCTATTTCAACAACCCGTACTAAAACTCCGAGATTACGTAACACAATACATTCCTTTATTTCCGTTCGTTGCGTATCAGGTTTCACTGCGTCTCGATACGTATTGAAAACGGACTGCCGTACATTTTAGCTGCTGTGAGGGAGGTGGGTCCGGGATGGCATTCTCGTGAATCGTGTGCGGCGCGTGGGTCCCACAGAGTGGTTCTCAGTCAATGCACACCATCTCCAGGTGCTATGTCTCACCATTCGAAGGATTTGAAAAGTCAAATAAATCCTCCTGCCCCCGTAGTCACAATATCACACGTGTAATAGGTTTGAATTAATTTATTTATTTTCTCATAATACTGGCTAAGAAGAATATTTATTCAAGAGGATAATGCTTGCACTTAGGATTATATCTAATTTTTTAAAAATAAATATTGATGATAAGCGAAATAATATTGATGATAAAATATATCATAATCATGGTAACGTAACAGTAAATCACATGCTGGATTATTCATAAAAATATTAATATAATACAATTATTTCACTAATTTCAAAACATGATCCTATTTATAGAAAACCTTGAAAGAATTACGCTACCATAAAAAATGAGGCATATATTAGGAAAATGGAGGGATTAAATCATGCATCTTCTACTCATAAGAGCAGAAAAATCGGGTAAACATGATTCAAGCATCCGATGAGCCAATTCTCTTTCAATTAATGTAAAAAAAATATATAATAATTCATCAAGTCTTGAAGAATAACTTCATCAAAACCTCATCTCTGCAGGACTGATGAATCCACACGAACCCAGAGCCGGGTTTGACAAGATTTCTGATGAATGAGCTCCATTTGGAAGAACCTGGAAGCAGAAGTTCCACCAGAGGAGTGTGAGATGTGTACAAACAGATGTCATCAGAAGCTCTGTTCATGACTGATTATCAGAAAAAAAAAAAAACCTTTCCTTTTTAAGCAAAAACTGCCTTAACACGATATCTGGACCCCATATTTCAGAAGATTTCAGACATTCTTACAGATTATATACCCCACAGAACTCCAATCACCGATATGCTGGGGCTGAGTATGATGTGAGGAGACAGGGAGGTTAGGCAGGCTAGTCCGGCTGGAGATTGGCCTCTGAAGGCATGGATTTCCGTAGCCCAGATGCGTTCAGTGCCTCTGCTGAGCTGCTGACTCCGCGGCACCTGTATGCACACTACCACTGCCACGGTGGTGAGTAGCTTCGCTATCTCTCGAGGTAACAGAGTGATCGTTCCTTATTGGCGGAGTAGGGGGGGCTGTTCACTTGGAATCGTCTGAGAAGCAGCCCGGTTAGAGTTGGTATTTAGAAGAAAAAAATAAAGTCAAAGGTCAGACCAGGAAAGCAATTCAGTATGGAGATGTCAGGAAGAGGAAAATAAATATGAAGCAAAGTGCCAAAACGCAAGTTTTTGGTCAATCCGGTCCGCCCCTTATACCAATAATTAAGCTGCACATTAGTGAATACTTTCTTCTCATAAGATATTGGGTTACCCCCATCCATGGCATTGGTTGACTCATCCTCATGAGATGTGCACTATATCCTTCATGGCTCCACCAATCTTTAAGCAATTTGCTAGATCCCTGCTGGCTCGGGTCATGTAGAATTCTTTCCAGTTATATCACTTTCAGTCATGTCAACCCCATTTTTTGTGGTCTTGCTCCTAAACAATCAATTCCTCCATAACAGAAGTCAACCTGTTTTCATGCGATTTGTACTAAATCCTTTCTGGGTCAACGCACGAAGAAGAGTGAATCAACCTTTCTTCAACATAGGCTGTCCATGTGGTCAACGAATCATCCTCTAAACTCATGATCGAACCTCGTCGATCAACCATTGAGGAAAATCAACCAATCTTACAAATTATTTCTCTGCTCCATACTACCTTTTTTTTCAAAAGTTGAAACTTACATTCAGACTTCATCAGGTAGTTTTAATCTCCAGAAAAATTCATGATCTGTTTTCCCCCCACACGGGGGTTATCCGAAAGTAAAAGCTGCATATTTCCTACTTATTTCCACCACATATCAACTATCCCCAGCACATGACTCTCCATGGTTAAGAGATTTATACCTTGTCATCTGCTTCTAGAACACACCCCTAGTCAGATCATGAAGAGAAAATAAGATGCCGAAAAAGCAATGTTAAGTTTAGTACACCCCGAGGCTCACCTTGCTAGCTTCGTTTGCACAGTGTCACTCTATTGGCCACTATGATTAGTGTCTGCCCTTTTACCATTTTCTCTTTTTAATATGGAGTCCCAGATGGGACCATGATTAGGAATTGGACAAGTAGATTTGTGATTCATTTTTCATTCACTCATGAATTATCACCTTGAACATAATTCATGAACTTAGTTGTGAGATTAGTATATTCATGCACATGAGAGATGAAAGTATTTTTAAAGCAGTTCATATGGTTATTTGGCTTTTAGAAACATAGATGTGTGAAACCATATTTTCCGTGTTTAAAACCCACACACACAATGGGCCTAGATTACATGTCTTAGTGGTCTATGATTTTACTCTTTTCATGGGTTTCACTATCTGTAGAGATTTATGATAAGGGATAGACAATTTAGGACGTGGATGTTTAAAAATAATTACCGATAGAACCAAAATATTTTTTGTAAAGGGAAGATGAGGATTCTAAATTCTTAGAATATAAATGTATTCAATTTTCTTGCTATATTATTTCACAATCTTCTTTCTTAATCAATGCTTCTATTTTTTCCATCTACGTGTTAATGAGGCTGGATGGCATCAACTAAACTAAAAATTTTAAGGTCCATGGTGATACAAGAAACTCGATAGAAAACTTTATCAGCAACAGTAACATTTTATGAAAAATAAAAAATATCATGAATGAAGAATATCACAACTACCATGAGAAATGGGAAAATAAGAAAAAGGATAAATCAATTATCCGGGAACTTGATGGATAATATGCACAGTTTTAATTCAGATAAATATCTCCGACAAAAACCACATCAAATCAATTTTCAGTAGCCTACTTAGTTCACATTAGGATTGTAATTGTACTCGTGACCGTAAACCATACGCCATTGTGAGTCAGAAGAGAAATCTACTGCATTATCTAATAACAGACGATCTAAAATTCTCAAATGATACAAAATGCAACAGATTTTCATTATTACATTGAAAAAAGAAGAAAGCCAACTCTTTGGGAGATCTGCACTGGTTAGAAGAAGCCAACTCTTGGGAAATCAGCAGATCTTCTCTGGTTAGAAGTTCTAATATTGTGGGTCAATGGTTGCAAGGACTTTATTCATCGTCATGATATACAAAATAAATTGGGCACTCAATAGACCATTTTAGGGAATGATCCACCATGATTTCGGCTGATGAACATCAAAGTGCTCACAGAATAAACTGGGCTCTTGAATGACGCCCAATTCCTTCTTTGCGTTTTCAGTAATGAGGCAAAATATAAAGCAGGTTCGTATAAACAAGGCCTCCATTCTTCTTCTCATCATTAAAAAAGTTTACCCTCATAAGGCACTGGCTAGATCACTCAAGGAGATGTCCTTCGGCATCCAATCCCTGTCCACAGCCGTCCCCAGAAGCTGCTTAGCTTCATCCACATATCCCATGTTATGCAAGCCGTGGATTATTGCCACACAGGTTTCATCTCTTGGCCTGAATCCTTGCTCGGCCATTCCCCTTAATAACCTAGATGCGACAGAGAAATCTCCCTTCTCACAGAGGCCACTTATCAATGATTCGTACGACGAGAGACCCAGTTTCCCACCTGACTCCGTCATCTTCTCATGCAATTTAAAAGCCCGGGCCAGGTCTCCTACCTTGCAATAAGCATGAATCATCACCCCATAGGTGATGTCGTCAGGCACGATTCCCTTCTTTACCATCTCATCGAACAGGGTGAAGGCTTCCACCATGTTTCCTCCCTGGCTGTAACCGTCAATGAGAGATGTGTAGGTGACTGCATTGGGCATGACCTGCTTCTCCTGCATCTCCAAAAACAGTCTCTTGGCCTCATCCATCTTGGCCGCCTTGCAGAGACAATCGATCACAGTGGTGTAGGTGACGATGTTAGGCTTGATCGTCCTATCCACCATTGACTGAAGCAACTGGTTGGCTTCATTAAGCTTCCCGAGCTTGCAGAAGCCATCAAGCAGAGTATTGAAGGAGAGGGTGTTGGCAAAGCCCTTCGAGGACATTTCGTCGAACAGCTCTAGGGCCCTGTCGAGCATCCCCACTTTGCAGCACCCGGCAACGAGGACATTGTAGTGGAAATTGTCAGCGGGGATGCCCTTGGAGAGCATCTCATCGAACAAAAAGAATGCCTCAGGTATATTACCGAGCTTGCACAGGCCATCGATCATTACTGTGTAAGTCACCCCAGTTGGAGCCAAACCATTCTGGAGGATGCCCTGAAAGGATTCCTTGGCCTTCTCGACATCGCCCGACTTCAGCAAACCGTCGATCAAAGAGTTGTAGGTGACGACGGTCGGGTCTATGCCCTTCGAAGACATTTCGTCGAGCAGCTGAAAGGCCTTCTGCAACTCGCCCGTCTTGCCGAAACCAGAGATCAGGGCGGTGTAGATGAACACATCGGGATTAAGACCCTTCTCCTGGAGCTCCGAGAAAATTTGCACGGCCTCCTCCATCTTGCCGACCTTGGAGAAGCCATTGATGAGGACACTGTATGCCTGCACGTCGGGGAGAATCCCTCTCTCGAGCATGGAACGGAAGGTGGAGAAGGCCTCCTTAAAGTTTCCAGCTTTGCAGTGCCCGTCAACAAGGGATGTATATATGACATCGTTGGGCTTTAAGCCGGCGGCTAGCATCTCCTGGAAACACCTGTCCGCCTCATCCATTTCCCCGACCTTGCTGAACCCGTGAAGAAGAACGCCGTATGAGAATTCATTGGGGACCAATCCTCTCTCGCGCATCAGGACAAGACAGTTGCGAGCTTCATCCGTCTTCCCTGCCTTACAGAGACCGGCAATGAGAGCATTGTAGCAGAAGGCATCCGGGAGAACGCCTCTCTCGGACATTGTGTCGAACATCTTGGATGCGCCCTCGAAATCGCCTTCCCTGCAGAAACCAGCGATAATGGTGGTGTGGAGAGCAACATTTGGCTCCAGCCCTTGTTCGGTCATCTCTTGTAGGATGGAAGCAGCTCGCTCCGACCCTCCACCGTGGCAGAGACCATTGACGATCGCATTGTAGGTATGAAAGTTAGGTTGGAGATTTTGCCTCTTCATCTTCTCCAGAATCTGGAATGCTTCATCCGGATTTTGCCGGCGGAAATGCCCCTCGATGATCAGATTATAAGTCATGACGTCCGGCTTCCAACCCATTCTATCGATCTCATCCAAGAGCTCAACCACCTTCTCCATCCTGCTCATCTTACAGAAACCACGGATGAGATTGTTGAAGGTGATCATATTGGGACGAACACCAGAGGCCACCATCATATCCCTCACTCTGAAAGCCTCTTCCGCGTTGCCTTCCTGCATAAACCCATCGATCAGAGCGGTGAAGGCGGAGATATCAGGGGTCAGGCCCAAGCTGGACATCTCCGTCAGCAGAGACTTTGCTTCCTCGGATCTACGATTCTTGCATAATCCATTCACCAAAGCTGAATATGTAAAAGCGTCGGCATGTAGACCCTTCTGGGCCATCTCCTTCTTCAGCTGGAAAGCTTCCCCGAGGACTCCGAGTCTACAAAATCCGCCGATCATCGTGTTGTATATTACCTCATTTGAGATGCAACCTTTGTCCTCCATGTCGGAGAAGACTCGTTTCGCAGAATTCACGTCCCCAGCCTTGAAATGAGCTCCGATTAGAATGGAATATGTGTAGACATCCGGCCCTAAATTTGCCGCTTGCATTGAACTGTAAATCCTCCAGAACAAATCCATGACATTGGCCTTCATCAGATCCTTCAAAAGAGAATTCAAGCACCTCAAACTAGGCGCCAGATTCCTACCTTCCATTAGAAAGACGAGCTCGGCAGATTCCCTCAACATGCCCATCTTCTTGTAAACGTCGATCAGAACCGAGAACACCGCAGGATTTGATCCCTCGTTCTGGTCGTAATTACACGCGATCGAATCGAGAACAGAAGGAACCTGCGAGCCGCTCCGGATCATCCGCTCAATGATGCCACTGGCAGCCCCATGGAAGCCGGCGTTGCAGAGTGAAACAGCGAGAGAGGAGAAGGACTCCAGCTTCTGGGGAGTTCCCCCCAAATGGGACTCGGACCAATGGAAGAAGTCGAGGAGACGAAGGGGATCCGAGCTCCGCAGTTTCCGATGGCGGAGGACCGCCGCCACGACCTCGGGACTCAGCCTCCCGGGGAGATCTGAGCACGCCATGAGCGGCCTCCAGCTTCCGTGGCTGAGCAGGTCGCAGACTCGGCCGGCGACACCTTCTGCATCACTGTGGGCTCTTCCGCCGTCCTCCCCCGCCGGGTAGCTGCCGCAGCGGCACAGGATGAGGAGACTGGGAATCTTTGCGCCACTGAAGAGAGCCTTGCCGTGATCCGAGAGTAGGGGAGGCCTTCTTCCTATGCGCAGGGGGACGATCATCCTCCTCCGCCTTCCAGGGTTCTCCAAGAAGTTCTCTTCTCCTCCTCCAAGGAGAGGGAAAGCGAGTTGAATCGGGGCACTGAGTTAATGAGTCGTTTCCGTGACCCTTATTTGATAAATTAATTTAATTTTAATTACACATTTTTATTAGCCAAAACTCTCTCTCTCTCTCACTCTCTCTTCTGTCTCGCTCTTAGCTATCTGGGCTTGATGGGCCGGGGCCCAGCCCATTTTAGTGACGTCGCTGACAAGACCTGTCATCCACGTGTCACGTTGCCTCGTGCCGTAACGATCACTGGGTCTGCGTTAGGTACGTCTAGCGTCACACTCCGCCGTACGTGGCGGCGAGCAGGTCGAACATTTTGCAGGTGACGTCGTCTGCCGGCAGCAGTGGCAGCGCCGCCGCCGCCGCCGCCGCCGCCGCCGTCGGCGAGGAAGCAGGCGATGGGAGACGAGCTTTCGAGGGCATCGTCGGAGGAGCGAAGCAGGAACTGGGTCGAGCTCAGGGATGAACAAAGACGCGGCACATCCAGAGTTTATTTGGAGCTTTCAGATCGAATCGATAACTCAGATTACAGACGAGAGAGAGAGAGAGAGAGAGAGAGGGATTATTTGGGGAGGATGGATAGAGAGAGAGAAAGAGAGAGAGGGGGGGGAGAGAGAGAGAGAGAGAGAGAGAGAGCTCCAGTTAAATCGACGCTAGGCAGCCGGCGGAGTGGAGGAGCACCGCCTTGATCTCTTCGGCCCGGACGCGTGGGCTGTCGTTGCAGGGCTGCAAGAAGAATATGCTATGCTCTGTCAATCTGCTTGAAGAAGAAGGAGGGAAGAAAACAGAGGAAGAGGGAGCGGAGAAGACCTCGGCTCGGAAGATATCGAGAGCGAATCCATTGAAGCAGCTGATGACGGCCTGCTGGACGTCGAGGCCGAGGTTTTCGAGAGCTCTCATGGTGGCAAGCAGAAGCCCGGGCCTTCGGGGGCAGAACATGTGGATGTTGACGGCACGGCCCTCTCTTTCTCTCACTTCCACCTGCAGAGCAAGCGACTGAGCATGAGGAAGAACGAGGAAGAAGAAGATCTCTGGTCAACGGGGCTGACCTTCGGGAGCTGGCTGCTGGGGCTCGGCAGCGGGCTCGGGCAGAGCTCCTCCTTGACGCGGTGGGGGAGGGTGGGCGGTGTCGGAGTCAACGGGTGGAAGCTCGCAGCGCCGCCGCCGGGGAGAGGAGAGGAGGAGGGAGTCCCGGTAAGCTCGCCGTGGAGGTCATTGATCTTCTGCAGAAGCTCCTTCAGGTACTCGATGGCGTCCCCGAGGATCGACGCCCTGTCCATCTGCGGGAAATCCAGAGAGAGAGAGAGAGAGAGAGAGAGATCAGAAGGAAAACCAGCGCCGGCGAAGATCAGAGGCTCTGGTTTTCATGGCGGCCCGCTCACCTTGCTGATCTTGGGGACGACGGACCTGAGCATGTACAGGCGGTCGTTGAGCTTCTTGCGCCGCCGCCTCTCCGCCATCAGGTTCTTCGCTGGCATCCCCTTCCTCTTCCCCTTGGGATCTCCTTCGCCGTTGTTGGCCCCCGGCGGCGTCGCCGTCTCGTCAGAGTCGTAATTCATGCCGGAGCAGTCGAAGCTGCCCTCGTCCACATCAATAAAGCCCCCCTCCTCTCTCTTGCCGCCGCCGAGCTCCGAGCTCTGGCGGAGGGCGGCAGCCCGCTTCTGGAAGAGAGTGGGCGGCGCCCCCAGCGGCGGGAGGATGTCCAGCGGCTGCAGAACCTTCGGCCGGTGGAAGAAGAAGGGCGAGCCCTCCACATCTCCGAAGGCCCTGGCAACGGCGGCGGCGCCGCCGCCGCCGTCTCCATCTGGGCACCCGCTGTTCAGCAAGAGGGCGGGGTTAGAAAGCTGGGCTCCAGCAAGGAAGTCGTGGTCGTCGGCGGCGGCACCGCCCCCGAGGTCGAAGCCTGCGGCGTCGAAGGGGTCGGAGCAGACGACGTTGAAGATGGAGGAGAGAGAAGCCCTGGTATTATGGGGGAAGAAGGGCTGCGAGGAGGGCTCGAGGTTGAAGACGGAGGGCTGAGACTCTGAAGACGACGAGTCCGCCGACTGCAGCAGTATGCTCCCCGTCGGAGAAGGGTCGCCGGGGAAGCCGAAGCCCTGGTGGCGGGAGCCGCCGTCTCCGGCGGCGCCGCCATGGCCGAAGCACCAGTCGTCCTCAAGGATAGACTTGAAGGTGGCCAACCCTAGCTCTCCCTTCCCCTCCCCTTCCTCCAGACCCCCTCCTCCTTCGTCTTCCTCCTCTCGCCCCACCCCTCCTTGCTCCATCCACATCCCTCCTTCACCCTCCCCCGCTCCTTCTCTCTCTCTCTCACTCTTTCTCTCTCTACTGCTCTCTCTCCGTGAGAGGAAGCACTGAAACCCGAAACGGCTTCTCCTTTATGGAGCACCCTTTTCCTCCCCTGCCGCGTTTTCGGCAGTCACGCCATTAATCCCCTACTAACAGATTCTCATCCCCTCTCTCTCTATTTACTATTTTCAGCAGTGACGAGAGCAGGAGAGGACAAACTCTGGGCACAGGGCCATGGCAGAAAGGGGGCAATCACGAGGAAGTTCAACGTCTCGCCGGCGGAGGGGAGGTGACGAGCACATGGGAGTCTCATCATGACGCCGGAGGGCTGCCATCATTAAAAACCTCCTCCTGGAATTCTCAGAGCTCTCACTGCTGCTCCAGCGCCATGAAGAACCTCGGAGGAGAGAGAGAGAGAGAGTAAAGAAGAAGAAGAAGAAGAAGAAGAAATTCTCCATTTTGAAACCGGATTCCTGAGAACTGGAGGAAATTTGCAGAAAATTCGAACCCACAAGGGAGGAGAGGAGGACAAGTGGCCGCCGCCGCCGCCTGCTTGATGTTATCCTGCTGGCTGGCAAGGTGGCGCGGTGGCCTCACGCCGGTGGGAGGGATCCGCCATTAAAATGGAAAGAGAGAGAAGAAGAGAGAGAGAGAGAGAGCGTTGCTGCATGTGTGGCAGAGAGAGGAAGAGGAATAAATTGTTGACAGGTTCCCATGTCCCCCGTGATCGCTCTCTATCACCGCACTTTCCTAGAGAGAGAGAGAGACGTTTCTATGATGCATGGATGCTGACGTGTCACTCGAGGAGAAAGCGGGACAGAGAGAGAGGATGCGTGCACACGTGCAGGGGGGAGGGGGGGTCGTGCCCAGCGCTACTGGTAGAAGTAAAAGTCATTTATATAAATTGCAATTATTTATGACAAAAAATTATGACGTTCACACGTAAGTACTTTTACGGATTTATCCCCGACAAAAGAATGGAAAAACATAAAACCGGGCCTTGTTACACGTTATTAATGGGCTTTTAAAAGAACGCGGCCCAAATTCAAAGCCCAATTATTGAGATCTGGCGCAGGCTGGGGCTGTGAGAATCGGTGTCCGGCCCGGCCCGCTGATTATCCCTACGGAGGAGGAAACCCTAATCAGTGGGCTGTGGAGAGAGAAACCCCCCCCCGGCTGACGGCGCCGTAAGGGAGAGGAATACGGGAGGGAATTGCCCCACCTTGAGGGAATCCGCGATGGAAGAAAGCATTGAACTTTCGGACCCTACAAATCCCCCTCGCCGGCGATGTCCGCCGCCAACCCAGCGACGACGACGGCGGCGGCGGCGGCGGCGGCGACGACGGAAGAGGAGGAGGAGAGATGAAGTTCCTGCTCCAGTTCCCCTGCTGTTCCTGCTTCTGCTTCATGGCGAACAAGAAGAAGGAGAAATCAGAGGAGGGCGAAGGCGGAGGGCGTTGACTTCTTCAGCCAGAAGATTCTTCCCTTCACCTCTCTCTCTCTCTCTCTCTCTCTCTCTCTCTCTCTCTGCTTGTCAAAAGGAAAAGGTCGGAATTCGGCACTGCTTCTCGATTAAAAAGATGGGAAGATGTTAAAAATTTGGTTCGATCATCTAAGGCTAGAAGCGCAAACCAGAGGTCAAACTCTCGAACAGGAAAACTGGAGGCTACCCAAATCCAAGATCACTTGAAAATAGAGGCGATGCGGCTCCATTATTTCTTCGGAGCTCCTGCGCCAGCCTGAGCAGCCTTCGGAGCTTCCTTGTGCCCTTGAGCAGTCTTGATTCTCTCCTCGTCCTCGCTCTCGCTCCCGCTATCGGACTCTTCGTCTGTCTCGCCATTCGCCTGTACGAGAGACTCTATCAGATCCGCCGCCTCCTGCACGGTGGTGATGCTCGGAGAGGAGTCTTCATTCACGGTGATCCCAAACTGCTCTTCCAGTTCCATGACGATCTCCACCTGAGATAATAAGCGGCGGGGGGGTTCAGGATCACGGGGGCAACCTGTTCGATAAAATGTTTGTTGAGATGGAAGATGGAGAAAAGATGCTTGTGGAAGGGCTCGCGGGGTGAGCTCACAGTGTCCAGGGAGTCGGCGCCCAACTCAGCAAACTTGGATTCAGCGGTGACTTCTTTTTTCTCGTCCAATGCTAGTTGGGACCTGACGATCTCGCATATCTTCGCCACGGTTTCAGGTTTGGCCTGCAGCGTTATTGACAGGAATCGGATGAGTCACGTCTTCTTCATCTTTTTTTCTTCTTCTTCTTCCTCGGAGGGTGCGATCTGAATGGAATCGCAACGTTCGGGGGAGGGGGAAAGAGATATACATACTGCGCAGCAGATTTGAAGGCGCGGCGCCGCCTTCATGGAGGGAAAGGCCCCCTTGGAGATGCCGAAGGATACCAGGTTCACCATGGGGAACTTTCCGGGAACCTGCAAGAATACGTGAATTAGGGGGGAATCCTAAGCATCTAAAATCCCGACAAATGTAACTAACTTTTCCACCGAAGCTTGTGCAGGAAATTCTTAAGAGTGGATCGAATTCTGATTTTGCAGATAGACCAGTGGAAACTCGCCGAAAAAACATATCACAGATCAAATTCTTAACGTAGTTGCCCAGCGCGGATCGACCTAGAACAACTTCATTCGTGAGGACGTCCGCAGGAAGATTTTTCCGTCTGTGTGCAGATGAACTAAACTTAATGACACTGGAAACATTGGAATAGAGAGATTCCGCCTAGGTGGAAACACAACACGGAGGATTTACGAACCCTAAACGAGACGAGCTAACAAGATCTTCGCAAGGAAGTCAGATAGCAGGAAGGGGAAAACAATAACAGACCATCAAATCAATACAGTTGGCAGATTCCAAAATCCAGAAAACAAAGCAACTCCTGCAGATCTGATTTCCATCGCCATACAAGGAATAAGCCGCGAGCAACAGGCGGAGATCCGTCCTCGAATGAAATAGAAAATTATAGGTACCAGAGGCGGAAAGATTCAGACCTGAACGCCCCGAACAACCGCCGGCGAGCAGATCCCGGAGATGTTGCTGTAGGCGGAAGCCATCTCGGAAGCTCGAAGGCGGAGGAGGAGAGATCTGCGGAAGGCGGATGGAGCCTGAGCACCGAGTTTCTAGTGGACGACTGTTGGGGAAAGAGGCAGAGGGAGATGATAAGGAGTGGCAGAGAGGAGGAGAGAGAGTCTTGTGGCTGGAGCGGCCGGCAAATCCGATTCTAATCCGTTTATGACGTGTCAAGTTGATCTATCCCGGCCCCACTAGGAAATCAACACTCAACGGACGGTCCCCGATCCATCCGACCCTTTTTCTTATCTTATTTTTTTATCTTTACCAGGACGCTAAAATCCAGCTCACCGTTTAAAAAAAAAATCAGGCAAATTTTTATTCATGTGAAATATGGGTGATCTGAGATGGGCCCCACTCCTGGGCTAGAACGCTCAACTGCCGGGGCATAAATGCAATTTTTTCCCCCTCCATAAACGCCCAACTATTCATGACAACGCCTTGGAACAAAAAGCATTTTTTTTGTAGAAAAAAAAATTATAGAAAGAACTGGCCAAAATGCTCTTAAATTACAAGAATTGTGAATTAAAAAAAAATAAGTAAATCGAGGTAGACAAGAAGAGTATCGTCTTCTACCTAATAACCAACGGCATGATTGTCAATCACTTAATCAAGATGAACTCTAAGAACTACAATGGTGATAAATAATGTGTGTGTGTGTGTGTGTGTGTGAGAGAGAGAGAGAGAGAGAGAGAGAGAGCGAGAGAGTCTACGCCTAAGAAGAGAGACTGGGAGAGAGCCCATGCCTGAGAAGAGAGAGAGACCGGGAGAAAGCCCACGCCTTAGAAGAGAAATTGGCAATGTATTCCAACTGAAGCCCATGAGATTAAGGTCTCCCTTGCCCCCAGTTTATGGGCTTTCCCCTGTCAGGCCCGGCCCAATTCTGCCACCAAGATCCTACGAAATATCCGCGTAAAAGCGGAATCCATTCCGCACACCAAGCGCTCCTCAAATCTGCGAAGCTTGTCCGGTCGAGGGCAGTGGCTCCCCCATATCTCCGAGCCCGGAGGAACAGCAAGAATTTTAATTGCCTACTCCATCGCCCTATCTCCAAGTCCGGAGGATCCCCTTCCATCAGACCCTGAAGGCGCTCGGTGGGCCGCGCTCTCCGCTTTCCGGGGATTCTTCCGCGGGTCGCCGGAGTTATCGCGAATGGCATGCTGAGGGACACCAGTTGCTCTGGAAAATGGCGGTATCTGGCCTGGGAGTTGTGTGCAGGAGCGAACTCCACCTGTGCCCCGGCCTGGTCTACTGCGTTCGCCGGGTTCGCAGTTTCCACACGCCGCCGCTTTTATTCTCCAGTTTGTCTGTACTCATCTCCTCCAAGAGGTACAGACGCCGGGCTCCTAATTTCCCGCTGGGGAATTCTCGGCAGTTTCGCCGCCACAGTTCAGCAGCGGCTGTTGAAGTCCTAGCCGAGCCGGAGGAGATAGCAGCGAGCGGACGCCGTGATAATGCTTCAGTCTCTTCGTCTCGTTCTAGCGGAAGAGGTGGACGAAACGTCATTTTCTTCATCTTTTTGCCTTGCTGAGTTTTGTAAGAGGATTCAATTCGCCAATAATTAGGCCCTCGATAAAGAAGCCTGACGAGCACGATTGCCTGATTTCGGCTGCTTTAATGCCTTTCGTTTGAACTTCTTGCAGTTTCCGAGTCCCGTGGTTGTCCGGAATGGAGAAAGTTAAGCTCGAAAGAACTGGGCATCAAGACTTCGATGATTACAAAGGCGACGAAATCTGTGATGAACGTCCTTCGGAAGAAAGGTATTTCCTTCTTCTAACACTTGGCTCACCATCTTTTTGGCTGCTGTCACCGAGTCACGGCATTCATGGAGCATACTAGTTCAAGCTTTTTTTTTTTCCCTGTCCAGGTCACGAAGTATACTTAGTCGGAGGCTGTGTCCGGGATCTTATACTAAAGAAAACACCGAAAGATTTTGATGTCATAACCACCGCCGATCTTAAAGAGGTTCGCTCCTCCCTGGTTTTTCTATGAATTTTCTTGGGCAATTCATTACTCCGGTGGAATGTAGCATTTTACAGGATGCTCTCTTTTCTCGGGAAACTTTTTGTGTTTATTGGAATCATTTGTGGAAATGGAATTCATCCTGGATCAACAATGCAACAAAAATTGGCGTTTATCATTTCTTGGCAGCGACCTTAGAAATCGCCACTGAACCTTGAAGGGCATACAATGAGTGTTCTTCCGATAGGATCCAATCATTTGATTCTGTTTGGCCGTAGATCACTTCTAAATGATCAAATCTCTGATTTTGGAAAAAAAAAAATCTGCCTGAACTGTTTTTTATGCATCACAAATTTAAATGTTGGTGGGAAGGGTGTTGAACTGGCAAGAATCAAAATTATCGTGTTCCATCTTTTAGAGAAAATGTGAGGAACTTAAGGGCAATTGGCTATCCGGTTCACACATTGATCGGCTCGTTGTTCATCTATCTGACTGGGCATTTTCTGTCAGATTTCAAGTTGGCGCTTGCATCTGTGGCTATACCATTTCAGAACGAAATGATCTTTATCTGGAATAATTTCCCTTCACTGGAAAATATTCTGAGCAGGGGCTAGATAGGCTTGATTTGTTACTGATTAACACATACAAATGTATTTAGTCTACACTGATTAACCCATTACGGGAACTATACACATTCGCCCTCCGTGACCATTCATGGTCATTCAAGCCTCGCAAAAGAGAGCATGGAATCTGCCTAACACCCTGAGCTCCCCTATCTTCTGTCTCTGAGGACCCTGTTTGTTGGAACATATATGGTGATATGCTAACTGGAACTGAATCAACCTGACCCCAGGCAAAGGCCAAATCAGCCGTGGCTGAGCCCTAAGGCAGCATCTTTTGTTAGAGTTGGAGGAGCATGAGAAATATGCGAACGAGTTTTCTGATGATTAGTTCTATCTCTTACATCTTTGGTGAATTTTAGACAAGAATCTGAAATGGGTTATCGATCTTTTAACATTAGATTCTTCTATGTAAGACTACTCTAGCACCTTAAAGGCACAAGGTCTTGTGCCACAGTATGAAACATGCACCTGCAAATAGGAAGCTGGAGTAGAAGAATAAGAGGAAAGGCCATCATATCTTGGATATAATTTGGGTTCTGGACACATTGCCAAGCCTTCAGAAGCTGCTCGTAGTTGAGAACTTTGATTACATAACGCTGAGAACTCAGTGGTTGAGGGGGTGTGACAATAATAATCATTGGCATCCACAACAACAAACTCAACCGAGTTAGCAAAGTGCAGCAGTAGTTTGATCCCAATTTTTTTTGCTAGGATGGATTGGATAAGATGACCTAACCTAGAGACCAACCGTAGAGCCAATAGAAGGTTTAACTCAATGCTTCATTTGCTAGTGCAAAGAAGAAACCTCGTAGCACCTATTGGGTTCTTTTTCGTTTCCTATCTAGAAATTGGTAGGATTAGAGGGATATAGAGAGTAAATTGTTTGCTTTTGACAAAAGCCCCTATCAACTGAAGCGTTAATATGGGAACTAAATTGTTATAGCCTTATGGTTGCAGTCTGCCCAAGTTAAAGTAATATGCATAGTGGGGCATACCATGTGATTCAGCGCTGAGTCAAACACTGTCAACTGAATTATTTTACACACAGAAATTCTGATTGTTGAATTAGCCTGACTTTTGGTTCCCTGATTCACAGTGCATAGTAATTGCCTTTTTTTGCCACATTCTCCAGATTTTTATGAAAATGGTCTTATAATTATTACTTGAACAAATGTGCGCAGGTATTGAGAGCATTTTCTCGGTGTGAAATTGTTGGAAAACGATTTCCCATTTGCCATGTCCATGTCAATGATTCCATCGTGGAGGTTTGTGTTCCTTTCATCTTCTTTCTAGATTGGCTTAGGCTTTCTACTGCTGTGGATATTTCAATTATGAGAACTCTTCGGTGTTCAGTTAGATTATTGGTCCCTTGTCTTTGTTCTCTCATGTGGTGTTTGTTAACTAGGATTTCTATGTATGTGTGAAATAGGTTTCAAGCTTCAGCACCTCCGCAAGGAAATCCTACAGGAGTCCGACAATTCTCAGAAAACCCCCTGACTGCAGTGACCGCGATTATGTTCGCTGGAGAAATTGTTTGGCACGTGACTTCACGATTAACGGGTTGCTAATTGATCTTTTCTCTTGCACGTTTGAATATTCTGCCATTTTGTTTGAAGTTATTGCGTTAGATTCTAATGTCCTGAAATTCGAATAAAGCATTCTTCATTATCCAGATAATAAAAAATGATTTAAAAGGATATAATTGATGAATGTGTTAATGGCTGTTGCTCATGTTGCTGCACTTTTTCCTTTTATTCGGGAAAGATAGAAAACTCAATGCAGTGGCAGCAGCTTGGCTTCCAGCCTGTAGTTTTGGAAGGATACTGTACTTTAGGCAAGAAAGATCCAACTGCATGATTTTTCTGGGAGGAACTACATATTCAATCAATTATATTATATATTTGGCATTTTCTCCAGTCTAAGTTAATATTTTCTTTTGTGCAGGTTAATGTATGATCCCTACTCAAATATAGTTTATGACTACACTGGCGGCATGGAAGATATTAAAAAGGCTAAAGTGTGCATGTATCTCTTAAATAGGTCTTGTTTTCAAATCTCTGCTTCACACCAGCAATGCTAATTTCTGCTGGTTTCCTACAGGTTCGGACTGTCATCCCTGCAGATACATCTTTCACAGAGGATTGTGGTGAGTATCAATGCATCATCTTGTCCTTTCAAGCATATTTTCTTTACTAGGGACGATATACCACAGAAAGCTGTCTTCATTGCGAGGATTCTTGTTCAATTAAGGCAAATGCTATTTTGATACAGCTCGAATTCTACGCGCCGTCAGAATTGCAGCTCGTTTAGGCTTTCGTTTTACCAGGGAAACAGCACACTCTCTGAAGGATTATTCTTTCTCTGTGCTGAGACTTGACAAGGTGCTGTGTTTGTTTTGCTCAGGTTTATGTAATACTTTTGTGTTGTGCTCTCGTACTGAATTTGTTACTCTTTTTTTGCATGCTTCAGGGAAGACTCCTGATGGAAATGAATTACATGCTTGCATATGGATCCGCAGAAGCTTCGTTGCGGCTACTGTGGAAATTTGGGCTTTTGGAGGTTCTTTTACCCATCCAGGTGCAGGCCCAACCTCGCAGTGCCCATGTCATTGCCTTTTCCTGTAATCCGTTTATGCGTCTGAAACATCTTTCAGATTACTGTGATGTGATTGCATTGCACAGGCTGCATACTTTGTCTCACGAGGATTTCGAAGACGTGACAAACGATCAAATATGTTACTGGTATGTGTTACGATCTTCCTTGCTAGCTAGCTATATAGACTTCAATGCCAAACACACCTGCTCCGTTTTTTCTGACACTCAGTTAGTCTGTGGCACCATTCCTTTCTTCACGTGAATCCAAGTAGCTACATATTGTATTTTGTTTTTGATCTTGGAGAAAATATTTTTTAAGCTGCGGTTTTCGCCCCCATTGGATTTTCCGAATTTATATGGGCTGCACTATTTGCACTATTTATATATTTCTCCTTGGGCAACATTGGTGTGTCTATTTCATCACCCGTCATTTATGCTTAAGAGGTAAGCTAGGAAGGAGCTAATCCATAATTCTTAATGTGATCCATGCGGTATTAATCCGACAACGATTGGATCTGAGTTTCTGCAAGCATTGTAACCTTAGTTTGAATGTCTTCCATCAGTCGCTGACGAGCTGCAATTCTTGACATCCTGCTTTGAAAAGACATAATGATCCTACTGATTAATTTATTTATTTTTTTAATGTTTTCGCAGGTTTTGTTCTCCAATTTAGACCATCTGCTTGCACCCGATAGACCATGCCATAGTAGCCTGTGGTAAGTGCAGCGGTGCACTATTAGTTTTGTTTGAAGACTGCTGACGAGTTTCTGCTGTGTACACGATGGTTCTGATGGTGAAGAAGTCACCGTTGGTAGACCTGTGATCCCCACTGCCATATCCTGTTCATTTGCCTCTGGTTTTGTCGTACATACAGATGTAGAGATTATTGCGGAATGTGTAGCAGAACCCAATATTAAATGAAAAATAGTGATTCATGATTAGCTAGCGCCACTAACACTCAGGAAACCAGCTGGAGAAAAATCACAAGGCCTCTCTGTGTTGTGTGGTGTTCGGCAGCTCAAAGCACTACAAAGTTGTGGATTTCGTGTCGAACACATGGTAGGATACTGAAAGATAGAACTAAAAAATTGATAAGAATGGTAGAAAGCTCTGTTGCGCCGACCAACCTGGAACTTGGAGAGGAACTACCGTATTGACTTGGCCATATAGCTCATGCACCAGTTTTGGTACCTATCATCAAGAGAGAAACTTGCATTCTTGCAGTCAGAACATGAAAGAAATTGAGAACTTGAGAAATCTTCTGGAGCTGCCGAAGATGGAAGATCTGGCTCCTTACAGTATCCGGTGGGGTAGGATTGTGATTAACATCGATGTGAACCAGATTGACCCTTCATTTCCCCTTCTCAGAATCTCTCTATGTTTTTTCAATCTTTTCCTTTGTGTTCTTTATAAAGAAATCCCCTTTCGTTGGTGAATGCACACAATTGTTTGGAAAAAAGGCCTCGAGACCAGTGCTAGCCAACTGTTGTTCTTTAATGAGAAGCTGAGGTCGTCTTTGATTGTAAAACGCTGTCGATTCGAAGCAGCTGTGATCATATCCAATGCTATCTTTCTTTTTGAAGAACTTTCCGTGTCAAACAGTTTAATTCTGGCTTTGCAGGGTCGCCATGTTAGCATTCCATCAGGCTCTGGTGGATGAGCCTCGAGATCCTTTGGTAATCGCCACATTCTCCCTCGCCCTCCACAATGGAGGGGACTTATCAGAAGCTGTAAAGATAGCGAGGAGGATCAGACATTGCCATGATCCAACCTTCTCTGAGCTCCTGGAACCCCGAGAAATGGACGCCGACGAGCTGGAGGGCGAGGTTCTGGATCTGTTGTCGTCTGTGAAATCTGCCCTGAGTCTGATGACAGATGAGAACCACGTTGCACAAGCCATGGCTAAGTACCCTCAGGCCCCATACTCTGATCTGGTGAATTCTCCTTCCTCGCCTCTCACTCTGGTTATCATCGGGTTTTTTTTTTTTCCTTTTTCCGTTGACATAATTACTTTCGTGGCCGATAAAAATGGAGCTCCTTGGCCAAAAATCAGAAATTAATTTCGCATTAAAGTTCTAATTTTTCTCGGGTTGCAGGTGCTAATCTCACTGGCGCTGTACCTGAATGTGTGCAAGATCTTCCAGTGTGTGGGAGATCCTGTCAGGCAGAGAGGCTTCGCGCCCAGACAGAGTAAGATTAACTACGATAACCTAGCCCAAGGCAGCTTGACAGAGCTTCGCCACGTGCTTGCAAGGGTCGTCTTCGACACTGTTTATCCTCTGAACCTGGATCAGCCGAGCTCCGGTGATGGTGAGAAAGGGGGACAAGAGTGAGTAACCGGACTGGCAGAACCCACCATAAAATCAGAGGCCCGCGGGGAGTGTCACCAAGAACCCTAATTAACGGAGGCTGACAGGTAACAGGCGGAGAGTTGGATTTTCTCTCCTGGTGACCGGATCCTCAGCAGGAGCTACCCAGAATCGATCAGTCACTACCCTGGAGGGCATTTTTTTTACCAAAAATGTGTTAAGATGGTCTGGTTCCCTTGGGCCACATGAGGCAAGAACAGGTGTTTCCTTTCCATCAATGAAGTTTTAGGGCATCTCTTTGAAGCTCTCATATTGCTTCCCCCCATTGCAAGAGCCTCAGTTTGCAGGGAAGATGCTGATTCCGGCCTCACAGCTCGAACAATCTGCGTGTCTCAAACCCGATGGAGAGGATGAAGGTATGAAAATCTCCACAGTTTTTCTGTTCATAATGAAAATTATAGATCGTGGTTTATTGATTGATCCCCCTGATTAGGCCCATTATTCACATCTAGAAATATATTATAAAAAAAAAAGAGAGGAAGAAAATGCCCTAAAGAAGACGATGGCACTGAGTGAGTGAGTAACAGGTCAACACACTCTCTAGTCCACCATGGCGCCGCCACTCTCAGCCAGGTGCTTCTCGGGCTCGACAGGGAAGTACTTGATGCCCACGAGGTCCCCTACTTCGCTAATCACCTGACATGAGAGAGAGACCCAGACCCAGAAAAAGATGACGCCTTTATGAGAGAAGCTCGCAAAGTAGGGGGTGGGGGGTGGGGGGTGGGGACGGGGGTTTGATATTGTTTCACCCACCTTCAAGCCTCTGATGAGATCTTCCCTTGTGTGGGAGGCGGAGATGCAGATCCGAGCCCTCGCAAGGAGTAAGGGGGTGGCGGGGAACGCCACAGTCACCACTGCCACCTGAAGAACCATAGAGAAATTTGAGTTTTCCCCTGCTGACTATGGAGATTTTTAAAAAACAATAAAAATGACGCCTTGCTCCTCTCTGGTGGGAAAAAAAATAGAGACCCATTAGACCAAAGATCAGATAAAATCTGGGTTTGAGGGCGAATTAATGCAACCCATATTTGGTTGACCAAGCGTTGACTCATGAAGAACAAAGGATCTGAAGGCGTGAATTACTTACATTCTGTTTGAGGCATTCCCTGGAAAAAGCCGGGATCTTTGAAGGGTTGTACAGCATAATCGGCATGATCGGGGAATCGTTGTCACCCAGAACCTGCAAGCCCATCTTCTGGAGCTGCGATCTGAAGAAGTTGCTGTTCTCGCGGATTCGCGCGAGCTTCACGGCGCCTGGAATATCCCACGGATAACCCAATTTCTTTTTAACGATTTTCAAGAGATCCATTTATCTTAAACGAAAAACCAGATTTTTGTAAAAAAAAAATCATCGAAACAACTAAAAAAATGTGGGTTTTTTTAATTAATACATCAAAAATATAATTTACACTAGTTTCCCAAATAAGTAAAAAAATAAGTTGTGGGGATTTTCTTCCAATTCTCCCATCCGCTTAACAGCTGGAAATTACAGGGTTTTTCCTTAAAAATATAAATAAATAAAACGGATGGGCATCTTCGGTCACCTCTGTTCGACCCATCCTCTCCAGAAATGACTTTCATGGCGCAAATTACTTGCTCCACAGCAGGCGGGGACATGGACGTTGCGTACAGGTGAGCTGGGCAAGCGTACTTCAAGTATTGGATAATCTCCTGCCACAACGAGGAACATAATATTCATGTGGCTTCTTGGAAGAGAGGAATATTTCTATTTATATATTTCTAAATAAAGATATATTATGATTAAAGATAGAAACCGAGAGAACAACGACCTTTGACGCCGCAATGTATCCCCCACAAGAACCGAATGACTTTGTGAAGGTCCCCATCATTACATCCACATCGGCCGGGTCAACTCCCAGCAGCTCACAGACACCTCTGCCTGACTTGCCGACCGCGCCTATGCTGTGAGCCTCATCCAAGTACGTGTATGCCTATTATAAAGAAGAGGAAGAAGAAGATGCCATCCATTTTTGTGGGTTGACCAGGAACCAAAAAAGAAAAAAAGTCAATGGGATAAGAAACTTCAGGGTATCTGAAAAATGTCGTCTTTATTTGGGGTAATGTTTATCTGACCTTGTACTTCTTGCAGACGGCGACGATCTCCGGAAGCTTGCAGATCTCGCCCTCCATGCTGTAGATCCCCTCGACGATGACGATGATCTTCTTCCATGGCCTGTGCGTCCGAGGCTGCCCCGCCGCAACCTGCTCCCTCAGCACCTCCTCCAAGTGCAAGGGAGCTACAAAAAATGGCAGAAAAAAATGAGAAATTAGCCCCGTAAAGCATACTGCAGAGGGTCAGTAAAGATATTTTATTTTATTTTATTTTATTTTATTTATTTATTTATTTATTTATTTATTTATTTATTTATTTATTTATTTATTTATTTATTTATTTATTTATTTATTTATTTTAACTGATGGCTATGAGACTTACTGTTGTGCTGGAAGACCCGAACCACCGCACCCGAGCCTCGAGCACCGTTGACAATGGAGTTATGGTTCAGCGAGTCGCTGATGATCAGCCCTCCCTTCAACCCATCGCGGGCAACAAAAAGGTCAACCAAAGAGCCCATACCCACAGAGAGAACCTGAACTGGTCCGAGATGGGGAAGTCGTACCTTCCCAGTGAGGACGGGGATAATTGAGGAGTTAGTGGCGTAACCCATGCCGAAGATAACCGCAGCTGGCTTCCCAACAAACCTCGCTACCAGATCCTCCAGCTCTGCATGGAGCTTGGTCGTGCCTGCAGGGACAACCGCCGCCTCAGCCGGAACTCCGCGGACAGTAAATGGATGATTTTTACAGCTGTTGAGCTATTTACAGACCGCCGTCGACTCGAACGCTGCAGGTGCTGGGAGAATATTTCTTCAAGCAGTCTACCACACGCGGCGTGCAGTACTCGTCGGATGCTGCGAAGCCAAGGTAGTTGTATGATCCCAGATTGAGGCATCTCCTCGTGTCCGCGGTTCGCCTGCATCCGAAGAGATTCAGCTGAGTCAAAACCCTGTTGATCTACAGAAAATGCCTTTTTTTTCCAATAATTCATAGGAAAGAAGAGAAGGATCCAATTCTCGATCTAATTTCGGATATAAAGAAACCCGCATGGAGTAATAACCCATCGATCGTCGGCTCAATCCGTGGAGATTATCTTAACCCGCTTGAAAGTAAAAGGATTCGAATCTGCTGGTATGTTTCAGATGAAACTGTGGGTTTTCTCGTGTGATCTAGCATGTATATTCCAGATGAACTTGATTCTAAGTGGAAAGAGTCAGAGAAGCTTACTGAATCGTCTTGTTGCTGTCATTAGAGTGACGATCGACCACATCAATCCAGGTGTCTGGGGCGCCTGCTAAGGGTCGACCGAAGCAGTCCTGAAATGGGGAGAGAGAGAGAGAGAGAGAGAGAGAGAAAGAGAGAGAGAGAGAGAGAGAGAGAGAGATTTCGGTTATTGGGTCTTCAATACGAGAGGAAATTGGTGGAACCTCTGGTCCATAATCTATGAAACATGGACATTTCCTGCGAGTGTCTAGCGCAAACGTGAATGAACCCTCCTCCATTAAAGAACAAGAGGCCACCGTCGACATCAAGGAGGGAGGGAGGGAGACAGAGAAGAAGGAGACCTGAATGCGACGATAGAGTCGCCGGCTGTAGAAATCTTCGAGCCCGAGACAGATCGGAGCGTAACCCTGCAATGCCAACGCCGAAGTTCATCGACTGAGAAGGTGGAAATGCGACATGCAGTGCGGAAATTAATCTTCTTTCGGTGCTGCATTTTGGTACCTGGTCGCCCTCGGACTTGGGTCTGTAAAAGTCGACGAGCGTCCTGAAGAGGTCCCTAAGCCGGCCGATGGTGAAGATGAGGACATAGCTAAAGAGGGTGGTCAGGGCGATGAAGTACGGCAGCCTCACCATCTCTCTCTCCGAGTTCAGAGCTTGAGGAAGGGGGGGAGGGAAGAGAGCGCAGAGGGGAGCGAGAAGTGCCCAGAAGCCTGGAGTTTGGAGAGATAAATAAAGCCCGGGACGTGGTGGGTGGCGGTCTACATGGGAGCTGGAGGGAACACGACGCAGGGGAGAGTGAAAACCTGGAATTCTCGTGTTTTCGACTGGACGGCCGCGGGGATGACGCATTAAAGAGAGAGAGAGCGAGAAAGAGAGGGAGGGAAGATACCCTTCGAGCTTTTCCACGAAGACTCTACTGTGCAGAGTCAGCAAGAGAGAGAGAGAGAGAGAGAGGGAAAATAACCTTCGAGCTTTCCACGAAGACTGTACTGTGCAGAGTCAGCAAGAGAGAAAAAGAGAGAGAGAGAGAGAGAGAGAGGGATCTCTCGACAAGGAAGACATCTGAGGAAAGCAAAAATCTCTCCCCCCTTCTCTTATCTGTCTTCCCCCACGTCCATGGCAACTTACAGCACAAATTCCCCCATCCCTTCGCCTCAAAAACCAAAAAAATCGTCTTTTTCCTCCTTTTTTCCACAACCGACAAGCATAGAATGGCCCATCCACCCCCTCCATCACCGATGATCTCAAAATCACAGCTTTCAAAAATCCCCCCTTTTTCCATGAAATTCGGTCGGTGATTATTAAAGCAATACGTTTTATTAATTCCTTTAAAACATACCCCTATAATTAAATGTAATTAACTGATTAAAAAGTCATGTGCATGTGCCCCTATAATTGGGCATGCCACGTGGAGGATCAGCAAGAAGCCCTCCCAGATGCCACCTGTCATCGTCCAAGAAGCCCAGCCTACCATCCAACGGCCTAGATGGGGACGGCACGCAGTTATGTCCCTCAGAAATGGGTATTTTTATAATTTTTATAATATATGCTCAGTTGCCCGAGGCCCAGAGAGACCCAATAAACCTAGACATGGGCCATTGGAGAGAGAGAGAGAGAGAGCAGGCCTGAGTGGGGCCCCAAACCGCGTTCCCTCTGGCAGGTTTCGTTGACTTGCCGTAAATGTAAAGGAAAAATGCAAGACAGGGTATTAATGTTTGAAGTTTTTCCGGGTAGTTTCTAGTCAACCAACGAGTTGACTATCTCGGGGAGACAACCAGAATCGAGCTGGTTGGTGGGTAGTAGATGGGGGGGAGTCAATCTGACACGCAAAAGCCATTAATGCGTTGACCGAGATAAGTGGTTCGACCACGTTCTTATCCAGACAAGGCGGGGGGCCGTAATGATCCCTGACAAACTAGTTGACCTTTCACTAGATCGCTGCCTCTTTAAATAGTACAAGTCAATATTATATCGACTTGTACTGACTCCGGAGTGTTCCATTGGCGGGAAAGTCGTGTCGTCGTCGACTTAGAGGCCCGACGTAGTTATGACGTGCAAAACTATCCCTTTGGTCTTCTCAGGTCCCTCCCTCCCTCCCTCCCTCTCTCTCTCTCTCTCTCTCTCTCCCTCCAGAAAATGGGTTTCGGGCCAGACTATGAATACCCAATCCGTCCCTAATGGGCCAGTTCAACCCTTCAGAAAACGGAGCAATGTGCCTATGTTCAGACAATTTGAGGCCCACTATATGCGTGGGCTCGATTTTACACCAAAAATTGGCCCGATATGGTCCATATCGATGAGTGAGAAAAGTACACGATGGGCTGCGTACGAGGCAGCAAACTCTGTATCTGGCCCAATAGGCATGTCTTATCTAGAAGAGAGATAAATTGCTAGGTAAACAGAAAGATAAATAGATAGATATAGAGAGAGAGAGAGTAGCCATAGTAAATATCCAGGTTTACTTGGCCCAATAGGCATGTCTTGTATAGAAGAGAGATAGATAGGCAGATATAGCGAGAGAGAGAGAGAGAGAGTAGCCATAGTGAATCTCCGGGTTTACTTGGGCCAGTAGGCATGTCTTATATAGAAGAGAGAGATAGATAGATACAGCGAGAGAGAGAGAGAGAGACAGAGAGTAAATCTATGGGTTTACTTGGCACGTCAAACCCATTAACAGTTTCATATTTTATAGTGCGTACGTAAATGGCAAGTCTTGTGGTAAGTTATTAATTTCTTACATCGCTAAAGACTTCAGCTGACGTGTCGCGTCTAGCCGCCTTTTTCATCGCCTCCTCGGCCCTCCCTCCTCTCTCACACCCTCAAATTTTTTTATTCGGTGCGGCCATTCCCATTTCCAATAGAAGACTCGTGGGGGGATGTCGATTGTGGGCCCCGCACTCTCAGCCTGCCAAAAGTAAATAATAAGTGAATTATACTAATTCTAGAGAGAGAAAGAAAGAGAGAGAGAGAGAAGGGTTTTCTATTTTTTTATGTGAAATACCGATAAATAGAACCTTAATAAAGTTATACCACAGTCTAAGTATAAAATATATATATAGCAATTATTTAATTAATTACACAGCTGAGAAATAACGGAAATGCGAAATTATTTTGTAGTTATCTCTCAAAGTATCTTTCTTACTTTTTGCATGAAGAATAAAATGGGACCCACTCGACCCCCCCCCCGCCCCAAAACGCATAAGCCCGCATCTCGTAGAACACGTAAAAGATTCGACCATCCATTCGAGACGGAATATTTCGTACGATCTATCCTTTAGACGACCTTGGCAAGTGGGCTTTTGCCACGTGGCCACGGAAGACATCCGTCAATAAAAAGCAGCAAATAGCTCTATAGATCTCACCTCTCTTTGCGCCTACGAAGGAAGGTCTCCAGCGATCTCTTCCGGGTCAACGGCATATCTAAACAGCTTCAAAGTTAGTGCACAAAAAAATTGACTTTCCCAAGCTTGAACACAACGATATTTATATATAATTTATTTCCAGCATCGCAGCGTTTCTCCTCGAAGAGATGGCCCTCCGAAGACTTACCTCTCTTCAGATTATCCAGAACCGAGGACGGCATGAGCTGACTTCGACCATTGTTAACAGGGGCGTTGACTTGTGATGAGTTCCGCTCAGCCCACCTGATGATGTTCTCCGCCTGGGTTCAAAGAAGCAAAGGATGGTTCACGATTTTCCTAATTTGGATGATTTTATGGATCATAAAAGGGCTGTAATACGGCCAGACCGACTGAAATCGTATATTTAACCCGAGGGTTCGATCTAGGCGGGTAGAAAACAGAGTGGACCTTGTCGTGGGGAAGATAGAACACGCTGACTTTCCTGTTGTAGAAGATAGTTATGGGTTCCGCGGCCATTCCGAGAGAGGCTCTGCGGGATCGAAGTACGCGTGAAGGTTGATGAGATAAAAAAGCGAAGAAAAACTCGCAAAATTCATCTCGGAAGACAGATGATTTGAAAAATTACATGTCCTGTGGATTCATGGAGGCCTTGGCGTGGGCTCCTGAGAAAGAAGATTGTCAGAGGAAAGAGGGCCCTCCAATGGACGAGAGAGAGAGAGAGAGAGAGAGAGAGGATTAGGGATAACCTAGAGAGAGAAACGGGAAGGAGGAGTCCCCCTCCTCCTGCGCGGGGAAATCGGTCTCCACCGTCGTGGTCTTCGACATCAGTTGAGTTGTTCTTGTCGGATGTGTGGTTGCAGGTTCTCTCTGCTCCTGGGGAAGAAACAGCGAGAGATAGAGATAGAGGGAGACCGAACGAGGGGGCGGGGAAGAACTGTGAGCTGAGGGGGATCGAGAGGGGGGGTATCTATGTGAAGAGATGAAGAGAGAGGGATTTATGAGCTTTTATGTGGAGAGAAGGATCCAGAGAGAGTGGGAGAGAGTTTATGAGCTATTATCTGTGGAGAGAAGATCGAGACAGAGAAAGAGAGGGAGAGAGAGAGAGAAAGAGAGGTAATTAGAGAGAGAAATAGCCAAGAATTCCACTGATCTTCCCCGTCAACGGGCTACTCCCTGAATCCCCTTGCTCGTACGCCAGAGAGAGAGAGAGAGGAAATCGATTAGGACGCAGGAGAACCAATTAAGACGACGGCCCTTCCTCTCCCTGTTTCTCTCCTCTCCCACGATCCCTTCATCCGCAAGAGCCCTCGCCACTCCCCATGGCTCCTTCTCCGGCGCCCACAGTTCCACCCAGGGTGACCCCAATACTCCTACATTCCCCCCTCTCTCTCTCTACCCTCCCCCCATTCAGTGGAGCAGTGGAGACGGGCCGTTCACGAGTCGCAGTCATGTGCTTGTCGAGCTTCTTTGGACCCACGTGGGAAGAAAATGGGATTCCCGCACGTGTTTTTTTTTCTCTTGGTGCGAGATAAGGATGTATGACGCCAGCCATTGCGTCAGTGTCGGCAGTTTCACGTGTTTCATATGCAACTCAGTCATGAGATTGACAGTAATGTCAACATCAAATATCAAAACAACCATCCAATACCAATCTCTCCCACCCCCCCACCGCCCCGGTTCTTGACGTGCATAGGAGAGAGAGGGAGATACAGCCGATGAAGACAGCACACATGGAGGCTAAAGACCAACGTACAATGGAGGGGAGTAGACCAGAGCTCTCTCTCTCTCTCTCCCCCCTTCTTTCTCCGTCCCTCTCTATCTCTCTCCCCCTCTGTCTCTCATTCTCTTTCTCTCCCTCTCTCCCTTTTTCTCTCTCTCTCTCTCTTCCCTTCTTTCTCTGTCTCTTCCTCTCTCTCTCTCCAATCCAATAATAGAGGCTACTTATTTCGTCCTTGGAAAAGTTAATTTTGTGAATATACTTTTATGGAATACTATGAACGCAAGGACCCGTGAGTTTTCATCTCACGTGCCGGGAAAAAAAAACAAGCTTTCCGAGAGATGTCGCATCCGCCCTCGTGGGGTTTTAACCGGCGTGCCTAATTGAATATTTAATCTCATTAAATATTTAATTAAATGTCGTCTTGGTAGCTTTTAAGGCACGTTGTTTAAAGACCGGCGTCTGTGTAAAATAATATCCCATTTTTTTAAAAAATATTTATTTTAATTTAGTAATGTATACATTAATTTCATTTTTTAAGCATACTTTTTGTTGGGCTTATTTATCTATTTTTAAAATATATGGTCGTCCCTCTGGTAACAGGCTCAGTTGAGTATTGCAGCCCGCTTAGTCCGGCCCATTTATAAAATAGTGGGCCGAGAAGGAATGTGAGCCTTGCCTATCGGATGGCCATATCGAACCGCACGAGAAACGCCAGGGGAAGACACGTCAGCTACGTACGGCCTGTACGCTGAGTAGGAAAACACGAAATATACTTTTTTTCTATATATGAATAATAAACAAAATTTGGGGGGGTGGGGTTAGAAGAGCTCTTTGTAACAACAGATCTGGAGCGTTCATGGATTCGAACCCTAAAATCCTACGCGAGGGAGGAGAAGAATTGCTCGCTCGCTCGATCGATCGATCTTCCATGGCGAGAGAGGTAGCCTAGTAAGAAGGGCCGCTGCTCCGGCAGCAGTCCGGCGGCGAGGAGAGGGAGAGAGAAGAGCCGGCATCGGGTGGTGGTGCTCTGCAACGCTCCTTCCTCTTCTCCAGGAACCTCTGCAGCGACTTCTTCCTCGCGATCGGCAGATCTGCGGGAGGGAGAAGAAGATCGATCAGGAGGCGAGATCTCGGTAGCGGCGATGGATTCGGGATCTGGTGCTCGCCTCCGTCGAGGTAGGAGTCCTCCGGCCACAGTAGCTCCTGATTCCCGATGACGCCGGACTCCGCCATCCTGAGGATGGCCTCCGCCTGGGGTTCCATGGAGGACGAGGATCTGAGCAGAGGGACAGCGCAGGAGGGAGGAGGACGAGGGAGTTGCAGAGGAGAAGCGGACCTTATCTCGGGGCACGTGGAACTCGGCGACTGTTCCATTGTAGAAGATCGTCAGCGGAGCAGTATCGGGAGGGCTGTGGGAAGAAGATCTGGATAATCAGATGGAGAGAGAAGATCAGTGCGGGGGGAGAGATCCAGGCGTCTGAGGATGACGGTGGGGAGGAGGAGAGTCGATGGAGCAGCACCTGGAGAAGGGGCCGAGGACGGGGATCGGCGGGGACTTCGCCGGAGAAGAAGACGACGTGTTCAGGGACAGGAATGGCTTCCCGCTCTCTCTCCGCCAAAACTCGGGACCTCCGGAGCACCCGACGCCAGAGGCCATGACTGTCCTCAGAAGCTCGGGGCTTATCCGGGAGACGACTCTCTGGATCCCTGCAAATCTCGAGGTAAAACCGGATATTAGAGAGATCCAGTCCACGGGATTTCTAGAGAGAGAGACAGAGAGGCATACAGACCTGAGAACGGCGAGCTACCGAGCTCTGCGGAGGGAGACATTGGACCGGGGGCTCCCTGCTTCTCAATCCGAAAGAAGTCGATCTCTACCGTAGAGTTGGCCATAGTTTCTCTTCCAACTCTTCCCTTCTCCCTCCCTCTAACTGCGCCTGCGTGCAGGTTGTGGGATGTATCGGCGAGGTCGAGGTGCCGAGGAAGAGAAGAAGAAGAAGAAGAAGAAGAAGAAGAAGAAGAAGAAGACGAGGACCTTGGAAGGTTCAAGGATGGAGGAGGTGGGCAACCGTCGACATTTCTACAGCGGCGTGAACCAGCGTGGGGCGTACGGAGATAGCGAGGAGCACGCCCTTCTCGTGTCTCCGGCTTCCTCGCGGCGCCCTCCTCCCTCCTCTGCAAGTCGCCAGGTCATGGCAAATGGCGTGTAAAAGATCAAGCACAGGGTACACAGGGTACACGACAACCACCTGCAGGGCCATCCCCATTCCCCCTCTCTCCCCCCCCCCCCTTGGGTGCACGTGTCCCCGCCGTACGCTACTGTGCGCGGCGGTGATCGGGCGGCGCTGTTGGCCTTCCAGCAACGGCCGACGTTTCCTGCCGAAGAGGAAGGTGCCCCGGCGGCCCAGGTAAGGACTATTCGGCCCAATAACTTCTGAATTCTCGCTCTTTCATTCTCCCCCCTGTTAGATCGCGTTGACCTCTGAGAACACATTTTTATCTCGTGATTTTTAAAAATAAATTAAAAAATTATTTATAAGCATCAGCATTGATGAACACATAATAATGCGCACCGCTTATTTATCATTCTCATTACTCATTGGTGGCAGATATATGGATCCGTCGTTCTTATTCTCAGTTGACTTTTGACTTTACGAGATATTAATGAGAATAATATCATTGGTTAGAAAAAAACCCTACATTGAAAGCTCCATTTAGTTACGTGATTAAATACGTTGCTCTAATTGGATAAGGTAAATTATTTCAACATGGCCGTGGATATTAATGGATATATTTAAAGGCGTAATAATATAAAAAAACCGGCCGGTGATTGAGGATTTTATGGTCGACAGGTGATGGAAGTATTCCGTCAACGGAGTGATGAAGCACACGTGCGCCGTTGCAGGAATCGGCAGCGTCCAAATCTAGCATCGGATTGCGACGTATGGAGCAGGCCAAAAATTTCCGGAAAACCCTCATAGGTCTCATACACGTAATACACTCCCTAATGTGAGTATATGTACAATTAAGTCAACATTTTTCTTATGAAGACCCTCAGTAGCATGGAGGGGAGGGCCGAACGTTACCGAGGTGCTGCCCGAATATCTTCTTTACTGTGGGTAGATAAGAAAGAAACTAATTAAAAAGGGTGAAATCGCTAGGTAATGATTAAAAACTCGATACCACACTGATTTAGGAGGGGAGAGGAGGAGAAATGGAGGGCCTTTCTGACAAGTGGATGGTGCTGGCATTTACGTAAATTACGAGAAAAGAGGTCCGATTAGAAAGTTTCCTCTCACCCTCCCTCTCACATCGGCTCTCTGATGTCCATGGCACCTGCCAAGCCCGTCAGCAGATAAGGACCTGTGCCTGCGGCCGCGGCGATTGCGTCTCGACGGCTGGGATCATCACGAGAGAACCATCTGCTCAATACGAGCCGTCAGATTGCGGCGGGGGCTACCACGGGTGAGAGAGAGAGAGAGGGGGGGAAGAAGGGGGCGATGGAGATAGAAAGAGAGAGAGTGAGGGAGAAGGGGGGCGGGGTGGGGAATGCAGGTAGGCGGGGGAAAATGAGAGGCGTAGGAAGAGAGAATCAAATGGGAGGAGGCCAGTCGCGTCGCTCGCTCAGAGTCGAAGGTCAGACTCCGGCAGGCGGATCGACTTTGTTGTTACTGTTTCCTCGTCTCAGATCCGCATCGCTGGGTATATGTTCATTCTTGTTTTGATTTTGATTTTCTTCTTTTCCCATCCCCTTCTTGCAGGGAATTTGACGTGGTCTTGGACCTTGTTTGCGCGCGAATTTGATGTGATCTGAGGGAAGGTGACTGTTGTTTTGTCTGTGCTCTCAATTAGGTGTGATCTGAGTCGCGGTCGGCGAGGCTGTGATTAGCGTGTCGTATTTCACGTCGGATGATTATCTTGGAGAGGATCGCTGGTTTGGTTTCTTTGTGCTGAATGTGTTTCCTGGCGAGTGTAGGAGCGCGCCGGGTAGGTCTGATATCCGGATCTTGTTTGTCCCAGGGAGATCAGTGTTCGTTCGTCGTCTCTTTCTTGTTCAGCATTATTTGGAGTAGAGAAAGTCTTGCTGCAGATCTGGGCGAACTACTGATCTTTTCCCCCTAATCTCGAAGCTACAGATCCGTGCAGACTCTCGCTTGTTTTCACATTACTGTTGAAGGAATCCATAAGAGTTAGGGTTGGGCGGAGAGTGGTAGACTCAGCTCCAATCTCGTCCGGAGCTGGCCAACATGACTTACTTCCCCGAGGAGGTGGTGGAGCACATCTTCGATTTCTTGACCTCCCACCGGGACCGGAACACGGTGTCGCTGGTCTGCAAGGCGTGGTACAGGGTGGAGAGGCTCAGCCGTCGGAATGTGTTCATCGGAAATTGCTACGCCGTGAAACCGGGCACACTTGTTTCTAGGTTTCCTCGCATCCGGTCTCTGAAACTCAAGGGGAAGCCTCATTTCGCCGACTTCAATCTCGTTCCCCCTGGTTGGGGCGCAAATGCTCTCCCCTGGGTGGAAGCTATAGCCCGAGGCTGCCCGAATCTTGAGGAGCTCCACCTGAAAAGGATGGTGATCTCTGACGAGTGCCTCGAGCTCTTGGCCCGGTCCTTCCCCAACTTCAGGGCGCTGGTGCTCGTTAGCTGCGAAGGGTTCAGCACCGATGGCCTCGCGGCCATTGCAACACACTGCAAGTAAGCGACCTCTGTTCCCTGTTATTCACTATACTGAATCCATCTCTTCTACGGGCTCTCTCGACCATCTGTTGTCGTCGGTTTCAAATTTTTCTCCCCTATTGCTTTCTTTCATCACGATTTAATGGGTTGAAGGGAGCATCTAGGAAGGTCGATCTTTTCTTCTTTGAAGCTGAAGCAAGTTCGTTGTCATGAAACAAAAGAACTGCAGTCTGCAACTGAACTAGTAAATTCAAAAGCCCAGAGGAACTCATCGCGAGCTTCCATACACATTTTGGTGCAAGCCAATTAAAAAGTAGGTAGGGGATTTGCCGGAGGAATTTTTTTTCCATCCTCGATCCTTCATCTTTATGCAGATTTTATACATAAAAACTCCCTCCAGATTTATGGAAGGATATACTTCCACCTTTCATCGCACCGGTTCCAAAGAGTTTCATCACAATATTGCTAGTTGGTGCATGATATTGACTTTGTGTTAGTCACTCAAGCTCTCTGTGTAAATTTCCGACATAAACTTGGACGGCTCTTTTGACCCAGTTTCTTTTTTGAAGTAGTGATGGTAGCAGTGGGTGGTGATATCTGCTAGATGTGATATCCTCTGTTTTCTTCCGAGTATTCCCAGGTGGCTGAGGGAGCTGGATCTACATGAAAACGAGGTTGACGATCGGGGGGAATGGATCAGCTGCTTCCCGGATTCCTGTACGTCTCTTGTTTCCTTAAATTTCGCATGCCTCAAAGGGGAAGTGAACGCTTTGGCCCTGGAGAGGCTCGTTACGAGGTGCACCAACCTCCAGAGCTTGAGGCTAAGCTCTGCGGTGTCGCTGGAAACTCTCTCTAGAGTGATCCTGAGGGGCCCCCAGCTGAGAGACCTGGGCACGGGCTCGTACGTGCACGACCCGAGATCCGAGCCCTACCTCAACCTGGCCAGCGCCTTCATGGCCTGCAAGTCACTTCGGAGCTTGTCTGGTTTCTGGGAGGTCACCGCTCAGTGCCTCCCCGCGGTCTACCCCATCTGCTCCAATCTCACCACACTGAACCTGAGTTACGCGGCGTCAATTCAAGGCACCGAGCTCATCAAGATGATCCGCCACAGCCGCAAGCTTCAGAGCCTCTGGGTGAGTGACACGCAGATTCCATATTCTTCTTCTTCTTCTTCTTCTTGGTTGCGTTTGGTCAGTTTAAATTCCCTCAATTCCTCTCCGTTCTTGTTTTTTTTTTTTTTTTTTTGTTAGGTGCTGGATTTGATCGGAGACAGAGGACTCTGCGTGGTAGCGTCCACCTGCAAGGAGCTACAGGAGCTGAGAGTGTTCCCCTCCGACCCCAGCGGCGACGGATCTGCGGCCTCCGTCACCGAGGAGGGCCTCCTGTCCGTCTCCATGGGCTGCCCCAAGCTCCACTCCATCCTCTACTTCTGCCGGCAGATGACCAACGCCGCGCTGATAGACGTCGCCAAGAACTGCCCCCGCTTCACCCGCTTCAGGCTCTGCGTCCTCGACCCCAGAAAGCCGGATCCGTTGACTTCGCGGCCCCTCGACGAGGGCTTCGGCGCGATCGTCCGCTCCTGCCGGGAGCTGCGGCGGCTGTCGGTCTCCGGTCTCCTCACCGACAAGGTCTTCCACTACATCGGGAGGTACGCGCAGAAGCTGGAGATGCTGTCCGTGGCCTTCGCAGGGGAGAGCGACCGGGGGATGCAGGAGCTGATGGAGGGCTGCCGGCGGCTGCGGAAGCTGGAGATCAGGGACTGCCCTTTTGGGGACGCCGCCCTCCTCAAGGACGCCGACAAGTACGAGACAATGCGATCCCTTTGGATGTCCTCCTGCGACGTGACCCTGCAGGCCTGCCAGGCCCTCGCCGCCAAGATGCCGCGGCTCAACGTGGAGGTCATCAGCGACGACGGCGACTTTGCCGGCGGCGCCGTCTGCCAGGTGGAGAAGCTCTACGTCTACCGGACCGTCGCCGGGCCGCGGGACGACGCGCCGGCGTACGTGTGGACTCTGTAGAGCACGATGGCGAGGCAGGGCCGGCGGTGACCTTCCGTCTTCTTCCTCCTCGTCGTGCTTCTATGGAGGTAGGTCAGCGGGTGCTGGGGAAGATTGACTCTGGGATCCCCCTGCTCTCTTTGTCTGGTTGATTGATTGATTCTGCGGCGTTGGTCAGAGACTACTTGTGGGTAAATTAAATTAGATTTCAGTTAGTTGTCCATTGCCTCTCTCTCTCTCTCTCTCTAGCTCTCTCCATCTGTGTGTGTGTGGGTGGGTTTGCTGTGGGAGGGGGGCAGGCTACAGGAAGAGGCGACTGTGCCGCCCTGCATGTGCCATGCCCCTCTGCTGCCGTCGCAGGTTTCCTTCCCATGGAAAGAATCCGGGTTAAGAGAGAGAGAGGAGGCGATCCGCCGCAGTGAGAGATGTGGCTACAGAGGATGCCCAAGAACAGACAAAACAAAAAAACTGACAGCTACATATCTCATTCTTCCCCAATTTGTTAGAGAGTTTCCTCGTATAGAGACCGCCCACCTGCTTCTCCATGGGGTTCATAATCTGCTTCATAATCTGATCGATCGATTCATAGTCTGCTTCACAAGATCAAGTGGAGTACCCATTAATTTGGTCCAAATCTTCTAGTTAACCCAAGAATTCTAGTAACCCGGTTCTTGGCGAGTACTGTTTGTGCTGGCACTGAATCCACCGATTTTCTTCAAGGACATGGATACCTATGGAGCAAAATATTTCCAGCATGATCAGCTCATCCAAACAGCTTTCACGGATTTCAGTAATACTGGGCCGTCTAAAGCCCCCCTAAAAACTAATGGGCCGTTTCACAGCCCGTTGACTGTCGACCGGATCCACTTCAGATCAAAATCATAGAGAAAGCCCAAACTGGAATGACCAAGTACGGTCTGCGTATGTTTCGGTAGATATCGGTTCAGGTAGGTCCCCGGAATGCGGTATCCTTACCGCCTCCCTCATTCACCGGTAATCGCGGGGAACAAGACTCTCCCCTCCATCATCCTCCCCACGTCTCCCTCACATGCCAGACCATCCTCTCTCTCTCTCTCTCTCTCTCTCTCTCTCTCTCTAATTGCAGAGCCTGTCGTTCGACTCGTCCTCTTCCGGCCGTCTGCTCTGCAGCGCGTCCTGCCAAGATTCCTTTCTTCCGGCCGACTGTAGATTCCTCCGTCCAGTGCACATCAATCGTCAAGCTTTCTCTCTCATCCCTCCCTCTAAGAACCCTAATCCCAGTTTCACCGGCGATGGGAGAACTGAAAAAATGGTGAATAAACCAGACTAGAGCAAGAAAAACATCTCATACCCTAACCTGTCACCCCTTTCTCTCTCTCTCTCTCTCTATCTCTCTCTCTATCTCAGCTGCAGCCGAAGAAGGAGAGGAGGCCGCCGCATCTGGGGCACTTCTCCTCCGTCTTGGGGATCATGACGTACATGATGCAGGCGGGGCAGCCGGCGGCGATGAGGACCGGCGGGGACCCGTCGCCGCGGTCGGCGGCACCGCCGGAGGAGGTAGAGAACGAGGAAGAGGGTGAGGTTGAGGAGGCGACGTAGGAGCAGCAGCTGCCGTAATCGTCGTCGCTTCTGGTCTCTCCGGCGAGCTCCTCCTCGTCCTCCGCCGCCTCCTCGTCGGAGAAGCCGCCGTCGTCTTCTTCCTCGCCGGAGCTGTACCCGTTGCAGAAAAGCCCCGGGACCTTCCGAGGGTCCTCCGTCGACTTGGCGCCGGTTAACCAGTTTATGTAGTGCAATCTCCCCGTCTGCGGCAGATAGAGAAGGAGGAACTCAGACAATGTCGCCGGAGGGGAGGAAGACGACGGCGGAGGCGGCGGAGGAGGAGGAGGATGGGAAATGGCAGAGGGAAAAATCCAGAGTGCTCCTTTGCTCAGACGCCCACAGAAGACAGGAAGATGATCGAAGATCCGCTCAATTTTTAATGGCAGAGAGAGAGGGATATAGAGAGAGAGAGAGGAGGAACCTTGAGGTCGAGGTACTGCTCCCAGTGGTAGGGGAGGGAGACGTCGGAATTCAGCTCCACAATGGCGTCGGCCGGCGGCGGCGGCGGCTCCTCTTCCGGTTTGAGGGAGCAGTTGCAGAGGGACGCCGACACGGAATCGATGCTGGGGGCCGCCATTGGAGAAACAGAGAGAGAAGAGAGAGAGAGAGAGAGAGAGAGAGAGAGAGAGAGGGGGGGAGGAAGGAAGGAAATCACGAGGAGCGATCCGCGAAGGAGACGACGGCCGGGGAATGCAGCTTAAAGCAGGGAAACGGCCAAAAGAAGGAATCTCGTTTCTAATCAGAGGGGCATTTCATAGAGACAAGAGAGAGAAAGAGAGAGAGAGAGAGAGAGAGAGAAAGCAGGGTGGGAGGGTTAAGCGCTGTTTCCGAAGCTCGGAAGTAGGGGGTTTGACCGAGCCGTCCTCTTGGGTCGGGCGAAGCCGAAAAGCCGAGATCGGATTCAATATTTATTATATTTTTTGTGTTATTATTAACTTGTAATTCATATTCCCGCCATTTATGACGTCGATCGATCTCTTCATCGGGTGGGCCCCCGTTGATGACGTGGCCCGGCCCGGCGCGGAAAAGTCATAAACCGGGAAAAGATCACCTCTCATTGTTGTGTTTCACGAAAACCCCCCCTGAAACGTTTGACTATTACAAAAAAACCCCAGACCAGAAAATAGAAGTTACCACTTCTGGACCCTGGGCCCACTACAAATTTGAGAATTTTCGGGAGCACCCAAGGAACTTCCTTTATTTGACAATCAAAGGCATTACTGAGGACTTGCTCCTTCGTAAAAACAAAAAAACTTACATTAATTAACGATACCCCCTCACAAACAGCGTAAATTATGAACAACCCTCATAAACCTGCAAAAATCTTGATTCTCAGTCCAAAATTAATCGCAGGTAAACCCTTTTTACTCCTGAGTCTTCCCCACCCCCCCGTCTCTCTCTCTAGAAACTATTTTTCCTTCCTCGTAATTAGCGTAATGCTCAAAGACCGAGTAACTTTCCAAGAACTCAGTAGTCTAAGTTAGATCATGAGGGGCTTATCCATAACTCAAGCGACTTCCGGGGTAGAGAGAGAGAGAGAGAGAGAGGGGGGGAGAGGGAGATAACTTTAAATGTCTACGAGTCCCATCTCGGAGTTACTCAGTTAGTCAACGGCAAGAGAGAGAAAGAGAGAGAGAGAGAGAGAGAGAGGAGGAACCTACCAAGAGGCAGCATCCGCGCCGCAAAACCGACGGGATGCGGCGGAGGTTTGACGGCTCACCGTTTCTTCTTGCTCGACTTGGCGGCGCTGGGGGGGCTCGCCACGAGGTATATGAACAGCCCCACGATGGCCAACACGGAGACCAGCGAGCCGTACTTCGCCACCAGTTTCTGCATGCATTAGGCCATCATCATCATCATCATCTCCTTCATTCGGCTTTAGAGTCAACGCGGGGGAGATATAGGGAATGGAAGGAGCTCTGGGGGGCTCACCTTCAGCTGGGTATGTGAATTTTGGAGGCGCCCGCACGGATCAGGGGAGAGAAGGGAAGAGATGGACAAAAACAGGAGAGATGTCAGAAGATTTCCCATGGAGAGATATAGTGCCGAAAAGGGGAGATGGGGTTGAGTTTCTCTGAGTTTTTTTCGGAAAGGAGGCGCTGACCCAGTTGAGCTTGTCCAACGGCGGCTTGTCGGCGAGGATGTCCAGAGGGAGAATCGGAGTCGAGTACGCCTCCTGCAACAGAGAGGGTGTCCTCACGAGATCAGACCCCACCTTAAAAGTAGGGGGGGAGGCGTTGACTTTATGTAGCCGAAGAAGATCGAGGGCGAACCTGTAGAGCTGACTTTGAAGGGACACGGAACTTGACAAAGGCGGGGGAGCCGTGGTAGAGGCCTTTGACTTTGGACTCCAGGACAAACGAGTGAGAGGAGATGGATCCGCTGGAGGGAGGCAGGTCAGTTTTGCTAATAATAGAATTAAAGAGAAAAAAGGGAACTTTAATCCGCCAGGGAGGGATGGGCGTTGACTCTCACGTCTCCAGCTTTTCCCATGTCTTGGAGGTGCTGCCAGAGACCAGATCAAAGGTGCCCTTTTCCCAGCTGTCGTCGTTGAGAATGACATCATAGGCCGTGCTGGAAGAGGAGTTCATCAGGGAATAGTTAGTGGGCACAGTTTTTATCTACAGGATTAAAATAAATTTCTACCAAAAAAGGTAATAAAAAATTGGTGATTCATAGGTAGAGGAAGTCACGCACGGAGGGATTTCAAAATCATCTGAAGAACTGCATGAAATCAGGCATGAGAATTGGATTCGAGCGGCCATGAAAGCATCTTCAGAGATTCAACAGAGCTTCTGCAATATATTCTATGATGATGATGTCATTATGACCAAGTGAGCACCAACTGGAGACGGCCAGGCATCTTCAAGATGATGAAAGTCAATGACCGGATGCGCAGAGGTTTTCATGACTCACACAGATTCCTCATGATAGGGACTAATTTCGTTGTGGGATTCACCACATCAAAAAAAAAAAAAAAAAAAACCCTAATTTAGAAGTTTGGAGCATTCATCATGCTTGCCAAGAACATCTCCACAGTCAACTGACCCAGTAGATGAGTTGCCAATAATTCTATAAAAAAAGGGGGGGATTTAAGGGACAAGTCACCAAACAAGTCAAAGCAAGCAGATCGTCCAAACAAAGTTTTCTCAAAATTTCAGCAATTAATCATATTATGTTCAATGATGGCTCTGCCATGATAGTTGATACGAGTTTCAGCAATCGTACTTAAGTTTCCAAAATAATAAACAAATTCGTGCTCATAAATTGTAATCATACAGACATCATAGCAACTGGATCTTCACCAAATTTACATCCACTTGCTAAAAAGATGGTGTCAAAGGAATCAAACCAGATAGATATTCCTTTAAGTGCAGACTTGAATGGCTCCACAGAAAATATGAGTCCAAACTCAGTGGGATTTCTCTCTGGTGTGCCAGCAATATGAATGGCGCAACATTCAAACCTAGTGAATAGCTAGCCATCATGCTTGGTAGGTGGTGTCTCTGTGATTGATACACCTACTCCAGGCTAGCACAGTGATAGGAGATAAGAGTAATCCACAGATCGTCCATTCATTTCAAATCAGAAAAAACTTCGTTTCCTTTTTCTACTAAATCCCAATATATTATCACTGTTCATCTCAAAGCCCGGTCTCCGATTCCCAAGCAGAAAATGGTATCATACTAGAAACCAGAAGTGGTTTTTCCCAATCATACACACGAGAAGACTAATAAAGTAGTGAAAGACAGCCAGAGGGGTGGACAGCAGAACCAGTTCAAAACGCAGCCCTATTTGTGATTTACTACATAATTCCTTTCTTTCCTCAAGGAATCTGAGATGCTAATTGTGAATGTCACCGGAAGAGGGAAGGGAAATGGAGGTGAGTGTCCATTCATGTGCGTTCTTTTGTGCCAATGGCAATGCAGCATGTTCAGTCTAATTTTTCTAAAACAAACTATCATAATACTACATGCATCCATGTTTTTCTCAATATAACAAAACCAGTAACACAATTCAAATCATGGAACCCAGCAAAACAGATCTATAGTTGCATGCCGCCTAAAAGTGATATATGACTCTTTTCTGGTGGTAAGCACGCAAGCAAGAAAAATGCAGCACATCCATAGTTGCATGAGCATTACAGCGAAATAGGAATCCAAATGTTTTCAGGCGTAAGAGAACTGCCTCTTCACCTGAAAAGATAGCAATCCGGTGCACGTTTAATGTATCGATCAAATTCCTAAACTGCCAATAGGGAAATGGAGACGAACAGGAGAAGAAAAAGCGGAAAGAAACATAGAAAAATGGAATGCGAATAGATAAATGGAAGCTCCTAAGAAAGCCAACGTTTAAAAGCATTGTAAATTGGTATGACAGAAAATCATACCAACGTTATGACCAGAGGCATTTAACATAATCGAAAGACTTCGGAAATACAGAAAATCACCAAACCAACGTTACGACCAGAGGAATTTAAACAGCATGACGGATGAAAAACATCGTAATTCCACCGTTGAATCGATAGATATCACCAATTCAGAAGGGAAAACCATTATAGCCTCCATACATGTAGAACTAAATTCAGCGCATAGACGAGCAACAAACTTTAAAACAGAACGCAGCAGCCAAAGTCTGCTGCACGCTTATATACGCCTAAAGCCATCGATGTCAAAATCTCAATATGCAAACAGATCGCGACCCAAAACCAACGCAAGAGCGCATCAGATTCAGTAGCACACGCGATAGATCCAAGGCCACCGCGGGAGGAAATTTCGTTTTCAAAAAAAAGAAAGTTGACTTACGCAGATCCCTGGTTGTAAACATCAATTGAGACGGTGACCTGCTCCACCCCCGACTTGAGACGGAAAAGATCAACCTTCTTGTGCACGACCAAGAATGGCGCGTCGGAGCTTGCCCCGACGGAAGACAACAGGAGGAGGGGCGCGAGGAGAGACAGGAGAGCACTCGATCTGGTGATCGCCATGGTCTCGATCTTCGAGCTCCTTCGGATCGGGGTTGCAGTCGCCTTTCCGAGAAGACGCAGGCAGCCGAGGTGGGCAGGGCAACGCCGAGTTCCCGTATACAACAGGTTAGCCCCAACCATCGATATCTAAAGATCCCTACAAATCATGGCCGTTGATCTAGCAATGAGCGGATAGGATTGTCAATGAAGTCAATCTGGCCGGCTATTAGAGTCGATATCTTCAAACTAGGAAAAATGGACCGGACCATTTTAGTTATCAGGCTTTTCAGGTATAGGGCCCAATAATAATAATGGGTTGTAGGGCCCATTTAAACAAAATCGATGATGGTCTCCAGTGGTATAATTTTTGGGTTTTAGGCCCAGGGCCAACTCTGCGAAACGGCCCATCTATGTGCTGTACCTGTCGGTGTTTGGAGATTTGCAGACAAAACAGCCCCCGCTCAGGGAACGTCTCCAAGTGCCACCGCCGGCGGGATCTCTGAAAGATGAAGTTCTAAAGTTGTGAAGTTATGAAGTTCTTCGTGCTCCTCTCAGCGGTAATTCTGCAGAGGGATTCCTAGTGACCAGGGTAGGAAGATGGGAGATGTTGCAGAGCTCGGTCTGGTTTTCTGAAACAAGATGACAGCATCCGAGCAGCAGTGTCCTGCCGCGCAATGGCGTGGGAACTGAAGATGGACATGGACTTGCGAAGATCTCAGTCCCTTCATTAATGGAGCTCGCGTTCTACAACTAGGATGAGGACCTACTAGACTCTCTCTTTCTATCCTCTATTTGCCTCTATCTCTCCCCTATCTGTGGAGGGAAGAACTACAAGTGCAGAGACAGATCGAGGTCGAGATCGACGTCGACGTGGGATTGTCGACCAGGTGGGGACGGCGAGGGTGAAGAAGACGAAGAATCGCAGGTGGCTGAGCGGACTCCCGCCGGCTGATCCAGCCGCAGGCAACAGCCATCGTAGTAGACGTAGAACACCGGCGAGGGAGGCTCGATCCACAGCGCCGGACGCAGCGGCGCTGCTGATCGACTGGACGTACGGGAGGGAGCGGCGTCGGCGGCACGCAGGAGGGAGCCGGAAGATATGGCGCTCCCGTTCCTGCGCGCGGCGGCGGCGGCGCGTTCCCTCCGGTGAGCGTTCTGGTGACCGCCGAGAGCCTGTGATGTGGTAAACCTCCTGGAACAGTAGAGACAGTGGAATCTCCGGTTGATCGCCGGCTGCTTCCCCCCCGCCGAAGAGGACTTCGGCGATGGCGACGACGGCAGCGGCGGCTTCAGAAGAGCGAGGAACACCTCTTGCTGCTGCTGCTTCTCCATTCCACTTCTCCTCTATAGCGGGAACCCCGTCTCCCATCCAAGCTTTAAAGAGCTCTCTGTCTCTCTCTCTCTTCGAGGGATGATCAGCATGTGTAGAAATACCTTAAATGTCCATGATAAGTGCCGTTATTTTACGCTAAACGAGGCCCACCAACATGAGGGTAATAGGGTAAATATGCCATGGGGATGATTGTACATGGCCGATAAAGAGCAGGTGGGCGTCGCCACTTCTGCTCTGTTCTGTTTCTTCTCTGCGCTGCTCTGCTCTGCTCCGCTCCGCTGTTCCGGCACGTCCGGTGGCGTCAGTGAGGGACCGGGAGGAGGAGGAGGGGGAGGAGACGGTGGGCTCCGCCGGGAGATTCCGACTGCCGGGGCAGCTTCTGTGGAGGGAACCACCGACGGGAGCACCGAGATCGCTGTCGCAGGTAAGAATCCGTTACTCTTCTTCTTCTTCTTCTTCTTCTTCTTCTTCTTCTTCTTCTTCCTCTTACCGCCGATCTGTACATCCGTTTACTGTGATTCCGACGACTCATCCCCATCCTCGCTCAAGAACATGACGAAAGAACGGGTGACCATCGTACGTATTGAGAAATGCATATCCGTCTAATCGATCCGTCGATTTCGAGATGTTTACTTCCTGAAGGGAGAAGAAATAGGGCATCGAATTGATAGCCCTGGAATCTCTGAATAGATATCTATGTACAGTGGGGGAGAGGTTAGATCAGGATTGACTGAGATAATCACATGTACGTACAGTTTCACTCAGCCAGAAGGAAATCCTATTGAAACAGAGAAGTCTGATGTGTGTGGATCAGAGAGTCAGTTGCTGATGTCGAAGTACCTGGGATCCGAAGGGAAGTGGTGCTCCACTCGCAGCTGCAGTTCAAAACCAGGAGGCATTCGTTTAGAGAGGCATCTGGAAGGATTCCAACACCGTATCTGCACGGGCGGGATGATTCCAAGCGGAAATGACTATCGAATCTACTGTAGAGGATCGCAGGAACGATCCTGAGCTGTACTTCCTCCCAACTCATGCAGAGAAAACGAGGATAATAAAGATGAGGGAGAAATCGAAGATCGCAGGAGAGAAAAATGGGGGAAAATCGAGCCGGTTCGTCCTCCCAGGCCGTTTCTCAGTATAATATCTCATGAATTCATTGGTTGGACTTCATTGATTCTTGGAGGAAGAATATAATGCGGTCGTACGCAGGAAGAACTGATTCCATACCTTGCCCTCGTCTGAATCTGAATGGCGCTGGGGAAACACGACCCTGAGATCATTGTAGAGGTAGAATCGTCTTTCCTCCTGAGTGCCCGTAAGATTTCCACGAGGCGCTGAAAGGGGATTAGATTTGCACCTCTGGCTCGACTTAGAACACTTCCTAGAAAAAGGGCAGAGGAAGCGCAGGTGAAGCGCATAACGGATCGCACTAGAACAAGCAATGCCCTTATCGACCTTCAAAGAACTCCCCACAGAATCATTGGCAATTGCAAGGAACCCGTCCAGTGGACTGACCAGATGGCATTCTCGGGAATCATCAGTACAATCACAACCACCTTTTAGAGGGCTTTCTTCTTGCTCTCCGGTGCTCGACTTTAGATCAGTAGATCTAAAGTGATCATTCTCCAGATTACAGTTCTTAATCCCGTGCTTCCCCGGGTCAGCTGGAGCTCTGGAGGAATCTATGGTGATCTTTTGCCTCATAAATGTCTGCTCCAAAACCGAAAGACAGAGGAAAAGGCAATATTATGAACAGAATGACATCTGATCTAAGGATCTGCCCAGAAAGTCAATTCCCATAGCAGAAACCATTACCGCCAAGAATAGCATGTACCTTGGTTCCCACGGGCATGTCACCAAGATCATAGTTGCAGAATAAAGTGTGAAGAGGAGTTCCTTCTGGGTTGCTGATAACCTGTAAGAGGAACAGTTATGTACCTATCAACACGTAACCAAACCAGTTTGCAACGAGTTGATTCAGCCCACATATTTCAACCACAATTCAAACTTTATCTCCCCGAGAAGCTGCCGGACTATGAGGCGACTTTAATCGGCGATCAGCTCAAGAGGGCAAGAGAGAGATCGTACCAGCTGAATGCATCCCTTCACAGGTATCCGGAGCCGACTCCCTGATGCACGGGAACCCTCATTTCCCGAGGTCCTCCTTGTCTTGGAGCCGGCCTTGCTCCTGCCCTGTGGCAGATTCCCCGCGAGATCGATTGATGCATAGTAGAGCAATGAGCTATCTCCATCGACACTGGTTACAGAGAAAGGAAGCTTCCTTGAGGGGGGCGAGAAACTCCCCCCAGTAACATTCAGAATGGCTAGAAAGCCATCCAATCTCTGCAAAAAACCCATAGAACTCAGATATATATACATATTCTTAGAGAGAGAGAGAGAGAGAGAGAGAGAGAGAGAGAGAGAGAGAGGGATGATCCTTGAAGGAAGGAGATGCAGAAGACAGACCTGACTGTCATTGCCGGAGGAGAAACAACCAGATAGCAGGGACTCTTCGAAGGAACCAACCAAAGACCTTCTAACGGGGAGCCCACCGGGAGTTCTGATAAACCTAACAGGCTCCAGCCCGCAGCTCCTGGTTCTTTGGGAACGAACCCGCAAGGCCAACGGGTCAAAGCCCTCTTCCAAGGGTCTACCTCTCACCCCGAGTTCATCACCTTCTGGTGCAGATAAGAGCTCGGAGACGCCATCGCCGACTGATCCTCGCACATCTTCAGCGAACCCATGGAGGCACCCACATGTCTCCACCCTCTCTGGCCGAGATGGTCCGAGAGGAGACAAGGAGAGAGGAGACCAGCTCGGTTCTCCCGGGGAGCCCCCAATTCCTCCACCATCTCCCCAATCTGTGTGAGCACAGGAGGGCCTCGAATCGTCACCATTGTGGAGGCCAAGGCTCAGCTTCGAGCACCTGTACAAGGCCAGCCTCAGAGGCGACCGACAGCCGCCGCCGCCGAAATTCGCCTTCTTACAGTCCTGTGACGCGAACAGGTTGACTTCTCCGACCAAGGCGCTGAGATCGACTCGCCCTGCGCCGCCGCTGCGGCCGCCTGAGAGGTCCAACGACTCGCCGCCGAAGCTACCCCGATCGACCGCCTCCTTTACTGGGGACAGCAGCCGCTTCCTCAGCTGCCGACTGTGAGCTGAGGCCGACGAATCTCCCTGGAATGCGTTTGCCAATTGGGTCAACCCCGCTGACTCGATTCCCACCGCCCTCAAGAGCGGAACATGAAAACCTTGTTTGACTCTGCCGCCATTTTGATCCGTCGAGTTGATCTTCAATGAGTCGAGGCTAACGGGACCGGCGGCGCCGCTTTCCCCTTTGGGGAAGCTCCCCGGAGATCTTGGGAACTCCTTGACGGTTTTTCTCCAGCAATCTGCGACGGAGGCGCGAGATAAACACCCGCAGACCTTATAGCCTGTGTCGGCGCCGCCGACGCCACCTGCCCGAGCGGGAGTCGGAGAAGAGGCGGTCGGCGGCGGGGCCGGCTCATCTGCGAGCTCTGCGGAAGCCTGAGGCAACCCCATTACCCGATTCCAGGATTGCAAACAGTAGAATCAAAGGCGCGCAGGGATTCCGAATATGATTCCAGCTCATGAGCTCAACTCAGCGGCCTAGAATTTTATAAGAAGAAGACAGGTGATGATGAAGAAGGAGAATCATAATCATGGTTGAGGATGATATTTTGACCCAATTTAAATAAAATAATGCAATCTACATATAGAATATATATGTTTATGGAGAAGAAGATGTTCCCGGCCAATGTTCTATAGTTTCCATGATTTTAAGGGCATGAACACTGCAAGAATCCGACGAGGATTTTCGCCGCCCGACTACATTCGCATTAAGGGAGAAAATAAGATAACGGAACGGATCGTTTTACTATACAGAACTAATTTTTCCTCATCAGTCGGTTTATCGTAAAATCGAACGAAAATCAGAAAAAAAGGGACGATCGACTCACCGACACATGAACCGAAGAAATCGAGAGGTAATGAGAGGAGAAAGGATGAGCACGACCAGATGACCAGAAGGAAACCGATTTCTTCAACCGATGATCGCCAACCCCGCGGGGAGACGCCAACGGTTGCTTTCACGGCACACATTCGCCAGAGAAAAAAACCAGAAGAACCGCGAGATAGAAAAACCGCGAAATCGACGAATTAGAAACCGGAAAGGACGAGTAATCGTCCCTCTGCTTCCTTCCGATCAATCAAAAGAAAGATGAAATCATCAAAGTACGGAGGTGGAGCCACCGCACCGACCTTGAGGCACGGCCGATCGAAGTACCCCTCGCTGTCGTCTCTTCCACCATATTCGGAAATACGAACGCAATCGCCGCGGATCTTCAGCCCCCGGAATCGGCGGATTCTATCCACCCCTTCTCTGCTCTTCCACTTCGGCTCCCCGCAGGGCGGCGCAAGCCATGTCTATATATACATACGGATTCCCTTCTCTCTGGTGGCGTGTTCAGTTGTCCCGCGGGTTCAAGGTGTCGTCTTGAAATTATTCGCGTGGGTTCCACTGTACCGCCGGTGACGTTTACGGTAGCCGTTGTTTGATGCTGAACGAGCCGGTCCGAAACGGAGACGGGCCCCGTCCTTGTCCGAAGAGACTATTCCCGTATTGGATAGAGTTCCGAGACGGCCAAACAGTCCCCGTCTTTATTTTCGGGCTTCTTTTGAAGCCCGAATTTATGGGCCAGACGTCTCGTGGGCCTACCTGGCCCGATGGCATTCTTAGGATAAGCCCCCGTCGCCGGTGCGGCTGCGGTGTATCCGTAGGCGCCGCCGCGCACAGCAAAAGTTCCGAGTTCGAGTTCGAGTTCGAGTTCGAGCGAGTCCGTTCCAGAACTCGCGATTCGATTGGGCGGTATCTACAGCAACAGCGAATGGAACGGAAGACCAAGGAGAGTCGACGTCGGACATCGGCCCTGTTCCCGTTCGCGACTTGGCCTATTTTTTACGCCGTTCACCAGGTCAAGTGAGCCGATCCACATGGTCAACTCTTCCGGATGTTCTCTTAATGGGTTGTTTCATCAGTTTGGGCCTCGCGGAGATTCCTCGAGGCGGACTCGTAAATGGACCATGGGCCAGACCCATTCTCAAAAGATCGAGCACCGATATACAATCCTTTTTTAAGAATTAAATTATGTTTTATATGAATTAATAAATACTTTTGCGTTTTATTTTATGAAACATAAAAAACAATAGGGCCTAGACTCACCGTGTCAACTCTACAGATCCGATCCAGACCCGATGAGTCGAACGGAGGCAATCCAATAATCCGGCCCGTTAAGGCCCACTATAAAATGACGGCCCGATAGCAAGTCAGAGAGAGACTAGCTCCGGCATCTGGGTTCGACGACGGTATGCTCGTCCGCACCGACACGTGCCAGTTAACCAGATAAACACGTTTATGGTGTGGTTGTCCGGGGCCATCTGTCAGAGTTTGACCTCACGAGCACCAGATAAAGTCAAACGGACGGGGCGGTGCCCACTATGTCCGTCCAATCAATCTCTATAGTGATCGTTAGAGAGAGAGGGAGATAGTTAGCGTGTTGATAACTTAGTCAACGCTTTTGACGTGGCAACATAAATAAGGATGGTTTAGGACAGGTTCCCCGTAAGACAAGGTCGATTAAGACAAATCGAACAGACGGATCACGACCAACTCCCTAAATTTAAGAGAGAAAGAGAGAGAGAGAGAGTCTACAGATAACTTTCACGGGGAATCGAACTCAGTTGACTCTTTAAGCCAATCCGGGTAACCAATCGACGCGCGCTCGTGTGTATAAGACGGGTTGGATGAGGTGGGAGCAAACGGGGCAGGCTCGATCCACGTGCGGATAGGAGGCATTTGACTTTCTATGGGCCTAACTGCAGGCCTAAATTCTAGAAGCCAGAGCTTAGGGGTCGGGCCGAACCGTGTTTCGGGCCTGGTTGGGCCCAAGAGCCCTATTTTGGGCGTCTGGACGAAACCGCTCATTGATGTGGGCCTTGACAACTAAAATCTGGTCAGTCATAAACTCGAGCATATTCCATTTACCTTTTTACTCATTTTATGTCACATCAGTTGGAATGGGGATAATTATTCTCAAATCCTTGCCATTAATTCCTATTAATGGCCTCTTAACTCCCATTGATGTAGGCCTCTCTCTCTCTCTCTCTCTCTCTAGTGAGATGGGGACTGTACAGCATTTTTGTCTGCGTATTTTGACTATTTTAATTTGCGACTGGGGGTAGTCAACATTTCTCGAAGTCTCGAAAGGGAAAAAAATAGATCTAAACTCTATAACGCTAATATTACAATGGGGGTAGTCGCCGGTCCCTTGAATCTTCCGGGAATTTGAACCACAATGGGGGATGTTTTTGTTTACCCCCCTATTTAAATATTTGATTTGCTAAACCAAGGCCATACTTGTTTTTTTTGCGTTGCGAAACGGAGCTAAGAGTGGGTTGGTGTTGTGTGGTATATCTAATATTACAGGATTGTTGAGACTATTAAGGAAGTTTAGAGGGGTTTATTGACAATAATGCCCACCCTCCCAGATCGTTTGTTAAAAAAAAGAAGGAAACCTGGTAACAGTCTCTTGAAAATTTCAGTCAGCTGGAAGAAAGGTCTCAAAAGGCGGGGTGGGTGAGGAGCCGGTGGGGAGGGAGGAGAAGGGGAAGGATTTGTGAGTCGTCGGCGAGGAAGAGGAAGGAAGATGACGTGGGTGAGCAGAGCCGGCGGCGGTCCGAAAGGGGGCGGCGTTTCCTCCATCTTCCTCCTGATCCTCGGTCTGGTTTTCGCTTTCGGCACCTACAACCTCGTATCCGTCGTCATCCGCTACCAGATGGATCGGGCGGTCGAATCCTCGGCGGACCTGCTGGTAGATCCCGTCGTCCGAATGCCCAGGGACCGGCGGGGTGCGGCGTCCGCCAGGAAGCTTTTCCATGTGGCGCTGACGGCAACCGATGCGCCGTACAGCCGGTGGCAGTGCCGAATCATGTATTACTGGTACAAGAAGGTGAAGGCCATGGAGGGATCTGATATGGGGGGTTTCACCAGGATCCTCCACTCGGGCTACAGCGACAACCTGATGGACGAGATCCCCACCGTGGTCGTTCAGCCCCTGCCGCCGGGTCTCGATCGGGTGAGCTTGATTTCCATGGGATCTTCTGTTGTTCTCGGCCGGGATCCCGCTTCTGTCCTCCAATTCTGACCAGTCTCCTCGCAATTCTTCGTGCGAAGGGCTATATTGTGCTCAACAGGCCGTGGGCGTTCGTGCAGTGGCTGGAGAACGCTACTATTGAGGAGGAGTGAGTTATCGGCGCCATAGATTTCTCTTCCTTCCTTTCTTCCTTCTTCTTCTTCTGGCAGAACGCCGAAGAGCTTGCCTGCGCGTTATACTGGTGTGAACCCTCTGCTGTAGCTATATTCTGATGTCGGAGCCGGACCATGTCTTCGTGAACCCTCTGCCGAACCTGGCCGCCGGCGGATACCCAGCTGCCTTCCCCTTCTTCTACATCAAGCCCACCGAGCATGAGGAGATCATTCGAAAGTATTATCCAGTGGAGAGAGGCCCCGTGACAAATGTCGACCCCATCGGCAACTCTCCGGTGATCATTCACAAGGTGAGATCTCATCTCCCATCCATCGCTTCCAGAACTGAGCACGTCGTCGCTGAGATCCTCTGCAACTTATTCTTCCGTTGACCAGCTGTTATCTTGATGAACTTGTGTATAGCAACCCCATTAACGCGGGCTCTTCCCCCGTTGACCAAAATTTTCTCGCCAGGCCCAGCTGGAGAAGATCGCGCCCACCTGGATGAATGTCTCGCTGAAGATGAAGAGTGACCCAGAGACCGACAAGGCCTTCGGATGGGTTCTGGAAATGTGAGGCCTCTTTTGAAACCCTGTTTCCTATACTTAAACGTTTCCATCTGTCGCCTCCTCTGCAGCTCTTCTCTTCTTGGTATGTCAAAGGTACGCATATGCTGTTGCAAGTGCGTTGCATGGCGTTCAGCACATTCTTCGCAAAGACTTTATGATTCAGGTACACATGTAGCTTCTCCGATCCTCACAGCGCGCATGTGCACGACAAAAAATCCGATCTTTTTATCAAGTGATTCTGAAATTTGGCCTTCAGCCCCCATGGGATCTGGAGGTTGGGAAATCGTTCATCATTCACTACACATATGGCTGCGACTATAACATGAAGGTACTCACTTTCCCCTTGCTGTAGCCTGCTAAATTTCAGCATCTGATCATCTGGTTACTCGTTGTGGGAATCATGCCAGGGTGAGTTGACTTATGGCAAGATCGGAGAGTGGCGATTTGATAAGAGGTCACATCTCCAGGGTCCTCCTCCAAGAAACATTTCTTTGCCCCCGCCTGGCGTCCCAGAAAGTGTGGTACGTTCACCTGCCCATGTGTTTGGAATTTTTCATCTGCTTTGATCTCCCAACATCTGGGAATTTCTGATTCTGGGAATACCCTGTTGGGCGCACAAAGTCCTGTGTGATTCTGTAGGAAGCTGAAACTTACTCTGATGATTGCATCACCACACCATGGGTCTCCCTTTTCCCCTTCTCTCCTTGTTTTCCTTGTCCTGAGGATGACATGTTTCTGGTTTGGATGGAAAAGTTGCATGTTGGTGAGCGTTTCTGATGGGAAATGTGACCATCCTTGGGAGACCCAGAGGCATCTGAGTTTCATGGAGCTGAAAATCCCCAGTAACTTGCATAAGCCTGTAGTATTCTGAGCTCTAATCTGGGTTCTGTGAGTATTGTGCTTGTGATCATAGATGCCGATCTTGAAATGTCTTCTGGCATTTGTCGATGATCTAGTGAATATTGTCACCCAGGAATGAAGGGGCTGAAGCAGTTAGATATTGACGGAGTTCTTCTTTGATCATGATGATTTCTTGTACGGCCTGTTGTTGCAGAGAGTTTTTCATTCACTAGCTTCTAGTGTTCAGCTCTGATTCTTCCGACGTCTGGGTGACTGGGGGTTTCCATGCACATCTCCCATACATTTTCTTCACTGTTTCAATTGAGCTGATGGTGTTCTTCTCCCGATTGAAGTGAAGTTCATTGTTTTATTTTTTTATTTTTTAATACAAAATAAGAAAGAAATAATATTTGTGTGCCTTGGATCCTCCTTCCTGGAAATGGTCTGCAGTATATTTTTTTAATATATTCTGGCGCAAGGTTTTTACGCTCAGATAGTAGCAGGTAATATGTTCACCGTTTCTTGGTCAACGTTCCCTTTTTGGTTTACTGCCAGCTTCTGAACTTTCAATTGAACAAGTACCTGGTGGAACTCTTTGATCCGAGTTGACCGGAGCGAGTTGAGTGGATTGCGGAGGGTTTGGCTGCTGGTGGGTTGAACGGGTTCAGTCAACTGGCGGCGTCAATGGTTGGTGTGGTCAAACTCTGATCCATGGATCAGTGGCTAACCCTCCAAAATCTGCCGCTGACCCAACCATTGCCCACTGCTGACCTGATTCTCTCATACATTTGTAGCCTTTGTGAATCGTTCAGTGGGAACTCCATGGTGTAGCGCCTTGGCACAAAATCTTGGGTTCCTTATGGAATCTCTGGAATTTTTCTGCACCATGAAGAGGGATTATCTGATTATGGAGATGGGAATCCATGGGAGCACTCGCTGTCTGATTTATTTATTTGTTCATAGGACAACTGGTTTTGAGCTGAATCATGCCATTTGTCCCGATAATACCTCCGAATAGACATGCTGACAGTGGATGGGACAAATGTCTGCTCGATTTGGTAAGCAAGAAGTCCAGTCTTCGCAGATTGAAATAGGCGACGGTCAATCAAGCGTTGTTTCCATTCTTGGTCTCATGAGAACCACGGTCAAAGTCAACGAATCATTCTCTCCTTCACCTTAGTGGAGCACTCGGTTCAGCAGGACATCTTGATGGAAAATAAATACCCGAAAATTTGCAAAGGAGTTTGGAGAACATTTCGGCCACAGCTTTATTAACTGCACAGTAATAGACACACACTCCTAGGCTGCACTGGTTCTAGGCTTCATTGGGATTCTGCAGAATGGAGATGGGAGTTTGTGATCATTCGTATCAGCTGATGAAGGCCTCCACTTTTTCACGATATTGGCTTGCTTTCCCTTAGTTTCCTGCAACGGCTTGCTGTGATCCTTTCATTCTCTAGAAATTTGAGCTCCAGAGATAATATTGGCTGCTGTCTCCAGTCATCCTCTTTTCCTCGGCATCCACTGCTTCGGTTTTCATCTCTCTCTCTAATGTGATGACCCTTGGTGCAGGTCACACTGGTGAAGAAGGTGAATGAGGCCACTGCTAACATTCCAGGATGGGACAATGGAAGATGAAGAAGCTACAGAGGAAGGTGCTGGTTGAGTGGAGAGTTGACAGACTTCATAAATCCCAAATACGCAAAGGAGAGAGACACAGAAAACGTGGTAGATCCCGTTCAGTAGGATGAAAGCCCTGGAGAGCGCGGGCTATGTTCTTCTGGTTTGGTGAGCTCTGTAAAGCTGACATTTTTGTTGTCTGAGGTTTTCATACTTCAGGCCATACCCGTCCGAAGTCGACTGAATAATTTATCCATCCCTCCCGGTAGTGGAGTGACCTTTTGGTCTCAACTTCGTCTCCTCTCTTGCTCGTTGGACCCATGGTGGTCAAGAAATGTCTGCAACAGTGCTTGGCGGATGAATCCGGGAGACTTTTGGGAAAAAAAAAAATCTGCCACTAGGAAATGGCTGCAAAATAATGCCGTTATTCGTGCTGGTCCTCGTGAATTCCGCGTCTTCCAGCAAACTAGTGAAACTTGAGTTTGGCCCTGATAATCAGCAGTCTGGCCAGGTTGGGCTGCTTTCTGTTTCCAATACCCAAGATTCTTCAAAAAATAAACACTTCGTCAAGTATATAATTACATAAGTTTTTCGCTCAAATTCTCAAAATTTGGGATGAAGGAACTCCGTCTTCCATCACGGGTTGTGCTCAGTTCTTCTGATATCCATGTGAAATACTAATCAAGAAGGAAAGGCATAGTAGTAGAACGGTCCCGCATTAAAATGAAGAACCTAAATCAACGTACCACTTCAATATGTGGGCCATTCCGCTCATTCTTGCCTGGATTTGTGAAGTGCTGCTGATTATCTGATATTCATTGATAACTCTCTGAATATCAGATGCTCAACTCTTCCTGATCGCAATTGGATTGGAGTGATTTCCTAAAAAACTGTAGACACACGGGGATAAGCGAGATAATAAAGTAATCATGTCTTGAGAAAATAGCTACTCAGTGTCATCGATCGATGGATGCTCATCGGTGCGAGGGAGAAACGGTCAGCCGGAAGATCGATTTTCACGGACTCAACTGCTTATTTATGACTCAGCAGGCCACGAAGCGGAACAATACAGGTGGAAGAAAGGGAAACTGTGCAGCACATTTATCGAGGTTCTTGTGCACTGTTACCGAGGTAACTGCAAGGTGCATATAAACAGAGGGTCTTTTTCCTTCATTCGGAATAGTATAGAGCAAACCCATTCTACCCTTATTATACCATAGAGAGAGTGTTTGAGACAGAACTTTTAAGGAAGATCTCTCGAGTTGATGAGTGCATCAGAAGACCAAGATCAAAGATATGTTCCTTAGATCTTAGAAGGGTCAAGATCATCAATCTGTTCTTTTGATTCTTAAGGATTTATTCTTTTATACTACTTTTCACATTAGAAATAGAGCTTTGGAGCTCTGTCACTAATAAATTCAGATATCCTTCATGGTGTGAGGTTCTGCATCCATTGAAAATGTCGAGTAGCTAAAAACAACGTCCCCCACACAAATGATTCTCTTGTTCTCCACTGAGAACTTGACGGCATTGGAGTTCTGTCATGAAATAAGGATGTTCATTGAAATGCCCTGACTGCTCAATAGTCTAGCATGAACACCCAAAACAATATATCAAATTCATTTTCCTTTCTAATGAATCTCACTCGTCTTTCCTCCGGCCGCTGAGAGGCTTGCATCGTCGAAATCCCTCGTGTCAGAATAGGTTCGGCTTCTTCACTTTCAAAGAGAACGATCACGAATTGCCTAAAGGAAAACCCTAAAAATAGAAGACGAACATAAAATTTTCGATCATAAAGAAGGATTCATGTAGATGCCAGAAAATATCATGGATCAGGATCAAAACAATTAGGACTCAATCTGAGGACAGATCTGTACGTCTATTTCCTCCAGCACCACACAAACATCGTAACTGAAAGGTATCGAAAAAACAAGCCAATTCAAATGTGAATTCCGCCATTCACTACACTCAGAATCCCTATCTGTACACACAACGTATAACAGCGCTCAGAGCTTCAGTTTCTAGAGATTGAAAACAACGATCCATAAGCGTTTCCAACAGAAAATGAATAGCGTCTAGATCCCTTCCGGTCAATTCTTCACCATATAATGTATCCAATCCCCACTTAAGCCCCAATCAGTAGAGACACGAAGCGCTATTCTACAGCGAAAATACGAAAATCTTCAAATCATAACGAATAGAGAATGCGGCCGGAGCACAAGACAGACTGCGTAGATAGTCGCATGATCATGCCTTCTACGAACAACCAATTGGAGGAGAATCATCGACGATCAAGAGGAACTCAATCACCATGCTTTCCACGGCTCTGCGCGATGGCTGCACTGGGTAGAATGACGATCTTTGTTGAACTCTTTGAGTGAGCGACCTGTATATATACACATCCGTCTACAGAGTCAGCGGTCTCGGATTGGGGGGAGGGGGGAGCCATTCCAATATCGGGCCGGGCATTAGAGAACTCAAGCCTAAATCGGGCCTAGATGCCCGCCCGTAACTAAAAAATAAAGCCCGAAGCTTTTAAAGGAGAAAGGGTCTAGTCCGGGCGCGGTTCTGGTGATAAATCGGGCCCGTGTTGTGGCGTTCAAGGGCCCCGAAATTTGAAATCAGACCGATTTCGGGCTTCGCCAATTCGGCCCAAATGCCCGCCATCTCAGCCCAGAGCCCACTGTCTGTGGGGCTAGAACCTTAGGACGGTACTTACATAATTCTATATTAAATGAGGGGTTTAAGAGAAAAGAAATTATAAATTTACTTAGTATAGGCTGGTGGTATATCTTAGGGATGTACTTTGGGAGGCAAATTGTGGGCCCCACAGTCCAGTAGTCAACGCCCACAGTCGGCGCTGTCCACAAGGCTCTGTCTTAGCGGCGTAGCATGCATGCCCAGCACGTTAACGTAACATCTCCTTCTTTCACGGCAGCAACCCCTACATGTACGACCTCACCCTTTCCATCTTCGGAAGTAAATCCTCTCTCTCTAACTCTTTCTCTCTCTCTCTCTCTCCAAATGATTTATATGTATCCATTTGCACTATTATATCCCTCTCCATCCTCTCTATATGTCACTTGTGTGCCTCCATTTGTACTATTCTGCGCTCTCTCTCTCTCTCTCTCTAGCTCGTGTGTTTGGTGGTGGGTCGCGACCGGCAATCGTGCCCACTTCACCGACAGAGGTCGAGAAGTGCATATCGCGCTGTCTACGTAAATAAAAGGGAAGCTCCATCTAATCCCCTTCTGTGTTGTTGCACGTCTGTTCTTCCAGCATACGTACATACATCTGCATGTGGAGGTAGAGTGAGTGAGAAAGAGAGAGAAAGAGAGAGAGAGAGAGAGAGAGAGAGAGAGAGAGAGAGAGACACGATCGATGCCGAGTTTGCTTGTAGAAGTTGGACTCATGCTCCCCTTTCTCTCTCCGAGAGACCAATAATTCTTCGGCATATTTTCTTATCCTAAAATTGCTCAAGTGGGCCCATTGGGTCATTTTATTCATCCTCTCTCTCTCTTGTGGATTCTTCACTTTTTTCTCTCTCCGAGAGAGAGACGGAGAAGAAAAACCCGGAATATTAGGTGGACAAGGCACCGCGCCGTCACAGTCTCTCTCTAGATTTTAACTCAGTCCCCTACGCTATTCGAGAAAGCGTAGAAAAGCGTATTAACTGGTGCAGAGACAGTGGAAAGTTAGAGAGGGTACATCTTCGAGGGGAAAAGCCTAAGGATCTCTTCTGGGGGACAACAATGGGGAAGAAGAGCTCCGGCAGCTGCCCTCGTCGTTGTCGTCGCCATCGTCGTCGGAGGCCTCCTCTGTCACGCAGCTCGATTCCGAGTCCGACGGGGAACTCCCCAACGTTATCAGATTGGGGAGGCGGCGCCCCCAGCCGGCGTCCTCCTCGGCGGCGGCGCCGCCTTTACCGACTCTCTTCCTGAATATCCGACAGAGCACCCATTCCTCCACCGTCGAGCCCTGCACCCTCAGCAGAAGCAACGTCGCGTCACATAGAGAGATAGAGATAGAGATAGAGAGAGAGAGGTGGCTGTAAGGCGTGCCTTATTTGACCGATCCCATTCACAATCTCTCTCTATGACTAGAAATATTCAACAGACGAAAGCTAAGCTGGTCGCCTTCCAAGGTCGCCGCCGACGGCGATTCGCTTGTTGGGGGAAGGGGACCACATAAGATTGCGGCTGACCCCGTCTCCCCCCATCTCGACGCCATTGACCACAAGCCTCTGATCCCATACCACTTAGAGAGAGAGAGAGAGAGAGGGAGAGGGAGGGCTTACGAAGGAGAGCTTCTTCTGCTGAAGGAAGATGCCGGCGAGGCGGTACTCGTGCATGAACCAGTCTGTCCTGGAGCCATTGGAGCCCTTCCGAAGGTTGAAGACGAGCGATTTCTTAATACCCACCACCTGGTTGCAGGCGACGATATCTCTGCTCCTCCCCATGGACTTCCAGTAGCCGGAGGAGGAGGCCCGATGGGGGCACCTCCTTTGCTTCTCCGGCCTGATGCAGAAGAAGTACCTCTCCCTGTCCGGACAACCTGACGACCAGAAAAGCCCACTTCTCAGCATAATCTAATCACCCAAGTCCCGCATTCGGTTTCTGCCATTAATCGCAGAAAAGTTTCATAACTGGGGTGGTCCACGACCGAATTCGGAAGGTCCGGGGCTCGGTTTTCTCGAGAATGTGAGAGGAAACAGAGGAAAGAAGGTACAGCATGGAGAAACAGACTAGGGTTTCTTCTCTTTCGAAGGTGGGAGGGGAAGAGGCTAACCAGGAAGGTCCCATGGGTCGTATCTGGAGAGAAGCTCAAGCTCGGGGATGACGGCGGCCGGCAACGGGCGGGAGAAGACCTTCCTCTGTAGGTACTGCAGCACCAGCTCCTCGTCGGTGGGGTGGAACCTGAAACCCGGTGGTAGATTCACCGTCCCTTTCCTCGCCATCCTTCTCTGTTCCCTCCCCCCTTGCCGGAGAAGACCAGAAGAGAGAGAGAGAGATAGAGAGAGAGGTATGCGGGAGGTGAGGGGGAAGACAAGGACGAAAGGCCAGGATGCTTTATACTGATACGACGGCGGAGAAGACGCCTGCAGACCGCACTCTTCGACTACTCCCCTCCTCAAGCTTCCAGAAAGGAGAACGACGACTTTTTTCTTTACTGAAGGTAATCGCGGCAGTATTTTCGTCGGAATAATTAATTACCATAAATATTGTCGTATTATAATATTTTAATAAATGCTTTTATATTTTAGAGGCGTTTGCCGTCCTTGTTCCGCATTCATGTTCACGAAACATGTATTTTTTCCCGTTTAATAATTAAATATTATAATTATTCTTTATTTTTTCTTACCGGAGATTTGGAAGAGAAAAAAGCCCGTTGGCCGGGTTGCCAAAAACAGACTGGGCTCGGCGAAGCCGACACCGGTCGCCTGGTTCCTCAAATCACCCGGCCGCGGTCAACGGGAATGGACAATTGCATAAATTTAAGATCATCATGGGACCTAATAGTAAAATACGGGGAGCCGTTGACGTCAACATGGGTGGCTTCCGTGACCCAGAAGGAAATACATAGAAGACTTCAAGAGGGGAATCTCTATGTGACGAGAGAAAGAGAGAGAGAGAGTTGTGCGTCGGTTTCTCTCTCAAAATCTCTCTCTCTCTCTATGGGTGCCTCTGGCATGCATGGTCAAAGGGGGGGAGGTGGTTGCGTGTGGCGGTGGTGCCAGCAAATAAGAATGGTGGGGCCCAGCGGAGTAAATAAAAACCCGAGTCGTTGCACGGAGAGGTGGGTGGCGTCCATGGAGTGGGAAGGTCGGTGGGATCCACATGGTGCCAGATGGTCCAGCTAACCGACTGATGCGGCGTCAGCAGGTGACGTGGAGAATAGCTCATTTCCGCGCCGAATCGGTCTTCATAATCATAATATTATTATTATTATTGCTAATAAAACGTGGACGTGGTGACAAGATTGCGATGTTGTGGGCCCATATTGGGCTTGAGCCCATTTGGGCCATTAAACAGCCAAGAATCAGACGGGCAGTGATTTAATTGGGCTGTATTCGGCACCATACGGGGCCCAGACTGAGACTCAGATGATGGGTCCACTAGGTCCACCACTTTTCTTCTTCTCTGATCCAGAGTTTGAGGCCCAACTGCTTAAGAACTTGGGCCGAGCCTTGTCGGGCTTAGTAGGCTCATTTTTGATAACCCTTCTCAATGATCTGGGGGACGGGGTCAACCGCGGGGGAGGGTTGGGGAGAGAGGGGGGAGAGAGAGAGAGAGAGAGAGAGAGAGAGATGACACGTGGCAGCGCGGGCACTTTAATTTCCCGCGCCGCTCTTGCCAGTAGTGGGACCGGGCGACTTGACTTATTCGAGCTCATCACTGAGAAGGGAAGTGATGCAGAGAGGCCAGTGCGTTGACATTATTCCAGGAACAACGGCCAACTCAGCGCGGCCCACTCACCTGCCGTCCCTGCCAACAGTAGTGCGGGCCACTGATGGATTGTGGGCGCATATGGGCATGGCCCACGATGAAATTCCGCATTCGGGCCCATTGAAAAGAGGGGGCAGGCGTAAAATAAAATAAAATGAACGTAATAAAGATGTGGCCCAATGAAGCACGGCAACGGCGTTAGTGGGCCCCACCAGGGGACCCATTTCTACAACGAGAGCCAACGGTGACGACCACGATAGAAAGGCTCGGACACATATCACTAACTGGTCGGAATTTATGGGTCTACGACCCAGTGGTCCATTTTATCTTCCTATTGGACTGACTGCGAGCTTCTCGTTGACCGCTCTCCACCGATCCGACACAGTGAAGTTGTTCGTGGGTCATCGTCTTCCTTCTGGAAGATCTCTGGGAGATCAGGGATGCCTGTCCGAGTTCGGACAAATTGTCTGAAATTTTTGACTTGGGGAGGGAGTCAACCCAGTTCGCCGGTATACCGGACAGCGAGGTACCGATCATCCGAACAGTACGATCGAGAGAAGTTAATGGTGAAGCCGAAGGAGACTGTGGAGAGCGGAGAGAGACGAAAATAGACTGCCCATTGAGCCAAAAGATGGAGTACTCTTCCGGGGAGGGAGCTGGAAGTCTTGTTTAAATGAGGTCCCAGAGCTGTGGGTCACCTGGCCCCACTCTCTCTCTATCTCTTTCTCTCTCAAGCTCTTCTAAAAGTCAACTCTTTGGCACCAGGAGAGTAAGCAGGAAGGGCACGCTGGAATATTCGCAAACGATGGCTGGCTATTTCACCGGCCAAGTTGAACGTCCCACCACAGTGGCCGCCGCAGCGGATAACCTGGGCAGGAAGGGCTTCATTATTCGCTACCGGAGAGCTCCCCCTCCATTATTCTCTGCAGAAGATCGCCCCAGATGCTGGAGGGAGAAGGAGTCTGGTGCGGTGGAGACGTTATTCTCAAATACCACGGAGTAGGAAGGGGAGGAGGGCCAAAAAGAAAGGTTGTTGGGGACGTCCCCTTTAGTCTTCTTCCTCTCTCCAACCCATGAGACGCGACGACTCTCAACATGGGTTTTCACTGTGGCTGGCATGCCCCGTCCTCTCTCTGTCTTTTGTTCTCGTCCTCCGGGTAGACACAAGAGGCCGAAATCAGCGGTGGCGCCCAAGTCGTTCCACTGTTTCTCTGTCATCCCACAGCAGGGTTTCCACGTCTGCTAGCATTCGAGGAAGATAAAAGTCTCACTTCTCTTTATTAGTGTACTTGTTTGCTTCTCTGTGCGTGTCTCTTCCTGTCCTGCTGTTTGTTTTCATAAGAAAATCTAACCCTATGTTGCATGGTCTAGGCATACAGTGATTCTCATGTGTACACAGTTTTACGTGAACGTTAACGAGTATCATTATCTTTCCAAAACGAATATTAAAGGAGGTAACCTAATCTTTGTCGCAGGGTCAACGAAACTAGAAGACAAGAATTCGTACCAATCCCGTACTTATACCAGGCTCTTGAATCTCAGTAAACCCGCATGGTGTTGCCCCCATGGAATTCTCTCTGGTTTCCCGTGGTTTTCCTTACAGGTCATCTTAAGCATGGGTTTCCCAGCGTCTTCTCGGGCTTCTAACAGAGGTTATCATTGCCATTCCTTCTTCAGACGTAGAGAGAGAAAGAGAGAGTAGAAGAGGAGGGTAGGTGAATCGCTATCAGAGGGCGGCTGAGTGAGCTTGGGTTCTCATCCTGGGGACTCCGTTGCTCTTGGTTTCTTGGCCTTCTAGAACTTTCATGAGGTACTCTCTCGCACGCTGTTCATGTACCTTCTTGCACAGAGCCTCGTGATGACTTCATAGTGAGCGAGTGAGTTGGTGAGATATACGTATACATACCAAGATCGAACGATCGAGAGAGAGAGAGATGCAGGGCAACCAGGTATCCCGTAGGCCCCTCCGGTGTATTGGACGCGTTTGGATTCACGAGGTGTCCGATACTACCTAAAACACGCCTCCGTGTCCTTACAGTGGTAGGTAGTTGAGCTATACAGTTCTCACTGCGGATGACGTGGTTTCCGCCGGCCACCATTCAATTCATCCATTGCTACCTCACTGATTAATTTCACACTTTACCAAGTCCAGTCAAATACCACTTATGCTGTTCTCGTGTCTATTTAAGGGGATGAAAACCCTTCGGAAATCATCTGCATCTGAAGAGACTGGGGAGGTGGGAGGGCGTGCATTTACTCTTTCTCTCTGTGACTCTCTCTCTAAGCTCTTCCTATTCTGTCTAAACGGTGGGCGGGACAATAGCCGGCATGCACCATCCTTGGGCCTTTGCCTTCGGCATCTTAGGTTGGTCTTGACCATGGAAGCACGGTTGACTTCTTATTCCACGCCTTTTCATTTACTTCAGTGGGTTTGGTCGATCAGGGCTGATTCTTTCGTGTTATGGTTTGGTTTACAGTTAGTTTTACTTAGTATAGGACTTGTTTTTTCATGCTGTCGTGTGATTTAATGAGTGTCTTGCTATCCTTAAGAGCGGTTCTCTCATGTTATGGTTGCCCTTGGAATGAACATACGTAAACAAATTCTTTAAGATCTTCATACACACTGATGCTCATCTCCCCCTGAATGCGCAGGTAATGTCATCTCGTTTATGGTATACCTCGCTCCAGTGTATGGAACCATCTCTCTCTCTCTCTCTCATATTTGCCATCTGCTTCCTATTAGAAGGGTTGTTGACCTCGATTGTGGTTGATGATCTCAGGTCGACGTTCTATCGGATCTGCAAGAGCAGATCCACGGAAGGGTTTCAGGCGGTACCGTACGTTGTTGCACTCTTCAGCGCCATGCTGATGATTTACTATGCCCTGATCAAGACTAACTCCTATCTCCTCATCACCATTAATGGAACTGGCTGCTTTATAGAGACTATTTACATTGCGCTGTTCCTCATATTTGCTCCCAGAAAGGCCAAGGCAACTCTCTCCCCTCTTCTTCTTCTTCTTCTCTCTCTCTCTCTCTCTCCCCTAAATGGTGTTCGTTCTCCGGGGATAGCAGATCTCTGCGTTTAAGCTGCTGGTTCTGTTGAACGTTGCCTCGTTCGGGATCATCGTAGGGTTGACTCTTCTGCTACTGAGAGGCTCGACCAGGGTCACTGTTATCGGATGGGTCAACGTTGGGTTTTCCGTCTGCGTCTTCGCGGCTCCGCTCAGCATCATGGTGATGAATAATCCCTAAACTTCCTTCATCGGCCTCATCGAAACACTCTTTAACGAAGTTCTGTGATTATCAGAGACTCGTTATACGCACCAAGAGCGTCGAGTTCATGCCCTTCTTCCTCTCCTTCTTCCTCACTGTCAGTGCGGTTGTCTGGTTCATCTACGGTTTCCTCATAAGAGATCTCTACGTTGCCGTAAATCCCTCTATCTCTATCTCTCTTGCTCTCTCCTATCTATAGTTGGAGATCTTGTGATGTGATGATTTACTCTCTCTTTCTCTCTCTTTCCCCTTCTTCCTCTGTATTGCTCAGGCGCCAAATATCTTGGGCTTCCTGTTCGGCGTGGCGCAGATGGTGCTGTATTTGATCTACAGGAGGAGACGAGGCAAGGACCCTGAGAAGGCGATGCCAAGTGCCATGGCGGGCAGCGAGGTCCATCCGGTTGAGATCAGCATTGAAGTCAACGTGGTGGGAGCGACGGGAGCCGCCCAAGTGGACGGCAGAAGTATCGCCGCCGTCCGAGGTTATGTGCACGTTGGCCCCACCTCGCATGATGAGTCTTTGCCGTCTTCCTTTTCTTCAAACTCTTGAGCCGGATATCCCTCTGAGTGACGGCCGACAAAGTCCGTAATGTAGAAAGAGAGAGAGAGAGAGAGAGAGAGAGAGAGAGAGGGAGAGAGCTGCCGTGCTTTACGTGCTTCTTTTCGTCGTCTCTCTGCCTCTCCCCATCTGGCGATCCTCTTCATCTGTTTCACCACGTCCCCATTGATCGACCATCAAACCTCAAGGGTTGCGTTACGCTTCCTCCTCTCTCTCTCTCTCTCGCCCTAAATATATTGCCTCACGTAAATTGAATTAATCAACGACGAAGGGCATGGCGGAGCAAAGATATCTTCTTTACCCGTCTGCAGCAGCGGCAGTTCACTGGCACTAAGATGAATCTGACGCGGATTCGCACCAGGTGCTGACTGCAGACGGATTGTACACAGCACAACGTCCGATCCGTCCGAAGCGCCACGCGGAATACCCATATGTATATCGACCAGATCTTTACGAGTTTTTTTTTTCCCGAGTTTATTCCTATATTCACCGTCAGCAGAAGGCCTGACAGCCTTACACGTGGCGGCGTGATGTGGCATAGTTTTCCATGAACGACATACATTGGATTGCGAGAATAAGATATAAATGGCTCGGCTTAACAATTATTGATGGACTTCCCAGATGAACAGGGAAAGTAAACGGTTGTAAACGTCAGCTATACCAGCTACCTGTACGACCACCATCCCCCCCACATAAATTGCCTACGTTTGACGATCTAAATAAGTCCACTTACTGACAAGGAAGTATACGGAATCCTTGAGTGAGTCTGGTCAAAGTCGTACCCCTCATTGTATTGTCTGAAAAGGATCCCTTCTGAGTCTTGGTAAAACCTTAAAAGTCAAATTTCCCTACATTTAGTAATATATATATATATATATATATATATATACAACGCCAGCATTACACGTGGCGGTATGATGTGGCGTTGTTCTCCATGGACAGCAGACATTGGACAGTGAATAAGATATAAATGGGTCGGGTTGACGATTATAGATGGACTTCCCAGATGATTAATATGGAAGTAAACGGTTATAAATGTCAATTACACCAGCTACCTGTACTTAGAGCATACGGATCCCTTGAGTCAGCCTGGTCAAAGTCGTACCGATCTCATTGTACTGTCAAGACGAGAGGGTGTGACCCATTTTTGCTACTTGAATGACCACCACGACCCCAATAATTGCCGAAGTTAGAACGATGAATCTGGTCAAAGTTGCACCCCTCACATTGTATTGCCTTACAAGGAGTGAGGAATACAGATCCCTCTAGAGTCCTGGTATACATACAGATCCATTGGTTAGTCTGGTCAACGAGTGACATAGGAGACCGACAAAAGACCGTAAAAGCCGTTAGGCTTGAATAGATTCTTTTGACACTTGCCCCTCGACACTAAGAAAAAGGTCAAATTCATAATACATTGACGTAATTTTTACATAAATATTATTAGTTTTAAATAGTAGTATTTATAAAAGTTAATATAAGTAAACTAAGATGGTAGTTTTTTGTACCGGCCCAGCTACGTTCGGAGCCCATAATGAAAAGGAACTCAGGCGTCCACTGGGCCAGAATAGCACTAGGCCCAAGTGTCGTCGTTAGGTCCACGTCTGCCCTAGGCGACGTCTTCCCTACCAGTCGCGCGACGGTGGGGAGGGAGGAGGACTGGAGACTTGACTGACTGGTTTTTTCAGGCCTTCGATGGACAGACATCCAGTCTGTGAAGACCGAGGGAGACGATTAGCCAGGTTCCTTCCTTGCTTCTCGCTCCGTGTGGGGAGGGAGATGACCTTGAGAGCTCGGCAGGATCTGGGGAGACCAGAAAGCATTGCTGTGAGATATCTCTGCGGAGATCATTCATTTAAGGAATGCTCGACGGCGGCCCTGGCCACTGACGCATGACTGACCTCGGCGAGAGGTCTCACGGCAGGAACAGCAGCTGCCGGCGGGCGACACAAGCGTGGGGAGACCCGCCTCCCTTCTACAGCAGCATCAGCAGCAGCAGCAGGACAGATGTCGGTAGAGGAGACGATAGGCCCATCATTCCCTCTTCCCCTCTCCCTTCCTCTTCCTCCGAGCACGCAAGCGCCGACAGCATCATTATCTCCTTCTAATCTTGTTCTTGTTCTTCTTCTGTTTCTGCTTCTTCTGCTGCATCTTCTCCTTCTCATTGGAGACGAGGAGGCCGCGATTTCCAATGCCCGACAGGGCAAATCAGAATAATATCGCGGTCTCTGCTCAGTACGGGCTTTTGCTGCCGTTTTTCTCTGAGATCAAGGGCTCCGCCCCCGCCCGGAAAAGACACCCAACAAAAGCAAGATCGCCACCCACCTCTCTCTCCTCTGCGTCGTCGTCTGAAAGCTTAATGCCATGAGAGGAAGGGGAAACCCTAACGCTCCGGGAAGATGGGAGACTGGTGAGTGGGCGAGAAGGCGTGGTCTTCCCAGGGAAGGAAATAATCATGGAAAGGGCAAAGGAAAAGGTTGAGGCCTTTGTTCTTGCCGGCGACCGGATTCTGGTGGTCCCGCCCTCGCCGGACGCCTGCAGCAGTCGCCGCCCGCTCGGCCCGACAACGAGGGGGCGACGCAGGTCGCAGCACCTACCTACGATCGCCACCGTCCTGAAGCCCCCTGCTCCTGCCCACGTCTCCTTGTTAAATCCCCCCTCCCTCTCTCCTCTGCGCGTAGTTTTTGATGCAAACCACACAGAGAGAAACACGTCTGCCCTTAAAGCAACAGAGAAAATCCCCACACGCCCCCCCCCCCTTCCCTATAAATACGCCCAGGCATCTTGTTCGACCTTCACTGGACGCTCCGTCTTCTTCTCCTTCGTGCTGTGCATCAAATTATCGCTTCGCCGAGTGGCTGGTAGCGGGTGAGGGGGAGAATGTACTACCACGCGGCGACGGCGGCGGCGGAGAGGTGGGGGGCGTACATGCAAGCGGCGTCGGCGCACCGGATGGCGGCGGCAGCGGCGGCGGTGGTGGTGGCGGACCCGCTTGAAAGGGTGGAGAGGCTGGCGGCGGAGAACGCGGTGGTGGTGTTCAGCGTGAGCACCTGCTGCATGTGCCACGCGGTGAAGCGGCTCTTCTGCGGGATGGGGGTCAACCCCACCGTCTATGAGCTCGACGAGGACCCCCGGGGGAAGGAGATGGAAAAGGCCCTAACGCGGCTCCTCGGCGGCGGCGCCGCTGTCCCCGTCGTCTTCATCGGCGGCAAGCTCGTCGGTGCCATGGACCGCGTCATGGCCTCCCACATCAACGGCACCCTCGTCCCTCTCCTCAAGGAGGCCGGTGCCCTCTGGCTCTGAGGCCTCTCCCCTTCGCCGGTGATGCAACAACAAATAAGGAAAGGTTGACAGATTGATGGAGAGACAGAGATAGATACAGAGAGAGAGAGAGAGAGAGAGAGAGAGAGAGAGAGAGAGAGAGAGAGAGTCTGAGGGGGAGGGAGAGGGAGAGCTAAGACGGTCCTCTGCTTCCCCTTTTCTCTCCCATTTTGGGGCATTGTTGGCGTTGCTCGGTCTTCCTTCTGTCTTCTTCCTGGGTCTTCTTCTTTTTTTTCTTCTTCTTCTTCTTCTTCTTGTGACCTGGTTCATCCTTCTCAGCGATGGTGGTGGCGATTCATGGCGACAGACGGTATGTGCGTCCCATGGAATCCTCGACTGACTTGATCTTCTGTACAGAAAGTTTTATGGATTGATCGGATTTGACGTTACCTGATCAAATGCTTCTCCCCTCCCTCCTCCCTCGTTGGCCAGCCAGCGACTCTCCATGGTTCATCAGACCTGAAAATTCGCTCTCTCTCTCTCTCTCTCTTCAGACCCGAAGAGAGAGGAACGCTCGCCGGCGCGCAGGGCGGACTACTTTCATAAAACCCACTTATTAACATAATTTAAGATATTGCCCTTTTCTGGTCAATTTTCATTGTCATAGGCCCCCTTCCGCGTGGGCTCGTGCGAAAGGTACCCGAGACGTCCGTTCGTAAACGCGAGACAGCGCCAGGGAGGGAATCTCGCCGTCGCTATCGGGCTCCCCCCTCTCTCTCTCTCTCTCTCTGTCTCTGTCTCTAACCCTCTCATGTAATCATATCGTACGAAACCGTTGTAGCGGCGGGGGATGTGACGTCTGCTGCCGACCAACTCTGACAACTGTGCGCCGCCGCGCACGCGCATCCCCGCCCCCTCTCGAGGCGGCGGCGCAGCGTACGTTTTTGCCTCGCCTGTCGGAGGCTTTTACGCCGCCCCTCTCTCTCTCTCTAACAAATTCGTGCGGCCAGGAGAGAGAAACTCTCGTCGCTCTCTCTCTCGCTGTGGCCGATGCAGCGTAGGAGAGAAGAGGGCACACAGTCACACCCTCTCTACCAAGACTCGTGCAGCGTAGGAGAGAGAATCATCTGTCAGACGCGTGGCGAACTGGGGGACACACGCTCACTCTCTCTCTCTCTCGCTTTCTGACGGACTTACCGTAGGAGAGACTAATCGTCTCTGAGCGGCGAGATGTAGGCTGCTCCTCTCTCTAATAGTCATGCGGGCAGGATAGTTTTGCGTACAAGTCTCTCTCTCTCTCTCTCTCTACCGTACTCAAGCTTCGTAGAAGAGAGAGAATGCTCTCTCTCTCTCTCTAACGGACTCAGGAGGCGTAGAAGAGAGAAAATGCTCTCTCTCTCTCTCTCTCTCGCTCGATACGAGAGGGCACACAGACCCTCTTATCTCTATAACAGAGTCCTGCACTGATTTGAAGGTTGGTTGATGGGAGCGCACGGTAGTGGTAGCATACCTTATTTCTGCTATCATACGCAGGCAGGGCGGCGCTTGACACTCCATTCTTGGAAATCTAGACCAGACCGGTTCGAGATCTGGGTCTCCATGTCGAATACACCCGGCCTAAGACGGCCCAAAACCCATTAACCAAGGCCCAAATTTCTCCACTCGAATTCTCTCTCTCTCTCTCTCTCTCTCTCTCTCTCTCATGTTCCTCTATCCCCTGCCCGATAAACCCTAATCTCCCCCGCTCCCTCCGGTAAACCCTAATGAAGAATGCCATAAACGGACGTCTGTGAAACGTGCTTCAGATTATTCCCACCACATCTCGCTGGCACTTGAGGATTAGACGAAATCACCATCCAAAATCGGCCCGATTTCGTGACGTCTCTGCGTACACGAAGGAGGAGACGCCCTCATTCTCTCTCTAGAAAACGAAAAAGACAGCGCCAAACTGCGAGCACCACTCGCGGGTAGACGCCGGCCACCCAAAAGCCCTGCCTGTAGAACAACAACACGGAAGAAATTCGGAGGCTGATAGATCACCGGTATTCCTACGTGATCAAGGTCGCCATTAATGGCGACCTTGGTGACCCATTCTCGAAGAACACAACGACGCATTTCATCCACGCATAAACACAGTTAGAAGCTGCATCTCATCGAAGTGTCAAGGGGGGGAAATCACCGGATGACTAGCGGTGAATGGCAAGCTTTTTTGCGCCTTCCGAAAAACAGAGAGACGAACAGATGTTCTTCATGCATAAACAATGGAAATCCAGGTCTGGCTTACCGTTAACGGGATTCGTGGGGAGAAGAGACCACCAGGATTATCTTGGGGGCAGATCCATCCGTTCCTCATAATATGCAGCATGAGCATGATGCCTTCCTCGGTTGCTCTTTCACCCTCTTCTCTGATCAAAACCAAGGAAAACGAAGGATTCTGGAGGGCTCAGAAATTCTTTCCTCTGTCAGAGGGAGAACTCATCAAAGATTCTATCCATCTATCGAGAGAGAGAGATACAGAGAAGAGAGAGAATAGGGAGAGAGAGAGAGAGAGTCACAGTTGGCAGGGATTGTGAGGCGACCCAGATCAAATCCTGCGGATATTAAAGGAAGAGAGAGAGAGGAGACGTAAGGTGGGTGGTTACCTGTCTTTGCACTGGTCACTGATGGCTGGACGACGACATGCATGGTCATGGCGCCTCCGGGCAGTTCGCCGAAGGGCATCTGGCACTGCGTAATGGTCTTGTGATTCTCCAGGATTCTCCCCCCGCTGATCAATCTCAGGTCGCTGGCGCCCTTCGGTGTAATCTTTTCATCTGCTGGCAAGAGATAACACCAGATCAATGCCCACCGGAGGAGGAGCGTAGATCCGGGAGAGTACGTGGCTCTGCTTCTCCAAGAACAGCCCACATCGAAGCAGAAAGAATTGGCGAAACCCAACAAAAAAAGAAGAAAAATGTCCTCAGATCTAGTGAATTTTGATCATCAAAAAGACTGGTTCCTGCTGACTTCTCCAAGCTCCAATACACTCACAGATGGCGATGAGATGGATAAGCTGTCTGTGAGTGAGCCGTATCCTCCAATTAGTCAACGGCAGGGCCAGGGTTACCGCTTGCTGAGAAAATCTGGGAGGGTAGACTAATTTCCCAAGGAGCCAGAGATTGAGCGAATGGAGCAGGTCACGGACAATGCTATAAGATGCTCTCTCTTTCACCCTCTTCTCCATCACCACGGTTCTACTAAACCTGCTTGCCACAGCCAGGTAGAACTCTCAGCCTGCCAGAGGCTGCCCATACCAGGTACAGGGCCCTTCTGACATCTCTCCTCATAAGGGAATTCTGAAGCTTTCAATCCTCACAACATCTTCTGAAAAGAGGGAAATCTCCAAAGTCAGCGGTATGAATTCCATGGAAGTTCTTCTGCGTTCGAAGCCGGGCAGGTCGCCGCAGCCAGCACGGGATGGTCCCAATCATGGGAGAAATTACAGAGGTCCGGAGATGTTTTGAGACATGGAACTGGAAAACCAGGCGGAGAAAATCCTGAATAGATGGGATGAGGAGGCTGTGATTGATCCAGAGGAAACCGGTGGGGAGGGAGGAGGGTGCTCAGAGGATGATATCAGACAGAAAAAACACCACGGAATGCTGACCTCGGGGCCATTCGGAGAGTATCCTCTCCTTGAGCATTGCTACCGTCGAGGCTGCAGAATACCGGATCGGACCGATATCCGTCCCATCGTATAGCCGGAACTTCAGCTCCACGAGATCGTCTTCGGGCATCTGGTCTTGTCGAAAACTCCCGAACGATCAAACTGGAATGCAGGCAATCTCCCGCGATCGTCTTCTCTGCAAGCGGTGGATCAATCTCCAACGATCACAGGAACCGGCGACGGCAGCAAACGAAACAGTCGGATACCAGAGCCAGACAAACGGCCCAGTCGATCAAAATACGGAAGAACAGCGAAAGGTCATACCCCTGGAGAGCGGAACCTCAATCTGGGAAGCAAACGGCGACGTTCGCCGGATTACGAACCTCTAGGAAATCACAGAGACTTCCACAGCGCCTGCCGCGCGAGAAGAGCTCAAGTCGGACGACCACGCCGGCGATGGCATGTCAGTACAGAGGGAGTGGGGGAGCCACCCCAGCGCCACCACCCGATCCTCCTCCTCTCCCTTCCTCGAGATTCAGGGTGGAGGATGAAGAGCAAAAGAGGAAGAGGGAGGAGGGTTAGGGAGACGGAAGGAGCATGAGGAAGACGATCGCCCCCTTCCTACTTCCCCCCTTCTTCTTCCCCCACCAACTCCCCACCCCACCAGGGACGAACCACCCCAACTGTTACAGCCCGTGAGGAGCGCCGCCGGTCACCTCCTCCGCCGGCGACCGACCGTCAACTCCGTTCACGAGGGGTCACCGCCCCCGGCGGTGTCTACGCTGCGGCGCCGCCGATGTAGACGCCAGTGCGGGAAACCCGCTGGAAGATCCGTCAGCTTGATGAGATGACCCCTCGATACGTGTGGCGAGCACAGAGAGGATGCGGGGAAGCCAGAAACTGAGTGTGCCGAAAGAGGGCGGGGACCACAGTCATGCACGAAGCCCCAGCTCGGGAGAGTCATGGTTTTGCGTGTACAAAAGTGAGGACAAGAAGCCAAGATAGGGTGCATACGAGGGTAACGATCTCCATCTCTGAGGATTTATTTCAAAATATGCAAACAAAAATACATATCTTCTCTCTCTCTCGCTGACTCTCTTGGTTGACCAAAGCATAATATTTCTGAAGCAGTAAAAAACCCTAAAAGAAGAAGTGGTGTGAGGAGAAGCTTGATGACGAGGACTGGCGGAGGGAGAGTCACCAACGGCTCATCATAAACCGATTAAATAATTAATTATTTATTATTAGCTATCTATTTTTATCATTTTATCTTTAGTATTATGAGGATATAAATAATCTATTAAATCTTGAAATTAGGTTAATGAAGAATCACTATGATTTTATGGGTTTATCTTAAAATTTGTCTCGTGTCGAAATTGTAGTCTTGAGCCGTCATTTGCATGCCTCTGCCGACATGTTCATTTGTCCTCACGCGGCTCCACCATCCCACCAATTCGGATTAAGCTTATGCTAATATGTGACTCAATGAACAATCAAGCTTTGACATGCCACTGAACTGCCAAGTATGAACCTTTGACCAACTAATGTTATTTGTCGGTCAAGGATCAACTCCGGTCAATAGTTAATGCTTGTCAAATGGTCAACTTTGGTCAATAATCAATGATTAAAAAACCATCGTTGATGTGTGTTCTTCTCTAAGACAATCACCACTTAACTTATAAGTAATTTCTAAACCCTCCTTCTGGATTAAGTGTTCATTTATTTAGTATATTGTCTATGAGGATGTTGTTAAGTGATTCATAGATAGCTTCACTAATTTCAATAGTCGGTAGAGAGCATTGTGATCGCATGTTGACTTTAGATAGTTAACTTATTATGAATGGAGTCCCTAATCTCTTGCAATTCTCTAACTGCATCAATTATATCCATTTCAAATTATGTATTACACTACTTGGACATATCTTAGTCAACTTTTTTAGAGACATAGATATGATGAAAGTCATTTTAGGTTGTATGTTCAAAATTAGCCAGCTCATTTCATTTATTTTGCATCAGATTTTGTATCAAAGTTCTAGGTTTTGATTAGGCCACGAACTCAATAAAATAAAATAAAAAACTAAACATTTTTTTTCCAAAAATGAATAAAAAATAAATATAAAAAAGCGATAATCATTTAGTTGCATGCCAACTAAATTTGATAATGAAATATTCGTCAATGAGAAATCTACTAGGTCACTTAATGAGAGGGGGGGGGCATGCATAATTAGATATCTTTGACCAATTAGAAAGGGAATAGTGACTAATGTTTTAGATGCCAAGGACATGGAGATTGTGATTTCTAATGTATCACTCATAATTTTTATGTGAGAAAATATAATGTGGGCTCAATATTATAAGAAAACAATCTATATGTGACCAATTCGAGGACGAGCATTATAATATCAAATATGACCTTGGGCATGAATTTTAATTAGATTAAGATTTTGTGAATTAGATTATAAGGGAAGATGATGGGTCTATGTTACCAACTCCAAATAAGGGCAATACCTAGATCCAGTAGAGAGAGAAATAAGGGAAGAGAGAAACGAAGATTGAGACGTGAAACAGGGTTAGGGTTTTAGTGGAAGCCCAAACCCAAACATCCATGGGATCTTTTGAGGCACTCTAAGCCTCCTGGAACATAAGAAAATATTTGTCATTCTCCACTCCTTTCCCCACTTTATAACATGTCATATGGTCGGGCCCGTGGGCTCTATAGGTGGGCCGCTCCTCTTTGTCCTATGAAAGCTTTGTTAGATCTAATAATCTAATAGCCTCCTAGGTTCCCAACACGAATAATTGACAGCAAATAGAAAGGAAATGGATTCAAAACCAAAAGGGATAAGAGCTCAAGCTTCAAAGAACCCTAAGGCTTTTGGGAATTTCAAGAGGCCCTGCTCTCCCCCCTATAACTTTCTAAAGATTCTTTAGAACCCTAATTAATACCCAACTCCCTTACAAGAAGAATTTCTCTCTTTTGCCCCCACATGGGTTTGATTTAGTTTTCTCACACATGGGTATAATGGGTAGACATAATAGTGTACGATGCTCATCTTCGTACATAGGTTTCTTCAGTCTCAAATCTTTTGGGCCCATTAGGGGCCCAACATAAGATAATCAACTGAGTCACATGAGTGATAAATAACTAGATGATGTAAATTTAGGAGTTATAAGATGTCTTCTAACCCAACCTAAGAGAGAGAATGACAAGCTTCATACTTCTATTTTTCACACATTCATTAAGATTGGGAGAAAGACTTTGTAAACTCATGGTAGACAGTGAGAGTTACATTAATGCAATCTCTTTTAGTAAATATATCACACCAAGTATTTACTTCAATTAACCATCTTAACCCATAAAAGATGTCTTGAGTAAACTCATCATCTATTTTCATTTAGAAGATGTGCCTTGTGCCCCTCAAAATTAACTACTATGAAGATCAAATTTGGTGTGATATTTTACTAATAGAATTAGTAAGTATGATAATAAGATGATTATGAATATATATGATTGAGATTGCATACCATATGGAGAGCCCAATATCTGTTCCTTTGTGTAAAATGACAAAAAGATTACGTGGCATCTCTATCAATAGTCATCTAATTCTAAAGAATCAACTCTTACCAAGGATTTACACTTGATTAATGCATATAGATTTTAAATTGTTATGGTAAGAAGAGTTGGAAAATATCCTCAACTAGTACCACCTACAGAAGTATCCACCCTTCTTTATGAATTTAAGGATGTCTTCTTTGAAAACTTTCCAAATCAACTGCCTACTATGCGTGATTTGTAACATGTGATTGATCTAGTCTTATGATCAATCCTACCAAATTGACCTTACTATAGGCTTAACTTTACTTAATATGATGAATTAAAAAAAAACAAGTTATGGATCTTTTAGAAAAGGATTTTGTTAGATAAAACCTTAGCTCATATATTGTACTTGTATTGTTTACAGCCAAGAATGATAGATCTCAAATGATGTATATATATAATCAAGTAATTGATAAGATCACAATTTAATACCACTTTGCCTTTCTACACCTAAATGAGATGTTAGACATGAATTGATGGCTGACTTTCGTCATTCACCAGTAAAAAAATAATGTTGGTCAAATAGTTAAATATGGTCAACGGTAAATAATTAAAGAACTAACTTCAATGTGTGTTATTTTGTGAGACAGTCGTCACTTTGATTTATGGGTAATTCTTTAACCCTCTTTATTTTTCTTCTGAATTGAGCATTTGTTTATTTAGAATGTTATCTATATGAATGATAATGAGTGATTTTTATATCTGTCTACTTATTCTAATAATTGGTGGAATTTTTTGTGAGAAATCATTGATTTCAACTAGTCAATTTACTATGAGTTAAATGCTCCAATCTCCAAGCATTTAATGCCATTTCTCTAATCGTACCAATCTACTCAATTTCAGACCATTTCTCTAGAGTCATTTTATATTGTTTCTTTAAAGTCAGCTCAATCATTTCATCTTATCCCACGTCACTTCAAAAGGACCAGCCACATCACTTCAAGGGAGGGCCAACAATTAACTCAGATTCTTAAGCTGATTCCAAAGAAATATTTTATTAGGGGACACAATCAAACAGAGGGAATTCATGACGGGCGGCAGCAACTGATCTCTATCACAAAACCTCACCCTTCTTAGACTACCTACTACAAGCCTAGAACAATGCACAGGTCAACAATAACAATAGAGAGAGAGAGAGAGAGAGAGAGAGAGAGAGAGAGAGAGAGAGAGAAGGGGAGGAGGATCTAGATACGGCGGAAGACCTTCTTGGCAGCATCGAGCGTTTGCTCGATGTCCTGAGAGGTATGGGCCAAGCTGGTGAAGCCGGCCTCAAATTGAGAGGGAGCCAGGTAGACACCCTCTTCCAACATCCCTCGGTGGAACCTCCCAAACTTGGCGGTGTCGCTCTTCTTGGCCTCCTCAAAGTTGCGGATCGGCCCCTCTGCAAAGAAGAAGCCGAACATCCCCCTAATGAAGCCGCCAGAGACCTCATGCCCGGCAGCCCTCCCAGCGGCGACCAGTCCGTTGACAAGCTTGCCAGTAACCTCCTCCAAGTGCTCATAAGTCCCTGGCTCCTGCAGCCGCCGCAATGTATGAATTCCGGCAGTCATCGCCAACGGGTTGCCACTCAATGTCCCTGCCTGGTATACTGGCCCTGCCGGTGCCACCATCTCCATGATTTCCCTCCTACCACCATAGGCACCAACAGGGAGGCCACCGCCGATGATCTTCCCCAGTGTTGTCAGATCGGGGGTGATCCCAAAATACTCCTGCGCACCGCCATAGGCCAGCCGGAAGCCAGTCATCACCTCGTCAAAGATCAGCAGGGCGCCATTCTCCTCGGTGATCCGGCGCAGTGCTGCTAGGAATTCGGGCTCCGGTGTGATGAAACCGGCATTACCAACGACTGGCTCAAGGACCACTACCGCCACCTCGCCGGGGTGCTGCTGGAAGAGGCGGCTCACTGCATCGGCATCATTGTAGGGGGCGGTGAGCGTCTCAGAGGCAGCGGCGGTGGGGACGCCTGGGGAGTCTGGGAGGCCGAGGGTGGCAACGCCACTGCCGGCCTTGACCAGGAAGGAGTCGGCGTGGCCGTGGTAGCATCCCTCGAATTTGAGCAACTTCTGACGGCCAGTATAGGCCCGTGCGAGGCGGAGTGCACCCATGCAGGCCTCTGTGCCAGAGTTGACAAAGCGCACCATCTCAACACTCGGCACTGCTGCAATCACCATCTCCGCCAGGACGTTCTCAAGCAGGCACGGTGCGCCAAAGCTCGTACCTTTCTTCAGTGTCTCAATCAGCGCCGCATTGACCTGCAAATACAAAAAAGATAAAAAGGACTCAGAGTTCTTCTTAGGCAAATTCAGACAGTGTGGGGAATATTGCTGATGAAACAAGAGATCTCTAAAGTGGAAACCCACCATCTAACTGAGGATTCAAGAAGAGTTGAGGATTTTAAAAAGACATGAAAAGGGAAGGGAAGGAGTTGCAGACCTTGTCGTCAGCATGGCCGATGATTGCAGGTCCCCATGAGCCCACATAGTCAATGTATTCATTCCCATCGACATCCCACATCTTGGAGCCCTTAACAGAATCGAACACGATGGGCTGCCCGCCAACTGATTTGAAGGCGCGGACCGGCGAATTGACTCCTCCAGGTAACAGATTCTATCAAAAACAGGAAATTATTCCATGAGCCGGATCATGGAATTGAAAACTAGAGAGAACACAGAAAAAAAAACCTACATCCGTAAGAAGAAAAAAAATTCAGCTTGTTGGCAGTTTTGAGATCTATCAGGGAATTGAAAACGGTCTAACAGGGCAATCTACCATTAGTGATTGAAAAAAAACCCATATCTGGGATCAGAGGCGAGGGCATTGAAATAATGGCGGCCTTAAATAATGCTGCCGGCAAAATTTTCAGCTTGTTGGCAGTTTTGCGTTCTATCAGGGAATTGAAAACGGTCTAACAGGGCAATCTGCCATTAGTGATTTCTTCTCCAACATGAATTCATTAGAAGGAAGAATATCGATATGGTGCAGGAACTTTATGATTCTTCATTTGAGAAAGTCGGTCAAAATTCTTAATCAGAGGTAAAAGACATCTCAGATTGCAGGATTAACTTCAGGAATATCGATGGATTTTGTCAGCCTACACTTGACCTTTATATCATCTCCGTATTCTTCTAACCCCTTTCCACCCTGTTAGAACTTTGAAAAGAGATAAAATAATGATTTACAGGGTTTTTCTTTTTTTAAAAAAGACTTTTGAATCCTCAACATAACAGACAGATGCACATGCATAGAACATAATGAACCGTTATAAATACAATCCTGAAGATTTTCCGTGAGCTAAATTGATGGCATATTCCAATAGTCAGAATTGACAATGCTTTCCTTCGCGCATCTAAACATCATATGATCATTCGACAGACCTGCCAATCCATCCCCATAAAATTAAATATCCAGAACGTGCATATGCATTGATTTCGATCATGGCGACCCGAGAGGATGAAAAATGATCAGACTTTCCCCTTCCCCACGTCATCCAAGCAAAGGATGTGTTCCAGACAGGGAACAAAGGCGTCGCTCCTCCAGATTCTCAAGTCCAGGGAGGCTCTGATCTGTCCGGGGCCCGATCGACGGAGAATTAATAGCCGGTCTTGAGTCAAGGTTTTAGAGTTCAGGAACAATATGCGCACACAGAGCTCTAAGGATTAAACCGAGAAATTTCATTAATATGTGCGTGATAGGACTCTTCCGATTCTACGGAGTAACAAGACGTTGGAATTATGCTGGAATGAAATCATACGCCCCAAGAAATCATAAAGCAAACAGTTGAAGTGAATACGAAAACCCCACATCCAGTCTGTGCCCTATGACCGAATAAACCGGCCGATAACCCCCACTCAGAAACCCTAGCATAGAGGGGAGCAGAGCAAAGAAGACAGCCGCGGCAGGAGGAGAAAGGGGGTGCGGACCTTGGCGGCGTTGAATATTTCCTCGGATTTCTCTAGCGTGTAGGGCTTCTTCTCCACCGAGATCGCCATCTTCACCACGGAGGAGGAATGGCGGGTGCTCCGAGAGGACTTGGTGGCCGGGCAAGCGGAGATGCTCGAGCTCAATGAGAGCCCAACTCCAGATGCGCCCAGCATTGTTCTACTTCCTCGCACTCTGCTCTCTGCTCCGGCTTCCTCCCTCTCAAACAGATAAGAAGAGGCCACGCTGCTTGTCGGAAAGTGCATCCTCTCTCCCACGCGATCTAAGCCGCCGATTTCGAAATCCTGATCCTGGGAGCACCGATCGGACGGAGGCCGATCGCCTTCATCTCCCCCGGTAAGTCACTGCTGAAGAACTCGGTCACTCTTCTGATTTTTATTCGTTCGCCATTTATTTCTCTGCAATGTGTGAGTATATTTTTTCTTTCAACGACCCATCAAAAATATTTCAAGATATTACTAGGCTTTTTTTTTTATTGGAAAGGTTCATTCTTTTCTAATTATAGAAAGCAAGACTCATCCATAGTATGACAAGTCCCTCGATTATGCGAGTAACTGGGCCGTTTTTTAGGCCTGTAATCCCTGTTCTATGACCGCCATATCCTCTCTCTCCCTGGCTCTGTGTCGGTGCATTTTGACCTTGCCCGTTGACTCTATCTCTCTCTGTATCGGTGCATTTTTGACCTGTAATCCCCGTTCTATGACCACCATACCCTCTCTCTCTTTCTCTCGCTGTGTATCGGTGCATTTTGACCTTGCCCGTTGACTATCTGACACTGCATGTCATTAATCCCAGCCCAGAAGAACCAAAGCGCTTGTGAAGAGAAGGGGATTGCATCCCCAAGTGGGGCATATGACACGCGGCTAATTACACAAGGGCGGCGCGGATATTTCCATTTTCAGCGAAGGGGGCCTTTGAATGCACCGGTGATTCTCGCGGGGAGAGAACAAAAGAGAGATGGTCGGTGGAAACATGCATCTGCCTGGCGCTTTCATTGCACCGGGTGGCGGAGAGAAGAAGGCAGGCGGGGAGGATCTCACAAAATCGTGCAGCCACCCGGCTCCCTGCACAAAAATAATTAAAATTGTTTCTCATCATTAACAAATAAATTTACGGAGAGTAGGGGTTTTGTAGGTACCTAAAACCCCTATAGAAAACTATGACAGAGAGAGAGAGAGAGAGAGAGAGAGAGAGAGAGAGAGAGCAAAGCCCAGAGACTGAAACAAGAAATATTCACAAGGTTGGGCCCCGCAGAAAAGCCAAGAAAATGGAGCCAACCCTTTTAGAGAGAGAGAGAGAGAGAGAGAGAGAGAGAGAGAGAGAAAGAGAGAGAGAGGGACAGAACGCGTCCTAACCAAACCCTGAGCTGACCCACACAAGGATCAATCGCTACCCAGACAAAAAACTGGGGCTTACCCACCACATTAATACCAAAAAATAAACTGCTTAAAGCGGAGAGAAATGGCCGTTAGATGGGCAGGGAGGGTTTCAGGGGAGACCCCCCAGGGGGATAACCATTCAACTGTCATCCCACACTTCTGGGATTGCTCAAGAACACATTATATAAAGTCAAAAATCGACTAATCAGCAGTGGTAAGAGCATGGGCCGTACTTCCTGATGTCTTCATAATTGCTCAGGCTCTCTAGGAACTTACTCCAGAGAGGGCCCGTTTCCTGGAGATTGACGTTCTCTGGACCACCCAGATAGGCTTCGACCACAAACTGCTGCGTTCTTTCCCTGTTGAGATTGGTATTATCAGAGGGTCAATTAAAGTATTGAATTGGGTAATATTTCCCTTTACAGATAAACGTCAAGCAATAGCTCAGTCTTCTCCTAGCCCAGATCAAGCTCAAGCATCCCTTACGATGTACCCAGGCCGGGCCTCTGTATCTGGCTGCCACGTGGATGTTGTAAGACAATGGGTTTTCCAGTCTGAAATGTTCTATATGATTTCTGACTGCATGCACATTCTTTTGGCAACCGAATAAATTGTCAACATGCTGTTGTGAATGGGGAATTTTCTATTTTTGATATATAATTTTTCGCCTACCTCCCTTCATACACTGACAACCATGCCAGATAGGATGCGCCAAAGTACATGGAGGCAAATGGGTTGTACAGATCGTCCACAGAGTTGACTTTGTAAGCTCTGCAACCTACATCGCTTCAGAAAGGAAACACAGCCTATTTAATTAATCGTGAAATAATAAGATAAACACAACCGAGAAGCAGGCAAAGACAGGTAAACAAGAGGTCTGAAGGGTTGACTTTGCACGCAGTAGGTGACGGATAAATGCGAATTATGGGGATGGTTATTGCAATAATAATAAATATAAATTGGCTTAAGGTTTGTTATGAACCCACTTGTACAGCCAGACAGCGGTAGGATAATCGATTCCCATCAATCCAGTGCGTGCACGTACTCCATTCACAAAGCGCATGCCGCACATCTCAGCGAGAGCAGCTAATGCTGACTGTACAGAGGACAATATTCATCAAATGGGTGATATATATGCCGAATGCAGAAGAACTTGTACACTGATATTCATGAAAAAGAATTAAATTTTAGGCAGAATGTAATGCAGACACTAAGAAAATTTTGGTTCATAGGAACTTATAGTCCTCTGTATTGTGAACAAAAACTTACAGCTCTCACTCCTGCAGCTTTGAAATATCTTGAAATAATCATTTCAGCAACTGCCTGCAGTGAAAACAGCTGGAACATCATGTTGATAAATGCTATGGCCAGAATTGGGGAGACGATGTTATTATGAAATGTATATCATCATCATAATCTCTCAATGAATACGTGTGAGAAAACCAAGATAAAAATAGGGAGAGTGATTGGAAACGGGGGATTTCACACAACTCTTGAGCCTAGCAGCATGTTTGTTCTTGGAATAAACTAAGAAATGTTTGCACCTTATGCTATTTCTTATATGCTTCATTGCATAAAAGACCATGTTGTCACATAGTGGGCATCAGAGTACTATAATGCACCATTTAAGCCGACATTCGATTTCTGAATTCGTAGGGGCACAAAAGAACTTGAGAAATATGAGAAATATGAGCCAAGAGAGCAAAGGTTATATCAATTTAAAAGAAGAAAACCTTAAAGAAAGAGATCCGAATGTTGAATAAATGTAAGTTCAGGAAAATACAATCCAAATACCCAGAGTATAAGGAGAACATTCTCTTTCTTAGTAAGAGTATATCAGGAACTGTGGGGTTGCCGAAGAGGACATCCTACATGGGGGAGAAGAGGTTTACGTATCTCAGGAAATTTAACCTAAATAGTGCTTGACGATGTCCATTAAGGAGCAGACCTCACATGAGACATGAATGTTCTCTCCCAGGTTAAGCATCCAGCATACTGTATTTTACGCTTCATACTTGAAGGAAAACCTCAATTTGGAAAAGAAATCTCAAGGTGCCATTGATTAAAGAATCACTGATTACCTCTATCATGGTCTGGTTTTCTTGTGTTCCCAATAAGGGTAGTTGAATAAGGTTTTATGCACAAATAACTTGTCAATCCGTTACATAATGTGAAAGAAATCTTAGCAGCCTAAATGTTTGTCTTGGGAGCGAGTGAGAGAGAGAGGGAAAGAGGGAGAGAGGGAGAGAGAGAGAGAGGGAGAGAGGGAGCGAGAGAGAGAGAGAGGGAAAGAGGGAGAGAGAGAGAGAGAGAGAGAGAGAGAGGGAGAGAGGGAGCGAGAGAGAGAGAGAGAGAAGAGGGAGAGAGAGAGAGAGAGAGAGAGAGAGAGAGAGAGAGAGAGAGAGAGAGAGAGAGAGAGAGAGAGAGAGAGATACAAAAAAAGACATTTTGCCTACCAGATAGAAAATAAAATAGAGCGAAAACTCTATATATATATTTTTCCTCCGGGCACTGGAAATTAAGTCACTAATTAATTTTCTTTCTGATTTTGCATACCTTCACTTCAACACGAGATAAATATGGTCTCTTTTGTGCATCATGTGAAAAACGGACCCTTCCATGTCTTTCCCCAGATTTTGTCCACTCTTTAAGGACATCAGGGTTCTTCCATAATTCTTCCATGTCCTCTGGAGATGCTCTTGAGTCCCAATATGTCCATCTGTCACCTGCTCCAAAGATCCGTCCCAAAAATTGACACACTAAAGAAAGCTTGAGGACAACACACACGATTTCGAAGCATGAAACAGAAGTTCTAGAAGCCAATAGTATAGTCAATATTCAAATTTTCACAATTCAAATTGTAAATAACTTGATTTCACCGTGTGTATCCCAAATAAGAGTTATACGAGGGAAATCATTCCAAACAGAGACTCTGGAAGAAAAAATCAATTCACAATTATAAATTTAAATATGTCGTTGCTCTGAAAGATGTATGTCCATTGGAAACTTTGGTGGAAGGAAGGTTAGTCGGAGAGATCATAGCAAACTAAATCATGATTTGCCTTTCTTCTTTGGTATCTTTAATCATTTTGATGGTGAGAGAGAAGCGGAAGAAAATTGCCAACAACATAGAAAGAAAATCATTAATAGAGCTGAAAGATCGTGGAGAAGTGAGTAATTTCTGCAAATATGGAGATATTCGGAGAAATGTCTCTTCACCACTTGCTTATCAAGGAATGTTCCTTTTGTCTTTAGTATGGTCTAACTTTTTAGGCTCTGGTTAAATGTACAGGTAGTCTTGAATTTCATAGCATTGATTACCTCAAAAATTTTAAGACATTTTTATTAATACAATTTTGCTACCTAGATAGCTTCAGAAAAAAACCCCCCCTTTACTAGTATAAAATAAACCTCGAACAACTGTGAGCCCTTTTCGTCAAATGACAAAGAATTTTTTTTTGGCTAATCCGTCCTTTGCATTAATGACATATTCCAGGGAAAGATGCCACAAGTAAGTTGATTCTGGACACAACCAACTCATGGTACGGGACTATTGGATCTTTACAACAAGCACTCGTAATGTTAATGAAGAGGGAAGACTAGATTGTCTCCTTGGATGGCTGTCATTTGGTGTACGGCCATTTTGGAGAGGCCCAACGGTATACTCCACTGGTTTTCTTTGGTTGATGATATCTTAGTTTGAGAAAATATCACATATAACATACACATGCCTTCACATCTATATGTCCGCATCTCTATTATTTTTGAACTTGACTCGGTTAGGAAAGTATGACCTAATCAATAAATTTGTTCTCTTGTACCAAGAAAAGTGACTACCTGTCTCCAGTGAACTAGGTACAGCCACACCAGCAGATTCAGGTATCAAAGATGTATTTCCAGACGTTTGTGTTTCTCTGCGTAGGAATAAGAATACCAAAAGAATTTTAATAATCTTCCAATATAATGGCAAATGATTGAATAACCCCAAATTAAAAGGTATCCGTTACCACTTTCGTGTATTAGTCGTCATGAATACATTCAAGATGGAATGTCTTCGATTATTACACAAGATTGCACAATCCAGAGCTTAACTAGCACAACTTGGGGTGAAAATGGTCCAAATAAACTAGAATGAAAAACCAGCATTGATGAAAACTGATCATAAAAAATATGAGCCTCCAAAATGAAACTCATCAACCCAAATTTGACCTGCATTAATGGACCAGTACCCATTTATAGTATAAACCCCATGAATCCAAACCCCAGGCAGTACCAGCTCTAGCCACTGGACTATCAACGCCTTGCTGACGTCAAATGTCCATTATGATAACTATATTGCCTGGTTAATGAGAACTTGGAGTTCAAAAATAACCTCCATGAGGGCAAGCTCCGTTTGGCAGAGAGGTATCTCTGGAAGTATTCCAATGTTGACTTGTGAGTCGCCTTCTTTGTGCCACCTCGGTAAGCTCTGACAATAAATTCCTCATTCTTTTTTCTGCACAAATTAGAACTAGTTTTTTAGGGTCAAAATTAATACATAATGACGAGAAGACGATGGCACAGAAAAGAAAATGCCAATAGCAACAAACTTACTTTCCATCATAACCGGACAACCACTGTATATAGGCAGCACCAAAATAAATATTGATGAAAGGCCTGTAAAGCAGCTCCGGGTTGCCCTCAATTCGATAACTCTGATAACCCATCTCCCTGAAAAGTCCACTCACAATAACTCGCATATATTTCCAGCAACTATGCCATAAAGAAACACTTCAATGCCTTATGTGATTGACAATTATCATGATCCATACCGAACAAGCCATTCTGCAGTTTTTTGAGACACTACCATTATCCCTAACCGAGTTTCTTTCGTCTTTTTATCATGTCGCAATGCAAGAGGCTGTCTGTCACTTTCAATGTCAGCAAGTGCGCAAATCATCTCCTGCAGAAAAAGGTAAATGGAAAAAATATGTTGAAAGACAAATACGAAGAAATTAATCCTTGTTATACACAGGATGAGCATTGCACAAATCAACATTAAAAATAAAATATATGAATCATCAAGTTTTAGGAATCATGCAAATCTGCATGAATGAAGACGAGAGAAATATTCAACCACGAGGAATTTATATTTTCTCGTATAAATGAACATCTTTGCTGGAAACTAATATAATAAGTATACAAAGCATAACAAATAAATCACTGGCACTCTTACTTTGACGCGTTGTTCTCATGGTAATGCCACATCTCTGAACATGAGAATCCGAAGTGTGGAAGTTTGAACCGTTAAAATCAATCTCTTGACGATAAAGAAAGCGCAACAACTTTTCGTTTCCATCCATGCAACGATTACATAGATTGTCATTCTGTTTTTGGGATATTTTCCTCTTGTTCTCGCTGGCCATCTGATCTGCATGCTACGCCTTATTTCTCAATTCTTTGCGAGGTTTTTCAAGCATTGGGGAAGAGATACTGATGAATTAGCCACGCGTCAGCTGTCTGTCGGCCTGAGGAGGAAAGAAGATGGGTATTTGGGTACATAGGTTAGCAGGGTAAAGAGAAATAGGGATGACCAGGAAGGGCACTAGATGAGGCATCAAAGGCTGCCTAGTGACTGTTGACAATAATATCTTGAGATACCAGGGGCTTATCAGGTAGTGATTACATGCTTCTGCTTGTCAATGGCATGTCAGAAAAGAATGGCAAACCAAAGAAGGAAAGAGAGCCAGAGGGAAAATAAAATTTGCAAGTGGACGAGGGATTTGCTGGAGGGGAACAGGATCCCACCCCCTACTTGGAAGAATACCGACAAGAACCCATCCGAACACCAATTTCTATGCCTATGTGAAATGTAGATTAGATTAAACACATAAAACCTATGCAAAATTTAACCATTTCACTTTCAAACGATGAAAAACTGAGGGATCTTCCTATGCTTTCCCATACTGCTGCTAATTTTACCATTGCCAGAATCTTATCAACTCAAACGCCCCCAAAAAAAAAAAAAACAATAAAATTGAGGTTATAAATTTGAACATAAAACTTTTAAAAAAATGATTTTTATCTTGATTTTGCAACGAAACTTTGCAAATGTACCACACTGGGAGCGCATGAGAAGTGAAGAAATAATAAATGAGGATGCTATCAAACATATCACAGTGTCCTCTCAGCAAATAACTATTCAACTTTATTTGACAGGGGTCAACTAGTTACACATGCAGTAGAAATCAAGCATGCTTAGTGGAGATATATTGGCTTAATAGTGTCAAGAATTAATTGAAAATAAGAATAGCTTCAAAAAATTGAACAGAGAGAATAGTACAGAAGGGCCTACAAGAGAAAGCTGATTGTGGATCTGAATAGTGTAACCCAAAGCATGCTTACCACCTTTAACAGAGGCGTAACTTCAATAAAAAGAAACTGAGAACAGGAATAATCAAAAAAGGGCTTGACAGATGTGCGGTTCAGTGGCAGATCCCTAAAACATGCAAAAGAATCCACAAATCTTTCACCTTTTTTATTCTTAGACTGGCCTACGGTGGTGCGCAGGAGTACTTTGGGATCACCCCCTACCTGACAACACTGGGGAAGATCATCGGTGGCAGCCTTCGTGTCAGTGCCTACAGTGGCAGGAGGGAGGTCATGGAGATGGTGGGACCGGTGGGGCCGGTGTATCAGGCAGGGACAAATAATCATACCTCCAAACGTGGCTCGTAGAACATGGCTAATCAAATTACAAGCATCAGATATAATAATAAAAACTATAGGAAGCTATTTTATTGGCTTTTTATTCAGAGAGAGAATCACCCAATTATAAATACTTATGAAAATTTCTAGTCTCAGATAGGATTCGTTAATTCTCAATCATTCTCAGTTCAGGCTGTTTCAAAGAGTCCTAGTGGTGAGCTCAAAGGCAGAGTAATAAGAATAATTAGCTTATTATTTGTCTACAGAAATAATAGCAAGAACCTTAAGAGTGACTCCGGGCTATTCTTTCATGCACAAAGGAAGCCATAAATATTAGGAGATGCTCTACAATACAAGTTTTGTAAGCCAGTGCATGAGACTACTGTTAAAGTGATATTCAAAGGGTAATACAAAAACAATGTCTGCTTAGAGAACAGAAATTACTGGTTCCAGCTGCGATGGGAAGTGTCTGCGAACAATAATTCCCGCCACTGCCTGAATCAATGGTAAAAGTATTTCTTGTAAGTTGACCTGAGGTATCCAAAAAGCAATTTAAATATTTATGGAATTTATCAATTGCATAATACTTGGTGGTATATGCATATGTTTTACATACTATGGGTGTTTATGCAGCTTTCCTGAAAAACCTATAAATATTCAAAACTTAGAAATCCTCAGTGAGGTGACAAAAGGTTGACCTTCCAGTAATTTTTCTAAGTTGAACAACAGAAAGACCAAAGCTAGAAGTCTGTGGAGAATTTTAACGAGAAGACATTGTAATCACCATAATCTTACACGACTTTGCTCAATAGTACACGAATATACTCGATTAAGTTTTTCCGTATGCAATATGAACGAGACAACGTGATACATTATAAAAAAAAGGTTGTAAAAAATAATAATCCACTAATGATCAGATAGCAAACTATCAAGCCTGTTCTTTTGCAACTAAGAGGATGAACATATCCACTGGCAATACCGTATCTCAAGTGAGACACTAGTTCAATTTATTTCTCCCTTTCATAATAATACAGATTAGTCTACTTCTTTTCTGAGCAAAAAACCTTGTAAACAGGTAGAAATATGTTCACTTTACCCTCATTTCCGTTTGCGTCAGAAAAGGCTGACCGTCAGGATCTCTTGAGAGGAGGACTTTTTTCCCTCTACTTTCTCCAGCGTCTGTCCACTCCTTGCTTACGTCTGGATCCATCCACAGCAATTCCATATCCTCTGCGTCCACGCAGTCCTCCCAATATTTGAAGCTCACAGACATTTTATAATGATAAACTGAGGTGTCGGTACGCTATATACCAACAAAAAGTTTGACAAAATATTGTAGCTGTCTGTGGAACCTGACATGGCAGATGAGAAAAATTCACATAGGAAAAATGTATTAGTATTTAAGACAAGTTTTCCTGACAGAAAGACGCTATACACCTTATTCTTAGGAAGTGATGATAATTCTCTTTCATCATGAATACACTAGCTGCTTATGTTCTTCGAGTCTAAATCAGTTATAGACGATTACTTCCAGAAAAATTGGAAATAACCTTCCAACGAAGAACAGCCAGGAATTTTTCGCGTTTATCGAAAGGCACGTATATCATCGGCTTCATGCCTCTGAGGACATTAAATCATTCCAGTATAGCGAAAAGATGAACTGACAGCCATCATAAATTGTGTCATTTTCAACAAGGAAAAAAATAAAATCAAATGACAAACGAATTTAGAAGAACTAACACAGGAAAGACGAAACACTAACGTACAAGCCCATGTATTACAACGAATGATCCATGTTATACCAAAGTAGACTCCATTTAACAAACAGTTTAATATGCTCAAATGTGTGCAATTCCCAATCAAATGTATGCTAACTGGCCGACACAGTTGATTGACAGATTTATTTATTTTTTTGTACTGACATAATCGCACATTCCAAACAAATGTTTTAAAAAATCCTATAATTGTAGGGAGAAATTACTCCATTCATGACCAATTGATATTTAGTTCGATAGCCTAAAAATCTAATATGACGTCAGTTCCAATGATTCCTCCGAATTTACAAACAACACAGTTATATTGTCCACTTGCCAAAGCCTCAAATCAACTTGCAAGCAGAACTGAATAATCTAAATTTATACCAAAAAAATATCTAAAGTTAAATGGATGCGCACACTCCACTCATAATCAATTACTTTCTAGTGGGATGACCCAATATTTAAACAATCAGAATCAAGTCATTCTTGTCTTTCGGTTCTTGACGCACCAAGAAAAACTCTTTGTGCTTCATGTGGATATCCATGGGCAAAGAACAGAATGAGGAAAGAAAAGGCTCATTAAAGTCTGTGTTTCAAGAAGGGATTTGACAAGGTTATCTGGACTATTTTATCAATTCTAATGGAAGAATTTTACTTTGAGACACATGCATTGGTGAGGGGGCATAAGCGTAGTACTAGTACCATTCAGGTTACCTAATTTGTTGAACAGTCAACAACTTTGAGCTTTTAGGCTATGAAGCAAGTTGTGCATGCAGCGGTGCACAGTACTGATACTTGACGTCATTTTGGCAGACGGGGGCCACCACCAGATTAAGACATCTTCAGTTCTCAACGCTGAAAAAGACTGGTCGACAGAGTCCCTAGAAGAGATTGCTGTCCTCTAATAAAAGGTTTGCGAGACAGGAGCAAAAGATGGTCTCTTCTTGTATTTCGATGGTCAAGACGGCTCCAATGCGCTCATCATTTTTTATCATAGTTATAAAAAAGACCCCGAACATCAAGTTTGAATCTCGTTAGTATATAGCATGTCAAACGCCTTAGTATCAGAGATTATTAAGTCCATCAGAGGAAACCACCATAAGAGGTTCTCATTGCTGCTGAGAAAATCGAGGCACTGACATTGTGGAAAGAAAATCACTAGCCCTTCACCAGATTATACATGCAAGAATCGTAATCAACAAACATGCTGTAAATACGTCTATAAAGAAATGAAAATACTTCATCAGAGATTCATAGAAAACAAAAAAAATATTACACCATAAGACGCCAGGGTGAGAAGGGCGGGCTAAGAAGGTTCAAAGCCACTCAACAAGTTTCGATATGTTGTTCACTTCAAATGCCGGAAAAAATGTCGCTCCAGTCCTGCTTCCCCCAGAGATAACAGAGTGGTGGAGTCGTCGTGATCAAGTATGAAACGTGAGGAAACGAGAACAATGCACAAAATGGGGACGAGATAGCAGATCAACCTCCTCTCTTGGCGCATTAGCCGACGGAGCTACTGGAAAAGAGAGACGGGCAATGCGAGAGAAATTGAGGACAATCTGCGAGAAATCCGGCTCGATCGGTATCGAGAAAGGAAAGGAGTAGAGCGAAAGGAGGGGGGAGGGCGAGAGATGGCGAGGGTGTCAGCCGGAGGGACGACCGGAGAGGATCTCTAACCAACCCAACGGACCTGTGGGTGCCACGTAGGACAAAATTCTCGCCGTCAGCCCTCCGCGAAATGTCGGTCGGCCGTCAAACCCAAACTCGTCCCGGCCAACTAAATTCTGACCACCATCCTCAAGAAGAAATTCAACATTCTCTCTCTCCCTCTCTCTGTGCACCTTCCGCTCTTACACCGCCTGGCTCGGCAGCAGCAGCTGGAGAAGGTCAAAAGACCGACCGCCCATGTACTTGCTGCTGCAGTGCAGCCACCGCTGCCATGATTTTTGCTCTCCTCTTCTAGCACCCGGTGACATGCATGACGGGCCCAATGTACATGTCTGCACTCACCATATTCTGCCCTTCCAAAAGGAAGAAGAAAGGGCGGGTGGGGGAAGGCGGGCGGAGGAGAGCCCAAGAACATCCTCGATAGCTGCTATGGCTGTCCTGAGTTTACCCATTGGAGCGATTTCACAGGAGATAGCCAGATAGAGATCAGATTCCCGGCAGCTTTCGATCGATTTACATGAATCGCTTCTATTGAAATAAAACTGACAGAGACAAACAATGGATGGAGAGGACGCTCTAAAATTGGGCTCTGAACTTTGAAAACCGAGCCCCGATCTACAGCCTGAAATGGGAGGGCTTTACAAGGGAGGGGGTTGATGGTCTGTACAGCAAGGGTAGGGATGGCTTACAGGTCCTCAGGGCGCTGGATCTCGCCCATCATGATGCGGTTGCTGTGGACCTTGAAGCCCAGGAGGGAGGGATCAATCTGCCTCCCTTTCTTACCTTTCTTCTTGTTGCTAGCCCTGCCGGCGCCCTGGGCGCCCTCCATCTCTGAGCCCGCGGCCGCAACCTCTGCTTCTGTCACGGGCTTCTTGGGGCTCAACAGCATGTCCATGAAAGACGCCCCCAAGGGATCCGCATCACTGGGCGCCCGCCGGAGCCTCGCGTCCTTCACGGGTGGTGGGACGTCGGTGGCCTGGAGCGCTGCACCTCCGCCACTACCTCGCCCGCCCTCTGCGTTGTCTATGATACCAGATAAACAGTCAGCATGCCTCTGAGGCAACGACGGCAGTGAGAATAACACTACTCTATGTGGAGAATCGGCATACCCTCTGAGGGAGAAGTGATCCTGGTTTCGTCGCCCAAAGCAGGAAGCGGCGCCAGCTGGGGCAGTGAGTCTTGGGATGCCAATGAGCCTTGGAAGTGGTGCTTCAGCAGAGTGTTGGGAAGGAGGCTGCGAGTACAACAAACCAAACAGTGAGTTCATATTATATACTAGATGGCATTATACGAAGGATCAAACTGACTCAGATTAAAGAACTGTCATTTCAACTCGAACAAGTAAGTACATTGACAACACCAACACCAACTTTGCTTTAACATTTTGTCCTGAAAACCCCATATATTTTGTCTTAACCCCTTGCTAGATTGGATATTGGTAATCAGAATTCTAGAAAATGGATCCGACCCACGTCAGCAGGGTCAAGTTTTCTAAAGCTGGCGAAACCCTGTGAGACCACGGATGAGCCCCCCAATTCAATATCATATTTGGTCCGTTATAAATTGGGCAGCCTGTCTTCTTCAATCCATGCAAATCTAACGAAAAGGCTCTTGTAGATAATAGACATCATAGAAACTTGTACTATACAAACCATAATTGAAATATCAATTAGATACGATCATTCCACATCTCATTCAGAATTCGCTATACCTGTCCGTATTCAGCTCTCGGCTAGGCTCACTTTCCACATTCATCTCAATGTTGTATAAACCCATGTTTCCTCCTGCACAACATCGTGAAGCTAATGAGCTAAATAAGAGAGATTAGGTCAATGATTCAATGAAAGCATCCTAGCAAATTTGTCTCAATTCTTATACTGAATGATAGGATTAAGGATGAAGAATTTTATTTTTGGGACCAACGAAACTAAAATAGAAAATTGTCAGAAACATCACCAAGAACTTCCGGAGCTGATCCCTTTGCTGATTTAACTTTGGACCAAGGTTTTTTGGCTTTCACGCCCTCTTTCGTGTCCAAGAAGTCCATGCTGGAATCTCCATATATCCCCTGATTTGTTTCATTCATAATAAGAGATTGTCTATCTTCTAGTAATTCTCCAGAAATAGATTGATAAGGCAACCTTTTGCCGCTTTCAATACTGTTACTCTGTCCATCAGGAGCCACGTTCACTGACTGTTCCTGGGCAAGGTGCCTCATCTTGGATCCATAAGAATCCTTGGCGAAAATATCCCGACTATTTCGGTCCACATAAAGATCGAAGGGGTGATCTGAAGCAGGCCCAGAAAAAGGCCAATTCGCATCTCTGATTCCATGAGACGAATCACGAGGATCATTGACCATCTCTGGTGGCAGGGAATGGATGTTCAAATCTTTGCCAATCAAACCCATTAGAGACCGTGCAGACTTTTCATCATTGCCTACCGTAGTAGCCCATGCATTGGGATCCTCAGATCCGAGATTCATCACGAAATTTATCCTCTGCCTCTCAGCTTCTAGGCGCAGTTGGTGAGGCTGAGACTCCATCAAACTTTTTGGAAACTGCCCATCAGGCTCGGACATGTGAATGGCTAATGAGTCCATATGCGATACATTAAATTGATTAGGAAATTGCTGAGGGCGCGAACGAACATTGGAAGGAAACTGACCGACTTGACCAGAATGATTTACATTCCCGAATTGGTCCTGAAGACCTAATCCTTGAAGTCGTGACATGAGCTCCGTGTTGAACCCAGCAGCATCAACAGGGGAAGAGAGTGGCCTCTCGAAAGGTTGTGTCCTTGGTTCATAGAGAACATGTTGCATATGCTCACGCATGGACAAGCTGTGATCAAAATGGCCTGATTGCTCAAAGGCTGCCCGGTTCTGATGGCCTTGGAGACGATCCAACTGAGCGAGACCAGAGGAATGGGACCAATGACGACCAGAAGGTGTTCTCACAAGCTGCCCGGATTCGTCGACTGACCAAGACCTTCCAAGATGTCTCTCATCCTCCACAACTGGAAGCTGCTGCCTTTGTCCCCCTGGAAACTGTTGGGCCTGAAACTGCTCTTGTTGAAGCCTTAGAAACAACTGTTGGTCCAAAAGTCCTTGATTCTGCTTGGAGTGCAAGGCCTCGAGCAAATCTTTCGGATGCTCCGGATGCTGCCTGTGTCCAAACTTTGCCTGTAGAAGCTGCTCCAAAGATGGATCGCTGTGCCTTGATTGAAGAGAGTGTTGTTTCAAATGATGTTGAAGACGTTCCTGAAAGACAAGTTCATCGTGCATAGTTTTTCTCTGGAGAGGCTCAACCTGGGAGGGCCCAAAAGGAGATTCATGCATCTGTCGCTGCAGCAACTGCTCCAAAAGCAAATGTTGCACATGAGATTGTTCATTCTGCTGTTGCTGGCGGTGCTCCAGTAATTGGAATGGGAGGTGTTGAAGCTCTTGCTGCTGCTGCTGCTGCTGCTGCTGCTGCTGTTGGAGCTGCAAAAGCTGTTGCTGTTGGAATTGAAGTTTCAAAAGATTCTCCAACTCGGGTACATGTGGACCAATTACTTGCTGATGATGAGGGCCCTGGAGTTGTTCCAAATGAAGCCGTTGATGTGGAGACGGCAAATTCTGCTGCTGAAGATGTTGCAGCTGAAGTTGTTGTAGAAGTATCTGATCTTCAAGACCAAGTCGACCAGAGTCTTGTTCGAAATGAGACAGCTGGTGGGCAACCATTGAATCATGAAATAGGTTCGGATTTACACCCCCCTGTCTACTGCTGACATTTGGCCACATGTCACGAACATCACGTAAATCACCAACGGAATTAGGGTCAAGTCGTTGCCCATGATTAGATATATTAGTTTGCAGCTCAGGATGCCCCTGGTTAATGATGCCAGATAAATTTGTTGATAGAGGACGCTTCTGGTGAGCTTCTAGCTCAGAAAGTAACAGCCCAAGAGGATGTGCATCATTATCAGCCAGAACCTGACGTCCGGGAAAGCTTCCATCTTCCGCTTCGCTGGTAGAAAAGTCATGAATGCCCAACCGGGAATGGTTTGATAGCATGTTCGGATTAGTATTCATTGACCTTCCACGATACAACACTTCTACAACATGAAACAACCAAGCTCCGTCAAATTCCTAAATTAGGGAAAATGAGAAATAACACAAAATATACCAAAAGTAAAAAGCCAAGTAAACAGAAGAGAGAATAAACCTTCAACGTCTGGCCCAGTATGCTCACGAAAGCTCTGGTTCTCAGCATGATAACTGCCCGATGATATATCTGGCCTGGAACTAGAAAAGTTACGATCATGCAGATCAATACGATCAGAATGCCTAGACATTCTCTGTCCACCTAAAGCATTAGAAACAGAAACGTCCGACCCTGCTTCAGGATTTCCTTCAATAGCATCTGATGATTCTGACTGATCCCCAGAATTATTCACCAGAACAGATCTAGCTCTGAGTTTCAAATGTGGCATTACATCTCCAAGTTTCTTGAAAGGTGTGCCTTCAGGAGCATCTGACAGGCATACAGGTAAATCAGTGCCAAAAAATCCCTGATCAAACCATGAAATAATGTCAACTCCTAAAAAGGGTCCCTGTATCTCTCCCTGAGGATCACGGTAAAAGAAACTCAATTCTTCTGGAGGTATGCCCAGTTCAAACTTTATATCATCATTATTCTTTTGACATGGTTCATTTGCACTAACAAAATCCTTGAAAAATTGTGAATCGAAAATGGCGGTGGACTGATCCGGTAGTTTTGAATGGCCATCCAAAGCAGCAGTTAATTCTTGGTCTGCAGTTTTATTACTTGTCAAGTGTAAAGCAAGTCCCGGGTCCGTCATGGCATTTCTTTTGTCATCGGTGCAGACAGAGCTAGCCCCATCCATGCATGATAAATCAGCCTCAGAAGCAACTGGAGTCCAACCGCTAGAAGTTATCTCAGACATCAAGTTACCAGCTGATTTCCCATGCTCCTCAAAGCCAGAAACTCCATCTGAAAGATTCAACATTTTCCAGCAAAACATGACTAAGAGATAAGCAAATAAAAGCAAAAAACAGTTTACTTGCACACTTCTTAAATGGAAGTTCATACATCTTTCTAGTAACACACTTCTTGTTATTGCATGCCCTCAGAAAAGAAAAAATTGTGAAAATTTTGAAACCTCCAATTCCAATTCCAACTACAGTTTAGTTAGTTGATAACCAGAACCCGAAAAAAGATTACTCTTGCCCCAGTTACAGAGCTCACCAGTAAGAGACAAGCTCGACCTGGAAATAGCCATCTTGAAAGAGACTGGCTGATTCCCAGCGACTCTATTTTTGTATTTTAAAGGGATATTGCGATTCCCACTCTTAAATCTTATCAGGAATTGACTGATTCCGATTTGAGTTGGCAGAAGCTATGAATCATCAACCTGACCTTACATATCCCATCTAACTACATTTTAATCGTAGAGAAAAAAAAGTTGGCTATGTAAGCGAATGCGCTTTCAGAAATCCATTATCATGTATAACAAGAGTATATACAAGCAGAAAACAAAAGTCATAAGGGTATTCTTGTCAATTAAAAACATAATAGTAACCACTGAAAGAAATTAACTCCCGTAACCATACACTTTTTATATGTAGTGGGAGCACATAAGAACATACACATTAGGAAGGTTGCAAATCTAATGTGAAAGCAAAAAAAAAATATTCAGATGGAAATATCTTTTACCAGTTCTTTGAGAGGAGTTATAATTTCCTCCTTTTACAAGTAATTCCCTTAATTCGTCAGTAGCTTTTGTGCTATATGTACCATCACTCATTCTCATGTTATTCTCTCCTGAATGAAAGAATTGAACACGGTTAAAGAAATTGTCCAAAGCAAGCCATACTAGAAGCATCAGTATCATCTTACCAGGCTGGAAGTCATTGAATTTTGAAGTCTTTTCTCTGGCAAAACTATGAGATACGTCACTAGAGGTAATTTTTCCTTTCCACATGTCTTCTAGAACAGCCTGCCATACATTTCAAAAAATGTTAAAGATACATCAAACAGAGCGTTTCAAAATACAAAAAAAAATATCTGTCGACGATGGGACAGGAAGAGTATTAAAGATATGAAAAACTGGCAAAACATAAAATAAATTTGATGTGTCATAATATCATAAAATAAACAGCGTATTGAGGAACCTGAGAAATGGATCGCAGAATCGGCAATCAACTAATAAAAATTCAGAAAACAAAGACCTCATATGAAGAGGTCCTTTGTGGACAATTACTAATAAAAAACTGTCAACCCATTATCCTGCAAAATTAATTTATACATGATATTCGACTACGTCGTGGCCACCGGAGTCAGAAAGTATACTCAACCTTCTGAACAGCAACTAGTCGGCTTGCATGGCAGACAGATACATCTCGAGCAACTTTCAGGTCACTTATAAGGTTATCCATTTCCGAAATATCGGGAAAAAATCGCATGATGTTCGAGGAAGCATGGCCACCAAAAACTTCTGAAGAAAAGCAAGGCAGCCGACTGACACCAAATCTCTTGACGTTTGTAAGACATATCCTTCTTTTGATTGAAGGTACAGAGGTTAACAGGGAGAATTTCAGGTTCGCACATCTTCATAAGTCAACAATACAATCTTGTTGGAGTCAACTCGTGAAACGGAAATTAGAAGTCCTTAAGACATAATCCTCACTTTTAAAATTGAAAAACTAGGAAAGAAAATCCACCCTCACCGTGACCTAAATGGAGGCTGCTCAAAAGCCATAAATTAATCATATTAGCCCCATATTAGCATGTCCTAAAAGAACATGCAGATGTTATAGGCGTAAATGAGAGCTAGAAAACAAGACCATTGACAGCTGGAGGCTGGTTTAGCCCAAGAAGGTATTATCAAGCATTGCAACCTATCATCTATAAACCGGAAATCTTTCCAAAAGGTCTTTAAAAAAGTCTTCAGAATCCCCTTGTTTTGGAAAGAAGACTCCACTGACGTGATCATGTAAAGAAGAGTTGATTTATAGGGGAGCTGCGAATTTGAACAAATTATTCCTAAAATACTTACAAAGACCTGGAGGATGCACTTAATTGGGCCAAAATAGTAAAAACTGTAATCTAGGTGGCATAGTGGATATTGAATGCAGGCCAATCTAATAGAGAATACGGATTCATCATTCATATATTACCATGTAACTTATCTGTTCATCACGTACGAAGCGATCCTGATATGTATGACTGTGGACAGAGTAAAAACTGAAGTCTAAATCTATCTTCGAGTTCCATAAAATTTGCATTTTCGGGATAATGGGATCCCAGCCGAATGCGAGGGTCATTGTAGTTGGAACAGGGAAGGAGAGTTGCAAAAAAAGTGAGGGAAGGTAAATGATCATCATTTTCAGTTAGACAATCAATAATAAAGTCAATAATTAGCATCGAACACGCAAAAATTAGATAACTAAAATTCATAAAAATATGAAAAATGTTATATCCGGGGAAAACACTCCCGCTAAATTAAACCATTTATCTTGTTCTAAAGTGGAGCTAACACAAAACTATACAAGAGTCCGTACAACATTTCTATTCCAGTATACTGGCTCATCGCATTACAATCTGCTCGTTCTTCAATAGCCAACAGTAATCCCATCATGCCAGGGATAATAGTCTGTCCTGGAAACTACAGATTTTGCCCATGAACATGCAAAACTCTTCCCCGCCACTAAGTCCAGATGTCAACAAAAAAAATGTTGTCCCTTGGTTAATCCCGGTTATTACATTTTTACCAATGTCACGCATATTATGATTTTAACCTGCAGACTAACATTTAAACCTTACCGATCAGAAACCAGATAGCGTCGAGTATTCAAAATCTTCCTCTGAACCCAAACTGGTCGGAAAAAATTGGCAGCTACCTTTCTACTAAGGATCAACATCAGGCAGACGCAAAAACTGCAGAAATCTTGAGACAACAAAGCATGGCATAACTACTATAGTTTGTCCAATTCGAGCATTTACTAATATAACAGTGACAAAAATGTCAACTCAAAGCATAGGTACTTAGTAATGAAAAATAAAGATTACCTCCTCCTCTGCATCAGGAGTTACAAAAGCAAGAGGATCGACTTTATTTGATTGGGTTATTGGAGGAACTTCCTCAAGGCCATCAGGCAGCGCATCAAAAGTTGAAAGTAACGAACGTTTTCTGTAAATATCAAGAAGCTTTCCTCGAGGGTAACGAAAAGTGTCAGGAGACAGGCCATTTCTAAGCATAGCTTCACTCTTAAAACCGATAGGACCAGCTACAGAAGGCCTCCCAACCGGAAAACTTCCAACAAGGTTTGACCTCCCACGCCCAGAAGCAAATCCTGTAACTTGGCCATCTGCACGACCTCTGTCCAAACCAAAACCTGGTGCTGCACGATAAACGGCCGAGCCTCCAGACTGAACATCCTGCCTATGACGTGGTCTCCACTTGTCACGAGCATCACTTTCAGAAGTTGCACGGTTCGTTGCAACAACGGGCTGCTTTTCATTGTGGGTATCATCTTTGTCTAAAATAACTTTTTTCTCAATTCGAGGGTCTTCCTTATCTTCGGGGCCCCATCTTGATGACCATTTGCTGTCCCTACGGTTTTCATGCCCTGAGCTACGAATATTGCCTTCATGCCATTTGTCAGATAGAGGCATACTCCTAGAATCAGCTTCTCTAACACTAGCAGTGTCAACACGACGCTCACTTTTTCTATACTCATTTTCCCTGTCTCCTTCCTTCTTGCGCTCTCTCCTACCAAGTAACCCAGTGTCCCTTTCCTCTTCACGCCAACGACGACTAATATCAATCTCTGGACCAGCCCTTCGCCAATCTTTTTTTTCTTGTGATCCATCAAGACGCCAACCATCCTTTTGAAGGGGGTCAGACGAAATTCCATGAGACAGATTATGTTGACCACGAATTTCCTGTCACAAGAAAGATCACAATTATTTTGCAAAATATTGACTCAGAAAATGAGTTACCAGAGTCAAACATAAAACCACCACCAAGAACATATTAAACGCAAAAAAACATCTAACGACAAAGTCATCAAAGAAACCATCATGGATAAGTTGAAAATACCAATTTCACGATCCAATAAAGGTTATGGCACCACCCTAAAGATTGCTCTAAAACATCATAATATAACCAGAGTAATCATGAGCATACCACAGACATAAAGTAGATAGCAAAGAAGATCTTAACAGACAAATTAAAAGAATTAAAATAATGTAAGGAAATGCAACCATGCAGATTTCTTGAAAAGGCAAACTCAAACGCAGAATTCAAGGATTGAAAAACTAAATGATAAACACACCCTTATGCTTTGCCAGACAAATAGACACAGGTATTCTTAACAATAATCCTAAAAATTCATCATATTCTAAAAGTTTTGGTGATATACCATTTATAATTTTATATTCATTTCATAAAACCAAAAAGGTACCTAAATCATCTACTAGAAATTTATAAATAGATTTTTTTTCTATTTAAACAATGCAGATGATATAGTCTCTTTCATGTCCAACGTCATTTCACATGACAACACCAACAGTCAACTCCAAATGTAACACACTATATAAGCTTGGCATAATTTCCTACAAAGAAGATGATATAGTCTGAAGGGCACATCAAAACAATGCAGAACATTGCCTGGGCATTTTCAGGAGGAGAGGAAGGGAGCAAGGGGAAAAAATACACGCATACATATACAAATAGACAAACAGAAATAAGGATCTAGCTACGTATGTATGTAGTTATGCATAGATGTGTATATGTATATCTCTAAATAGATATATACAAAGTGAGAGTGGAGGGATTTTGTTACTTTCAATGGCACTGGTAAACGACCGTGAAAATTATTTCCAGAACAATTCAATATTCCCGTTCTTTCACTTAACATGATTTGAAAAACATTGTGAATATCAATCCACTTCACAAAAAAGGAACCTTCTTCAGAACTGATAACTGAGAGAAATTTATCAACAAAAAAGGAGATTGTCGGAAAATATTCATATAAACTACATAACGCACATCCATATTACAGATGCACTATCTCCCTTCCAATTTTTTTGCTTATGCAGGTTTAAACCGTCATCGCCCTTCAAAAATTGAGACAGGAAAGGTTGCTGTAAAGTTACAGGCAGCCGGAATAATAATCTAGGAAAAAAGCTTCGAAAGGAAATAGAGTTGGATCAAGTTTTGAAATTAATAATTTACGTAGCCTACTTCAATTTTATGCCATACTGGCATAGTATCCCATAAAATCAAACAAATAAAACATTAGGTACGTTTTGCTAATTACAGCGTTCAATTCCTTCAAAACGTGCGTGTTACATTTATAATACGTGATAAATCAGACAAATGCATAGATATGTTGCTTATATCTAGCGTTGGATCAACTGGCCAATCCTTCAACTCTTGTTGGAAGTTTATATTTAAAATAATCAAGGCAATACAAGATAATGAACGAAACCCTTATTGTGTAGATGGAATGCCTATGCAGTGAGACCACGCTTTACTTCTTTAACTGCTAACATTTATCGTATTTATACATGAACTTGCCAAACTAGGATCCTTTGAAAATATGACGATACATGTCACAAAATGACAAATGATCCCTCATTTTAGCGTTTCAAGTTAAAAACAGATTCATAAAAGAAATCTCAAACTGCACGTCAACATCAAGGATAATACTTTCTAGATTGTTTTCAGGCAATTCCTCAACGGTGTTGCACTCTTCATAATTAGGGCTCATGCAGTGGCATAAGAATCCCTAGAACTGCATACCAAGATTAAAAACAAAAATTACTATAAAATAGACATAATCATTTGACCTGATGTACACGAAATCCTAAAAAAAGGCATGAAAAGTTATGTATGATAGAATATTTCCTCAGTTACCATTCTCTACTTATTGTATAGCCAGTGTGTTGCTATCTCTTTCTGAAGTTTAGTCCAACCAAATGAAAAATAGGAAAGAACAATTATGACACTTACCCAAAAAAACGATTGGGTATTGACATCATGAAATTCTAAGGGACTTACATAATTGATGTAGTGACACAAACTGATCAGGCAACCATTCCAGATGTTCTTAAGCGATGAACAGTTGGGTTGACAGACACATACAAGGATTATGAGCCAAAGACAACTTTCTAGATAGTAGAGAAACTCAAAATAAATCAAGGTTACGGACAAGTTTTTTTTTCCAAGAGAACAAAAGTTCAAAACCGGTAACACATTGAGGAATAAAACATCTAGGTATTAAAATTAGGAAGCACTTAAAAAAATAGTTTATTTTGCCGAATCAAACAATAAAATGAAATAAATATGTACGAATATATGTATTAAATCATAGCTAGATGACCAAATACCAAACACTCGTGGTAAAAAACGAGGTCCAATCTAATAGGGAAAATATGGAAGGAACAAGAGATATCCTAGTCAGGCAGAAGTACTTCAAAATTTAGTAAATAAGGGTAAACGTAATCAAATAAAACAAGATGATGATACTCGGTCCAGATGTTTACCCCAGAGAAAGCTGAATGGCTAGTTTTACTCTCATTGGTCTTGGCATACAACCACTGAGGTGTCAAAGGTATGTTCTCGGAGATCAGTGGATCTGCAAAAGAAGAAAACAAAAAACAAAATCATTGTACAGATAAAGTAAAAAGATTTCAAATGAGCATCCTAAAGACACATTCCCTAAATATAAGAAAAATTTTACTCATTAACACTAGCTAATTCTGCTGAGCCATGCTTATCACAAAAGCACCGTAGTGCGTCATTTCCCTTCATGTTTTAATGATTGATAGTAGAATATACTGGCTATGCAGGAAAACGTCACAAGGCACTATCCAAGATATCCTTAGATGGAAATAAAAAATGATGACTTTCTCTGTGCGCAATTATTCTTTGCCACAAAAGAAAATAAATGTCTTCTTTGAATTATAAAAACAGCCAGAATAATTTTCCAAACAACTTTGCTTTTTTATCTTAACATGTATATATCTGAATGATCAAAAGATGGTTTCCCGAGGTGAAACCTTTCAAATCATCTGGAAGTCCCATAAGCTCCTTATCCACGTAATTCCCTCCAGACGTATCAGCTGTTACAAGGAAAAGTGGAAAACATCAAATTGGGGAAGCAAAAGGAAAAGGTAATGAGAGAATCTATTTGTCAAGAAATACGTAAAAGGAACAAAAAAGAAAATCTGAAAAAATTACGCGAGAGCTACGAATTCTCATTTAGTCTTGTTTTCTCTTCAAGAATTCCAAAAGCGAACAGATATAACCACCGTTGTCACTGTCGGACGATGATCCGAAAATGACAGCGGCGCTAGGATAGCAAATATGATTCTATCACAATGCAACAGGATCAGACTGTTCCAAAAAACTCGAAAAGAGAAAAAAATCCCGAAGGGACTAAGAAATTGCAAATAACATTACCAGGATATTTTTCCGGAGCAATAATTCCTAATTAATTTAGAAGATGGAAATGCGAATTGATCAAAATGATCAAAACAGAGAGGCAAGTTGCACTCCTGGGGAAACAAATGGAACTTCCAGGGTTCCAATACGAGAATTATAGCATAGATCATGGGCAGCATTTGATAGACACAATATCAGGTTACAACCAGGGCAGCAGTCACTCGGACAAAGAACACGGGATTAATCTACCTGTCTTCGACGGAAAGAGATCCTCCGGCAGATCGACCTTGCCTTCCGCCATTCAAAAGTTGCGGGGATTGGAATGAAATAGGGCTTCGGGGTGGGCGCGGAGCGGCCAGGAAACCAAAACCGGCGTCCAACGCCAGGCGACCGAGGGAGAACCGGGCAGATCGGGGGGGAGAACTTCGGGAGAAGAGGGAAAACCGGAGGGTTTCGACGACTCTGGAGAGAAACAGACTGCAGAGTGGAGGCGGGGGAAGCAGACGAGGGCGCCGGGAAGTGGTTCGCTCGAACGGATGGCGAAGGAGAGAAGAGGAGGGGTGAGGGTTTCAGAGGTCGAAACGGCGGAAGGAAGTGCGATTTGGGGAGGGGAGGATCGTGGAAAATATCCACGGGTACAGATCCAATTTCTCTTCTTTTAGGCGTCAAACCGTACTCGAAATCGCAAACGACACGCACTAGTCCACCCCTATTACACCCTTACCCACCGCCACATCTCTCTCCCTCTCCATCTGGCGTGGACCCTCACCTTCAATCATCTACTAATTTATCATTACTAATGACGCGAAATGGAGATTAATTTAGATAAAGCTCCTTCTGTTATTGGGCCCCACATCGATATACAGTCCTCTCTCTCTCTCTCTCTCTCTCTCTCTCTCTCTCACACACACACACACACACACATCGACGCTACTTTCGGGCTCAGTATTTACGATACATATTACCAATAAGCAGCATAAATCTTACATTTTTTGATTAATTTGAGTTAGTAAATAAAAAATGAAAAAGTGCATATTTAAATTGAATTATTAGGCATTAAATCCGTGAAATGAGAAATCAATTGACGGGCTGGACGTAGCCCGGGGACACTGGAGATTAAAGAAGAAAAATTTAGAGAAATAACCGTTTGGGCATGTCCGACAAGAGAAAGCCAGAGAAAAAGACAGGCGGAGCCCATGAGAGAGAGAGAGAGAGTTATGATCTTCTACTACTCAACACGAATCGCTGCTACAGAGCGGGGGATTGGAGGGTAGGGGGGATCAGGGGCTCTACTCTCTGCCCTGCCGAATGAGAGAGGGAGAAGCTAACTCAATTCAACCTCTGGGCGGCCTCCTTGGCGATGAGCTTCTCCTTGGCCTTCGTCTTGGCCTGGGATTTGGAGCCCATGATGCCGCCGCCCCACTTCTTTCTGATCTCATCGAACTTGTCGTTGAAGTTGGCCTGTGCCCATCATCAAACAGTTAGCTAAGCATATCCATCTCTCGACCAAACTCACAGAAAAGAAGGGGAGAGAGAGAGAGAGAGAAAGAGAGAGAAAGGGGAGGGAGGGAAATGCCCACCTTGATGGCTTCCAGTATCTTGCTGAATTCGAGCTTGTCCTCGTTCTTCACTGAAGTCAGGCATAGAACGGATGCGGTCTTCTTGTGAACGATCTACCAGACATAGATAACAAGAGGATCCACTGAGTGAAATCTTCATGAAAGATGTGCACATGAAATCAGGCTGATACGGCAGATCCTTACCGCTCCCAAGCGGGCTTTTCCTTTCACAATGCAGTATGGGATCTCCATCTTCCGGCACAGAGCTGGCAGCCATACGACCAGCTCAATTGGGTCGACATCATGAGCAATAACAACCAGCTGGGCCTTGTTCTACAACGAGATGAAATAATACATCATCACAAACTACAGCTGGTACTATGAAAATCTATGAAGTTATACCTCCTCAGAATACAAAGGGCTAGTTTTTAAGAATGATCAGGAGAAATGGTAGCGGTACCTGCTCAATAAGGTAAGTAATGTGATTCAGGCCATACTTCACAACAATGGGCTTCTTAACCTCCACGGTCTTGCCTTCGGCCTCAGCCTGTGCCCTCTTGAGAAGCCTCTCCTTCTTGGCGGCTTTGTCCTCTGGTCTGTATTTGAGGAGCATCTTGAAGAGATTGGTTGCTGCATGTGGAGATTTTTAGGAATCCGAGTAAGGAGATCATACATATATAATCTTAACGCAATTCCCAAACACACTGGCATTCATTGTTTCACTGAAACTCGATTTTAGTCCAAACAAACATATCAAATTAGCAACAAGAAAACTACAATTCATCTACTGTTTTCTGTTTGAAAAAAAAAAATGTCAGATGCCACAAATATCAAAGTGGAGAGGTGAAAATAACTATGTCAATGCCATGCGCTCCATAAACATCCTTCAACCATGGAAACTAACGTGACCAAGACTACTCGTATGTGGCCATTTTCCACCAAAGCTCTCACGACGTCACACAGATCTAATTCTCAAATGTCACAGATGATAACAACGTTACCAAAAAGTGAGTAAAGATATCGACAAAGATCTTGCGTCATTAGCGGATGTTATCCGAAATCAGTGTAAATGTGTTCAAACAACAACATCTGGAACTCAACAATCAAGCTTTGAAAACCAATTTTTTTACCGAGGTTTTTGTCCAGAGTCCTGGTGAACTGATTCAAGGCCGGGGGAACCTTCAACCGCTGCTTTAGAATCCTTCTCTGCCTTTGAATACGCACTACTTTCGGCCATTTAACGAAACGGTGCAGGTCCCTCTTCGGAGGCAAGGCCCCTCCTATTCCGAACTGTTTCGGGCGCTTCTCGAACAATGGGTTGACCACCTTCTCCTGTATCGTAGCCAGAGTATCAGAGACAGAATCCATAAGCATCCATCCATTACATTAGAAACAAATGCGATGACGCAGGCAACGAAGGAACTCGGGATGCGACAAATACCGGTTTCTTCTTCGCAGGTACAGGGGCCTTCACACCTCTTTTGGGAGCCTGTGGGATTCATAACAGAAAATCAGGAACAGATATGGCAGAGACCATAGCTAGAAATTCTAAACCGATGAATGCCCAATGCAGAGATTGGACAAGGCCAAAAAGCTCCATTTCAGATCAATACAGATCCGAGACGGTTGCTCGTGATTCCAAAGTAATACGAGTGGGCAAACTTGAGATATTACTCCTAAGAAAATCAACTGCGGTGTCCAGCCATCATCAGGAAGCTAGATCGATTATTCGGCGGAGTAAAATTGAATATCAAGAGGACGTAAGGGAAAACAGAGCTGCAAAGTACCATGTTCTTCGGCCTACGTCCAGCGACGGTGGCGGTGGCGGTGGCGGCCGACCAGAAACCCTAGAAACAAAATAGCACCCGCGAAGGAAAGGAGTGTGTGCGAGAAGACCCTTTATACTACGTCAGAAGGGTTATTTTTAAATAAAAACCCATGTAAGTATTATATTTTCATTAGAGACTCAAATTTATAATATTATAATATTCGGGCCTATTTAGGGCAACTCGTAAATTAGGCTAGAAACGTCAATGGGCATGTACTGAAAAGCCTCGCTGCTGAGCTGAGTTGACTCACTTTCTTATCAAGACCATAGATAGGAATAAGAGACTACTCCCGAGGCCTTCCTGAACCACTGCCGTCCTAATAGGCCTCGTTGACTTTGACTCAAGAGACCATTATCGTTCACATCCTACAATGCCGCACTAGGTTACGTGGCACTCCTCTCCCAGGTACAAGTGGCATCTAATTGACCAAAGTGGCTGTCCAAAGTGGGTCCATTTTGTTCTACCCATAAGTCTAAGACTTAGATATGCTTGCACATTATTGACATGATCACTCGAGCTTTTTTATAAAAAACAGAAAATTAATCCTAAATAAACTCTCAATATTTCATTGTTTCCAAAGGGCATCAAAGAGAGCTTTTTCAAAAAATAATTTAAATGAATGTACTAAGATTGTAGAAATTTGACAATTTTCCAAGTCATCAACACTACCTTGACTCATTTAGTCCAAGATTATTACACAATCTAAAGGTTCATACTCCTTGAAAATTACTTGAATCGTGAAAAAGTTCCTTCATGTTTGATGTTCCTTTTTAGATTTATTGTTTTTCAAAATGACAAAGATAAGTGAGGAATGTAGAATATTTTAAAATGATAGTATACTAATTTATTTAAATATCCACAATGATGGGTTACCAATCTTGTCGTAGATCATAATCACAAATGCCATTGACATGCCTTCACATCTCTATTTTTTCACCATGTGAGAAAAATGGAGTCAAATATTAAATCAAACATGGAGTCACATCTCTAATGTAGATTTTGGCTTTGGGATCATTAATAATTCTGATAGTGCCAAAATATATCAAGGGTTTTAATCTCAATTTTTCAAAATTACTTTATCCATCCATTAAATATAAATTACAAATGAAAACATCTATCAATATGAGATGATTAATATTTCTTTTACATTTGAAAATTTTAAAACATCATCATGACCCTTAAAAACGAATATTTATGTTGCAAATCATCTAACACGATTTATTAATGCTTATGTTTAATATTTCGATTGAAAGGAGGTAGTTTGGTGATAATTATATTGGGCTGTTAGAGTCGTGAATATAAATGAAATATTTATTTTAAATATTTGGCCTGATTAGAGTTGTGACATCTAATGGAGGTCAACGTAAGCTGTTTATGTTTAGTGTATATCTTACTAAGTACTTAGTAAAACTAAGAATGTCTTTAAAGAGTAGAGTAAGCAAGGTGCATAAATACACTATAATCTATGAGATGATTAAATATGTGAGATAACTAACAATCTATGGGTAATTGAAAAAAGACTACTTCATTCAATAATTAGTGTTGGGGGGATGGGCGCATGTTGATTATTGATGATTTACATTTTTCAAAAAGTAATATACATTTCCCTTTTTTGCAAGGAATCTAAATTATAATAAGAAATGGTAAATATGATATCATTGTAACTAAATAACACATTTTTTCTAAGTTTTTTGGTTTTAAAACTCTTTTTTTTAAGACTATTATGATCAAAGTAATTAATTTTTTTTATCAATAAAACTTGAAAAATCAGTCACATCTATGAGGGGAACCTAAATTGAGCCAACATTGATGCAAGTTCACTTGTTCAATTAGAAATAGTCCAAATAATTTAGTTCATGGATATTCTCATAGGGTTACTAGGAATCTGAAGGTAATGTGTATGGGCTAGATCAGTTGCTAGATTGTGATCCAATTTCAGATTGAGTGGACTAAGTCAACATCTCCAGACATCAAGATAGTATAATGAAATCAGGTCATATTGGAATCAATGAAGCCTAAGTCAACCTCCTTAAATGCACCCACCCATGAGAGAGAGAGAGAGAGAGAGAGCCAATCGTAAGCAACCCATTTGATTGACACATTGCATATAACTCAATTAAGGCATTATAACCGGACCATAAAAATAATTCCTTGTAGAAAACACAAACTTTATCTGCATATATTAACATGAAAACTATTTGATAGGATGAAGATTCAATCAACAAGATGCCTCTCTTGGGAATAATTTACATGGTGACATTGCATGAACAAAAATGTAGTCTATTATCTAAGAACAAGATTTGTTCCAAAATTTATCATTGATAAATAAGAATAAATAAAAACATTAACAACTAAATTAAACTTCACTATCAGGATTCACACAATCCCATCAATAAACCAAGGATGTCTCAAGGTTGTTTCTTTTTGCCATGTGATATGATCTGAGTTCTTCTAGCTTATGTAAGAACTCATGCATGACTTCCAAATGTTTACGGATTTCTAAATATTTGGAGACTCTCTGATTTGTTGAAGATGTAAAATTTATGTTTTCCCTCTTCTGCAAACAATACAAGTATTACTGGGCACTCACTAGAAAACCACTTTTGTATGCACCATGAAACTCTATGAATGGCAAAAAATGACATAGTTGAGGTTGCATCATATCAAAAACTTGGCAATAATTATAGGTCACTTGAAAGTAATTGCCTTGTTTATGATCCTAAAGAATATCTTACGGGCCAAAAATGACTAACATGTATTTTGCCTTTGATGGAAAACATTTCACTCTATGCACGTTGAGATTCTCTTATAGGCCAAGAAAGGCAGCCATATTCTTGGGCCACTTGAAAGTCATCAAACCATATGTGCCACCTCGAGGTCTACTGATAGGCCACAGATGGCAAAGCTTTTGCTTGCCCAATGTAGAAAACATTGCAAAGACTGCCATGCACCATAATTCGGCATTCTATATGGTTTTCACCTTTTATACGATTTGAAATGGTAATTTCGGAATTCAGCGCCAAATTTTAAGGACTCTTCCTGAACCTTCTTCTTCAATCTCTTCCAAGTTCTCACCATATCCGCCTGTATAAGCCCTCGATATAACGTCTCAAATGTTACCTTATGAGGGAGGAACCCCTTCTCTATCATCTCCATGAAGAATCGGCAGGCCTCATTCCATCGTTGCTTCTGACAGAGCCCATGAATGATCGAAGTATACGAATCCATGTCTGGCCCAACCCCTCTATTGCTCATATCCTCCCAAAGCTCCCTAACAAGCTCTGGTCGGTCCAACTGCGAAAACATCCCCACCAAGATGTTGTAGCTATGGATATCTGGTGGAGTGAGAGATTCCCCAGTCACTGCTGCCGTCTTCATCGTCCTGTACAGCTTAACTGCAGAGTCCACATCTTTCCTCCCGCGGTACTCCTTGAAGAAGCAGTTGTAGGTGGTGGCAGACGGTTGAATTCCATTGCTGGACATTTCGTCGAGCAGCTTCTCGGCGTCTTCCACTCTGCCGCAAGAAGCGAGGCACTTGACCACTGAAGTGTAGGTGGCCACGGTAGGGGAGATCCCCTTCCCCCTCAGGGAGTGGAAGAGGGAGAGGGAGAGGTCCGGCTTGTGGGCACGGCTGTAGACATGGAGGAGGATCGAGTAGCTGGTGACATCGGGCTCGATGCCTCTACTGCGCATTTCCTCGAACAGGTCTTCGGCGGCGCGAATTGTCCCGTCGAAGCGGGTGTCTGGGTGGAGGCTCGCTCTCCTGCAGATCCCGTTGAGCAGGACATTGTAGGAGACCACGTTGGGCTCCAGACCGCGATCGGACATCTCCCTCAAGAACTTCGCCGCCATCTGCGGGCGATTTATCTTGCACCATCCGTACATCAGGATCGTGTAGGTCTTCTCGTCGGGTGGGTATCTGGACTTCTTCTTGTTGAAGATCTCCGCGGCGAACTTCGATCCACAAAGTCGAGGGCGGCGCCAAGATCAGGGGAGAAAATGCCAGGAGAAGAAGAAGAGGGAGACGACGGCGATCGCGAGCAGTGGGGGAGCCTCACCTTTACGTAGCCGTACTTGCAGAGAGTGTCCAGAAGGAGGTTGAACTCGGAGCCGTCGGCAGGCCGTCCGACGAAGGCCTCCATGTCGTCGAAGGCTCTGAGGGCTTGCCGTGTGAGGCCGGCGGCGGCGAGGCGGCGGACGAGGACAGCGAATGTTCTCGGGGAAGGCCCCACGCCCATCTGGTCCATTTCCATCACCAGCTGCCACACCACGTCGAATTGGCGGACCTTCCCAAGGAGATCGACCATGAGATCGTAGGCGTCAGCGTCGTGGCGGTGCCCTGCGTGGTCCCTGGCCCAGAGGAAGAACCCTAGGGCGACCTTGGAGGCGTGGCGGAGGCGGAGGAGGGTCTGAAGAACGAGGCCGTGGGAGAGGGCCACTGTGCCGGAGAGCTGGAGGGGGGATTCCATGGCGTGGAAGGGATTGTGGTGGCCGATGAGGAGGCGGGAGAGGGAATCGGCGTCGGCGCAGGGCTGAATGGAGCAGGCGAAGGACAGCTTCGGGGGGCCTCCCACGAGCTCCGGCTCCGGGCATGGCTCTCCTCCATTCTCTGCCGTCGCCGGCGAGGTTCCGTGGAAGAAATTCAACGGGATGGAGCACGGCTGAAGAAGAGAGACGGAGGAGGAGGAGGAGGAGGAGGAGGAGGAGAGAGGAGATAGGCAGCGTCCGCGGCGGAGGATCATCGCCGTCGCCACCGCAAGGGTTTCCCGCCGCCTGGGACTTTTTCCCGAGGTTTCCACTTCAATCCAAAAGCCCATTAATATTCAGAAATAACCCTGTATGTTTATAAGTTATCAATCAGTCCCTCAATGTTTCTGGAAGCTTGGAAACATATCACTACCCACGTAAGTATACAACCGAAAACCTTTGGACTTCTTCCAAAGGTTTACGCTTCGATCCATAAAAATCACTAAAATTCATAAATCCCCTATATTTTACATAATTTAATAAATGAGACCATCATGTTTCAAAAATCCATAATCTATCTGAATTCAGAAAATTTACAAATTTGAGGTACTTTTCATAAATATTTCCGCTGCCCACTTCCATCCAAAACCCCATTTTATATTCATAAATAGCCCTACACTTTACATAGTTTATAAATTAGACCCTGAATATTTCTAAAATATGGAAGCTTGGAAACGTATAACTGAACAACGGATAATCTATCGAATTTCAGAAAAAAAATATTTATAAATTACCAAACGTTTCCGCTTCGATCCTTAAAGCCCACTAATATTTATAAACAATCCCATATTTTTTACAGAATTTATAAATAAGACCCCCAAGTTTCAAAAATCTTGAAACTTGGATACAAATAATAACTGAAGAACTGATAATCTATCTGAATTCATAAAATTTACAAATTTGAGGAAAATAGGTTTCCTTATAGCGCCAGATTTTAGTTCGATGACTGACGACTACCCCCCGCCCCCTCCCCCCTTTCCATTATTTACATTTCCATAGAGCAACAGGTCAATAAGCTTTTCCGAGGTCGTCCTCGTCCTCGTCAGCGCGCAGTCGATGGCTGGAAGCTCATACAGATCGGCGGGTTGATCTTGAAGATGGAGAGGATGGCGGAGGGCACGGTCCATATGCCGTCCCCGCAGATCAGACCGGAGGCCACGGCGCCGGCGAAGTCCTCCGCGCTCTTCCGGTTGATCCGCTCCCAGACGAAGAGGATGACGGTGCCGACGAACATGTCGATAGCGAAGTAGGCGCCGATGTAGAAGGGGACCGCCATGGCCATCGGGATGGGGATGAACTTGGAGATCCTCACCGGAGCGACGTCCCGCAGGAGGTTGACGAGCAGCGCCGCCGCGAAGAAGCCGCAGCAGATGGTCAGGCAGTGCTTCGGCAGCGCGGAGAAGCCCTCCACCCCCAGGATCGCCATCTCCCGATAGATCACGGCGTAGGGGGCCTTGTAGGCGCCGTCGGCGGCGCCGATGTCGAACGCCGTCCAGTACATCCAGAAGGTGAGCGGCGCGATCACGCAGCCCATGGCCGTGCCGATCAGCTGCGACACGAACATGGATCTCGGCGAGGAGAGCGTCAGGTAGCCCGTCTTGAAGTCCTGCATCAGATCGGCGGCGGTGGAGACGATGGACATCATGACGCCGCAGGCAGCGAGGCCAGCGACGACGCCGCCGTCGGAGCCGACCAGCGAGGCGAAGGCAAAGAGCATGATCTTGCCGTAGGTGGAGGCCAGGCTCCAGTCCGTGAGGCCGGTGCCGTAAGAGTTGCAGAAGGCGAGGGCGGGGGCGACCAGGTAGCAGCCGAGAACCAGGTACCATGGGACCTGCGGAAAGATCATCGGCACGGTGGCAGTGGATACGGCGGCGAGGGCGACGTACCCTGAGGCGGCGAACCAGGAAGGGATGCCGTCTCTGACAAACGTCTCGTTCCGCAGCCTCTCCTCCACCAAGGCCTCGGACGCCTCGTCTCCTGCAAGTTGAAGATCAGATCAACTCCCGTAGAGATAGATTTTATTTTATTTTTGGTTATTTTCCTTTTGCAGTACGCTGATGGCTAGATCGAAGATTCGCCGGGATTTCAGGATACGTATCGATCACAGCATACTTCTGTGGTCTGCAACTTGAGAATTTTACCCTGGGAGGTGCCCACGAGGGGAAGGCCGGGCCGCTTTGTCTGAGCGTTGAAGATCTCCCTTCCGGTGACCGTCACTATCTTTATCAGATTGTACAACCCATCTCCAAGTATGAGGGATATGGCGATGAAGACCTGCAGATGATCAGAGATTCAGTGCTGTGCAAGAGATTTATGAAAATTCGTCATCAAGAGGTTTTTAGGCCATTTTACCTTGTACCCATAGAGGCCTTTAAAATCATTGCTCCCCAGGCCAGCAGGATACCAATCCCCTGCACGCTCTGCGATGAATGGCCAAAGGATGCCCCAGGAAATAATGGCTCCAAGGAGGACCGAACAGTTCACGATATGAGGGCAGATAAGGCCGCAGCCGACGTAAGTGGGACTGAAGTCAAAGTAAAACCTGCGCATGGAACAATCACAGAGGTGAAGTACTCGACAGCATTCATCTATTTATTTCTGGATTCTATGGTGACATGATGGCACATGGTTACTTTTTTTGGTGGATAATGCCTATTTTGAGCTTCATTGTCGACCTGACTAGACATTATAAGCATTGGGCAAGTAAACAAAAAGGCCATGTCTGTACAGATAACAAGAAATCAATTCACCGTATTCTCAAATGAATGAACTATGTTTTCCAGAAGATATTATGAAAACCTCCAGTGTTTAAATAACGGGTAACATGCATTTATCATCCATATTCTGTGCAAACCCTACCAACAGAATGCTTGCTTTCATGCATGTAGTGAGGTATAAAGGATCACTTCGATACAGGTGCTTATCAAATAAGAAATGGAACAGAAAGGAAGATCAGAGGTCGGAGAGGGTTACGTGTTCTTGTAAGCTGCGAGCCCAAGGGTTGGGAAATTATCAAAACCACACGAATCCCCAATTCCGCTGAAAAACCATTTGAAACAGCTCCAGAAGAAGCTTATGCTCAGGTACTTCCCGAGGCAGTGGACTTGCTTCCTGTAAGTAGCAGAGCAGGGCCCATTAATGATACGATTTTAGCACTACAATTGCCCATTCAGGAGAGTTGCAACATGTGACATAGCATAGAAAGGAGAGAATTTTGACAAAGTCCTCAGAAGATCATTTGATGTTTGCTTTTTTTTTACTTCATGTTTCCTGATAATAACCTCAGAGATATTGTTTCAGATTATAATTCTATTGGATGGTCGGTCAATTTCATCCCTCCGTTCCAGTTGCTGATCTGATTAAGGAAGTCACGGAGTCCTTAATCTTTCAAGGGTTGTTGGCTGAATGATTCTGGTTCTTGAGCTATCCTGTTGATTAATTGTGAATCACAATTATCATATCTGTTCATTTAATAATGTAGATATTCCGACTCGTTTTCTAGTTTCTTATTTTTTGGTTTTTTTATAATCTTCTAGCAGTTTATTCCTACCCATAGGTCAACACAAGTGTTCCGATTTATAATGCCCAATCCTTCTTATTAGCTTTTTTCTTTTTTCTATTCAGCTCATCGTATTTGCCTGATCCACGCACACTTAATTTTCTAGACTGGAAAGGCACGGACTATAATTTTCAAGAACTTTCAAGATAATGCACCCGCAGAAAAAAAAAGGTCAGTAATGGATCCTCAGAAACTATATTATATCATTTTTTTTCTTCTTCTGAATGAAGTAATAGCATGAGGCAGTGGGAGTTCTCCAAGTGTACCATTACCCTGCAAGTTCTGCTCCTGTATTCGTATGAAAACTATTGATCAGCATTGCAGTAGCTGTCCCACTGGGGTATGTAAGTTTATAGTCAATGACCATTACCTGGAGAAGAAAAAGAAGGAAAAAAACGTATAAGCATTTAAGAAAAAATAATACTAGGATTGCTTTCCACCGTTCATAAACTGGTCCTTCATTCCCTCAGTTATTGGCTACACTCTCATTGTTCCATCCTTTTCGTTACTTTCAATATTTCACCATGGTTCTTACAATAATCATAATGTTTCCTGATTTAATATTATTTTCTTAGGGTTCATCAGATTTCCAGAGGGTATGATTTCTATGAGCAATGAAAGGGGCAAAATTTACCTCATTGATATTTTAGTTGATTGAAGCGAAAAAGGGTATTTGCAGTGGGAAAAAAAAAAAGGAGTATTGAGACCAGTATCCAGGCAGATGAATCGCTGAGGATAGAGCACCTTGCGGAGAGGAACGAGGCTGAAAATTCCTAGAAAACTGACGACGAACATGAACCCTATCATCCAACCCAGCGATGGATTCTTGACGTCTTCCGCCCTGTTGCCCGGATAATTGGCGCCGATGAGTTCATACGTCTTCTGGTCCATGGCAATTATGTACGACCCAAAGCCACCTGAATGGTCAAGACAGTCAAATGAATCCATCACCGGCGTCTGATTCTTTGCTTCTCCAAGCGGATTTTCACAAGGGAGAACATCGAAGCGGGAAGAGATTGGAATTACCGCTGAAGGCGATCCCGTAGCAGGCCACGACGCAGGTCTGGATGACGGTGTTCTCCTGCGGCGTGAACGGGACGGTCCAGACGCCCAGCTTGGAGAGGAATCCCATCCAGCTCTTGACGAAGAAGAACCCCAGCAGCCCCGCGGCCACGTTGAGGGACGGGATCACCCCCACCGTCAGGTTCAGCTTGTGCGATATTATACAGAAGAGCGTCCCCAGCATGGCGCTCACAACAAGCCCCCTCACCGAGATCTGCTCCCTCCATGGCTGCACCTTCACCCCCTCCTCCGCCGCCCCCCCCCGTGGCCCCGCCCCCGCCGACAACAGCGGCTCCGCGATCTCCACCCCTGCCTGGCCCTCCGTCCCCATCTCTCCCTCTCTCCCTCCGATCTGAAGTACCCGGAGGAATCCTGGATCTGGAAGATGCAGGCTCGAGGGAGAAGAGATGAACGATAGCTGGGGTTGACGGGTTGGAGGAGGAAACGGTGGCGGTAGACGGTACCGTTAGTTACTGCTATATAATAACCGTGGCGAGCGAACTTATGCGCAACCACAACAAACTCGATGACAGAATAATACTAATAAAATATAAATATATAAATATCAGTTATCCTTAAATAATGACAACCAAGTATTTTAGTAAGGTTGAGAGATATCGGCTGTCCCGAGTAAAAATAAATAAAAATTAAATGTCGCCAGGATTTATAATTTCAAAGTGTTAAGGTAGAAAGAATTATCTCCTTTTAAATAAATTACGTAATTACGTGATTGTTTACATCCCTCGCCGCTCTACCCGAAGTTAGACGGCCAGACTTGATCGAATTGGGATCGCAACCGTCCGATTAACTTGTCCTCAGCTAAGTTAATATAATATTTAATTTTGTTGAACATTTGGGAAGATAATTCGGGAATATGTACCATTACAATGATTGCGGGCAGATACGTTTAAAATGCTGAGAAGCATGAGCCGCCGATCGGCGTCGGCGGCGGATGAAAACCAGCGGTCAGATTCTTATCATGATGACGTGTACTCCCCCTCCCCGAGACAGATGGTAAGGATTGCGTGCTGAGCTGCCGCATCCTTTTTCCATCTCCCCTTTCGGACGGTTTTCCCTTGTGATTCATCTTGCAGAGTGACGTCATCAACGTCCGTTTAAACTGTGGGGCCCGAGCATATATAACTATTCGTGACGTACAAACGTGGGAAAGGACAGGTCCAGCGTGAGGTGCGCCAGGTCAAGAGTTAACCGTAACTGCATTTTAAAATTCAAAATAAACTATAATTGTGGAAATATTATAATTTGATGTATTTTTTAATTAGTAAAATTGACTGTGAATATTGAATTTTCCTTGTAAATAATGATTTATTAGATCAACTCAATTACATGATACATGGGATTTCATTAAAACGGATGATACAAAATAAACTTTTATGTTTGTATAATAAATTACAAGGGCATCAAAATAATATTTTTAACGAACTAATGATAACATTTCTGTCCATATGAAGATGATAAATAAAATAAAATAATATACATTAAGTTTATTATATGACATAAATTTACACAAAACACTAATGTATTTATCAAGAGTAACATTCTAACATGGATGCCAAGCCGTAGACTTGTAAGATTACTTCTAAGATTAGGTCAAACATCTTATTTATCAAGAGTAACATTCTAAGATTACTTCTAAGAGTAACATCTTTATTTTGTTTCACTAAAATTAGGAACAAAATAAAACATAAAGATGACTACTTCTAAGATTTTTTTAAATTTTCTAATTTCAAGTCTCTAAGATTTGTGGGAAAAAATAAATTTATTTAAGGGAATTGTGGATGTCATTCTAGGTCTCATGCATTTTCTCCAACAACCTAACACTTTTCAACTCCATCAGCTCTTGGTGCATCAAAATAATATTTGAATAATGTAGTAACTTCATTCTATTTATTTTTTTATTCTTTTTTAATATGTGATATGCAAACTAATCAAGACACTTGTGATGTGTTGTCAACTCAATCACATAGATTCTTAAGACTTATAGTGTTTCTACAATGAGGAGACCTAATAATTATATGATTATATTTCTAAGTTAATTGGCCTCAAGCTTGTAGAGACTAGAGTTGTAACAAGTTCTTTATCTTGTTACAAATTAATTATATTTCAATGGTAGAATAGTAAAATTGAAGTAGAGTCTTCAAAAGAAGATGTAGGTTAAAAGAGTTTTGACCAAATCATTCTACAATCTGGTGTGCACAATTTTTTCTTGATTTTTTTATAATTATATATTACTATATAAAAGATAAAAAATATAATACTCAATATAGCAAAACATAAAAAATCAATTCATCATTCCTAGATTTATCTAGTAATTTATGGGCTGACATTTAATTCCCTCTTGAATGGAGATCAAGGTAAGATTATACCATCCTTATAATGATATTAGAGAGCTTATTCACCTTAAAATATTTAAGTGTCATTTGTGCATTCTTACTATTATTAGAACATTAATCATCACTGTATATTTGTGGTAATTGATATATATATATATTTTTGACACAAAAATATTATTATTTTCTTAATTTATGTTGTTTTGTGAGACCTTAAAATAAAAAATCTCATAACCAAAGAAATGAGCAATGACCAACAAAAAAGACATTAGTAATGGTAGTGAGTGGTGTTTGAGACATTTTAATACTCATGTGATTCACAAGTTGCTAGCAGGATATGGTCAATAATTATAATAATATTTTTTTGCATTAGCAATGGTTTATTAATGTGTATTGGTTTGTGGTAATAAACTCATTATCTTATTTTAAGAAAATGTTTTTTATTTCTTGCTCAAGCCACAATAGTAGTAATAATTACTTACATTAAAAGACATGTATTAACATTAATTGGAATCCCACCAATTAATCTTAGAAAGAAAATATTATTAGTTTTCCCCCTTAGATATGTATTATTATCAACTTTATTACATTCACTTGATATAGTTGATGTCATTGAGCTTATTACTCTTTTAAAGAAATAAGTACAGATCTTATCTCATACTAATACATCACTGACATAACTTAATCATTGTATAATAAATCATGTAAATTTAAAAATTATAAAATTATAAAATTTCATTTTTTAGTTCTTTAAAAATATTTTTGAATAAATAAATAAATTATAATTAGATAATAAGTTTCAAAAATATTAAAAAATTTCTAAGTCAATCATATGGATGTAATATAATATTAGATAATATTTCAAAATTTTCTATAACTAATATAATGTTTTATTATTTTTAAACTAAACAATGAAGATAATATATTTAAAATTCACAAATCATATGGAAATAAAGTTTCATTCGTCAATTTTTATGTAAGTGATTATAAATAATTTAATTGATCAAATTAATTTTTATAAAAGTTAGAATAATCATAATTTAATAAAAAAGGTTTTCAAAACTAAAAATCACACAAGCTATCACTAGATTAAAGAAAAATTAAGTCTAAAATAAGAAAGTTAGAGTTCCAATTTTGTGACAATGATCGTCATAATTATGTATGTTTGAAAAAATTATCAAGTAATAGTTATGATCTCAAAAGCTCTTCTTAGACATGGATGATTTTGACATTCTTTGAATCTCTTTTCAAAGTTTAGAAAATGATGATGAAAGTTAAACTAATTAAAAATAGTAAATTAAAGTTATGACATCATAGTGGTGATGCATCGAAATCTTGAGTATTTAGGAGAGACAATTGTGTAATATCCATATCCTCAAAGGCTCTCTTTAGACATAAATGATGTAGGTAATTTTTAGATCTTTTTGTAAAGCTTATAAATTAATAAGGTGGGTCAACGAATCATTTCTGACCATTGTCACCTAATAGAGCAGAAAAATAATGACTTTGTAAGTTCCATGATTGTCACTCAATAGAGATAAGTTAGATTAAAGTGAGACACATTTTAACGAACTTCATCCTCAAGGCTGTACAATAAAAATAACAATTTAATCAAATAAAAATATGAGTTTTAATTTTGATGAGTTTCAAACCTTCATCGATCGTAGGCCTGTATGAGAAAGAGTGAAATATGTATGTGAATATCCTTATAAAATGATATCATAAAGGTATCTACTTCTCATAAATAATATATATTTTAGGTATTAAAATGATTAAAAACTTTTTGGGAAGCTATGATGCCGATTTAATCCCACATTAGTTATTTTTCGAGTTTTGAGATGCATATATAATAACATGAGATTTGCATGTGTGTGTCCACTCATTGTCCCAAGCTCAATTAGCCATCGGTGACATGGAAGGGGAGTGACACATTCGTGCCCCATCAATTTTTAGTTGCTCAAGCCCACCACTCGTTACTCTATTCAATTGTGCTTTCGACTCGCTTGTAGACTCGATTGGTTGACAAGTTCTTTTTTTTTCTATTTATTATTTTATTTTATTTCTCTTTATTTATCTCAAAAACATAATTTAAAAAATTATATAAATTCACATAAAATCATATAATTACTCAAAAATTCATATTAATTAACTAATAATTATTTTTCACAATTTAACACAAATGTAAGTCTATTTATTATGAGTTAAGGCTTAAAATATATTATTAATTAATGATTAACTCATGATAATAAAACTTTATCAATCAACAATATATGTGTGTCAAGTATGAGTGTATATCTCTACTTTCTCACCAAAGATGAAGAGCCTAAGTAATAATTTCATTTTATCTAACGTGTCTCATTCCAAAATATCGAGTTACTCCATTTTGTAGGAAAGATTTAGTTTTCAACCATTCAACTAAGAATGGTCAACAATATTAAAGTAATATCTCTGATTAAGAGTTGAGATTCAATTTGAAGTTATTCTACATATTTAGGAAATGATTAGTAATTGTGAGCCCCCAAAAGATATCATAATTAGCTAGTATTGATCAGTCTCAAATGGTTATGGATGTCATCTATACTAATATTACTTATTAGCTTATAATTTATTGGAGTGAAGTAATCATACTTAATAAAATGATTATTTCTAATAACCAAAACCTACAATAGTCTTAAAAAATGATTATTTTTAATAACTAAAACCGACTTTATTAGATTTTTCTCTATTCATGATGATTACATTAGATTAAATAGTTATTATTAAAGAGTGGCTCACTTTCAATGAGAGAGTTAGATGCTCACCTAATTTTTTTTTATATAATGTAGCAATTAATGAAGAAATTAACACGATGCAATAAAAAAATTTCTACTAATAAAATGCATTCACAAAAGGAAATATAGACTTGAGAGATTATGGTAGGCAAAACAATTTACATTACACATAACTTGACAATTTAAAAAAGCAAAGGTTGATCTTGGGAATCTTCATAATGGTCTATGTTCAAAGAAAAAGACTATGAGAGAGAGAGAGAGAGAGAGAGAGAGAGAGAGAGAGAGAGAGAGAGAGAGAGAGAGAGAGAGAGAGAGAGAGAGAGAGAGAGAGAGAGAGAGAGAGAGAGAGAGGATGGTTGATGCTTATTGGCCTTTTGGTGTACCAACAAAAATGACAATAGAACATGTTTTAACTTTTCAGATATAACCTTTCCAAGTCTACATAAATTTGAGCCTATTTTCCTTTTTCTACTTGATATTGAGGTCCAGTCTTGAAGGAGAGCTAGGTCAAGTAAAATCTATGTTTAACTGGGCTGATAACATCAATAAGATATAGGTCATTAAGTCCTCATGGGCTTCCATGTGATTATGAAGTTATTAGCCATACATATTTTTAAAACGTGGCCACTCAAGCCTTTCAACATTTCTTACCCAAAGTCTACCTTTGATGAAATTCAATATTTCCATGAGCAAGAATACCTTCCATCTGCTTGCACACATTATTTATTTGAATTTGGTGACAAGAATGAATAGAGAAAAAAATAGCATTATCGCTTGGGGTATGGTTGTGTGTTGATGTCTAGATGGAGCTAACGAGATTCTTCTCTATCATGAACGTCAGCAGTTTTGGTGTACCTATTATCTGCCTCCGTTGACCGTCGGAGATAATTAATGTACTCGGAATTTCTGCAATTCAGTATGATTTTGGAGTTTCAGGCCTGGTCTTGCCAATCCTGGACCAAGTGAGACACCCCTTCCTTCAGAGAAGCTGGGCTGAGATTCACTTCACGGAAAGGGACGGCATACAGTAAATCGCAGCACGGCTGCGGCGAGATCCAGCCCGCGGCACCGAGCGGCGATGCGCCTGCACGAGCACAGTGTGAGACAACACAGCGGCCTACGCCGGCAGCTGTCCGGCCCGGCAGCCTGAGGCCCCTCGGCATTTCTCACAGAACTCAGCGTAAAGAAGACCCCTGGCACAGCTTGGCAACTTGCAGGGCGGACGCAGCGGATTGGAGCTGCGGAGGGTGGACAGGTGTTGTTGGTGAGATTAGGCCGCCTACCAGTTGACATTCCAGAAGGGTGGCACTCGTGAGAGTTACGGGAGCCCTACCGTTGGGATTTCTGCACAGGAAGATGAACCCTAGTGCTTGCGGCGTCATGGGGGACGATGAACCTTAGAGCTTGCTCTCTTTCTAGGTGCTGGAGGTCAATGGTGAGGGCTTCCCCTCAGCATGCCTGGAGTGCTTGTGTATGTTTCTAGCACTGCTTGGCGTGGTCAGAGCAATGTTGAGGCCAGCACGAGCCAACGTTCTGGAGAAACACCGATGAAACTTGACTCGGCTCGGATTCGGGCTGCGATCCTAGAGCGAGAGTGTCCGTGTGAGCGCACGTCAGACATTATTGAAGTCTTCACTATCCTGGGACGTTTCATCTGAGGCTCGACAAGGATTTCTTACAAGTATTTTAAAATCGAAATTATATGAAGTTTACGTTTCGGACGCATTGAAAATTAAGAGGCTAAGTCAAGTTCTCTTAGATTTACTTGCTCGAAGGTATCTATATAAATACAGAGAGAGAGAGAGAGAGAGAGAGAGAGAGAGAGGATGATGACAAATGCACTGGGAGGAGTCCAAACTCAAGCCGTGTCAGGTGATCCGTCAACATCCAGGAAAAAACTCATCTGGCCTCTTTTAATTGGGGTACTTGGCCGTTCTTGTCAAATTATCATCGTAGGTCAACAACGCGGGTCGGGATGCCGAGTCGCATGTGCCATGGCTGTCCGCGAGGATGGACGGGGTCAACGGCGTTGCACCCATAAAGCCTCCGAAGCCCCGTCATAGAGCAACCCCTGCGTGTGAGAGAACCCTCCTTATCATCTCTCTCTCTCTCTCTCTCGCTCGTTGCTCGGGTTGGGGAGATGGAGTCATGGAGCAGACTGTTGTCTCTGGCGGTACTGCTGCTGATGGCTGCCGGGAAAGTAGAATCCCAGCTGAGGCCTGACTTCTACGCCTCGACCTGTCCCGACGTTGAGTCCATAGTGAGAGAGGAGGTGCGGAAGAAGTTCGTCCAGACCTTTGTCACCGTCCCGGCCACGCTCAGACTCTTCTTCCACGACTGCTTCGTCGAGGTACGCTTCGATCATCTACACATCCCGTAGCACATCGTTGCCACTGGGGTGCAGACCCACGAAGATCGTAGATACATTTTCTTTGTGTGTGTGTGTCTGTGTGTGTGTCAGAGAGAGAGAGATGGAGAGGGAGAGAAAAGAGAGAGAGAAGAGAGAGAGAGAGAGAGAGAGAGAGAGAGAGAGAGAGAGAGAGAGAGAGAGAGAGAGAGAGAGCTCTTACGAGTTCAACAACCCTTACGAGTAAACGTCGGAAGGTCTGATCCCACAACCGTGAGGTTGATTGATCCAGATGTCGACAATTCGGCTCATCCAACACGAAGAGTTCCTCATCTGAAATCACATCGACGGTGAAAAATCTCGCAGGGATGCGACGCTTCGGTGATAATCGCCTCGCCAAACGGCGACGCCGAAAAGGACGCCGATGAGAACATCTCCCTCGCCGGAGACGGGTTCGACACAGTCGTCAAGGCCAAGACCGCCGTGGAGAGCAGATGCCCCGGCGTAGTCTCCTGCGCTGACATTCTCGCCCTCGCCACCAGAGACGTCGTCGTCCTCGTAAGCCGCCTCCTCCTTCCCTGCTCATCATCCTCCACACTCAGACCCGGGACTCGATTCGATTTCCGTAATGTTTTTCCTTTTTCCAACTGGGAACCAGACCGGAGGGCCGTCGTTCGCCGTGGAATTAGGTCGCTTGGACGGCCTGATCTCGCAGAGATCGCGGGTAGCAGGAAAGCTCCCCAAACCAGACCAAAGCCTCGATGAGCTCAACGCAATCTTCAAGCAGAATAACCTCACTGAAACCGACGTGATCATCCTCTCCGGCGCTCACACCCTTGGCTTCGCCCACTGCGGGACCTTCTCCGACCGCCTCTACTCCAACCCTGATCCCACGCTCAACGCCGACTTTGCCCGGCAACTGCAGGACGATTGCCCACGCAACGTAGACCCGCTGGTGGCCATCAACCTTGATGTCAACACCCCGAGGACTTTCGACAATGTCTTCTACAGCAACCTGGTCGAGGGAAAGGGGCTGCTAAGGTCTGACCAGGTGCTGTTCTCAGACCCACGGTCCCGGAGCAAGGTGGTGGAGTTCGCCGGCGACGCCGCCGGGTTCGGCGCCGCCTTCGCCGACGCGATGGTCCGCCTGGGAAGGGTGGGGGTGAAGACTGGCGGCGACGGCGAGATACGGCGGGACTGCACCGCTTTCAACTGATCCCCCTCGGAAAAGACGATGTGAACAAGCCGATGACGGAGAAGTCGAGGGAGGAAGTCGAGAACCCCGATTCTTGTCAGTCCTCGAATAAGTCTTTCGGTTTGACTGCTTCCGATCTTATGTGAAATAGCGACAACATATCGCGATATCGTGCGTAATTCTGTTGACTTTAACTCTGATTGAGATTGGCATTAAGACATCGGCTAAATAATGACCTATGTACTGGACCCACATGAACCTTTTACGCTCTTCTGTCTTAGAGAGAGAGAGAGAGAGAGAGAGAGAGAGAGAGAGAGAGAGACCGTGTAGTTATTCAGCCCGTGTTGTAATAGCCCATCGTAGAAGGGTTAATCTAGACTTTGGCCAGGTCGTAATATTATAAAAGAGATCATCATGTGGCTCGATATTTCAAGCTTTACGTGTTGCATAAAATTTGGCTAGCAGCTTCTACGAACTCGCAGGTCATCGATCACCTTCCGAAGTCAACTTCAGCCTTGACCTCAGGAAAGGTTGAAGACGAGCGGCGACGGGGAGATCAGGGGGGACTGTTCGGTCTTCAACTGAGTCTCAGGAGAAAATTCACACCACCCCGGGAAATCAAGAGATGACGTTGGGTGTTCATCCGGCTGAATAATTACGGAGGAAGGTGAAACCTTAAACAAAAAAATCAGAATTTTGATGGGTCGTTGCCGAATGGGATTTTAAAAATAATATAATTTGATTAAAATATTCATGAATATTTCAACCCAATTTAAGTTTTTTCTTTTTAAAGACTCATTTCCTCTCAAATATCGTATTTATGGCGTTTTCAGCCAACTTTGGGCGATTTTTATTTGCATAGAATATCATAATATTGCAAAAAATCCAGATTTTTGACTATACTGAAATCATTAGAACAGCTTGGTGATTTGGGAGAAAAAGTTTAATTTTGACGAAACCCTAGGAAGGTTTGGGTGTGGCCTAAAATTTCTACTTTGGGTGCTCACAGGGGGGAACGGGAAGGGTGAGGCTATTTAATGGAAAAGATACGAGTGGAAGGCCCAAAAGGGTAGAGTCGTGGAATAGTTCCTGGTTAACGGAAAGAGGGAGTGAGATGAGTAGCGGAGGGGAGAAGGTAGGAGGAGGGACTGTGAAGACGCCGGCGGACTTTCTCAAGTCTATTCGGGGGCGTCCTGTCGTCGTCAAGCTGAACTCCGGCGTCGATTATAGAGGTACGGTTTTCTTTCTCACACTGACCCATCCCTTCGCCCGTATGTTGCGATAGAACCAAGTTTGGATTCTAGGGTTTAGGGTTTTGTACTCTTTCTTCTCCCGAATTTTCTGCGATTTGTTTCTCGTTGTCACTCTGTTCGTGGCCCTAGAAGGATTTCTTCCTGGGAATCCCGGCGCCGCCTCTACCTACATAATCTGTGACTCGTCGTTTCCCTTTCTTGTGCTGATCCCATCTCCTGGCTGTCGTTGCTGCTTCCGCACTTGCTGGCAGTTTTCCTTCTGGGCATACTTTTTGGAAGGTGGATAGTTGAGCATTTCTGTTGATAAGTTTTCCCTGGCTTTTTATCAAAAACATGCGGCACTAGTCACTTGCAAGGATTCCATCAAACTATGGAGGAAACTGCGACAGTTTTAGCAGTACTTGAATTGGATAGGAGCTCACTTCGCAAGGAGGCATCCAGGGATTTGGACCTTTCCTTGTTCAAAAGAAAACTATGTGATTTTTATTTTTTGTGAGAAATAATTTCTTCGTACAAAAAATGTTTATTTTTATACAAGCTACGTTTCTAGAACTTGGTTAGATGAGTAGTTTTATTTTCTAGGAGAAACGAAACAATTTTTTAGAGGACGACTTCCATTTTCAGCGGTGTTTAAGATTAAGCATAAAGTTTGCCAACCATTGGTCTAGATTAGAAAATGTGCGTGGTTGTTCCTCCTGGCCTTCTCTTAGTCTGCTCCGCTGGTTTATTTGATTGAGAAAAATTATGTCACTGGTGATCAGAAGCCAATACAAAGGGAGAATTTCATTCCCTACTTAGGAAACAGTTCCGATGAGATCCGTTATGTTGAGTAGGAAACGCATCAAATAGCTTCACTTGCAGTTCTTCGGGATTCACATAAAATATTAATCAATAATTGTACGTGCTAGTAAATGCAGCAGAGAATTCGTGTTTTTTTGGAGAAAAGTGTAAAACAAAAAAAATGGTTTTATAAAAGTTACTGCGTATTTTCCTACTCCAATGATATATTTTAATGCCAAACATATCTATTCGCTGGGTGGCAATTTTGATTGAAGACTAAATATCTGTTAAAGATTTCAACCTTTTCTGATTCGGGTTTCCAAATGATCTGGAGCTTCCTGGATCCCCATGAATGAGTGGATATTCAGAAATGTAAACATGCGGGATATATGGGGATTGACAGACAGTGAACTTGCGTTTCATTGGGCATCCCATGAAGGAGAATCATCATGAATTTTGCTCAAGTCTGGGTCCGCTTCATTGCTGAGGCTTTCTTCATATCCAAAGGCGAAACAGGAACTTGAGCAAATTTATCCCTTGAAAGTGGGGATGATGTTGAAGGTTATTTGATTTAGCCTGGCCATAGGCAAGAGATCAAGCTTTGACTCCAACTGATAATTTAGATCTTATCTGATTTAATGATTTTTCTATCTAATTTAGGTCTATGCTAGGGGAAATAATGTGGTCTGGCTTAATAGTATTCAGCTGACAACATACCTTTTCTTTCTGAATATTTATTAATCAAAACTATAGCCTACATCTTCAAATCTTCCTCTGTGAGTCTCTTTGGTAGAGATTTGTTTTCATTCAGAAATTGCTTCCAGGTAATAGGCTAAGGTTAATATCCTCCGAATTATATTTTTCTTAATATTTTTAAACTTTATAGACCTTTCAGTGGTCGGATTCACATTTCATTTAAAGAGTTTTTCTTTTCACGAATGATATTACTTTTTATTTCAGAATAAAAATTGATTTTATGGCTAATATATACATACTTCAATAAAAAAAACTTCAGAATTTTCGATATGAGTAAAATTTCTTTGCATGATGCCCCATGCTCCGATTTACTCGTGGATGACCTGCTACTGGTTCAAAGATCCTCATTACCACTGAATAATATCTTGTAATATCATTTAATAATCCTTTGTCTTTTTTTTTTATTAAGTAATATTTCGATTGATCGTTAAGCTAAATTATATGTGCAGGGATTCTAGCGTGCCTGGATGGGTACATGAACATTGCCATGGAGCAGACTGAAGAGTACGTCAATGGCCAGCTGAAGAACAAGTATGGCGATGCCTTCATCAGAGGAAATAACGGTATATCCCCTCAACTTGGTGCTATTTTCATATTTGGGTAAAGGAGTTACTGACTTTTGTGTATATCATTTATAATATTGATGCAGTTCTGTACATCAGCACTTCAAAGAGGACCCTCGCAGATGGGGCATAATGGAGAGAGAAAATACTGGATTCTTTTGAAAAGGGTTGACCTTATATGATCATCACCTGGTCAAAAGTGGAAGGAATGTTTATCTATTCAGATATTTGCCTAGAATAATATTTCTTGTTTACTTACGATGCTGTGGGGATTGGTGTCGTGTGTGATTTGAGCTCCCGGAGCAACTCACTGCAGATTTTTCGAAAAAACATAGAAATAGTCACTAAAGCTGCCGCGTATCATAATCAGGAGTGGTTTTATTTGAAAATAATGGATCTCCTTAAAAAATCAATTGGGACTTGGGAATTTTGGTTTTATCAACGTGCCCAAGTCTCTATATTTATTGATTTAATACAGCATATATCTGCAAGCCATGTGGAGACCAGCCATCTCCCTCTCTGTGACGTGAAACACCAGAGCAAACCCATCATCTGCTTCACCATCTTTAACGGAGCTTGAGGATTCTATGGACCACATGCGGCATTGAACAGAGGTTCACTAAGATGCAGAGAAACAGAAGAAAAAAAATCAGGAGATGCTCAGAAATTTTCACCTTTAGTTCCGTTCTCAGGGTTTAATCATGAGGACAAAGAATAACAGTGAACGAAAACTTATGTAAGGTTGGAAATACATTCGATAACTTTCACCCGGACATATAAGAAAAGCCTTGGAAGAGCTAAATTTCTAGAGAGAAACAGCAAGATTTTATATTGGGACACCACCTCCACAATATCTTCCCCACAGACCAAAACTTTCACCGCCCTGCTGTGGTTAAAGCCAACAAAAATAAAATAAAAATGGAGTTAGAGAGGGACAAATCACAGTGGCTTCAATCGACCCTAGGAGAAATTGCTTTCTGACTCCCTCATCAATCTCAATCATCACAGAGAAAGGCAGGCATCGGTGCTATCCTTCTTGGTTCAAGCAGCTGATGCCGGAGGTTTAGCCATGGCCGCCAACCCCTCCTCACCTTCGGTGGTCACCTGAAGCAGCTCCAGAGGGGTGGCGGCAGGGTCCAGCTCAAAACAACCCTTTGGAGCGTTCTTGGCCTCTTCGCCGGAGAGAGTGTAGTAGGGAACTTGATGGGAAAACCGAAACGTCTCCTCTTTCGGTATCCTTCTAACTTCCTTCGGGTCCAAGTGCCGGCGGAAGACTGTCTTGAAGCCTGCAACCTTGGCCAGTGGAGCGACGAGGACGCCCTGCTCAGAGAAATCCTCGAGCACCTCCACCATGTCGTACTTGTAAATTACTTCGTCCAGGGTGTGCTCATTCCAGTCCGGCGACCAGTTCCTGTAGAAGGCCCAAATCTCGCCCCGCCGGGGGACTATCCGGATGGCCCCACGAGACCCCTTCTCCCATCTCACCTGATGAGAGAAGATGTTGACCGTGTCCTGGATCTCGTACCTGCCCACCCTGAAATCACCGCAGGTCTTGGTGAAACCAGAGCCAACCCAGTTCAACAGGCTGAACTCGGTCGTGGTTTTGGAGTTGAGGAAGCTCAACCGGATCTTGAATGGCTTCAGAGAGAGGACTTTCTGCACCATGGCATAGAATCGCGGCATACCATCCTCATCATCATAGGTCGCCCATACCTGGTCAGCCTGGAAGGATTGCTCCGAACGATCCCCATCAAAGTCATGGAAGTCTGGATCGGGAACGTTAATTGATAAAATAGGCACCTGGGTTTGCTCATCCGTCTCAGCAGAGACATTACCAGAAGTAGCTGTCTTGTCGTGAGCTCGTTCATCGCTGATCTCTTCCAGCTCTTTACCAGTGGATACATCAAAGGGAACCTCAGCATTTTCCTTTTCTTTTTCTCCGTCTTTTAATTTCCGCCGCGGTTTGGCCTTCTCTTTTTCGGCCAACTTGGACGCTGGGGCTGAATTTAGTTCCTCCAGTTTCTTCTGGATCACCGACTTCGCCTTCTGTAGCAACATGCTCCGAATTTCCGTCTGAAGGAGCTCCCGGCCTAAGCCGCAAATGCCACCTTGCCTGGCAGTGGGCCTGGTCTTGCCAGGATCTGCAGAAACATTGCTTGCCCTCTCTGTTTCATAGTGCCCGGCACCATTGTACTCATCTCCCCTGTGATTGGTCCCACTGTCATCGACCGCGCTTCTTCTTTTCTTGGCGGGCCTGTCTGCTTTGATGGAATTGTGCTGCTCACAATTGGGGATATTGCTGTGGAAAGATGCATTAGGGATGTGCTTCCTCCTTTGATGGAGTTCCTCTCTTCTCTGCTCGGCTGCTTCTGCCTCCTTCCGCTCTTTCCGCACCTTCTCATATGCCTGGTGAACCACATTGACTGACTGCGCTGCGGCTGAGAACGAAGCAGCGGCACTGGCAGCCCCAGCCGTTCGAGAAAATGCCCCCCACTGGAAATTCGGGTTGCTGTGTGGATCACAATTGGACCCCTGATGGAACCCATTTGACCTCATACCTGGAACCGTGGAGGCGCCCTTCCTTGCATTCTTGCCACCATTACAGACGTTGGAGCTCTGCTGCTGCTGCTGCTGGGTAGCCCAGGGATTGGAGGTGTTACACCCATTAATAGGAATGGGGATCTCAATGGCCAAGAACGGCTCGTGGCAATTGGGACAGAGGAGGTTGTGGTTGAGGTAGACTCTGAGATACTCATACTGCATCTTGCACCGGTTGCATACGGTCCAGAATGTATTGGGATGGGGGACAACTGGTGGAGCCACTCGAGCGGCACCCTTCTGAGCCCTCACATTGGAGGTTGCATTGGCAGAGAAATGAAAGAAGCCATTTGTGGAGGAATGCGAAGCCGTAGAAGGGTCTCTCTTCGGGTTCAAGGGCGGCCTCTGTTTGTACACTTTTATGTTCCTCTTTTTGTCGTAGGCCAACCTCCTGCTTTTATCAGACAGCACACTCCAGGCCTCTGAGATGAGCTTGAAAGCCCCCTCAGCGCCCACCGACTTGTTCTTGTCGGGGTGAAGCATCAGAGCCAGCTTCCTGTACTGTTTCTTCACTGTCTCTTCATCGGCCGAGGTGCTCACACAGAGGATTGAGTACCAGTCCTTCTCCCCATTGATCACCAACTGTGCGGAGAGGTAAACATCTAAGGTTGCTATCATCTGGGGAATGCCCTCTAACCCAGGATAGAGGGTCTGGGCCTTTAAGGCCAGCCTCTTTGCACCTTCAATATCTTTGGCCTTGAACTTGCTTTCAGCAATCTCCCTCGCTCTGAGGGCCTCATCGCGGTTGCATTCCATAATCGAGCTCCCACACTTCAAGGTCTCCCGGGTAAATCACGAACGTTGAGATCCACAGTCATTCAAATGATCCGGAGGTGGACAATACTCCACCTAGACCTGGCCACAAGCACCATGAGGTTTGAGGTAGAAGCAGTCAGACGGATGAATTTGATGGCCAGGTGAGAAAAGGATGAGAAAATCAAATAAAATCAGCCATCTAAATCAAAGAATTATTTTCATCAAAAGGAATTAGAAACTCAAGTCAACCAAAGGATTGCATAAAGAAAGTTCAAAAGCATAATACTCCACACGGTTCATTCATTAGGATCACTAAAAAATAATCTGATCGAGGTCCTCTGAATACTTCGTTTCCACCCTACATTCTTAGCACACGTTCCTAAAAGAGGTTACATAAATGGTGGAGGTCAAGGCCAGCACATCTGCTGCAGCCTATGACTCCCCTCTACCTCAAATCCCAGCCTGCTTTTCTTCTCCTGACTCTACTGGGAGCTGACCAGCCTTACAGCCTCATCAAAGGATTCCAACCGTCCAATCCAGGCGCCTTGGATTGTCGGATGCTGTACCCTCCCCCCCTCCCCCCCAGAAGCTGACCTGATGATCTTCACAGGAACCCTCTCCGTGAGCCGCCTTTATTTTCTTTGAACGCATATGTGGAGCCCTGTCACCTGATTCTGCCCTCATTGACTTAGTGATCCGCCTCAGTTCTATGTCTTTTGTCTAGACCTGGACCCTCCATCGTGCTTTTTGATGTTTCCAACATACCATTGAGAAAAAAAGGACCACCAGGGCATCATTTTCTCGGGTACAATTCCACATCCCATGGTGCCTTCCCGGCCTCAGCCAACTCCATACACCTAGGGTTCCTCCATAAACATCTGCTCCACAGGCATAGTCGGCATTGCTCTCCAGGCGGTCGCTTGCGCTGACATTCAAGTCGAACCCAACCACCTCGGATCCAAAGGCCCACAGAAGGCCATGTTGAGGCGCCATCGGCCGGTCCTGGAGAAAATGCCAGGTTTAGTCCTCCCCGATCTCCAGGTAAGGAGGTTCCTCCCACAGTGTGTGTGGTCCCTAGAGGCGATGACCAATTGCCCAACTGGAAGAGCGTCATCATTGGTAACCGCCGTCAAGTTGAGGAAGTTCATCCTGCTCATCGTAGTCTAGAACACTTCTATTCCGCTTCTACCGACAGAATCTCAGTCGCCGCGGCGCGGAGACGCCGCAGGAGGAGGAAAGAGGGAATCTACTCGTGGGAGAACAATCCGAGCTACAAATTCGCAGACTCAAAACACTAAAACGACCATTCAACCCCACATGCGAGAGAATCCGAGGACACTGAGACCTACGGGGGAGAGAAATCCCAACCATTGAAAAAACGGCACCGGAGCAAAAGCGCCAGCCAAAATCCACACTCCTCCGAGTGCCGCAGGAGAAAACCCCCACATAAAACGCCCGGAGTGACCGATCCGAAGCAAGCGCAGTTCCGACGAGCTCAAAACCCTAGAAAACCCGACGCGGCCGATCTCCGGCCACCGGCGACGGCGACGTGCAAAAAGTGATTCATTGGAGATCTCAGGTCAGCGTATGGAGACTGGAATTTACCCCTTGGGAGAGGATTTCCGCGGACGAACGAATTCCGATCGCTCAGCCTCTGTGAAAATGCTCCATCCCCAGATTTTTCCCACCAAAATCCCCCCCCAAAAAGAGCAAAAAAAAGAGATTGGGAAGAGGACCTCTGGGTCTACGAATTTCTCAATCACTTAAAATAATCGGATAAAAAAGAGAGAGATCACAATTAACACGCCCTCGCCCCTTCTTCACCCATTTTTTTTATATTTAAAAATTGTTACTTTTTTCTGCCCTTAACCATGGTTAAGATTTAACCCCAGATGGGTAACCTCTTCCCATTCTAAAAAGCAATAAGATCCTTTTTTTTTTTTACCAGTAGTCATTTTTTTCCATATATATTACAAAATCATACCCTCATATCTCATCACAGTTTCTTGTGTTCCCCTTAAAAAAAAAACAAATTTATTAATTTATTAATATTTCATTTTCACAAAAGGCATGTGAATTCAGAATCATGATGATCCTTTAACCATGCCAGAGGTGGGTTGAACACAGTCTAACCATGGTTAGGGTCTAGAGGTGTTGGGAACTGCGTGGCCCACCCAAACGCCCCCTTAACCCTAATAGGGTGGGAGGGCTACTTTTGTGGGTGAGCTGTGGGACCCACTCTTAAAATTGCTTCTAGAACACTCCACAGAATCTCCCGACATCAATTTTACCCGCCTCTGTTTTTTCCTATTTTAGGAAGTCATATTCAAGAATCCCTCCATGCCACGCTTCCTTTTCAAAAGTCCACGCATGGCTTTGACCACAGGAGAGGGGGCGTGAGAAGAACCCACAAGAATGCAACGTGGTGACAGGGATTGAATCCTCCTATCCCACTGGAAACCCCGTTGACACCGACAAAAACCCAAGACTACCCTTGAAAAACCGTTGAAAAGGGCTCATCCCTGGTCAACCTATGAACCCACGAAGGCATTTGACAGCAGAATCGTCAATAGACTACATCCCGGTCCACTATGAGTGGAAGTCAACGGACCACTGTGCTCAGGGTTTAGTGGGTTTGACTGAGATGATCCCATATTTTGTTGCCATTTATGTAAAATAGTCCATGTTCATCCAAGGCCTTGGGCCAATCAAACTTTGGAAAGTCCAATGAAAACCCAGCCACATTCTTTCTCAAAGCCTGGAGAGAAGGATAAGAAATGGACACCCCGGCAGACCCAGTAACGTTCCAACTCCCCATCAATGCCGACCTTCGAAGAGATAGATAGATAGAGAGAGAGAGAGAGAGAGAGAGAGAGAGAGAGATGACGCCACATGGATAATCACACAAAAAACCACTTCATAGATTCTGTCTTTTAAGGCATGTGATCTATACATAGAGATTGAGCTATATACAGCCTGCAAAAATGTCAATGACGAATCAAGTGTAGGGCCACACCTCATCCATGGTTTCATAAGCCATGGCCTCCTCCTTGGGGAACTCAAGTTCTTGGTCAACTCGGGAACTCGAAGAGGGTTTGCTGGAACTATCAAACTCAGCCTGCAAATTAAGAAAAAACAGACAGGACACCAATTCAGAAAAAAAAAGAAAAAAAAAAGAGGATAAGAATGTGAAATCGAGTAAATGAAACCAAGAGAAGCGTGATACTTAAAAATATCCTGAAATACTTGGGAAAATCCTAATAATGTAATGGAAAATAAAATACCATGTTTTGGATTGGGAGATATTCCAAGATTTCATAGAAAAAATATTCTCTAGATTGATCGAGATTGAAAGGTTGGGAATTTAGAAAACCCGAGTTCTCACAGATCATGAGCAGTAAGAAGAAGAATCAAAAGAAGAATGGAGAACATGGGGGATTCACAGTGGTTCACTTGCTGTGGCAGGATTCTATGGCCAGTGGGATAGAATCAGGAGGTGCCATCTTACCCAATGGCTGCATATATAGCAGCAAGATTTGAGCCGCAAGACATTAATCTAATAGATTTCCAAAAATAGTCATGAGTACCGTAAGATGAAGTGAAGGCAGGTGTTCCGACAAACAAACAAACACCCAAATTTTAAAGGAACTCAGAACATGTTTCAATTACAATCACTTTTGTTATGTGGGGTAATAACCAACAACGACAAGGTCAAGATGAAGAAAAAATAGAGTTAATTTTATTGCCTACTTAAGGTTTAGGGTTTAAGATTTAGGGTTTAAGAAAGCATCTTCAGTAATAAAGAGGTATACTAAAAGTAGAAACTATAGAGATTACATGGAGATCCACAGAAGGGGCCCAATCAAAGGGCTTACCTTAGCAAGTCGATATTTTTCAAGCATGCGGCGGTACTGTTGTCGTGCATCGGCAGACTGTACAACAGATAGTACTCTTGAGAAGGCCTCGTCAAGGGCTACGTCCACTTTCTGCTTACGGAAAGCCTTGAGGATGTCATCATCAGCTTCTTCCTCAATGGTTTCTGATTCAACCTTGAATCCTCTCAGACCAACACCTTTCCTGCGCCAGCGGAGGATGGCTTTCTCCAGAAAACCTACCATCCAGGTGAATTCCTCGTACTTCTTTCTGACCTGGTGGCCTCTTATGTGAGCCTGTTATGGAATATTAAATATAGTCAGTGGCAGCACCATACACATATAGAAAGTCAATTTCCAGTCAATAAGTCAACCCCAGTCGCTTTCAAAAGGTTCCCAGGATAGAATAGCTTGCACAAATCACTGTTACTTAAAAAGGGAAGGGGGGGGGGGGAGAAGTCAGGTTCATATGCAATGAGCAAAGAAAATGAATCTCTGGTAGACTCTGAGGTTGTTGGATCGTAATGTGGTATGTTACCATTTTGATGAGAGAAAGGAATTATCTTGGCGAGGGTTATTTCATATACTTGTATTTTCCTCTTCCATGTTTGCAATATTTACATAAAAAATAAGAGAAAAAATATGGCACATGAAGAAGCTCGACTAAGAAGACCCCAAGCTTGTTGCATGATGGGTATCATTGCATGGCTTTCCAAGACGGCTCAGCAAAGGCCACTGCGAACTGAGTGGATACCTCAATCAGCTGCGTTTATTGGGACGATCCATCAAAAAAGCTGATTACCCAAGTTAAAGTGTCTTAATTCATTCAACAATGCTGATATTCTTTGGAAAATCTAGGATTCCCCCCTTCGTTTGAATGAAACAGCCGCCATTCTTTGACATATGACTGTTCAAGGGCCCAAGATTCTTTCCTTTGATGGAGAGTAAGTGGGATATGAAATCGATGATGGGAATTCACACTAACATTTTTGGGAAATAAATCCAATAAGCAACAGCATGCATGAGTTTTTAGTAGATTTCGGGACTTTGCACAAACAGGTCCTGAGCAAGTTCAGACAGTTCTCATACCATAATACATTTGTGCTCATAAAACAGTCCCTCCAAGTTAGAAGATATTATCATCTACTTCAAACTTTTTTGGCAAACTTCTCAAGAACATGAGGGGTGCCAATATTTTGAATGTAAAGAGCACCAACAGAGCATACAAATAACAACTCCTTGAAGGTACATCAATCAACGAATTATAGTCAAGCGCTGACTTTTTCTTTATTTACTTCTTAACACAACGTGCAAGTCTAGACTGACATGAAAACAAAAGAAATTGTGCTCATGCTGTGAGAGAAGTCCCAACCTACTGCTTAGGCTACAACATAATGTGGAAAAAGAAATGATGAGCAGAGGGAAGAGCAAGGACCTGTATTTTAACCACATGTTGGCGCAAGGTCAAATAGTTTTTGCGTCCTCTCCAACCACGATACTTCTTTTGAATACAAAGAGCGGCAGATTGAAGCTTTTGATCGCGATGCCCACGGATAGCTTTTGATGCAGCCGAAAAATCATGAATTTCTTTTGGGGTCAACTGATATTCGTCACAAATTTGATCATTTATGCATTTCTTCCTAAAAGAATGAGCCCGAAAAGCAGACTGTATTCGAGCAGCAGCTTGAGCTGCATTCCTAACTGCAGCCAATGAGTCTTTAAGCGAGAGCTGATCCTCTGTTGCATCGGGATGTACCACAATGCTCCTCTCACTGATGCTCTCCACGGCCTTCTCTGCTAACAGCTTTGCAGTTCCTTTTGAGATATCGCATTCTTCCACCGTAAGAGAGGAGAGGTGGCTGGTAAGACGAACTTCAGACAGGTATCCTGCAAGACCTTTGTGGCCACTGTCAGCTGCAATGGAGGCTGGGGTTTTCCCAGCAGGATCTTGAGTAGTTGGGTCTGTCACTGCCACAGTTGATGCACCAGCAGCTAAAAGCGCAGCAACCATTCTCTCCCTGCATCACAGAGTAACAATTTTTTCATGACTTTATAACGTTGTGCATAACTGGAAAAGGGTAAAAAATCATGAACTTATGCCAGTATTCCAACTTGGTTCTGCATGTCCAGAACGTTCGGACTAAAAGTCAAACACCAAGTCAAAAGAAAACTACGGAAGAGAGAAAGATGCTAGCTATTAGTTTCCTACCCACTTTCTCAGGCTAAAGGGATTGAAGAAAAGTCAAATAAATATTGGTAGAAGAAAGAAAATTATGAGAGAGACTAGAATCTATGCCAAGTAGACATTAGACCTTCAGTGACCTATGGCAACCAAAATCAAACAGTGACATTTCCATTACCTTCCAAAACGTGCAGCCCAATGGAGAGCAGTCCATCCATTTAAATCGCGAAAATTTACACCAACACCAGCATTAAGAACTGGACTTAGAGCCCACTCATAACCCAAGCCAGAAATCAGATGTATGACATTTTGCTCCTCCTTAGTCAAATAACACTCTATTGCTTTGCTTTCACAGCTTTTAGTTGAAAGCCACTGCTTCAACTTATCTTTCAACAGTTCTTGTAAAAGCCAATCCACAACATCAAATGAATCATTACTACCGACCGTTAGCAACTCAATAATTTGTCCGAATTGATCATCTGTTGTCCCCACTTTCCTTATAAGACCAGCTTGCGGCAGATCATTTCCCCCATTTTGATTGTGATTACCATCACATCCACGTAGAAGAGTCTGTCCAAATCTCATGAGTAAAAGCAGCTCCTCACTGCTCTTCTCTGGAAAAGCTTTTTGCAGATTGCTTGTTGAATCAGATGTTTTAGGCTTCAGACGATATTCAAATTCTCTTACTTCACTGCAAGATTCCCGATTGCCAGCTGTCAAACACAAAGTGACCCACCCTTGAACATGTTGGGGAGCATGACAACGTATCACGCCGTTCTGAATGATTTCAACTGGGACTTCAACGTCACCAAAAATTACTTTCCAGTCATATTCCGAATGATTGCAAGAGAAATCACCAGTAATAATAACCTGAATTTGTAACCAAGAGTTAAAAACTAATAGGCCGTTAATAAAAACTATGGGAAAAAACATACAATTAAGGATTAGGTTGCTGGTCAGTTTCCTCATTTGTTTGAGTATTCTGTAAATCGTGGGATTTAACCCAAGTAGTTTTCCCTTTTTTTGAGGCCTGGGTCGTTGTATATAGCCAGCAATTGTTCTATGAATTGATAAGACAGAAAATTTTCCCCATTGTTTATTCTTGTTTGGTTTGCATCATTGTATCAGGGCTTTGGGACTGTAAATCTGGAAAAAAAAATCTGTAGTCTTCATCCTACCCATCATCTGCTCTCTGTTAATCTCTTTCCAATGAACGAGATATCCATCTATGTCTAATACTGTTTCGATTCAAGGAAGAATAGTCTCCCTTTGGGGTATTCTTTTTTGGCAGTCATTCTTGGATATCTCTGTGACGTCCATAGTAGATCAGGTTTTCTTTTCAGGCTCTTGGATCAGCTGTTTGTTTTGCGGACCTCTTTTTTTTTTTCTTTTTTCCTTTTTTTTTGCGTAGTAATGGCACTAATTCAAGGAGAGGAAAGAAGAAAAGGCTTGATGCTTGAATCAAAAAGCATGAACATTAGCTATAGTGGTTAGAGGTGGCAGTAATTCAGCCACAAGTGTGGAGAGAGCACAGGTTGCTGAGAGAGAAAAACCTGGACAATTGAAGGCCCAGAATCGTCGCCATAAAAATAGCATATAGTGCACTTACTGTAAGAAGCCATATATAACACCATAATGAATGGTCTTAGAAGTTCCATGAAAAATTTCTAAGTTAAGAATGGGAACATAAAAGAGAGAAGCCAAACAACAATCTTGACAAAGTCACATATTCTTGTTCGTTGGCATTTTCAGGTGAGTTTCCGTCCTTTATTGGATTAAATGACTCAAGTACTACCTTTGCCGATTTCTGAATAATGGATTCATGAAAATAGCTACAACTGATGATTCTTTGACTACTGTAACAGGTGTAGGACATGTTAAAATAAACCCTTCATTGACATTAAAAAAAAATATTCATGTTCCTAGATTATCCACTAACCTTGTGTGTTTGTCCTAAAGCCTACTCAAGATTTACATTGCAAAGTAGTTTTTCATCGTAGTTATTGAATATTTCATAACAATGATTTGGGAAGGATGATTGGACATGCAAGAAAAGAAGATGGACTTCACTACCTTGAAGCATCAAACCAGTCAAACATTGTAAAGGGCAAATCACCTTATTCTCTTGAGCCTCGTAAGGAGAGAGTTTGGCTAGACAATCACTGGCTTGGACGTCTGTTATTTAGGGCTATTAGAGGTCGGGGAGGTGAAGGGGATGGGACGACAAAAGGGAAGAGATCCGGGGGGGTGAGAGAGAGAGAGAGAGAGAGAGAGGAAAACAAAAAGAGAAGAAGAGCATGGGACACTACACGAGCTTAAATCAAGCCCAAATCACATTTGGGCCAAGACTAAAGACTTGTTCAAGATGGATTTTGAAGCCCAAGCTGAAAAAACCAGGTTGGGCTGTCCTAGACTTTGCAAGAGTAGTCCCATAATGACTAAAAAGAGGGCCTGAGATGGTAATTGGTTTTGAGTTAGACAGCCCAATAAATCCATCAATCCTTACCCCCAGTCCACTGATACCTCTAGTTGTGTGACTGCATGCACCTATTTTTCAATTCTTATTAACTCTGAAACAGAAGACCGTGGCATCATTTGTTCCCCCATCTTGGAATTAATTCCTAAGCATAGGAACTAGCACTTTGCGAGTTGTCAAATTCAAAGAGGACATCTGTCACACAGAAACTGAGGCTTCAGTTAGAGTATCAGAGAGAGGCAAGCAAACCTTTGAGGTTTAGATATGATCTCTACTTATCATATCTATAATTTACGAAATAGTCCTCCTTAGCCTTCATAAAGTTTCAACTTTCCCACACTAATCTGCAGAGTAAGGGAAGCATACATGAAACTAACACGTTCAAAGTTACAACTACCAAAAGCCAGGATACAGAGGATTTAAAAGTTAGACCAACACTTTTCTATGTCTCTATTCGTAACACTTTTTTGACCTGAAGAACGATTGTCATTTAGCATCCATAGTCACTTAGCAAAGGGCTAATGGCAAAATTATGAATATTGACAAATCAGATATTTTTTCTCTATAACTTTTTCCATTTCAGCAAGTGGATCTCAAAATGATTAAACAATTTTAACAAGATAATTTCGATGTTGAGTCCCCAAACAGCATCATTACAAATTCAAGGACTTATTTTATAAAAAAAGTCCACCACCTGATTTAGATGATCAGTCCTAATTTCCAAACGCTAACACCCTGACAGGAACATCTTACTAAGCTCACACATAAGGAGGGTAAACTGCAGGCAATAATAGCATCCTTTTTGGTGCCCAAGATTCTTAGCGAATCGCTAATTAGTTGGTAGTTGTTGGAAATTCTAGGATGTAAGAAAAGTATGTAAAAGACTGAGGGTGTTTTGCAAAAATTGTGTAAGGCTGCTCCCTATATAATGGGGGTTAGAGGTGAATGAATTTTGAGGCGGTTTCCACCATTCTCCCCTCTGTGCTCTGTGACAGAGGTCCTTTCTCCATTTCCAACAGTAGTGAATAAGAATACTTAATAAATCATTGAATAAATGTCAATTATCAAATTTAAAATTAGTTCAAAATGAAGCAAAAGAAGAAAGAAAAGTAAAGCAAATGAGAAGAGTAGGGTTTCGAAAACTTGTAAAAGAAAGAAGCAACAAGAATATGTCGTCCAGAAGAAAAAGGCCGGATGTGTTTAGACACGAAAAGAAAGGGCCAATATAAGACAACGTGTTTGAGATGGAAAAACCGAAATCAATATTCAGGTGAATAAGAGCACCTTTGTCCTTTCAGAGGAATATGCCCACTCAGGAGAAATTTCACGAATACTAAAAAGCTGTCGTTGAGACAAAGTCGAACATGAACCTGATTCGATAGGTGACACTGATTGACTCTGGCCAAATAACATCTCTGGGTAGCTAGATAAATATGTACTGTTGCAAGCATGTAAATTCATGTTACTCATCCAATCAACTGTAGTTTCCTCCTTCAGCACCATGGAATTGCCACCACAAATACTTTTGTCAGCTTCATATGGGATCTCATCCTCAACTCCTCCAGTATCTTTAGCGGATGTTGATGATTCAATGGGACTATCAGGACCCAAGAGAATTTTTCTAGCAGCTGAAAGGTGCAACTGTGAATTTCTCTCTGGATCTTGGCAAATACTGACACTCTTTTTATTTCCCCTATAATCTATCTTCTGAAACATTACATCCTCTGACGCTCTATATGAACTACTCATTTCTGTACAATATAAATGTATATCCTGCAAGAAAGTAACTTTGTCACTAAGGATTGACGAAGGCAATGTAAATGTGTTCAGTCTATTGAAAAGAGTATCTTTCAATATTCCACGATGTACAGTAGAGTTCTGGGCTGATACCCATTAAATGAACAACACAAATGCATAAGATTGATAGCTCCAATTAACCTGAATACGTAACAAATGAGCATCTCAAAAGAAAAACCTTCACTTCTGAGGTATCAGGATGAAAAACGAAAAATACAGGATAACAGATTTATGCTGCATTGGGGACACTTTATCAAAGCTCATTATCAGCCAAAAGCGGTTATTTGTTATTAAGCAGCAGAAAATGGATATTGTGCCTAGATTCAAAAGATGTAGCTTAGATGCTCTATTTGACAATGTAGACAACCTGGGCCGAACTTTTCGTTGCTCCAATTTCCTAGCAAGAGAAAACCTTCAATATGGAGCTCGTCATATCTCTTAGCATCCTAGCTTAGCCATGAGACTTTAGTCTACCCTAGTTTTTCTGAGTTTTAATACGAACTATTTTAGGGGAAATATGGGGTTTCTCCCACTCCCAAAATGGCATTCTTCGTGCAATGGATAGACCAATACGTTTCACAAGGTTAAAAATACAACATAGCTGAGAACAAACAGAATGCATATAAATTGCCAGATCCTCACTTTTTGTCCCGTGTCTTTGGGGAGGAAAACATTTTCAATTGCACACGTTCTTCCAGAAGAAGAATCAGGGACACCTTCCGAGGAAAATGTTTCAGAAGCTTTCTCTTGTGTGCAAACCCCAGTTGAGCTAGATGTGGTCAGCTCCAGAATTTCTTCCCAGAAGAGAGATGATTTCTTTCCAGCTATATCCTCGGAGTTTGACGGTTGAAATCTCAACTGCTGATCCTTGCCTAGGAGAAAGAAATATCCATAGTACCGAAAGTCAACTAAGGCATCTACGAAAAATTATTTTCCAGTTCTTCCAGAAAAGCATTAGAAACAAAAGCCTTGGTGGCTGAAAATTAAACAAAAAGGGCACCCCTTGTGTAAAGATATGGAAAGATCACGACAATCATGAGAAACAGCAAAAAACGTTTCCTTAACTGTTCACTGAAAAGGATAAACAAAATCTCAGTTCATTGTAAACCCCTTTTTTTAGAGTGCATTAGTACAGTTGATTGTAAAACACGATTCATAGTTAAGATGTTTCCTCGAGATACGTACAAAATATTTGCATGTTTAACAGAAGCAGAAGGGGAATTTTGACCAAAATATAGTTGCAAAGAAAGACAGGAGTCCTCGCCTACTGACTAACAAGTTAAGCAGTGATAGAGTGCCAAAGCAGTCTAGTTTCGCATTATTTAGTTCAAAACTACGACCAGTACACATATTCCATGCTACAGCAAACCATTTAAAGTTTCTCGTGAAGATCCTCATAAATAATTAATGAGCAATGAAGCAATTAATCGGTGATTCAGGCAAAAATTGTATATATTGTGAAAAAAAATCCTTTTTACGAATCACCTCATAAATAGATTTTGACAGAGTACTTACCGAAAAGATTTTGGATTTTTTTTTTTCCAGAACTGGTGTGTTTAATTAGTAGCTTTGTGAAAATGTGGAGACACAAATTTGCAGAAAACTTTATTATCCCACTTTAAGTCGTAGAGTCCATAAACTACTTAATGTTAGTGAGATGACTAAGCTTTAGCTCACTTTCAGTTTCCAAAGATCTTTACTATTATCTAATGTTTGGCATATGAATATATGACTACGAAGATAATTTATAGAGGTAAAGGTTAGAGAAAATATTGCATCAAACCAGGTGTCCAATAAGGCGCTCAAGGCACAAACAAAGATACTCTCGTAACCAATCGAACAATAGAAGAAATATTTTATGCTAGCTCGCCCGGGCACATTAGATTTTCCTTACATATCACTATGTACACATTCATAGTTTTCCACAATATCAAATATCGGCATATGAACAGACAAGAGTTAGCCATTTGAGTGCCTCTAATAAGAAGATTCTGAGCATTAAAAAAGTAACATATAAAAAAAAAACATTTGATTAGTTGGCGCACTCAAAACATGCACCATAACCTTCTCATTCCTGATAACATGTAAGATCATTCTTGCGATTGCAATCAATGGGAGTCAAAAGGATAAATGAACCAGTCCAATCCAGGATTACCCTTACCATTCATGAAAAAAATCAATCGGATCCAAAAGGAAATAATATTATAATCATAAAATTGTCAGTGGATCCAAAATAAACGATCTTTGATAGTGAAGAAAACAAACCGGTCCTATGGAGCAACATGAAGCTATTAGGCTCATCATCTCGTCCTAGATATCCAGATCTGTCAGCTTTACTTCCGTGCACATCTAGAATGGGCTCTCCTCTAAAATTAATATGGTTCTCAGCTTGCGAATTATCCTTTCCGGAGTATAGAAAAATATTTTCTTTAATGAGATCATAATCATCATCCAAACTTAACTGAAACTCTATCTTCCTAAGTTCTTCACTGAAAGGTGGCATTGAAGATGTACTATGGCCTTCCGGAGTATCATATGCATCCACGTCACCATTAGCAGTTTCTACAGAAGACTGACAACTCGCTACTTCAGCAGGCACTGGACTACGAGAAAAGTCTGTGGTTCCATCGATGTGGGCATTGATAAGGGTATCGAATGTGGAAGGAGAACTTGTTGACGAATCTGACACTCTTCCAGGCATACAGATTCCCTGACAGACAAAAAAGTCATTGTGGCATTCATGAGTCCCTTGCCTGGAAATGGCTCAAGTAGTAGGAAAAAAAAGATTAATTCTCTACTGAATCACATGAAAATGCAGGGTGAATGGTAATAACTAGAAAAATAAGAATTGGTAATAAATAATTGAGAAAATTAAATCCTAAGGCATGAATGAAGAATTGAAATTCCCCATTAAATGAGAAAACCACGTTATTAACTAGCACCATCCAACGCTATTGGATCTGAAATCCAATCATGTAAGCATATTCTCAAAATATTAAGATCCAGTCGATTATTACATTTGCTTGACTAGCCAAGCAAACAGAGACAGAAAAGTTCCTTGTCAGAATATAAAATCCACCCACTCACCGAGAAAAATATCATATGGAAAGAAATCTCACAGGGGGATAAGAAACCCACCCCATGATCTCCACCGAATACAATGGTATAACCAGGAAATGACAAAACCTAGATAGAAAAGAACTTGGCATTTGAAAGGAAGAGTGTTATGAGTCCTGTAGGTTTACATTTGCCGAAATGAGAACAGTTTACGTTGGCCACGTCCCTCTTTCATTTCTTCTCCCCGTCCTCATTTTGTGAAAAGGGAAGAGAAGAAGCAAAATAAAAATTAGAACAAGGGCCTACTTATGAAACTACTAGCTCTAAAAACTATTGGGTGTGGTCACCTTCTTAGCCACGATTTTAGGAGGATATTAAAAAAAAACGAGAGTTTGGCACTTTACTATTAAATTATACAATGAAATTACAGATTTAATTTCTTGTGGTACATTTATAATGGCAAAATATGCAAAAAAGTACTGACAGGCAGGGACATAATGGGGATTACGCCAGAAGTAGAACAGTCACTGTATTTTTGGCTATCAAACCAAATAATTTGACTAAAAAAAATTATAGAGACTGAGGTGAAGTTTACACATACTGAATGTCAACGTGTTATAACACATTTTGCAGCTCAAAAACCTATTATGCTCAATTCCATAAGCGAGTTCGGTTGACATCAAGGTGTTATTTACAAGCACTTTATGAATTAGGATTATGAAATTTCCAACCACTATTATTCCAAGTCTTCCATAAAGGCATAAAAATATTTCTCTTAGTAAAAGGATCACCTGGTGTTAATTTAAAGATAGACATGATAATTACATCTGTCATTGAAAATGCCCTTCACTGATGCCTAAAAAATAGGAATGGTTTTATTTATTTATAGGAAAAATTAGTCATAAATGAAATCAATTAATTTTTTTGAGATAAAATTGCTACTTTAAGACTAATTTTTTTATTGCTGCCCACGCCTTGCTGGTCAAATGATAATGAAGCAAGCCACTGATTACTTGTCTTAAAAACCATGATTATTAATGAATCAGGACATCTAGTTGCGACCAGATTTGACATGCCATTTATATAGAAAATCTGAATTGATTGGCGAGGTATCTTCAGAATTTGTCTCACAAACTCATCAGGCATCAAAAGGAGACAAATTATAGGAAAAGGTATATTTGAACTCGGAGAGAGAGGTTTTCAACAAAATACGTAGTAGCTATGATGGCAGTAACATACCTCAGCCACATCTCTATAGTGGACAAGGACAATATGCTCAAAGGCCCTGTATAAAGGAGAAATGATGAAAGTGAGTTATGCACATTAAATTATAGAAAACATATCAAAGTAACACTAGAAAGGCAAGATTTTTGTTTTAGATGATGGATTAAAAAGTGAAGTAAAAAGACAAAAGGTTACAGCCTCTCAGAAAAAGGGGCCCATATTGCTAGCCGAATACGAACTACACATGTGAAAAAAGATGATATCCCCCAAACACCCAACCACCATCACCACCATCACCACCACCACCACCACCACCACCACCACCACCCTGCCAACCGCTCCAAAAAAAAAAAAGGTACAATAACTATAACTCCATTTCAGCCCATCGATTAACCCCTGCTGGAAATCCTCTTTTCAAAAGGAACAGAATCATCAGCAAGAATCACTGTTCTCACTGTTATGACAAATGGATTCTTCAATTTCTTATTAAACTTCTGTTGTCATGATCCTCCCAAAAATACAAGGTTTTAAACCGTTGGTTCACAGACAAAAAGAATGATCCACACTCAGATTCATTTTGTTTTTTTAATTCTGTCCATTTTGGGCCGTCTGTTGTGTACCAATTCCTTAGGAATAGCGTTACTTTGCTTGGCCACTGGTGTCCCCCTTACATTTTTTCTTCTTGGCCTGGAAGAAAGGGGATCACAATATGGACCTCTATTCACATCCAACGGGGTCGCATATTTGATCCCAAGGCTGCGCACCAATGCAATACATCATCTCTTCCCCATAATTAAATCTAGATCAATAGCAGCACCATTTTCAATGGTATGTGTTTTGGATCCATCCAGAGACATACATGTGATGTTCACGTGCTTCTTTAAGTGAAGCACATGATACACCTCACCCCAACTGTTAACGCAGTATTTACACTGTATTTCAACAGTATGCTGAGAACACTCTGACCCTCTTCAATGCAAAATGGATGTATAAAACACAATTTTGACAAATAGATGGCGAACGTCTATTTCCCATAAGAATGAAGAAGATACTCGAGATTTAATCTTGTAAGGGAATAAAACTCATGCACACAATGAATCTGCAGGAAAGAGTTGTAGGAACAGGCAGTTTTCACATTTTATCACCGTTAATCCATGAAAAAGGCATTGCATAATAACCAAAGTATCACATTAAGATATGGATGATATAATAAGATATATTTATATATGCGTGCAAGAGCAAGAGCAAATGCATGCAGTTGCACTTGCTCATAGAAAACGATCCGAATACTAAACTAATCGATGACACGGTGAGATCATAACAAGAACAACCCTTTGGTGAATAACAACGATGGTGATGCCATTTGCACGAGTGTAAACACACACAAACACAATCATGCAAAAAATAGAACTACATCAGATGTGTTGGATAAGCTTGGAACACCAGACATCAGAATGCTGAAGTGAATTTTTCCGACCATTGACTTAATTTAGAAAGTCAACCTAACCACACTCTACGAGATATCTAATTGATCCAACTCTTTTTACATTGAGGGCTGGGCACTTCAACCCACCACGCAACACCTTATTCTGTTGCTAGATTGAAACCGCAACCATCATTTCCTAGATGAGCATAATGGCTGATTGCGACACAGGATGGCAGCTGATAACGGCATAATGATAGAATGAGAGTACGGAAGATGCAGATAGGACCCAGTGATGATATAATATATGCAAACATTTGAATATAAAGTAATAGAAAGCAATGACATGAAGGTTGACAAATAAAAATCTTACTGATCCAGAATCCAATAGCAACGCCTCTGAAAATGAGGATTTAGTTCCCCATGAGCATAATAACAGTTCAATTTATCAACATTTCCCACCTAAACAGCATCAAGAAAAAAACAGAATGATTAGTAGAAAGACGAGCATGGCAATAAGCCATAGGCAGTTGACCGTTTAATGGCATCTTTTTACCAACGGCAGAAATAGAGCTAGAACCCACTACCATTGAAAAAAAAAAAGAGAAGTAATCACAGAGACATGAGAAAGTAAAGACAGAGATGGATTGTCGCTATCTATCAATATTAAAACCTCGTACTTCACAAAGCCTCTTGGAGTACTACACCATATGAACACTTTCTTCACTTGATGTCTGAGTGGTGTGCAAGTCATTTTATAAATTGCACCTGATCAGATATCAAAGTTTTTAGGTAACAGTATGATGTTTGCAGTAACATGTCACGGACTGATAATGAAGAAAAAGATAGCAGAGTTAATCTTCCAGAAGACAAGTGGTTCATTACAACAAGATGAAATTGTCGATCCTTGACTTTAAGCAACCTTTGTACGGTTCTCTTTCACTTTGGCACATCCCTTGCAAGATCTTATGCAATTCCTTAATCAGCTATGGAATGGCCTAAGAAGACTTGTCCTGGTTCAAATGATGAAGCGTCAAGCATTTAAAAAGATACCAAAAACTCTGCAAAGGTTTCATATGTGAGGCAGATTGCCCAGAAAAATTCGATAGCCTGACAAGTTACATAGTCGATATTCATCTGAGACGTAGAGTCGCCAAAAGAATAACGTTAGATGACCCAGTAAGCTTGAAATCAGCCTTTCATCTCCAGTCCCTGAACAGGCTGTGCTAGATGAGCATGCTATATCATTGAAAAATTCCAACGATGATTAATGAACCATAAGTAGCATTAGTTCGGTCTACAAAAGAATGAAGGATTTTACAGATTATCTGATCATTCATCATGCCAGTTTGAAGAAGAAGAAGATGAAGAGGATGAAGAAGAAGAAGCACAAGGATAACTGACTAACGGACCTTCAGCCTCTCATGTGCTTCTCCCACAGCTCTCCCATCCTTCTTTCTCCGCCATGCATGACCATCATTGCGGAAAAATCGCAGCACTCTCTTGTTAAAGAGAAACAGAGACCCACCTGTTGGGAAGTTAAGACCAGCGATGATCAGGCGATTACACAGGCGTTTAAAGAGAAAGCTATTCTCCGAAATATCAAAAGTTTTATATATGCTGATTACTTGGTGGCTGGTTAGGAGGCTCTAGAGTGATTGAACACTCCTCATAATTCTTCAGAATAAAAAACACTTCTGCCGGTCTAAGCCAACGATTTTGAGCCTCTGAACGCAGCTTACTGATCTCAATACCTGAAATTTGTCAAGAACATAAAGCAAATGAAAAGGATTCATCTATCTATTAGACTAAAACCATGGGATGATTCGAAAATCACGGCATCCAACAGTCACGTTCCCCTCGGAAACACACGGAAACCCAAAAACTCCCCGACTGGAATTGTCTACTAGATCATGTTCGATCTGACTGGTATGAAGGAGGTGTCCCAAAAATATTGACCCCTGTGCTTGAGGAGTGCAAGAATCCGTCGTTGTCCCCTCCCCGATGGATGGCTGCTTGCACCACCGGACGGAAAACTCGGCATGAAATCAGATAGCAGCAATTGATGGAGAAATTTCTAAAGCTGACTGTAATCCCCACAGAAAATGAACCCGAGGCGACCGGTAGATGAAATCCGCGATAAGAGACCGCTAATGGCTGCACCGGGCAAGAAGTGAAATATCAGGGGTAAGATGATCATCTCCTACCCGCTTGCGTCATCTTCGAACCCTTTAGACTCACGACCACTAAGAGCCCTTCTGACTCGGCCGCATCGATCCTGTGAGGAACATCCCAGGGCGCTGACCGCCGAATCGCATCACAAAGCAGAAGCAGAAGCAGGAACAGGAGCAGAAGCACCCAAGAACAGGAAGAAGGGCTACGACCAAACCAGCAGCAAATGATAAAAACCGCAGCGAGTGAATATACAGAGGAAAGCTTTCTGGTATGGACTGCCCGACCAATGGGGAGCCCTACAGAGTGTGAAATTGATACTATAAATAGCAACGACGCCTTGTGCTCCCCGACCGCACCGATCAAGGAGTTCGATATGCGGGTGCCTGTTGACTTATAGACACCGCCCTCGTCATCCTCGGCCTTAACGTATAGTCTTCCCGTAGTTGACCGGCGGCGAAGACCTCCCGCCACCTCCGCCCAACCCCCCCTTTTGAACAGGCAGCTAGCTGTGGAGGAAGACCTTTTGACTCCCAACGGTTCAAATTGACGAGGTCCAGTCAACCGAAGAAACGCGTATCTAGAAGTGTGAATATTTGAATAGTTTATAGCACATACTGTAGTCGCCCCCAACTTCAGGTCAACATGTTATTGGGGATACCAAGTCAACCCGCGCCCACCGTACACGACGAGGATAAGATGTGGATCACCACCGATATCCTTTTCGCATTAAAATTTATTTCTATTATTAGGTCAGCCTTCACCTGTAGGCCGCGTCTTCACGTGACAAAAATGGTAGAGTATATTATACTAATATTTTTTAGAAAATTACTTTTTTTAGAAAAAAAAAAGCATCGTGACGCTCTAGTAACCCTTCATCTCTCTTTTGGGCCGGGCCTGCAAGGCCAGCCCATAGAAGTCCATTTTTGTCTAGGAGTTGGCCTCTTCATTCATTTTTTTCCAAAATAAGAAAATAATTTTTCTCTCGTAGAGTAAGCCAAAACCCATTTTCTAAAATATTTCTTTTTTAAATGACACAATTCGTCGATAAAAATATGCTAATATATAATAAATTTAATGTCGTGAAAGTAATGCAGTGGATCAGAGATAATACTTTGCTAAACAATGTCTATCAACGACTGCATATAAAAAAATCATGCGTGATACATCACAAGTATTCTTGATTAATCTAGTCGATTCCTTTTTAGATGATGAAAAATAATAATAAATAAATGATACTACGATAAATCACAACAAAAAATCAATAAATATTTTATTGATTTGTAAATTAAAAAAACACACATCACGTCAACAAAATTGTCTTATAGATATACTGAAAAACTTTACTTAATAATATAAAGATACTACTAATATACTACTTAATAATAATATTAATATTAATAATATATAATTAATATTTAAAATAGACATTCCGTCCCATAAGCCACTTTGACTTTTCAAGAAAAAACCTCATGGTTGTGGAAATCATAGGATGGTATCCATTCAGCAATTGATAAAATCATACACCAGCAAGAAGACAAGCTGCAAAATTATTGAAAGACCCCTCGATCACACCAGAAGAAAATATTAATGGACCCCACAGTGAAGAGGTCCTTGCACAGCCTCCCTCAACAACAATGGAATCTTTTGGTGACATCTCACCATCTAAATCCCCAAAGATAGACGCCAATTTACAATATTTGAATCTTCCAACCACCACATGGCGTAGGAAGGCTGTCCTCATCAATCAATTCATCATATTATTATAATCCATTTACACATTATACTATATTTAGATATTTGGAATGTTTACCACTTTTTTAACAATAACACCTAAAAGTCTGATAATTCTAAAATGGGTAAAGTCACGCATAAAGGGTTCTTCAAATCTTGAAGAATTTTTGTGACGTGGTCCCTTTTCCAGTGGGGAATTTTTCGAGCCCTGAAATTTTGTTATAATATTTTAAATAACCCCTGCCAAATTTTGAGTGAATCATGAGACCAAAAACTTTGGGACTTTTGCGTTGAGTTATCTTGTTGGGGTATGATTTATGGAGTGCAATCCCATATTTACCCCTGCTCGTAGAATCCCCATCACCACTAAGTGGTGTACAGTTGGGTCATTTCACCTCATTCAAAGAGATGTGGCTAAACGTGATTCATTGATCTTAGATCAAGGTCATCATTAGCTAATCTAATGGATGACCGTCTTTAAGACCCACCCAACGGCTCGGATCTGATTTCCGTTGTGGAGAGGAGATCTATGAACAAAGCCATGCTAAACTTGGTCAGGGAAAAGGAGCAAGATGTAATTTGCTTACTTTATAAGAATCGATATCAAAATATACCTTTATCAGGGCTTAAAATTAATAAAATACACCGAGACGGGGGGAATAGGCAAGGAATCGCTTGCCGACAGGGAGAGGGGGAGCGGGCGTTGGGTCCATCTTTCCACGTGGACGAGGCAAGAAAGGCGTTTTTCTTAAAAACCCCACCCCGTCGGTGGGTTGCCAGATTCAAAAGACGTTAAAAGTTTCACTTTAAACCTCATTTAATAAATTAATAACATTAACAGTCAATTTCATACAACCCTATGATATGTACACACATCTAGGAACCAGCTCAATAATCGGAGGGTGTAAAAATAAATAAGGATAATAGGGGGGAAATGAGAAAACCGGAGCAATCATCTCCAGATTTCTTGATGCCCTGGTCTTTGCTTTTCCTCCTCCTCCGTGTCCAGATCTCCGCCCTCCTTCCTCCTTCCCAATTCCCTCGCCATAAATAACCATTGCAGTCTGTATCAGCTTCCCCTCTCTCTCTCTCTCTATCTCTCTCTCTCTCTCTCTCTCTCTCTCTATCTTTACGGCGGTGGCGGTGGCGGCGGCGGCGGCGACGACGGCGGAGGGAGGAGCAGATTCAGAGGATCGGGAGTAGATTCGAGGAGGGGAGATGGCGGACTGGGGACCGGTGTTCATCGCGGTGGTGCTCTTCATCCTGCTGACGCCGGGGCTGCTGATCCAGTTGCCGGGGAAGAGCAAGTTCGTGGAGTTCGGCAACTTTCAGACCAGCGGACTGTCGATCATGATCCACGCAATCATCTACTTCGCCCTCATTGCCATCTTCCTGCTGGCGATCGGAGTCCACATGTACGTCGGCACATAGAGAGAGGGGTGATGCCCTAGAACACCCCCGGAAGAAGGGAGGTTTGCTGTAGTGAGGAGAGATCTGATTGGTTCTGTGCTTTACCTCGAATAAGTAACGAAATCTTAAGCAATCCTCGTCTGTGACGGCCTTCCTCGATCAATCTCCGTCTGTTTCTCCTTGTTCAGAGCAATCTTTCTGTTCTTGCTTGGTCCCAAGACTGGTTCCGATCTGCTTTTCCCAAAGCAACATGGATTTTCTCAGTGGCTGGGTGGTGTGACCACAACCAGTTCCACCAACCCCACAAGAACATCCTGGCCGAATCCGTTCATCCTTCCATACACTCCCTTCAGCGCGATTCCGTCAACAGCAGCAGAATTTTGCTGGTCATTTCTTCTGGTTGTGCAATCACAGTTACCATGATTATGGGGCAAGCTGACCCCATTTTCTTCTATATCATTTTATCTGGTGGTGGTGGTGGTGGTGGTGGTGTTCTTGCTTAGTATAACAGCCGAAGATGCTGCTGAGAGCTTCTGCAGCATGACTACGAATCTGCTCCCCATGGCCGATATTAATCATTTAATAATCTGACAATAATTGCTGCTAAGTGGGTCCGTACATCACCTGGGCTCTTCTCTTCGATGAGACCTGGTCGATTATCTCCCGGATCCTGTGATGAAATTAGGTCAACAACTGAGGGCTGACTTTGCTCTGCATGAAGTCAGCGGGAAGTCAGTGTATCGGGCCCATCTTCCAATGTATATGGCTCAAGGTCGAAGAATACTGACATTTAATCACAGATATTTTACAAGGAAGACTTGATAGAAGTGATAGTTTCCATATGCCAAAAATTAAAAGACGAAATATTTTATGATTTGGATCCGACTCACCAGCCCAACTAATCCATATGAATATCACATATGTATAATATTGTATTTATCTAGAGAGAGAGAGAGAGAGAGAGAGAGAGAGAGAGAGAGAGAGAGAGAGAGAGAGAGAGAGACTTAAGACTACCTTGGGGAAATTTACTCGTCGTCGTCGGTCCCACGTGATACGGGCACGTGGCGTGATTACGACACCGTAACGACCATCCCCACTAGACGCAGAGAGTCCAATAAAGTTGAGATGAGGGGTGTATACGAAATAAAATTTGTTAACGAGGTCTGGATGCATATAAACAGTATTGAAGAGGGTGTGAGCGAAAACATACAACACCTTCGGGCCGTGGATATAAGCCGGGGTGTACGATATAAGCCGTCCCGTGAGAATCCCGCCAGTGGGCCGTGGATTTCTCTCGCTCTCGTCGTCCTGCACCTTCGGGCTACTGACTTGGAGAAGGAGCAGATCCGGCAGAGTTTCAGAGCGGAGAGAGAGAGAGGGAAGGGAGATGGCGGACTGGGGGCCGGTGGTGGTGGGGGTGGTGCTGTTCGTGCTGCTATCGCCGGGACTGCTGTTCACCTTCCCAGGAAACGATCGGCGGGTGGAGTTCGGAAGCTACAGCACCAACGGGAAGGCCGTCGTCATCCATACCCTCATCTTCTTCGGCCTCTACACCTTATTCACCCTCGCCATCGACATACACCTCTACGCTGGCTAGGTCTCCCCGATCCTCCCTCTCTTCTCTCTCCACACTGGAATTTCTCTTTCCATCCTTTGTGTTACAGTCCTCCCTTCTCTCTCTACACTGGAGTGTCTCTTCCATACTGTGTTACAGTCCTCTCTCTCTCTCTCTCTCTAGAGATTAATCCTTCATCTTTGTGATCCAGTTTTCTCTCTCTCTATCTCTCTCTTGGATTTTCTCCGCTGATCCTCGTGTTGTGTCGTCTTCATCTTTTTTTCCTCTCATCGGAAACAGATGATTGTCGGTGAGGTAAGGTTGTCCATCTGCCATGGAATTAATCAGGCTGAATTCTGTTTCGGGGGGAGGAATGCCGAGGAAATCTCATCCTCAATACTCCGGCAAATCTAACCGGTAATTCTCGCTGTCTTCTCCCATACATCTCGAACCTCGTGTATGGCCAGGTATTTCGCTTGGTGTTCATCGCCCTGGTCATGATTTCTCCTCTTTTCTCGCGCCTGTATTTTTCTGAAGAAGTCAATGAAATCTGTTCGAATCAGAGCATACGGAAGACCTGCTTCGATGGCAATCTTGTGAGCTCGCGCATCTAAATCATGTCCTTACAGAAGAATAAGAAAAATAAAGTCAAACTTGATTCGTTCTCAACCTCAGATCCCATTTTCTTGTCACGGGGTGAGCCGCCAAAGCAACAGCCCTCTCTCTCTCTCTCTCTTTCTCCCCCCCCAATTATTGTCAATCATCCAGTAGTCGGTGGAATTCTTCCTCCTCTTTTCGAACTAATTCACACAGAAGCTTCCTAACATGGCCCAGCGGGTTGCTCATGGGCGGCCCAGCCATGGCCACCGCCCCTCTCTCTCTCTCTCTATTAATGGCAGAAAAATGAGCATGAAAAGATCGGGGGGAGTTCACAAAACTTTCCTCCCGAAGGAGGAATTCGAATCGACCGCCATTACCGGCCACGGGGACGACATTGAATGCCAGAAACGAGAAGCAGAGAGAGAGAGAGAGAGAGAAGGAGAGGAGAGCTCACTGCCAATGGCGAGCCTGAGATCCCTCCAACGCAGCCACGCGTCCGCCTCTCAGCCCCCCCTCCCTCCTCCTCGAGATCCGAAGCCGCTCCTCCCTGCACATATAAAGGTGCTCCTCCGTTAGATACAAAGAGAGAAAAGAGAAGAGGGAAAATAGAAGAGAGAGAGAGAGATGGGGGATTGGGGCCCGGTGGTTATAGCGGTGGTGCTGTTCGTATTGCTGACGCCGGGTCTGCTGTTCCAGTTGCCGGGGACGGGGAGGCTGGTGGAGTTCGGGAACCTGCAGACCAGCGGCGTCTCCATCCTCGTCCACAGCATCATCTACTTCGCCCTCGTCGCCGTCTTCCTCATCGCCATTGGCGTCCACATCACCACCGGCTGACTCCGACGCCCTGACCGATCTCCCCTCCTCCCCCCTCCGGGAAGGAGGACGAGGAGAGAGGTGGGCGGCGGCTCGTCCCCTCCCGTCGCCAATACAGTTCTTCTAGGGTTGCAGATTCTCGGTGTAGCTCCGATGGTTCAGTAGTTCGATTTCCGTTTCCGATTCTCACTCCAAAGCTTCATCATCGTCACCTTCTGCTCTTCCACTTCTTCAATGCCATTATCGATGCCATTCAACAAAATCACAATATACAACCATCTCGATATAGTTTTATCAGATATCTATATCTATTTAAAATAACTGAGCATCGGGTGAGATGATAAACGGAGCATCATATTATCATTGATCTTATGCGGCAGTTACAGATTTATGTAACATTTGGGTGACTAGTAGACAACAAGTTTTGGGGGAAGGAGTTCTTATCAGATTCACTCTGTTCCATTCCGAATCCGATCTATTTACATCAGTCTGAGGCAAAGCGGCCTGCAAGAAGAAAAAAGAAGAAGAAATAGAATGGCTGTGTAAGACAGGGGCTGCGAGATAAATGGAAATTAAAAAAAAAAAAAAATGGAAAAGGAGGAAGCCCGTGGAGAAGTGATCATCGCATTTAGTTTCTCAGATACCAAAATAAGTAAATACCAGCAACAATAAATATGATTTAAAGCGAAAGAAATAATAATTATTGATCCTGCTATACAGCAATGGGTGCTTACGGATGCGAATATCAACATGAGAATAACAAAATAAACCAAACGACAAAGAAAATACTGAATTTTTTTTGGTTTTAATGATTCCGAGGAGGGGGATGGTACATGAGGAAATTTTTGATGAGATACTGAAGCGTTTAGATGCATCACAAAAATATTTGGGCTACAACGGGCTAGTTCAGTTCTTGGAAGATATAGCCGAAGAGATGAGAGCCAATGACATCCAGAGCAATTTGGAGTATTTAATCAAATGGGTGCAATCTCAGAAAAGATATCGAAGATCGGAGGTTGTCGAGGAAACTGTTCATCAGTGCAAAGGCCTTTTGAATGATGATTAAGCATACTCAGTGACGTACTTTCATAATATAAACAATAATCGAATGATCCAAGAAAAGTTTTTTAAAAAAAAAAACCACCTTGATGTTCAGATTTCAGTAGGAAAAAACCCTAAATGACAACTTAAGGGATGAGATACGCTTCCTGTGATCAAAGACAGTATGATGTCTCAAGAACATGAAGAAAAAGTGCAGAGATCACCGGTGATTACACTGATTCTATCACATCTGGCCCTCGAGCTTTTTTGCCACACATGAAACAATTTACCAAACTAAAAATAAATAAAAATAAAAATAATAGATCCAAAATGGTTTCCCCTGAGTTGATCATACATACTCTGTACACAGCTAAAAACTATTCACGGTAATTATTCAATTCAATTTGACATCATCGAACAGTGAGTGGACAGCGAGGAAGATATGAAGATAAAATTAATATCCAAAGCAGCCCCCAGTGGGAGAAAATACGAGGATGATTTCCTATGAGAATCCATCAATTGAATGCTAAAACAAGTTATCAACATCACAGCAATGGACAGTGAATTAAAACGAGGGAAATAAATCAAGTCTCCAACTGCCACCCGAGTCCAATAAGAGAAGAAAAGATGCATGTGCACTCATCAAATTGGCCACCCAGAAGTTTAAATGGACGAAGGTTCTACCTTACTCTTACTGCTGGCTACAAACAAAGCATAAACAGGATAAAAATAGATTGCACGAACAGAATTTATTTGAGGAGTTCAGCAGAAGAAGAAGATAGAAGTCGTCGAGTGAGGTAGCCAAAAGACTCAGCAGGGATAAATTTTGATCTATCTTGAGAGGAGCGTGTTGTGACTTCCTCTTCTGAAGGTTTAAAAGTTCGTTCAAAATATACCTGTTGAAGAGTTAATGTGGAAAATTTTCTAAATTGAGAAGTTTTCCAAAGAAAATATAAGGTGTTATGTCCTTTGTCCTTTGACAAGCTCACATCCGTACTTTGATCTCAAATGGTTAAACAACGAAACCTTCCATTTTTAGCGGGGAAAACTATAACAGTAGTCTTGTAATAAACAGAGAATTTGAGTTGGGGTTTGAGTCTTCCGTTCATATAATTTTTCAATTATTCTTCGATACTTCATCCTATGGGAAAATGGAGGTGGTGAATAGATTAATTGATCCAAATGCACGCCTATTTGATGATTTTATGAAGAAATTAATCCCCAATTCTGTCAGGATCACAAATATCATAAGTTTGTTCACATTCCCCTGACAAGTGTGAAATAATACAGAGAAAAAATAACAGGAATCTTTTTTCACGCTCAACAGGAAATTTTGTCGGCATCATGGGGAATATAACACAATCGAAAGACGAGGTTATCCCGTTCCAGAGGTTTTCAATGGCAAAATAAGACAAAGGATAGAAAACAGACTCTGATTCAGCAACACGTGCGCGGTCTTACCTGACACTTCCTTTCGTGGGGTTCTTTGGAACACAGGAGTGGGGCAAAGAACCGACCAGCCCAGCGCTGACAGGTACGAAACAATCCCACAAAAAAATAGGAACATCGCCATCCCAATGACCCAAGGCATCAGCATGAATCCAAGCACAAAAGTCGCAGACCCGCTCAGCATCAGCGCAACCGATATCCCCAGCATCAAAGATAGGAACTCCGTGGGGGACATCCGCTGTTGTCTATCCCCGGGCTCGGCCGACGACACCGGTCTGTTCCCCTGTGCAGAGCGGAGACGCCCCGAGTTCCCTGGGACCAGTTGACTTGGGGACCGCAGCATGCCGAGAACGATCGCGCATAACTCGTAGAGCACGGATTGCTCCTCCCGCTCTCCCATGTCCGAGAGACCAGAGAATCCCACAAAAACTCAGAACCCTAGGGAAAACCTTGAGACGGATGAGTGGAAGGACGCGAAGAAGCGGCGGGACCTATCTCTTCTCCCGCCACGATCGGATATGCGACGTTCGATGCATCTCAATCGAACACGAAATCGCTCGAAACCTCGCGTCGTCTCCCCCCCCTCAGCGCCCCCTGCCTGCCACGCCTCTGGAAGGTCTGGGGAGAGCAGAGATCGACCTCGGATTCGTGAGGAAGAAGGCTCCCTCCTTCCTCCACCTCCAAGCTTCGTAGAGGAGCCGCAGTTTAAATACACACGCCACGCAAGTAAATAAATAATATATATAAATATCATGTACATCAATTTTTTTAGACATATGCTCATCATTATATTTGGATAATGACGTGCTAACTGCATGTTTACCTTGTTCATAATTAGTTGCTAACCATATATATCATTAATGGATTTATTAATTCATTTACTGATCAGTGGTGTCAAGTAAAACCAATCGTTTAACACGTGGTCTTTTGTTAGAATTTAAAATCACAGTATTTAAATGAATTTATTCTTTTTTATTTTTTAATAAAATAAACCGTATAAAATAAAAAATATATAAATCGGAGGTCTCTATCCTATGCTAGAAGAATATTTGCCAATATAGCGTGTAGGGCTCACCAATGTGATTATTAATTTTATTTTTTTCTAAATTAATATGGATATGCTAACTCAATCATATATTTTTTCCGATTTTTAAAAATAGTTTTTTGGATGCCCAATCACAAAACCACGTGGTTGGCTCCGATTGGACCAGCCCAACATTGAGAGAGAGAGAGAGAGAGAGAGAGAGAGAGAGAGAGAGGGAGGGTAGATGATTATTGATTATATATATAATTAAACACTAAAATTTATCGAATTTTTTGCGGGGTATAAATTATAAATTATGAAAATTAAAGTGGGGTTGTTTTTAGGGGGAGGAGACTGGTATTGGTTAGGCTGCACGCGGATCGCACGTGCGAGGTATACACAGGGTTCATCCGCACGTGCTCACTCCCCTTTAAGCTGCAAGAAGCTATTCTTTGTGGTTCGTCTCCGTCTGAGACTCCGCCGCCGTCGGAGGGTGAAGAGTTGGAAGGGAGGAAGATGGCGTCTCCTCTGCTTCGGTTGTCGAGGAGGGGTCTGAGGTCCCTGTTGGGACCCCAATCTGGTCTCGTTCCTGTGCGGAATCTGTCTACGGAATCGGGGGCGGCGGCGGGGGGTTCTTCCTCCGATCGGGTGAAGTGGGATTACAGGGGCCAGAGGAGGATCATTCCTCTGGGGCAGTGGCTCCCTAAGATCGCCGTCGACGCGTATGTCGCCCCTAATGTTGTTCTCGCGGGGCAGGTCACGGTCTACGATGGTGCGTCCGTCTGGAACGGATCTGTCCTCCGCGGGGATCTCAACAAGATCACGGTCGGATTCTGCTCCAATGTTCAGGAGCGTTGCGTCCTCCACGCCGCGTGGACTTCCCCGACAGGTTCGTAGGATCCCTCTTACCCTAATTCAGTCTCTTTATCCTCCATTCCGTCGCTCTGACTGGACGAGGGTTTGGTACAGTTTTACATCCATTTTTTAGTTTCAAGGCATGATTATTCTGCGTTTCGACGCATCCTGTAAGAATTGCCTGATTGTTTAGAGTAAGCTGGAGCTCAGGACGTTTATCATGTAACTATTCTCATGCTTATTTCGTGGGTTTTCAAGCCCCAGAAAGAAATAATGAGAGAGTCTGAACAGAAAACAAGTGTCGCCTGCCCTCTCTCTGCTGGTCGTGATGGTGTGTGCAGTGCCTGCTTCTAGGATGTCAACGATCGCTGACTGGACAGGCCTTGCGGATGGATCCGTGGTTCTCGATCTTAGTTTTGGTAACTATACAAGAGGAGGGGACACACAAAGGTCTTTATCTGAGAGGCGGGGAAGTTTGGGTTTCCAGAGTCGATTGGTGTGAATAGGTTCATCCAGCCGAAGAGGAAGGGCCCTTCTCATCGCGTTAGCCGAGTTTTTTGACGGGCATGAAATGTTCCCGAGGACGGCTTTGTTGGTTTTTGTGAGTAGACTCTTGGGGCTTTTGCTTGATGGACCGGAGACTGGGATGTTTCCCTGGGCCGAAGGTACAAGATTCTTTCTCTCGCTGATCTCTACTGTCACTGAATCACAGGAATGGAAATTACTTTGGTAATAGCAAGGAAGACTGAAAGAATGAAGCACATTTTCAGCTCCCAGACGATGAAACTAGCTCTCGGTCCTTTTGGTTGAAGATCCTTTAACACGTAGTGAAAACATTTATTCAGACAGAAGAAGTCAAGTATCCATAGAATTGTGTTATTTTCCATTTTGGCACATATTTTGGGCAGCGCAATTGGACCAGAATTGGGCATTTTTATGCCCATTCGTGCACATATATTGTCTAGAAGGAGTAATGTCGATCATGGGAAGGTATATAATCTAGGGAGACCCAATTATTTCTTAAGTGGATAGTCTTTTGATGCGAGATGCATCGAAAAACTAGAAGCTAATATGTTCTTGCTCCTTTCCTGGACGATCCTGGGAATTTCTGGAGGTTGTCACCCAGGATTTTACCCCCGCCATTTCAGCACTATTACACAACCTGAATTGATCTTGCATAGGTGTAGCCTGCCTGGAGATGTAATAATATTCAAAGCATTTCAGAGGTAAGTGCTACCTTTCCTTCCTAACCATTCTCAAGATTGGACCTTTCCTAGCCTTCCTTGATATGCTGTTCAGCTAAAGTATAATATGCTATCGAGTATTCTTATTAGCATTAATCCCTCGATTGCTGCCTGGCATGCGTCACAAAATATTATGGGGTAAGGCTTGTGAGAGTGTCGTGGTAGTATTCACCTCAAACATCTTGTTCGTCTCTCGAAGGACGGTCAAACTTAGTTCAGCTGTGGATATCTTGGCTCTCATGTATCTTTTGATCTGTTCCTCCCTGTGTTCTCTTTCATTGTTCATTCTAGCAGAAAGATTCCTGTAGGAGGTCCCACTCCTAACCATCCGGCTCGGCTTTGGCCTGATCTCCGACTCTTATTCCTTTTCTTTCTTCTAGTCTTCGTGGGGGGATGTTCGTGAATGTGTACAAGGGACCTTTGCCGCAATGATTGGGTATTAGCCTCGAGAAGCTCTTCTTCTAGTGATTTTGATGACGACTGTCTGCTGATATTTTGTGGGTTAGTGAGAACTCACCTTCAACCTTTCTTTTTTTTTTTCACAATTTCTCTACCATCGTACGGAGTTTAAGGATGATAACGTGGTTGTAGGAGCTGAATTTCCACGGGTGAAACTTCATTTCACTGCCTGATGTTTAGGGGATCGAAGATTATACTCTCTTGTTCTCATTCTAGAGGGTTGTTGGCAGGACTCGAGATCAGAGACCACATACTTCACTTTCTGTTCCTCATTCTAGAGTGATTTTAAGAGGATTCAAGATCATGATTCTATGTCTCTCTCTCTCTCTCTGTTTTTCAATCTTATATAGTGTGTTGAGAGGATTGAAGACCGCATAGACATATATTTCTTAATCGGGTCCTCATTCTAGAGTGATTTTAAGAGGATTCAAGATCATGGTTCTATGTTTCTCTCACTCTCTCTCTCTCTCTCTTTCTCTCTCTTTCATTCTATAGGGTGTTGAGAGGATTGAAGACCGCATAGACCTATGTTTCTAAATCGGGTCCTCATTCTGCTTCTCATTCTAGAGTGATTTTAGGAGGATTCAAGATCACGGTTCTATGTTTCTCTCTCTCTCTCTAGTTTTCATTCTATGGGGTGTTGAGAGAATTGAAGACCGCATAGACCTATGTTTCTTAGTCGGGTCCTCATTCTGCTTCTCATTCTAGAGGGATTTTAGGAGGATTGAAAATCACTGTTCTATCTCTCTCTCTCTCTCTCTCTCTCTGGTTTTCATTCTTATATAGTGTGTTGCGAGGATTGAAAACCACATAGACCTATATTTCTTAATCGGGTCCCCATTCTAGAGGCTCCTGAGAGGATTGAAGATCAGATAGACGTATAGTCAACTCCCGGGGTCTGGCCTTCATTCTAGAGAGTGTTGTGTCCAGAGGATTAAATACCACATAGACTTATATCTGATTGTCAGCTCCTCTTCCTAGAGCTCAGATAAACCCACCATCTTTCTGCTCGTGAATCATTTGGAACCAAATTACCTTCTGATTTTGGATAATATCGGCGATCACACCTGAAAAAAAAAATCGTCTAAAAGGGAGCGCTTCCATCCTATGAAAAATCTAAGAGTGGCACTGATCCTATGAAAATAGAAGCCAGATGTGGAGTGGAGTAGCTTGCTTCTAAGGTTGATCTTGAGAATTCCATGATAAGATCGATCAGTTGAACAGGATAGAAAAGATAACGATGCTCTCCAATGAACATGAGATTCGCTATGAGGAGGATGTGGATATTGAAGAAAGTCTTCTTCTGATTTGACTTTTTTTTTTTTTGGGTTTTTCTTGGCCTGGCCTGCCCAAATTGAGAATTCCATGACCTGCCCAGATTGGTAATGTGAACTCTCTCTCTCTCTCTCTCTCTCTCTCTCTCTCTCTCCTAAAAATCGCCTCCTTTATGATAAGATCGATCAGTTGAACAGGGTAGAAAAGATAACGATGCTCTGCAATGAGGATTACATGAGATCCGCCATGAGGAGGATCTTGATGCTGAAGAAGGTCTTCTTCTGGTTTGACTTTTTGTTTTTTTGGTTTTTCTTGGGTTGGGCAGGTCTGCCGGCGGAGACATTGATCGAGCGGTATGTGACGGTGGGGGCGGGCAGCCTGCTTCGGTCCTGCAGTGTGGAGCCGGAGTGCATCATCGGGCAGCGGTCAATCCTCATGGAGGGCTCCCTGGTGGAGACCAACGCCATCTTGGAGGCGGGGACGGTGGTGCCGCCGGGGCGCCGCATCCCCTCCGGCGAGCTCTGGGCGGGGAATCCGGCGAGGTTCGTGAGGAAGCTGACCCACGAGGAGACCCTGGAGATCCCCAAGCTGGCCGTCGCCATTAACGACCTCATGCAGAGCCACTTCTCTGAGTTCCTCCCCTACTCCACCGTCTACCTGGAGGTCGAGAAGCTCAAGAAGGCCCTCGGCATCCCCCTCTGAGTGAGGGGCTTTAAGAATGGCTCTGCTCTCTCTCTCTCTCTCTCTCTCTCTCTCTTTGTTCATGTGGACGGAAATAAGAGGATCTCTAACGTGCCGGGTGGGTTTTGCCTGGTTTATCGTCTTTCTTCGTTCATTTTTTCCTGTGTTGTAACGGTGGGGGGCATGACTGGCCTTCATGATGATGACTGATTCTGGGTCTTATTCTCTAGAGAGAGAGAGAGAGAGAGAGAGAGAGGTCGTGTTCACGCGACTGAGCGAAACAATAATTGAAGTCCAACCGGATCGAATGCTACGAAGAGTGGAGAAAAAAATAGGAGCCCTGTGGGACGCGGCGGCGGTTGTACGAGGAGGGCAACCACCGGCTGCACCAACTACTGCCAGGAGAAAGGAAGGGGCTGGGAGACCCTATTGGAGTCCCCGTCGACGCCCAAATGGAAGAAGCCCTGGCCGTGTAGACCGGCGTCGCCGGCGTCGGCCACCAGCACGGCGGCGGTGCCGCCCACCTGGTCCATCCCCGCCGCGGCGCAGGAGAACCCCGTCGGAGAGACGACGTGGCTCGAGGCCTGGGAGGAGCGGGAGAAGAGGGTCAGGCCGTACTGGTGCAGACTCCCCGCCACCGCCAGCAGGGGCTGCCCCATCGGGATCCGGTCCTCCGCCGCCGCTGCCGTGGCCCCGCCAGAGTCGTTGATCCCTGAATTCTGAGTCGGCGATGACAGAAGAGAGAGAGCACAATCAGAGTCAGGGCCGTGGACGGCGAACCCGCCGGAGGAGAAGATCTTGCTGTCGCTGCTCTCGGAGGTGGCGATGGCGCCGAGCAGCGGGTGAATCTCCGCCACCACCGCCGCCCTGCCACCGTAGCCGCCCTCCTCCAGGAACGGGAACTGCCTCCCTTCCTTTTGCTGGTGGTGGTAGTAGCCGCGGGAGAAGGATCCCAGCGGATGGTGGTCCTGCTTCTGGAGGAAGGGGAGGCCGTGCCCGTAGAGGGTGGCGTCCTCCTCTGCCTTCATGGCAGCCGCCGCCGCCGCCGCTGCCACCGCCCAATTGGGCTCCGGGGCAGCGGCGCCGCTGGGGAATATCGGCGAGAAGGAGGAGAACCTGCTGCTCCCTGCGCACCATCCACAACCAGACAGAGCTCCGTCTTCAGACTTGGATGACGTGAATGGAGATGAAAGCTGAAAAAAGAGGCGGGGGTGATGCAGACCCGGGCGGTCGGCGAAGAAACGACCGGTGTTGATGGCGTCCGCCGGCTGGGGCTTCCTCCGGCGCCGGTTGTGCCCGTCGAGCCGCTTCCGGCAGCTTCGCTTGACCTCGTCGAACTCCGCCAGCAGATGAAACCTGCGAGATGAGAAGATTTTTCTTTAGAAAAACAAAATATCATAAAACAGGAAGCACAGAGAATCCCTCCTCCACCTCATTCAATCCACCCAACTCTCTCCCTCTCTCTCTCTCTCTTGCTGTGTGTGTCTCCCTCTGTCACTGGAGTTGTCTGCCGACCCACAACCAAAAGCCAGAGTTTTCCAGTTCCAGAATTGGAAATGGATCATCTTAATCCTGCGAGGTGATGATAAAGACGGAATTTTTCGTGTAGTGATAGCATCGCAGAAGCCTTCAAGAAAGAGCAGACTCCGCCGCCTGATGTGGGGAAGATCCCACAAACTCGGGAACATTTAAAGCAAGTCCTAGTAATCCTACCAAGGTTGACCCATAATTAGCGAAGGAATATATATATATATATATATATATATATATTGGGCATGAATGGACGCCTTAAATTCTGTGGGATGGCAAAGAAATCATAGAACAAAATCATGGAGAGAATGATTGAATTGAATTGGACAGGCATCAATCCAAGACATGAGCAGGACCAGAATGCCGCATTTCCAAGAGAAATCGCCACAGTTTCCATCGCTCAGCAATCATAACAACACAAAAACTGCAAGATTGACAATGAAAGATGACATCTGATCTCAATGAGAGGGGAAAAAAAAAACAGCAAGAAAGTCAGAATTATCGTTCTTTACCTCTTGTTTTCTATGGTTGGCAGCCAAGAAGACTATGGATGGTCAGGCTGACAAGAGGCAATCAACATGCCTCTCTCTCTCTGTCTCTCTTTCTCTCCCTCTCTCTCTGTCTCTCCCTCTCTCTCTCTGTCTCTCCCTCTCTCTCTCTCTCTCTGTCTCTGTCTCTCTTTCTCTCTCTCTCTGTCTCTGTCTCTCTTTCTCTCTCTCTCTGTCTCTGTCTCTCTTTCTCTCTCTCTCTGTCTCTGTCTCTCCGTCTCTCACTGTCTCTCTCTCTCTCCGTCTCTCACTGTCTCTCTTTCTCTCTCTCCGTCTCTCACTGTCTCTCTCTCTCTCTCTCTCTCTCTCACACACACACACACACACACACACACACCCCCACCCACCCATAAGATCATTAAAACATTAAAGTGAAAGGATGTCAGGCCATGAGCTATTAAAGAAACGCAATTGGAGGTCACAGCTTCTGAGATTTACCCGGGAAAGCATCTGCCATCATCAATCTCAAGCGGCAAGGCTGGGCTGGGGCACCCTCCTCGCCTTTGCAGAAATAAGGAATAAATTTAAGAGATAAGGGTCCATGCGGCAGTAAGACCCTGAATAATGCCCTCCCAAAGATGCCCCAGAGAGCATGTTATCTCTCTAATTATAAAAACCACTTTGAATGCGAGCCTCTTGAAGTCAACTCAAAGACCCAATTCATGCCCCAGACGACGGTTGAGCCGATCAAAAGCGAAAGAGAGATGAACATCCTGATCCATAGAAGACCTCTATGGTTCCGATGGAGGATTAAACTAACCGGTAGCTGCAGATATTTTAGAGTACTCTAGAATCCGCAAAATAAACGAGCTGAAGGAATTATCTAATCCTTAGAAAATATTTGCAGGGAGGAAAATGGGAAGAAGCAGTGGAGTGAGTAGGGAGAGGAGTATCTGCCCAAGCAGAACAAAGAGTCACTGGTTTTGAGACCCTCAACGGTTGAAATAATTCCGACTCGGCAGCTCACTGTAATTCGTTAGCATCGGCGAAGGGGCTCAAGAGAAAGTACAGAAGATCATGAGACAACGAAAAAAGTTTGAAGATTTGGAAGCCCTGCTTGGATCACTTACTGAAATCACTGCACGAATTCCGGGCAGCAAACGGGAGTTCTTGGAGGTAAACAAACTGGGAAAAAGGAAGGACCATCGCTGAAAGATTTGGAAGCAGAGTTGAGGTTCTTCTTCTTCTTCTTCTTCTTCTTCAACAAATGGACCATCTCATGATTACTCACCAGTTTCAGAGGAGATTTTTGAAGAAACTAGAGTGGAAGAATACGATAAACCTTGCAGCAATCTCGTTACCTGCTACACTGCTGGCAGAATCGCTGCTCCTGGCCTTTCACCATCACAACGGGGGTCTTGGAGTGCACTTCGCAGACCTTGTGCCGCCTGTGGTACTCCCTGCAGTTGCTGAGGTCGGAGGTGCAGCCGTCCACCAGACAGGAGGCGTTCTGGGTGCCGCTGCTGAGGGTACGGGCCCGCTTCGACGAAGCCGATGAAGATACCGCCATTACCGACGAGCTCAGAGAGGAGACCGTCGTCGCCGTCGATCTCTCCGGCCGGTTCTTCCAGCTGTGGAATAACTCGAAGTTCCCCGAGCCCCCAAGCTTCAGGTCGACTGAACAGTCCAATGGGGAGGTCGCTAGCCGCCCGAGGCTACTGCTCGAGCTCATCAAGGACCCGAGGCTGGGCTCCCCGTCCCTTCCCAATTCGGTCAAGTCCCACGAGGGCATCTTCAGTTCCCACTCCATCTTGCCAACTACTCTCCTCCCCTTCCCTTGCTCGCTTCTCCCCCACTCTACTCCACCTTCTCCCTCACACAATATGCAGATTATGTAAGATCACAGGCACTGGATCCTCTTTTTTCTAATCAATCAATCCGTATCAGTGCAGTTATCGCCGAGTACAGCCGGAGCAATACCATAAAACCAGAAGCAATGCTTCAATGCCAGTAAGACCCAGAGGCGTGGGGATGGGTGAGGAGGACCAGAAAGGGTACCAAAGGACGGAGTTAAGAACCTGACTAGACGAGTTCCATCTGAAAACTCTCACAAAGATGACTCAAATGCGCGCGAGAGAGGTCCACACCAGACAGGACAGGGACCAGGGTTGGGAGAGTAATCCAGAAGAACCAAAACCCAAGAAAATCGAAGCTCTGTTTCCTTCTCCCGACAGACAATACAGCAGCCCACACAGCTCGAAGGGAACTCAACTCTCACCTTGAGGACGAGTAAGAGCTCAACACCACACAGAGCTAGCTAGTCCCCGCGGCTCTACAGCTCCAGAAATGAGAGAGAGAGAGAGATCGGGTGGGACGGGGGGAGATAGGGAAGAGGGCAATGATGATAATAAACTAGAGCCCCCAAAAGGCTAGGAAGTGGTCTGAGAGGACGGGGCTGTAGCAACAAGAGCAGCAGAAGACTGATTTGGGACTACTCCCCCCATTGAATTCCTGACATGGGATCCCATTTGGGTGCAGTAAATGCAAGGTGGGGGAGAAGACAACAGCGGCAGCCACTTTAGGCACTGTGCCCCCACTCTGGCGCAGGGTCAAGAACCATCGCCCTCGTCACATCCCTCGGGCAGCCACAGATAACAACCTTGCATAAAAATTTTCGGACAGGGGAGATGGCCTAGGGTTTCAAGTCCCCGAGGCCTAGGGCCGGAGTTATTGGAAGCAGAGAACTCGGGGAATGTAATAAAAATCCGGCCAGTCGTGGCGCCGGAGGAGCCTCCTCTGAAGAGACCGCTGCACCTCCATTGGTGTCCCGGTGATTTGCTTTTCCCCTCTTCCTCTCCGCCATTTCCCCACCCCCCTAGGGTTCTCCCCCCCTCCCCCAGTAAAAAAAAAATCCCCCTCACCTCCGGTGAAGATCCACCACCAGTTCAGTGCAAGCCGCGGAGAGAGAGAGAAAGAGAGCAAGAGGGAGAGCGAGAGAGAGAGAGAGGAGGGAGAGTAAGTGAGGGAGGGAGAGAAAGAGAGAGAGCAAGAGAGAGAGAGAGGGAGAGAAAGAGAGAGAGCGAGAGAGAGAGAGAGGGAGAGAAAGAGAGAGCAAGAGAGAGAGCAGGAGAGAGAGAGAGGGAGAAAGAGAGAGAGAGAGAGGGGCGGAAAGGGACAAGTGTTGTCTGGTCCTCCACCTTCCGACGGGAAGTACAGAGCAGAGCGCAGAGGAGGAAGAGGACGGCGGTCGATGGACGGAGCGGGGGAGGGCGACGGTGAATTATCCGCCGGAGCCTGTGCTTCACGCTTCTCTGACATGCTCCCCTCCACCCCGACGCCCCCCCCCCCTCCTCGTACGACCTCTCTCTCTCTCTACCATTCGTGTCTCACGAGTGGTGGCACCCGCCCGCATCCCGCTTTATTGTCTATTAATTAATTTCGTACTGCCTCGGAAAATAGAGAGCCCCTCTCCGAGAAAATGGCCCGCTTAATTTTCTCTGCTAATAAAAAAATAAGCCCTTTTATTTTATTCTATTTTGTAAAGTAAAAGGCCCAAAAAGGGAGGGATTTCCTATTTTCTGATTAACCGCTCCTTTTTTATGTGCAGCCGGGCCCGGGCTCCGCTCTTACCCGGACGGTCTCGGGCTTCGCTCCGTGGGAGTCTCTGCCTTCCGTAGGTTTCTTCACGTGCGTTTATTGGGCTCGCCCCACCACCGGCCCGACGCCAGCCGGGGCCCAGAAGGCCTGGCTCTGCTCACCGTAGTCATCCTAATCCGTACCATCCCTCTGTCACCGCCCCCTGTCCCCTAGAGTTGACCTTGTACAGTCACCAGCCATCACACGTGGTGGGCCCGTGCTTGAAATGGGGTGGGGCGGGGTGGGGTCACCGGCCCCAAATTAAACAAAAAAAACCCGTAGGTGGGGGGTTGGAGAGAGTAGCGACAGACGAGTTTCCCCCCCCCCCCCGCGGCACCGGGCCCGTGTTGGTTACTGACCGGTCCCTAGAATCAGTACGGGACACCCCCCCCCAGTGCAAGGAGAGGTGGGTACCTTTTCCCTGACAATGACCGATGCCGGCGTCCACCAAGCCGACGTATGGCAGCGAAAAGTCCATCGATCCAACGTATGGCCGCCCGATAAGCTCCCCCGCGATTTGCCGCTTCATCAGAAGAAAAGAAGAATGTTCTCATCCCATCTCCGCCGTCCATCGACGTTGGGACTCCCTGATTAATCATAACCCGCGGGGATTGGGACCGCGGTCGGAATCTGACAATTCATCACGTAGCTTTACGCCCCTAACTAGAGTTTACCTCGTTAGGCGTGCACGACGCTCTAGCGTGTAAAAGTACAAAAAGAGTACCATTTCAATTTTTTTTACACGTGGGCTGACGTCAAGTGGACACGTGGAAGTAAAAGCTGACATCGCTCGCTGACGAGCTCGCACGTACCCGGAAGCCGACCGCGTCGATCTGGACCGTTCAAGGGGGTGATAAATGACTAGATCAACGCTCACGCGACAGGACGATGGGCTAACTGGCAACGGCCACGTAAGGAGAGGACAGAAAGAGACAGCAGCAGCGTCCTCTTAGACAACTCGCTGCGGGGACATATACATTTACACATTTACCCTTCTCCCCAAGGTCCCCACTTGTCAACGGCATCTTCTTCCGTGAACCCACGAGGGAAAGGAAGGGCGGAAGGTGGGCCCACCTGTCCATCTGTCGTCCGTCGGAAGTCGTCTTGTCTCTACGCCGTCGATTCCCTATCCTACAGAAGGGGAGGTGGGTTGGTGGGTGGGTCCCAAGTCAACGCAAGGATCACCGATGACGGCGGAAATAGTAAGTGGGCAGCTCGAGCCTCTCACTTTCGACTGCATGGCCCTCTGGCTGAGGGAGAGGTACTGGTTGGGGTGGTTGACTCCGGAGTCGCAGGAAGTGCCGTGGACGGCCTCAAAGGTCAGCGTGCACGCCAACTGGAGCATCCCCACGCACGTCTCTCATTAGGGGGAAAAAAAAGTCAACGGAGAAGGGAGGAGGGTCGACGACCCAGATGCATGCCTGGTAGTGCCGATTCCGGACCCTCTCCATCACCTCTTCCATCGGGCGCTCCCCCACTCCCATCCTCCTCAGGGCCGCCCTCAGATTCTCCTCACTGCAAATAAACAGGGCATTAAGACGAAGAAGAAGAAGAAGAAGAAGAAGAAGAAGAAGAAGGAGAAGAAAAAGAAGACCTGAAATTGCGATATGGGCAGCCGTGGTGATCGCCGGTGCCCGGGGTTGACGAGATTATCTTCTGGCATGAATACGGTGTATAATCCTGGAAAATAAAGAAGAAAACTATGGTTATATGATTATTTCTCTAAGGGGTGGGGAGGGTCAACGAAGAGGGGTGCCCACCGTCCTCTTCCCCTCTTTTCCGTAGTTGTGGCGTATGCTGTATGCGTACTCCTTGTCGAACCTCTCCGAGCCGACCTGACAGTCGAAGAACACTGATGGGCGGTTGACTTTTTAAAAGAAAAAGACGAGAAAAACGGTTCTTGGAAGGTCAAACAGGCTTACATTCTGTGAGAACTCCGCCCTCCAAAACGCGAGGGCATCGTCCAGGCTCAAGCCAACACCCTGCAGAGAAATCAGGGCCCCCTAAGAGACGCAAGAACACCATGGTTTCTAGAATAATAGTACCCTGGAGCTCGCTGATCGTTGCTCAGCTCATTAATGTTCTTGGGAAGATGAGAGAATTAGACAAAGTACAGAAGGGTTCCGGCACCTTGAGGAACAGCCCCAGTTGCATCCTCCCCCCATGCTTCAGGTGGTGGGTTTCTCTCAGCTGTACGTTTAGAATCAGAGAAAAGATGATCAGACGTAGGTAGGGGAGGAAAGGAAGAAGGGTGATGCTGCGATGTGTGTCGAGATCCTTCACCTTCTCAAACAGGTGACGCATGCATAGGGGAAAGGAGCTGTTGGCCACCTGATCAATGTCCTTGAGCGATATCTCAGTAGATTCCTTGGGCTAAAATCACAAGTTTTGAACACCGTGAATGGCTCTAGTTTTTCACAGTAAATCATGCATAGTCTTGGAAGCTCGACCGAGATACCTGAGAGTAGTCCGGACCCAGGTAGCTCGAGCTCATTGCCTCTACAATCTGATGATAATGGGTGAGTTACAGAGAAATCATCAAGGTTGTATTGAGAGGTAAATACAGGGAATGGACCGTAGAAAGAGTTGTGTTGAACTCACAGGAGTCAGACGATCCTTCTCTTGGTCTCTAATCGAAGACATCCACTTCCTGCAAACTTTGTATATGATGAATTTTCTGGTATGAAATATCGAATCCTCAGCAGTTTATAATCCCTTTCTAAACATAGAAAGATACGTGTTATTTACCATCATGGTTCACTCTAAGGTGAAGGGCATGTATAGGGGACTTTCTCAAGAGTCATCTGCCTGATCACACCGCAGTCTTAAGTTCTTCTCAAGTCTTAATGTCTTTGACAAATGAGAATACCATCATAGGCCTCTTCGGCTAAGCGCTCCTTCCTAAACATGCTCTTCTTGTAGCTCTGGGGTTATATACTACAGATGTCTTACAAACGAAGTACTTTCGAGAATATTCCATGAGCCATTTTGACGACTTCTCTGCTTCCTCATTTCTCAGTGGAAGCTTCCTTCCAGTCATGATTATGCCAGGATCTACTGATCATCAGATCGTGATGATTTCATCTTAAGCATGTTGACCTCGACGACTCTGATCATTCACAGACGTCAATGATTGAAGCTCGGCAAAATTTCGAAGACAGGGGTGACGCATACAGATTTAAGTCAACTCAATGTCCTATTGTTTGCATTCCCAGAGAGAGAACCCGCATGCAGTATTTGTTCTGTGATTTCGTCAAGGGACTAGATTTTTCTCTCTACACATGAGATTGACAAGTTGCGGCTTTTTACCAGAGAACTTCTGTCGGGCACATCATTCTTCTTGCCCGAATAACTATAGTAGACATTCGATTTTAGCATTGTAATTATTCGCACGCATTTAAAAAAGTTCAAAGCCATAGACAGTTCTAAAATTTGATTCGTAGTTTTGGAGTTAGGGGAACAGATATGATTGATTTTGATAGAGGAATTTTTTCATGCAGGCAACACGAGTGTTCTCTCGAATGACACAGTAGGACAGCCGAGCTGTCGTAATGACATCCATTCTAGAAAAACTGACCAAGTCCACCGATTTCTGTCAAATTTGAAAAATATAAGGTTGCAGTTTTTTAAGATTGAAACCTGATAAAATTATAATTCAGTTCGCATGGATGTCCCATCACACTATTTTTTTTTTTTCCATAACAACAGTCGAAATGACAAGAACTTGTAAGGCAATGAACTCTAGATAACACTTCTAGCCAAATAAGCGGAAGGACAATCCAAATTAACAATAAATCAAAGAACATTTATGACCTGTTTGTAAGTACTAGGGCCTTTGAGAGATGGCTACGGAATTGTGTCACAACAAGGGATGCCACCTATTGAAATAAAATATAAAAAAACTGAATATCTTCAAAGGGAGAAAAAAAAACAAGAAAAATGACCAGCGATAGAGAAGTTGCTCAAACGCATACCTGGTTCATAGCGACATAAGCATAACCCTTTTGAATAAATACCTTTCGAGTGGCAACCAGCTCTGGAACCTCCTCGAAATGTACCTGTAGAAAGGAGACAGTTAAAACAATGTATCAGCTAACCTTAAAATTGTATAAAGATGAAAGGCACAAGGTATAAGTAACTGACCTTAAAGAACATAGAATCAGCTGCAAAGCAAGGAGAGAGGAGAAATATTGACGTCAGTCTAACGAAATAATCAGTTCAAAGAAGTACTTACAATGACTAGATTTTCCGGATTAACGAAATATTTACGTCAGTCACTTATATTTACAGTTCAAAGGTTTTCTCCTATTGGAAAATGTTTAGATATTGGAATAAACTTGCATAGTCTGCATCGCAGATCTTCTATCAAACATAGTGGAGATGTTTCATTACGGAAAAAATGTAAAACCCATGGTCAGAACTTACAATGAATTAGCAAATCCCAGTACCACTGATGGCATTTTCCCTGCGGCATCATCTTTCAGGGGGGTTTCTAGCGCCAAAAAACAATCTAAAAAATCTGGAAGCATGAATAACGACACTTTAAAGTTCCGAGAAGTACACCTAATTATGCTTTTTCATCTTTATTTATGAAAGCCCAGGACGAAACTCTAGTCCCAAAAAAAATCACAAGAGGATTGAATGTATGTTGTCATGACGAAGTTCGAGCCTGAGTAATCAACCATATCAACCCGGGAACATTCATCAGGCTATTTTATTGTCTCGAGAGATCCTCCAGTGGAGAGAATAGTGTGCACGGGTCCCAGACATCAGTGAGAGGTTGTTAATCCAGAAAGCGAGAAGGAGAATTTGGCCACAATAATGTAGCACATTGTTAGAAGTCAAGTAGATCTGGAGTGCTATCATTGAAACACGAAATCAACAAAATAAGTCAAAGATCCCATATTTCAGAGCTTTGATTATAAACAAGTTATGGTATGGCAAACTCTTTCCATTAAACTCGACTGTTTAAATTGAGATGATCAGCGGTATACTTCACTTTTCGTGTACTTGCCGTGGGTATTTGCTAAGATATGCCGTAGGGGCCTAAATGATATTATTTCACCGTTCATTTCTTTTATCTTATCCTGGTATTTTGCGACGTAACAATTAGTTAGGTTTCCTAATTCATGCTAGTGACTAAATTAATACTGAAAATAAATAAAATAAACAAAAACTTAGCAATTGGGTAATGCATCTTGAAATGTAGAAGAGTGCATGAGGAATGGAAATTTTATCAAAGAAATTGAAAATTATAATTTCTTTTGCAAGAAATCCGGTAGCGATGGTCATTGGGTGGCTGGTTGAGCCGACTTGTTGAGACAACATGCAATAAATGCAGTCCTTCAGATACAACAATGAATATATAGGTAAACGTACTAGAATTTTTTTTTGGTAATGAGTCGACATTTTAACTGAGTACCGTTGTGAGGCAGGCCAATTGAGCGTGCAACCTGGCTAAGCTCTTCCTTCACACCCTGTCAAATAAAAACAAGGAAATAATGGTTTGTAAATCGAAGATCATAAGCGTCTATAACAGGTTCAAATGAACACATGATCTCCTCTATGAACTAACCTCATACTCGGCATGACTGAGTGGTTTGTAAGGAAGGTTAAAATCGGTCATAAGCGCCCTCTAGATATCCAAGATATTGATTTGTTAGAAACAAGCATTCAAAAAGATTTATCAGGAGACAACGTCGTCTCACCTGCGATTCTGAGCCTTCCAGACGAAAGCGATATCGGAAAAGCGTGGTTTCCATGGAAAGAAACCATTTCCTCAGGTCTTCACTAGGAAACCAAAGTCAACATAATTCTTTGTTAAAATAAATAAATAACGGCGAACGGAGAAAAGTCATAGGTAAGGTGAATGAGGTATTACGTTCTACAATACACGAGACGAAGCACAAAATGCGAAATTATGTCCTTATTCATCACTTCATTGGCATCTTGATGCCTCATGTTCACTCGCCAAAGCTCACTCACCTGCATTAAACAGCGATAAGACCGCAAGAACGGCATTCTGGGAGAACATCATTCGTCGTCACACTAACTGGTAGCTTACCAATTTTTCCATTTCGTCGGGTTTCTTTCCACGCGATAACCCGTCAGAAATCCCTTTAAGCACTGAACCGAACAAGGGAATTAAGAAAAAAATCACTTCAGATTCAGATAAAAGGGCAATTGATCGCGATCCATTTAACCCTAAGGAACTAGGATAACTCGGAAAAACCCGGATCCCTGCTTCCAGAAAAAAACCGAGATTCGTCAAACAGAGATAAGGCAGTAAGATTGTACCTCGAAGCCGGTCAATAGCATAAAGTTCGAACTCCTCGAGTCGCACCTCCAGGGAGGGAGCAGAGCGATAGAGCGACAACGCGGGGACCGAATCTGCTGCTGCCGCAGTAGACTTCCGATTGGATCGCACGATCTCCATTCTTCCGTCGAGGAGTGAACAAGAGCAACACGAAGAAAACCACAGCGCGCGCGCGCGAGAGAGATAGAGAGAGAGAGAGAGAGAGGAGCGAGAGAGCCGGCGACCCTGGCGATGGCGGGCTGGAAGGAGGGCGAGGCGGGAAGGTTTTCCCGCCCTTTTAGATGGTAGTCTCTCTTTCGTATAACGCGCCTCCGTTCTCTCTCTGTCTCTCTCTCAAACAAACGACGACCTTGTCACGTGAGAATCCTATATTGGGCGAAAGATGGCCCACAAATCCAGCGAGAGAGAGGCTTCCTTCCACCCTTTGATGAGTGGACTAAAGTTTTCAGTGGACTTCCACCATCGCGCAATCGCCACCGTCGATAGACTTGAAACGAAGACTCGAAATCTGTTGCTCAGCGAGGGTTTAAACACCATTCTCTCTCTTTCTCTCTCTCCTCTCTCTCTCTTTCTCTCTCTTTCTCTCTCTTCTGTGTCTTCAGCTCCGGCGAGCGTAGGATCTCACCGTCTTCTGACCCGGTCGGGGTCCATCTTCTCGGTGACTAGGTCGACCAGAGCTGCCGATCTCTCTCTCTCTCTTGTGGAGGGATCCGATGTCCTTGCTGCATTCTCTTGCTTGTCTGACCATCATGCTGGTTTCGGGGCAGGGTCGGAAAACAAATGGAGGCCGGGGATGGGGAAGAGGAGTTGACTGCGCAAGAGACAGCGGTATACGATCGGCAGATACGTGTGTGGGGCGTGGACGCGCAGAAGAGGTGCGTCTCTTGCTTATTTCGTCAGCTCCGACATCTTTGTCAATTGGAATCGCCGGAGAGGATACCAGTGTTTTGCCCCCGAATTGCTGCGAACGCCGTATAATGTCCCTGGCTTTTCACGGACGTCGCCCTCGTACACTTGTTTGTCACCCGTCCTAGGTCGCTTCTGATTTCTTTTTGGATGTTTTCAAGGTTGAGCAAGTCGCATGTCCTGGTTAGTCGAATTACTGGTGCCGCTGTCGAGGTGAGTAATCAATTTGTAGCCAATGCTAAAGTCTCTTCCTATATTGAATTGTGATCTTTCGTGATTTTTCAAAATGGGTTTTAAGCAAGAGCAGTGTCCATGACAGAAGAACATCGAAATGCATAGGAGTCAAATCCTTTGAATCCCATTTGCTAATATTATCAATTGGTAATGTGCATGTATAGATATGTATGTATTTGTGTACGTCTCATAGATGCTGAAGTAGGAGCCCTATTGTAAAATACGATTGCTACTTGAGAAATATACGTTCTTAACTTAAATAAACTGCACAGCTTTCTGTTGGTGACACTTTCGAAATATACTTTTTCCGGTTGGATATTTTATTTCAACGTTTTCCTAGTCATCTCCCTATTGGTTGTTATAAAAACTTCATCTGGAAGTTAACTCTTTCATGTTACTGTAGTTTTGCAAGAACGTTGTTCTAGCTGGAGTTGGAAGTGTAACCCTGATGGACGACCGTACTGTGACAGAAGATGCAATTCAAGCAAATTTCTTAATTCCTCCAGATGAGAACAAGTGGAAAGAGAGCTCCATTGCGAAACTCTGCTGTGATTCTTTGAAAGAGTTCAACCCAATGGTCAATGTTTCAGTTGAAAAAGGCAAGCTATATTTGTTCATCATCTGTTTCGGTGTTAGACAGTGGTTTTGATTTTCATGCTTTACAAAGAAAAATGATTTGCAAAATAATATTCTAATGGTCGCAAATGTAAGTAGAAAGAAATGATCCTGTCTCGACTTTCTCTTCTCCCGAAAAGAGTAGACATAATATATTGGATTTGGTGCTTTGCATAGCCGATGAACAGGAGTTACCCTTGTTGAATGATGAGGATTTGGCTTCCATTTCTGCAGAAAATATCCTTACCAGTGCCAATACATGTGGGTGTTGCTTCATGCTTAGAATGAGCTATCCTGATCTGGGCACAGGGCTGTGGATTTTTAGTTTTTAGTGATCAGGGAAAAACTGTTAGAAAAGTGAACATACAACGTGGCTTTCTTGATTGAACACTGACGGACTGCGAATTCTAGTTAGTGTTCTGAAATCAAATCCAAGTTTGAGAATTAGATGGGTTAAAATTCAAATATTCTCTGCACATCTTATGGTTAATCTTCTGTTCTGATCTCATGCTTTTGATTTTTTTTAATTCTCCCTCGTAGATCAAGGTTGGGTTGGGCAACTTAGTATCACCTTAGAACTCAGAGAAGTGAAGATACAGTCAAATAATATGTCTAAGTTGCGACTCGTTCTTCTCCATTCCAACTCGAACAAGATTATACATAAATTTATTTTAAAAACATTTCTTTTGAAAAACAATCCTTTCTTCAGAAGGTTATCTAATGTGAATGTGTAACAAAGATTATCATCTTGAATCATCAATCTGGATTTCGAATCAGTTAAGGTTGGACCTGATCTTAAACCTCGCTAGATAGCTACGTCAAATGTCGAAACTGTCCTTGCAGAGTGTTTTTTACATGCTAGTGCATGTGGCACGAGTTGCTGGTGGATTAAATTTTCATCAGAGCTCATATTTTCTGGGTTCTTTCTTACTATCATATTGCAGGTTAACTTATTAATTGAAAAATAGCTTGTAAAGTGCTTATTGCACTTGGTTGAGGACAGGTTGAATACTTTAGTGTGATAATGTTTATTGCCGGTAGACTCCAGATGCCATGGATTGTCTTCACGCATTTTATCATGTCTTCAGGACTATATTTAGGTCACTGTTTTTTGAAATTTATGCTACTTTTTGTTGTTTTCAGGTGATCTGGCAGATTTTGAAGAAGAGTTCTTTGACAAGTTTGATGTCATAGTTGTTAGCTCTTGTTCTCTTGCTAACAAAGTATGGACTCTTCTCTCCCTCAGTACTGCCAGTATCCTATTTGACAACAGAATGATATAATTTTTTTGTTTTTGTTGAAACGTATATTATTTTCCATCTTTTTGGCTGTCTGCATCATTCTCAACATTTCTTAACCTTGATCTATTGCATAGAATAAGCTCAATCACAACTTGCGGTTTCTCTGCTTCTCACAGAAAAAAATTAACAACAGATGTAGAAGGAGACCAAAGCGCATTGCATTCTATACGATTGACTGTAGGGGCTTATGTGGTGAAATATTTACTGATTTGCAAGACTACACATATGGACAGGTAATATTCTTCATTGACCTAGTATTGCTACTTTCTCATCTGTAATGATGTTGTTTACTGGACTTATTGCGGACTTAACTTTATCAGGCCAACAGATTGCTGAATGTATTCATAGAAATGGGAAAAACATATGAATGTTTAATTTTTTCTTTAGTTCTATAGTTTCATGTGGTGGTTAAAATAAATGTACATTTCTGAGTGAATTTGTATTTATTATTTATTGGTGAGAAGTTTTTTTTCAAGAATGACAATGTCATTTTTTTGTAAGGGGTAGATTTCGTTCTAATGCTTGGGGTGTTGGAATCATGTCTGAACCAATTTTGCAGTGGGGGGGGGGATCTGATCCACACTGGCATATATGTGGGTTTATATTTTTGTATAATATATTTAAAACAGGCACCAAATTGGACCAAATCTATCAATTTTTGGTTCGAACTGTTTGATTCTGGAGTAAAAGCAATCGACTGATTGACCGACTTGACCCAGCATCACTCAGATTGGGCAGTTTATGGCAGGAGTGCTGCCGAATAAGAGTATGGAAATGGTTGTCGGTAGTAGAGCACATAAGAAGAGGGAAGGCAAAGGCAGAGAAAGAAGAAGAAGAGAAAGGGAGGGAAAATAAACTCACCTGGAGACACTGCTAGTCTTCTTCTGCTGTTTCCAATCAATATCACCTTATTACCTTCTGGCAGAACTGCATTAGTGATTGGATTTTTCTCTCCTCTCAGGATGGACTACACCACGATTTGCCCAGTTTTTTAAATTCTTCGTTTGTTTTGTAGTTTTAATATCTACACAGAAAATATCTCCAGAAGAATTCCTAGCAAAATTATCAATCTTGGCATTTATTTTACATGGCAGATTAGTTTTAAAAAAAATCATGACGGCGATGATGATTGTCTTCTTGGAAGATCTAGAATATTTTCTGGTTAAACTGTGCTGTTTTTCATTTCAATTGATTTTTTTCTGTTTGAAATATACTCAGTTTTTTCTTTTCTTGGTTACAAACTTTTGATGGTCAGTTTTTCGGACATATTTTTGGAGGATTGAGTTTTTTTGCATTATGTGGAGTTTCAATTTGCATATAATCTCACTTGTGTTTGTTTTCAACTTGCCAGAAGAAACCTGATGGTGCCACAGAATCCGAAAAGAAGTATCCTAGCTTTGAGGTATTTCCTTCAGCGTAAAAAATTATTTAATATTTCATTTTCATTCTGCTAGCCTGCAATTTCACAAAGTTTAGGACTTCTTATTTTATTTTCCTATGGATCAATATTTATTGATCAGTCTTTAGCAAACAATGTTTATCTTAAGATTTTGTACATAGAACACTGTTAATCTACCACAGTGGAAACGTCCGCACATTATTGTTTGTCTTTCTGACTTATTTGTGGGACGGCACATTAATCTACCACTGATAGTTTTGCATTCTCGTGAGAATTTTATTCTTTCATTAGATCGATTGTGGAGGTATCTGGTAGGATTCTATCCCCCAGCGACGAAAGCTAGGGTAGAATGAAAGAAAAGAAGGGGAACTAACAGATTCAGATAGAACAGAAAGGAAAAAAAAAGCTACACAGAGTCCAAACAGAAGGGGAAGTGGTTTGAGAAGCTTCCCCATCCTCTCCCAGACTCTTCCGAGTCCTAAATGTTTTCTCTCCTCCAAAAGAAATGTCCCCCTCGTCTGTCCGAGGGGGTCTTAATACCCTAACCTTACAATGACCTATTTGCCCCTCTCGTCCCCTTACTTCCCTACCCATTTGCCGTCTTTTTCTGTCTTCGGCTATAGGTCTTCATTGGAGCCTTATCAGTATCCACTTTCAAAAAGATCCTGTATTTATTAATGCTCTTCAGATGTGCACTTCTTTATTTGTTATTACAGTTTTTTCTTTAGCTTGCATGTTGATACACGAAGAAATTTTGTTATTTTTTTTATTCAGGAAGCAATTTCACTTTCTTGGCGAAGCCTTCCAAAGAAAGTAGCAAAACTTTTTTTTGCATTGCGAGGTATGTTCTGACTCCAATTATGCTATCCCAATTTTGGATCCATTGCTAGGAAGGCTTTAAGGTCGGATGTTTTTGGTTGTATGCTACATTTCGTTGTATCCTACTATTATAGTTTGTCAAATCTTTGGAACATTGTTGCTAGTGCGCTTTCTGGATTTGAAGCGGTTACAGAACTATGCTTATGCTTTGTATTTTCATTTCCTCTAATGGAAATGACCTGAAATTGTCCTTCTATTTACACCTCATACACCAAATTCTTATGATCTGTGTGTGTGATCTTCATATTTGTTTATCTTTCTTGTTCTCTTCATATGGAGCGGTGTGATATTTACCTACTATACGAGAGGTTTGTAAATCGGATGTTAAATGATGGGATTGACAATGTTACTCTCATCGTCTGTTGATACTTAGGGCGAAGATAGATTGTCCGTGGAAAAGACTTGTTTAGTTCAATGAAGATCTATTTTCAACCATTTCGTATTCATCTATCCATAGGTCGAGGTTGGTATGTAGCACTGTTAGCACCTAGCATTTCAGTTTACCCTGTCTGGTTACTATTAACTTCATGCTCCAAAATTGCATAATAGCCTTGATCGAATACTTCCAGAATGGCTACTTAGCTGGATTTTATCTTTCTTTGGTCTTTATCAACCATTCATTTAGTCATACACACCATAATATTTTATTTTATTTAACAAATATCCTGCCATAAAGAGGGTTAAGTATCTTTTAATAAAAAGATCAGTAAAAATCATTGTACGTATAAGGCATTATTTGGTCTTTTATGCATGGAAATATTTCAGGGAAAGGAACAGGTGAACGGATGTAGGGAGAAAGGCTTTTACTTTTTAGTTTTCTTTCTTACACTTTACCCTCCCATATTTCCTTAACTGCAGTAATTGAAAATTTTGAACAATCTGCTGGACGCAAACATGGAGAGATATCAATGTCAGATCTGCCGGATGTTTTGACTCTGCAGAAGCAACTGTGTGAGGCACAGGTAGCTTTCTCATTTCTAGCTTGTTCTTCAATCCATTTTTGCTCATTCTGACCTTAATTTGGTAAATGACAGTCGTTGAGTGAATCTTTCATTCCGGCAAGTGTTCTGGAACGTTTGCTTGCAGCAGGTGCTCGAGAACATCCCCCTGTATGCGCAATACTGGGTGGAATACTTGGCCAGGTACTTCCAAAAGACCATCCCTGGTCATTCCTGCATTAGGGTTACTTCCAGATCCAGCTTGCCTCTTTGTATTCTGCTCTTATGGATCACTGCTTAATATGATGTTCTCCTTGACCATGGCCAGTTAAATCTTTTGCTTTAAAAGTCAACGGAGCTTGTCTTCATAGAAATATGGCCAATTGGGTTTCTTAGTCTAGATCGCTGTTTTATCTAGGAAATTTTATCTGCATTATTTGAGAACTTTTGCTAATATTGGCCGGGCCGGGCCTGCAGATCATTGGCGTTAAAACGCCGTAGCCCGTTTATCTCCAGGCCAAGTCCAACCCATAATTAGCAGCAATGAAGAAGAAGGAACTAGGAATGATACCTTTCTTGCGTGGGTTTTTAGGTTTATCTCCTCTAAGATTCTCTGAATTTTAGCGGCACACCCCTTCTCTTCTTTGCTATTAACCCCTAAAACGTATTTACTCTTACAAATAAGCCCTAAAACTTGTGAAGAGGGTGCTGGGTGTCAATTGGACCCTGGGTTTCTCTGGATACGATGTAGTATCAAAGAAACTATATGTAATATGAAAAAACTATGGTCAATATTCAATTCGGGGCTATCTACAGGGGGCTAGAACAGAAAGACCCGTATTTTTCTCACACATCGTGTGCCATTTGGCTCGTTGATGATTGCTGCAGTTTCCATGATTTTGCTTTGGAAATTTTTCTAGGAGGTCATAAAAGGAATATCTGGAAAAGGAGACCCAGTGAAAAATTTCTTCTTTTTCGACACCACGGACGGCAAAGGCATCATAGAGGACATCTCCGCTGCAGACTGATCGATCATCTCCAGCCATTGACGGTGTAAATTGCTCCAACTAGTGCTGCATCTGGTATGGATCCCATCCTAATCAGCGATGCAATGTGCTCAATGTATCAATATTTATGTACAAGTTTCTCATTTTAGTCTGATAACCATATAGTTTTAGCCCATATTTAACATAATATCATGCTTCTTCTATCATGTTGTGCTCTGTTTCTAGCACACAGTGATTTATTTCATAAATGCGGTAATTTTGTGGGTTGGTTTCTCGTTTTATCCCATATTTAGCATAATAACCTGGCTCTTGTGTCATTTTATCATATGAGGGTATTCATTCTAGGTAGATGATCATATGATTCTATCCCAAATACAACCATCATGAAATGACAGAAACTATAGGGTTCATCTTAGGATTATCTCCAGATTATGGTGGGCTCCTGGGTTTCTCCTCCCTTCTGTCGCTGGTCTCTGTCGTGGTCGCCAGCCAGTCCTTGCCGGGCTGGCATGGGAGGAGGGGCAGAGGGAGGGGGGTTGACCCCACTTTCCCCATTTATGGGAAAGGGGCAAGCAGTGGCGGCCAAGGGGGACTTGAATGCCACTCCGGCGGCCATTGAGACCAGCTGAAGAAATGTGCCTATGGTTCATCGGAGCTGGTCGTCTTTTAGGTTGCTGTTTTGATTCGTGGGTTTTCTACTTTAGCCCCAGCCCAGATTAGGAAAAAAAAGGTGTCGTCTTTCTTGCCATGGTGGGAAGCAAGTTTAGTGTGATTTCATTCGGAGAATGGCAATATTTCTTCTCTCTCTCTCTCTCTCTCTCTCTCTCTCTCTTGCCAACCAGAGATGATGTTTGTAGAAGTGACAGTTTAGACAACGAAGATTACAGCGTGGATTAGATTTGGGCTTGCAATTCAGAGAGAGAGAGACAGATAGGATAGGCTCGTTCATCGCCATCCACATCTGATACGGAGGATTTCTGCCACATACTTGTGTTTGAGGGTTGAGGTAGAGAGAGAGAGAGAGAGAGAGAGAGAGAGAGGGGGGGTGTCGTGTTGTATTTTATTCGCGTGAAGTGTCGTCATCTCTGCCCTTTATCCAGTTGGACGTCTCTTAGAGAGAATTAGACTTCTTTTGTTGGGTAACGCGTGAACATGCTGTCGGTCCCCCACAGGTTCGGCCCAGTCCCCGGATTCCCTGCCAAAGCTACAGACAGCTGCTTCCCCATCAAAACTCCTCCCCCCTCTCTCTCTCTCTCTCTCTCTCTCTCTCTCTCTCTCTCTCTTCAGTTATTAGACTACCAGAATGAAAGAGGATAAAGCGTAACTAAGTGATTGAGTTTCTTACTCTACTGTTGGACTCTCTCTCTCTGCCCCCAATTTTCTCTTAATTAGAAATTAGATGAAGCCCTGATATGTTCATACGGCAAACATTGCCACCTCACTCCTTCTCCCTCTCCCTCTCTAAATATAAATATAAATAAATAACTAAAAATAAAAAAATATACATATATATACGTCAACTCTTAATGTGAAAGCAATGGGATAAAATAAAACTGTTAGATATCCCTCTGTTTATCCACAATTTCTCTCTCTCTCTCTTTCTTACACACAGACAGGCAGACAAGCGAACTTAGAGATGAGATCGCAAGCACCAAAGAGGCTCAATGACCCCACAACCACCCCCCATCGCCCCTCGCTGTCCGGTGAGAGGCGAGGTAGAGGCCAAGCTTCTTCATTTCAACGGAGGTGGTGGATCGTCCCCAGCCCCACCTCACGACTTCGGAGGCGTCTAGAGAGAGAGAGAGAGAGAGGCAGACACTCTAGCCCTTGCGAAAATAAAGGCTCCAGTCTTATAATTCTTCTGATCTCATCATCTTCCTACCTGTGGGAGAGAGAGAGAGAGAGAGAGAGAGAGCCTGCCGTGGTTCGGTGAGCTTGATTTTTTCAGTTAATTAATCGATTATTCTCCGTCGATATCAGACGTGGAGGGATGTATATATACAAGTTGGCAATCTTCACTTCACCCGTCATTCATCGCCGGAGAGGCTTCTCGTGGAGGTGATGTCTCCTCCCCCCGATGATGTCTTCCGGGGAGGACCCACGGGGGGAGAGCGGCAGAGCTCCGCCAATTCCTCGCCGGAGTTCGAGTTCTGGAGGGCCCGCGATCCCTCCGCTGTCGAGCCCCCCCTCCTCTCCGCCGACGAGCTCTTCCTCGACGGCGTCATCCTCCCCCTCCGCCTCCTCCGCCACCCCGCCGCCCCCCATCGGCCGCCGGCGAGTACCGCCGCCGCAACGGTCAGCTCCGCGGCGGCGCTGGGCCCCTCTTCTTCTTCCTCCGCCGCCGCTGCAGGAGCGTCCTCCTCCAAACGGTGGCGGGACATCTTCCGGGTGCCGGCGTCGGAGAAGAAGGCTGGCGGCAGCGGCGGCTTGTCGGAGCTCAACATAAACCTGTGGCCTTTCTCCAGGAGCCGCTCCGCCGGGAACGGCGCCGGTGCCGGCAAGGACGGGCCCGCCGGCGCTGCGCGGAGGGTGAGCAGCGCGCCGTGCTCCCGGAGCGGCTCCCGCCGTGACAGGGAGCTCTCCTCCTCCTCCTCCCCCTCCGCTGGCGCCGGCGCCGGCAGGAAGTGGGCGGGCAGCGCTCCGTGCTCGCGGAGCGGCTCTCGCCGGGAGAGGGAGCCCTCCTCCTCCTCCGCCGCCGCCGCCGCCGCCAGGCCGCCGCCGCTGCCGTCGACCGGCGGCGCAGGGAGGAAATGGGCGAGCAGCCCGAGTCGGCAGGGGCTCGCCGGCGGCGGCGGCGGCGGCGGTGGGGTGCACGTCCGGCGGGTGAGCCCGGTGTGGCGCGTTCGGAGGGGCGGTAAGAAGGGCCATGGCGAGAACCAGGGGAGCCACTTCAACCTAAAGGCCTTCTTCTCCAGAAAGCTGTACATATGATGAGCATGAGTGAGATCGCCATTGATACAAGGGCAGGTGGTAATGTAATCCTTCCTCCCCTCCCTCTCTTTCTCTCTCTCTCTCACTCTGTGCAGACGTCACCTGGACTGTAGATCTGAACTTCACTCTGACGGAACAGTTTTTTCCCTCTGACTCTGATCAAGATATTAGTACATTCTTCTTCTTCTTCTTCTGTACTGTTCACGAACAAAAGAAGGTGGGGGGGGGTCCTTCTCAAAGAATCCGGAACAAAACTTGCGGAAGGGGACTGGATAGAACACGCATCAATGGGGTGAGAGAGAGAGAGAGGGAGAGAGAGGGAGGGAGAGGGAGAGAGAGACAGAAAGGGAGGGAGAGAGAGAAAGGGAGAGAGAAAGAGAGAGATAAGAGGAGGGAGCGAGAGAGAGAAAGAGAGAGAGAAGAGAGGGAGGGAGAGAGAGAGAGAGAGGAGAAAACAGTGTGGAGGTAAAAAACCGGTGTAGATTGGGCTGGGCCCATTTGCTTTCCGGGCTAGGTCTTGAAAATGGGCCAGGAATATTTCTCATCTTAGGAAGAACACCCCGGACATTCTTATATGAAAAAAACACCTCATAGTTATAAACGTTGTCTACTTACCCTCCCCCGAGGGGCCCTATGGGTCGACATCTGAGTCGGACGACGCGTAGGCGACAACTGACAGCGACCCCGAGTCCTGACTGTCCCTCAGTTAGACTTCAATTTCAAATAATTTTCGGGCATTCACAAAAATCCATTCGAATATAAAGGACTTATATAAAAATACATCTAAAGTATCGTCGTATTAAGGCAACCAATAATGGGCTCTAAACCCCCCCCTCGGTAGCCCATTTAGGGCCCAACACGTTGGCGGCCCACCTGCGGCAACAGACGACCACCACTCGTGTATATATATATATATTGACATCATCTTCTCTCTCTTGAGAAGCACCTGGAAGTAGAGAAGAGTTACAGCAAAGATGTGGTTTCTCTCTCTATGTACTTTTCACACCTGTCGCAGGGCATCTGAGAGTGTTTGGAGAGAGATGGCTGGGCTAGCCAGGATCTAACCTAAATCTCTACAAAATTCAGTCACCAGTCGCAGGAGGTAAAGGGCGTTGACTTATTCGGTTCCAATGGAAATCGAGAAGAGAGTAAAAAGCTCCCTTTTCTGCTGTCTCTAACGTCAGGAAGCGCTGCGGGTTCTCGAGAGCAGGCTGGGCAGCTTCCAGCCGAACACGCCGGAGCTCGGGGCGGCGGCGGCGGCGGTGGCGGCGCTGCCCTCTTCGGTTTCCCTCACCGCCGGCGATCTGAAATGCCCGCCATTCAAGGAATTGGAGGCCTCCTGCAGCTCCTGAACTCCCCCAAAAAAAAGAGAAAAAGATAGTTTAAAATACAACTGGGTTCTTCTTTCATGAAGAGTCAGAGAACTTGGATCATCACTCACTACTCACCTTTAGACCCGATGCTGACACTGTTATCGTCCGCAAAACCTGAAAAGAAGCAGAGAGAAAGAGAGAGAGATGAGAGTGAGAGAGAGATAGATGGAGAGAGAGAGAGAGAGAGAGAGAGAGAGAGAGAGGATGGACCCACCTTGGGGGTCTCAACAGGGTGGGGCGACGGCGAGGACGATTCTGGAGCTGTGGCGGCCGCCGATGGAGACCCAGCCTGGAAGTCGATTGGGGATGATTACTGCAACCATGGAGTGCGAGAAATCCCAGGAGGAAGCAAAGAGGATCCAAGCATTTACCGCTGTGAGAGGCAGCACTCGGGGGGAAACCTCCAGAGCAAGCCGAGAAGACTGTGACGCCTGCCAGATGAGCAAAGAATTAACTAATATTTAATTAATTTTACAACTGTCTCGATTTATATATATTGTATAATCTCTCTCCTTAAACAGTCAAGATTATCTATTTCTTAATACTTTTTAAAAAAAAAATGAAGATTTCATGGGTTCTTAGTTGTTGGGGAAGCTTACCCGGATGCGTTCTTGGCTCCTTCCTCTCTCCAGATTCATCACGAACTCGCACAGATGCCGTATGCCTCGCGTGGTGAGATCCTGATGCAGAAATTCTTTCATGGAAAATTCATTCCCCATTTCTTTCTTTTTTTCGGTGGGCTGGAGGGGTAAAACTAATTATAGAAAAAGGATGGAAACAATACCTGGCTTCCTTCTATCCGGCCAAGCTTCGTCTCCTGCATGCACAGAGAAGAAGTCAGACTCCCTTCTCCAGGGAGAAGACGACAACACTGATAGCTACCCTCGTCGCACAGCCTGGAGAGCTCACCAGAGTCCGAACTTTGATGTGCACGTTCTCAACGTTGGCGTGAATCTGGCTCAGTTCTCCGTGCAGCTCGGAGACCTGCGAGTTCAGATGGGCATGAAAAAAATGAGATCTTTGACCCGGAATCGCCCCCGTTTTCTACTTGGGGGATGTGATGGCTCAGTCCGTTGATGAACACAGCTGCACCTCATCTCTGGTGGCAGAGGAGAGCTCGATGCAGTCGTTTAGACTGCAGTCCACACGATCGATCCTCGATGATAGATGCCGCTTGGTGGACTGGAAAGTCAACGAGAATCAGTGGCTCGAAAGAAGTTTATATCTGTAGGGGGGGCGGATTTATTTCGATTTTAAAATAAAAAATTATAATGATTTCTGAGGTGAAGGTAGTAGATCACCGAGATTGATGATGATAACGAGTCGAGCTGCTTTCCTACGCTGTTGCGGGCATCAGACAGGCTGCGGCGTGTGATGAACATCATGTCGGAGAGCCTCCAGCCCTGAAAGGGTTTGAGATGAGCTGATTGCTTGACCCTTTTGACTATTGCAGAAGAAATCTATAAATATTTCTACAAATGATGAAATAGAGAGAAATAGCTGCATTATGTGGGAAAATATCAATCTTCTGAACTTGGAAACCACGCGCACAAATGTAATGCTTTTAGTTATGGATCCACTTCAAACCATAATAATCATAACGATCCTAAAATATAAGTGAAGGGAGGAATAAGTTCCATAAAAACCTCGGAGCCTGTGTGACAAGCAAAGCAGATCAAGGGCATTTGGGAGTAGGACACATTTTAAAAAATAAAAATAAAAATAAATAATATTGATATAGAATTTCAGGGGTTCTTGCAGAAAATAGAAAGCAAAGAGAACTCTAGCATTGGTTTCTGTTGGCGTTTTGTGAGAGGAACACAAATATGTGAAGAACCCTTGATGATCCTGATATATGGAACATCACAGCTCCTGTAAGAGCTACATGCCCCCTTAATTGTGGTGTCTGAGAGGTGGGTAGATAGCTGACCAATGAGTTATGAAGGGAATGAAAATCATAAAAGCCCAGGATCCCACCATCTACGGTCCCATTTAAGCAGTGCGACCTTCTCTTTCTTTCATAAGATAAAAGAGGAAATAGCGTGCTGATGCTTGCTCTGCTGTTTAGTCTCGCATGATGAAATATTCTGCCTAGAGTTATAAACTAAAGATCTAAGTAGAAAGGAAAATGATTCTACATGTTTTTTTACTTCACAGAGTTTTTTTTTATTTTTTTATATTTTTTATTAATAAACCTAATGGGAGAAGATGCCGTGATTCCCACTTCTTATATTATCCTTCCAGAACCCCACATATTTCCTTTCTCATGCTTACAAATTCTGATTCATTCCGATCAATGGAGCATGCCTCATGCTAAAAAAAAAACACGCATAATAAGATCTAGAAGGCACGAACAACAAAAGCGAAGCAGGCATAAACTGTCACTAGGAAGAGAGTCCAATCGTCCAGAATTAGTAATCTGAGTGGGCATGAGGGTTTTGGGTTTGAGAGCCCATAGATCTTGGAGCGAGCACACTTTCATGGGAAATCGACACTGTTTCATGGGGAGTGGCTGCCTTATGTTGTGTAATTAAGTGATCTAAGTACCCTCTTAAAGAACTAAGAAAATTATTTCCTGTAAAAAAAAACCGTAAGCCAGACAGACAACCACATCAAAAAATAACAGGGGAATTAGTAGACTTAGAAAAAAACTGCCATGAAACAGGAGAAATTAGACAACTTTCACCCAAGGTAAATATTATCACCAAATAAAGTCATTCCGACATGCAGAACATTACCTTCCACCATACATATCCATATCCAAAAGCTCCAAACACAACAATGGCTGTCACGCTAACAGCGCCGGGGCCTGGAAGAAAGCATACATGAGGTTTCTTTTAAAATCCAAAACTAATAATCTATGTACCAATGTAATTCTGCAATGTCAGCGCAAGCAAAGGTAGTGCACGATATACAGCATTGGATTGCCTGGTTGATTAGACACTCCTCGGCTCAGAATACCTCTGATGCTCAATGCTATGTAGGTGATTATGTATTTTTTTAAAAATATTGGACAATAGGACAAAGAAAACCAGTCGGGTCACGCTGACCTGCCCCAAAAAGTATAACTCGGAGGAAAGAGCATGGCAGCAAGTTGGCTTTGATCTGCCTGCCTGAAAAATCAGCCCATATCACCCATCTAGGAAAAACAAGGGAAAAAAAAAAAACTGAAAAGCATGAAGCGTGCATCTAGTGGGATTTGAACTTTTATTGACCAGGTCAGAGGATAAACACACAAAATGATGAGTAAGAACAGTATTTTCTGGGATTATTGACTCTAGGATTTAATAGGGGACCGACACAGGAAGTTCCTGGGGGCGACCCGCCCAACGAGCAACTACGTTGATTGTGAGGATATGCCCATCGCACTTTTAACTAAGAGAAGGATATGGAAAGTACGAAACTTTAACCAGATTTAAACATTATTGTCATTACGTGAACACCTACCCTCCAACACACACACCCCTCTTGAAAAACTCGATTGACATTCAGCCCGTGTTCTATGTGGAAACAAGTGCGCATTGAGATGGACAAGGAAATGACTAGTGGAAGGAGAAGTCAGAGATAGGCAACATAAAGGGAAGGCAGAGATTTGAGGCAGAAACAATGGTGTGACGACAAAACTTCAGTTGGCTCGACAGAACTTGAATAGGCTTGAGCAATACACGATGGGAATCTGCAGATTAAGGTCAAGAGCTATTTAAACTGCCCTGGTTCTCCAAAGAACCAGATCCAAACAGCTTGAGCCCAGAATGAATGGACAAGTTCATCTGATTCCAATGTGGATGACTCAGGAACCTAGAAAATCATGCCAGATAGCGCATCCCTCCGAATTAGATTGAGTCTTCAAACTATACACAAAAATGATAATCTACACACAGTGAAGAAGACTATACAGGATGGGAAACTCTGGAGACCATACGTCCATTTATATTAGCCTCCCTTTAGAATCACAGATGTTTCGAACACGATAAAGAAAGCCTAACTTTGACTGTAGCCAAGAAGAATAAAAGGCATCAAAACCAGTGATGATCTACTCATTGTGAATGTGGATCGAATGAAATTATAGCATTGAACACACCTGAAACAACATACAATCAGGTTTCAGACGTTGAATGGCTGAGAGGAAGGTTAAGATGAAGTGTTCTTCTCCCCAGGGGAAGAGATGCTCTTTTTCTGGTCGGTGGGGAGTTGCTATGCCCCATTCAAAATTGAAGATTAGGAATTACAAAGTAACGAAAGCTTAACCCAAAACTTCTTTACCGAATGACATAGAAAGCAATGCACTCAAGCAGGGATGGCACACGATCACAAACTCCAGAGATAATGTCTACTGTAACAACAAACCTGTTATCTCCACAATGGTTCTAATTGGAGAAATATAACAGCCAGAAACAGAATCCCATCCAAGAAAACTCTGCTATCTATCTCACTGATATGCCTAAGAACCAACTAATGACACCATATTTCTAAAATATCCCAAGTTGCAGTCCTTTCATGCGGAGAGCACCAAACGATGAAGCAGAACACTAAGCAAAACCCCTCATGTTCCAGGGGCAACTAGTTTGTTTGTTCACAAAATCAACACTTTTTCAGAATATTACCTACCTTTCTTTCAGAATATTCACGTCTGACGGCTAACAAAGTTGAGCTACTAAGTAGAAAGCCTGGAAATAATTTGTGGATACATGGAACTACTTCTGAGTCCAACAAAGAGTATTGCATAGGCACTTATGAAAGACAACTAAAAGACATGCATGAGAAAGCTATGCAGTTAGTAACCTGAACTGCTTCCAGTGACAATTGTTATTGGCCCAGAAGATTGCAAGCTCTGTAGTTGTTTACGGAGATTGTTGACCTACAATATAAGAAAAAATGATTATAGCTCTAATAATGCCATTGCTGTCATCTTTTTCACAAAAAATCTAAACTACGTAACGTGATAGAGCATCAAAGATCACTGATGGGCATTTGGATGAGGAAGATGGCTTTCTGAGAAACTGACACTTTCTGCGTTGTACCAAATAGAAGAAAAAGAGTACTAAAAAAATAAGAAACACTTTTTAAAAACTTGACGAAGACAAGAAAAACAAGCATGAAATTTTTAAAAAATATTACAAGATAGGTGAAAGATAACTCCGCCTAGCATCATCATTTTGTATTTCTAATGAAGAGAGAACCCTCCAAACTGATTAATTTGAGATCAAGCTTGTCATACTGAAAGGGGGTCTATCATACTAAGCATAACCCCCTTTTGAGCTACAGTAGTTAGTTAGTGCATCCCTTGATAATGGTACGAATAATTCCTAATTCTTGAAAAATGCTTAAGGAAAGTTAAGATCGTGCATCCCTATAACTTCTAGAATGACAATCCTTTAAAAGGGGGAGCAACATACCTGTGCTAAAAGAAATTCATTTTGTGGCTTGGTTTCTGATGAAGAGCTGGCCTTGTCTTGTTGAAGGTGTTTCCTAAAAATCTGATAATAGCAGCTAATGTCAGATTAATATCCAGAACTATATTCCAGCAACGTATTCATAGCATTAAAATTCCAACTAAAGCTGCTAAATGGAATTCATCAAAAGTCAAAAGAAAATGAACCATGTTTCACAAGCTATAGAGATGTTCGTTCCTCAAGAAAAAAAGAGGAAAAGTATATAATACTTGTAAGTCAGATATGAGAGGTAGAAGAAACTAGTTCTTCCTGACAATAAGATAGAATGGACAAAATTCGAATCACACCACCAAATTTTGCTTCATCCAGGTAACTCTTAGCAAAACAAGGCATACATCTAAGGGCACCATGATGCATTCTTTTAGTGGTAAAGTAGGTAGTCCAAGTTGAACAGAATGAAATATACCTTGAAAGCACCAGAAAATAAGTCTCTTATGCTGAAAAGGCTTTCTTCCTTTGCAAGCAGAGTCCCGGCCACACCTGTAACAAAACCAAGGATTTTTGGGCATCAAAATGAGCAATTTCCTTTTCATACAGCAGAGTCAGACGCTTGTCATAAAAACATAGCTAACGAAATTGGTTAGATAATCAATATTCCACGGACTACCAAAACGATTTGTCTCTATTCCTTGCTCATGTTTGATGCGATTCAGTTATTCGCTCAAATCAAATCTCCTACCTTTATACCCCTTGGAAACTCAGACAACTTACAATTATTTGCAATCAGGTATTTTTTTCACATACAAGGGTATCAAACACGCAGTTAAGACTAAATTGGTAGAATCCCTCTGGGTTGGGACCATGGTAATCTGAAATAAATTGGTCAAATTGATCAATCTGAAGATACCGTCCAGTTGAGCTTAAATAATATATATCAAATTTTTCATAATTTCGTTGAGAAAACTACAGTTGATGCACTAAAAGACCTCTGGTACCCCAACCCCAATCCACTGGGGATCTGGCATACTTTTTGGAGCTCTAGGAGGTGGCAGGCTGGAAAAGGGAAGACAGAAGTGCTAATCCAGGGGAATTTATCTTCCTTTTTTTCTTTTTCTTTCCTTCTCTTTTCTCGTTTCTCCACCCTTTACCAGCATGCAATGTCAACCATATTCCTCTGATAGCCACATCCATGGAAAACCTCTCTAAAATTTATAGCCAATGAGTATAGTATTGTGACAGTTGTCATCGTATAAAGGCTGAGACGACATCTCATTGAGAAGCATAGAGATATGTGAAAGAAAGTCTAAAGGGAAAAACCATAAAAAAAATGACACTTTGTCCATCTCTTTGATCAATCATAGTCACAACTTCACGTAAAAAATATTTTCCCAAATTCTTTATGATGCTCTTGAACCTCTCACATGAGGATGTTATATCCCAAATTCTTTACGAGTGAGTTGTATGCAGTGATCCAAGTCGGCATAATATCAAAATAAAGGTAACCACTTTAACACAAGCCTAACGTATAATTAGAATCAAGATGCTTCTAGTCCATCAAACGACCTATCCCATCATTTCCCAAATAGATCATCACCATATCTGAAAATTTAACTTTTCCTGGCCAGTTGTAGCCTAATGGCAAAAAAGTACTGTTGAGGTATCTGAAAAATTTAACTAACCAAGATGATGGGAGACAGAGATATATGAAATATATTCCAGAGGAATAATCAGTTAGTTCAAATTGAAATTTGAAAGGTAGTCTCTCCATCATCCACATCCCCAAAGGAATTACCCAACCTTGCCTAAAAAGGAACTAGCATAACGAATGAAGAGTTACCAGTTGAATGCACTGAAATATTGTTGAAAAACATTCTTTATTTCCATCATCAATATAGTTTATTATTTTTATTAAAGAAGAACAACACTCTATCAAAGATACGAAAGTCATTAAAAAATGCCACAATTATGACATTTCTTGGTCTTAATTTGCTTAATATTTCTTGGTTTGTTGCCCTATGTTAAGCTTAATGGGGTTACCCTAGTGGGATTCAAATCCATCATTCCCTTCAGGGTAAGGAAAAGAAGGGTATAACCCCGAATGCCTTCACTCTTGGATTATGCGATCATTTTCGTAGTTGACAGTAATACCAAAGCCCTACCCTGTTTGAATTTCTATCATCAGTCATACAAACCGCAGGAACTAGTGCACGATCAAGCCTACCAAAGCATACATCACATTCGAGTTTCTCCAGAAAACTCACAAGTGGTGCCCGCTAAACAGCGAGGTTCATCACGCACGTTTTGACGTCGAACCGACGGCAGAAAGGCAGAGAAATAATGTGAAATCACGTCGACGAATGTGTTAAAATTTCTACCAGAAAGAGAAATAACGGAACAAGCGAAGATACCAATGAGCGGAAATTAGGGACGAAAGCGATTTTCAGCGGAGGCGGCCTCACTAAATAATTTGCATAAAATTAGAGATCCTACATTACGACGCATCATTGTGGCTGGAGACGAACTCCAAAGAGTGGAGGAGGAGGAGGAGGAGAGGCAGAACCTGCTCCGACCAATATGGTGAGCTTTGCGAGCGCAGCCATGGGGGAGCCAAAACCCTCTCAGAGCGAGGAGAGGCCCCCGACCATCTTCCTTCTTTCGACCAACCCTCTACGGGCAGGGGAAGGCTGGACTTGAGCGGCAACCGAGGGAGAACCCGCACGCGAGCTGGTTCACCTCGCACTTGGCTCCTCCCCTTCTCCCTTCGTGACGGCCGGAAAGTCCGACCTTTCTTGCGGGTGTCGACGGAGAGAATAAACGCCAGGCAACGATCAAACCCACGTAACCCATCCCCATTTGCTCAATATTTGGATGCGGTTCATTAAATGAGGTTACACTCAAGTTTCATATAAATTAATTACTCTGATTAGTTTATAATTATTTTCTTCCCCTTTGAATTTAGATAATTGTATTACGTGTTAATAAAAAATTTCGTTCGCGTAAAATTTCGTAAATATAAGAATATCAAAGTATTTCAGTGTTCCTTGGTTTAATATTCTATAAATTTTCAACTTAAATTCACAAATTATTGAAATTTCAATTGCATTAAAAACATAACTTCACTTAATAAATTTGACATTATAGCGAGGATATTGGGCCATGAGATTGATATAAAAAATTAATGTATATAGTGGACCAATTTTAGCCCACATTTGGAATTTTTTTTTAAAAATCTTGATCTTAATCCATGTTGAAGCATAAAAGTTAATTATTAACTTGATACATCAAAAAATGTAAATATAAAAGAGGTATAATGATCTTATTGTATCATTCCAATGGAAATATTTTGGTATAAGTAAATAAATAAATAAATACAATTATATATACATTTTTAGCAATGACTTGGTCAAACCCCAACTAAAATTACACTTTTCAATTGTCAACCTAAGAAACATAATTTTATATTTATATCAGTTTACTATACCTATGGAAAAGGATTTTACCAATAGATCTAAATCATTGCAATAATTGTGTCAAAGCTAGAGTATTACCTAGTCAAGACCTACAATGGCTGGCCACCTCACGTCTTGGCATTGATCAAACTATACCAAAATTTGCTATCACTCTAATTTCTCATTATAGAAGTTTAAAGTTAGTTCATTTGCATGACAAATCCTTATTATTAGTCATTTATAGTTAACTAATGAAAAAAATAAGCTATCTTGACTTGCAGATACCCTTTTGGCCTCCTTTACCTCCTTCACACTATCTTGGCCCTGACTCACGATGACCCAACTTCTTGAGGGGGATACTAAATTGCTCATCGAGCGGCATAGACTCTCCTTAGATTTTTACTAGAGATCTTGTTGATAGAGTTGAGCCCTAGGGATGATAAGGCTATTTTGACTCTCACCTTTGATGTGAGTTTCTCTTGTAGTTCTTCTTGAAATTATTTTAAAAACCATTCCCTAAAATAGGTTTAGGAAAATCTTATTTGACATCATGCTATTATACCTCGAGTCTCTTTCTTCATGTGAAAACTAATGCACCAAGGACTCCCTACTGATGATCATATGACCATCACTGAACACCACATATGTTATAGGTGTCATTGTTGCCACACCACTCCAAGAATCAAAACTATAGATCACTTATTTTTCCATAATGTCGTTACTACGGAATGTTGGAACCAATTCTTAAGGAATTGATCACCCACATTTCATTATTCTTCATCTCTCACATCCCTAGAGATCTTCAGGAGAGTCTTTGATTCCCTGTAGAGCTCTAGGGGTAACCCCTACTTACATATTTCCATAGTGTACATGTTATGAGAAATATGGAAAGGACAAAATCTCTCTTGTTTTGTAGGACGGTCAATGCGTGCCTTAGAGATTATGAGGCATGTCACACAATGGCTGTAGAGTGCCCATCCTCTAATGTCGCTTGTCGCGACACGCTCAGCCTCTATCTATGAGGCACTCAAGACTTGGGGAATTTCAGCCTTACAGATCTATACACATATCATTATGCGGACCGTCTATTGGAGACCACCATCGATAGGACACTTGAAGCTCAATGTGGATGGGGCAGCACATAGGAACTCTGGACCTATAGGGGGAGGAGGCATCTTACGAGACCATACAGGGAGTACTTGTTCCCATTGGCGATTCAGAAGCACCTAGATAGATATCATGTGTTGTCGTGAAAGGATCAGCACCATCACACACCAGGTATGCGAGGGGAATCAGACTACAGACGCACTTGCTACACATGTAGTATACACCCGTCTAAGATTTGTTTTCACCTCTTGACATGATATGCCTACAGAAACTCAAGGTAGACATTACTTAGAATGACTTAGCATACTAGCACTACGCATTGGACGAAAGCTTCTACTTACCACACCTAAGTAGTGACATATCACTTGGAGCAATTCAACGTCGACGTCACCACAAGATAGATGACAAGGCGCATCGTAATTCACCTAAGTATACCACTTCCAATCATTACTCTCTTCATAATCACTTCACATCTATTATATATCACCCTCAAATAATAATGACACAGAATTATCAACACATGTTGGCATTTGCCCACTTTTAAACTATAGGTCTATAGCACATCAGACCTGCCAAACTAGTTGTGAATCGCCACCCTAGCACCTCTCTCAAGATCTCATTAGTACCATCAGTCAGCTTGAACCCATGAGAAGGTAAGGATCTATACCCATAGGATTGACCCTCTCTCCTCTCTCTCTCTCTTTCTCTCGATTCTCTATTTCTTTCTCTATCTTTTTCTCTCTCTCTTTAAAAAATAAAAATAAAAATAAAATAAGAAGAAAAAAAAAGAGGCAGCCTACTTCTTTTCCTAGAATCACTAGCCCATCATAGGCAATTAGTGGGGGGTGAGGGAAAAAACCCTCACAAAAAAAAGAAGAAGAAAAAAAGAAGGGGGTAACTTACTTCCCTTCCCATATCACTAGCCTAATACACCAAATCATGGGCATTAGTGGAGGGTGAAAGAAGAGGCCCTCAAAAAAAAAAAAAAAAAAAAGAGAGAGAGAGAGAATAAGAGAGAAGAAAAGAGTTAGAAAAAAAGACTAAGTCATTTTTCATGGGGTGAAAGGTCCCCTACCTACTTAGAGAAAATATGACAACTAATGGTACTAATAAGATCTTGGCTAGAGGAATTAGGTGTGTGCAACACTAAGAAGGCAAGTTCATATTTGGGCTTATTATCATGCTCTAGCATAGTTCTATCCTCCTCACTACCTTAACCACTCTTTTCTCACCACTTTATATCATTTTATTTATTTCTTAGAATCACTTACTACAATAAACTCTTGTCTTGCAGGAACACCTCATGGCACACAACATAGAGGTTTACACTTCCTACTACTATTGAGTGAATCTTTCAACTTCATGAACTCAATGGCTCTTTCGGTTCAATGCAAATCAACCACCTTCTTCAAACATTATGAGTCTCCACTATTGTCACATCCTCTCTTCAAAAGAGGTCCACAATCCTCCATCTCATCTTCGCCCTTTGTGCGACTAAGATCTCACTTATGTAACCTTAGAATGAGGTGAAACTTCTAGCACTAAATCAATTTTTTTCATTTCAAAAAAAAAAACTAATGAAAAAAGATTGAATTGAGAACACATGCAACAAAAGAAAAAGATGGGAATGATTTTAACAAGAGAGTTGAGTATTGTGTAACATGGCAGAGTAGTCTTACAACTTGGTTTAGAACATATCCTAATTTGGGGTGATATAAATGCAATTTCATTTCATGAGCAATTGCTTCTTAGGCTTTGATTCACAAGAAAATGTATTGATAAGGCTAATCCCTTTTTGAAATAGACATCTCAACGAAGCTATCATCTCAAATCTTCTAAATAAGGCAATATAGCTTTTCCTAATCAATGTCTAATCATCCACATGAAGGCTTTCTTAATACTTTTTATGGATAAGAATGTGTGGTCTATCGACAATTTTACAAGTAGATTGTATCTTATTTAGATTGTTGATATTTTTCTTTTTACTAAGGTTGGAAAAAAAAAATCTTAATTTGAGCTGAGATTGGATCATCCCACTAAGGTGAAAGTTCTTACATCATGATGGCATGAATATCATTACATGAATGCATATTCTAAATGTGTATGAACAAAATCACACTAGAATAGTTATGCTAATTGACTAATTTGATTGAGCATTCCACTAAGACTAACATTTTTACACCACAATGGAGTGAATCATCATACAAACACCTTCTCTAAATGTGTATGAACAAAATCATGCTAGAATAGCCAAGCTAATTGACTGATATCCAATTGAGCATCCCACTAAGACAAACCTTTTTACACCATGATGGAATGAATATCATTGCACGAGCTCATTCTCTAAATGTGTGTGAACAAAGTCACGCAAAAATAGTTAAGCTAGCCGATTTATCTGATTGAGTATCCCAATGTCGAATGAATATCGTCACATGAGCACATTCTCTAAATGTATGTGAACAAAGTCATGCTAAAATAGTTAAAACTAACCGACTGATTTGATTGAGCATCCCACTAGTGTGAGCATTTTTACACCACTATGTAATGAATATCGTCACACAAGCTCATTCTCTAAATGTGTGAGTATAAAGACATGCTAAAAATAGCTAAGCTAATTGTCTAATCTGATTGAGCATCCAACTAAGATGAAGATTTTTACATCACTTATGTAGTGACTAATCATCACACAAGCTCATTCTCTAAATGTGTGTGAGCAAAGTCATGCTAAAAATAGTTAAGCATGCTAAAAATAGTTAAGCTAACTGTCTGATATGATTGAGTCTTTGTGGGGTAATCCAAAGCTAGGATAGATCTGCATTTGACTCAAAATGTTTTCGAATGATTCTTTGGATTTCTCGACTGGATGGTTGTGAACCCCTTCGTAAGTTGTCACCACCAACCCTTCATCCGTTGATAGCCTTTGGATTTGCTTCTTCACAATGCACCCTTGATGTATGCAACGAAAATAACTTCTGCAATCACATAAAGGAGCTATTAGGTTACATTTTTATGTTAATTTGGGTTCATGGGTTTATATATTTTTTTTCCTTTTTTGGGCCTAATTACGCTCGTTTGGGCAAGATGAGATCATCTCTCCTGGATTACTAATACTTTTCATATTAATTATCGAAATAAAATAAAAAATTTGGTTTTGCAAAAGAGAGTAAAATTCGTAGATTATGATCCATCCCTCCAAGTTGGATTTGTGATTTCATTCAATCCTTCAAATATGTAGGCCCCATCTTATGAAGGGGCATATGCACATGTGAGATTCGTCGGTGTCCACGTTTCCTCGGACGGAGGGTTGAACTGTAGAAATGGCGAGAGAGAGAGAGCATTTATTGATGGATCCATAAATACATAGATAGATAGCTAGAGAGAGAGAGAGAGAGAGAGAGAGAGAGAGAGATGGTTGCACTGCATTTGATAAAGGTCACATACCCTGGAAATTATCATCGGATGATGGTGAGGATTTCCATAGGGAAAAAGGTCTAGTCTTTCTTAGCAAACTCTAGAAGATATTCCTCTGATTCTTCCGGTGCAAGGCACGAAAAAACTCTAGAACCAGTCTAACCCGGGAGAGAAACCCTGAGGGATTCTGTCACACTGACCTTGGAAACTTGGCGTTCTTCACGGCCTTCTGCCCGTACTTCCTCCAGCGATACCCGTCGTCGAGTACGTCCACCACGCTTCTCGTCTGGAAGGCGAACCTGGGGATGTTCTTCTTCTCTCTCTTATTCTCGCTCTTCTGCGAGGGTGGAGACCCGCCGCTGGCTTCTGGGTGAGAGCGGAAGGGAGTCTCGCCTGCGTGCGCAGCTACGGCTAACTCCTTCCGTGGCAGAAGCCCATCTGGGTCCTTGGAGAAGGCCTCGCTGCTGGATAGGATAGAGGGCAGGGAAGAGGACGGTGAAGGGAGCAGGGCCTGATGGCTTTCCATGCCTGAGAGAACCAGAGAGAGAGAGAGAGAGAACGAGAGACACAGAGAGAGCGAGCGAGCGGAAGGGGGTGGGAGAGAGAGAGAGAGAGAGAGAGAGAGAGAGAGAGAGAGAGAGGAGCCTCGGATTTGGGTGGATGTGGCAGGAGAGGTGTTTCTATGAATGGCGTCTTAGAGTCCGAGGGGGTCGTTTTCTCGGTTTACATTGGTGAGGGAATATCTCGACAAGTGAATCTTAATGTGACTTTTTTATGTTGATACGAAAATCGAATTTGCCTTCGAATGGCGTACCGGCCGGTGAAATTCTGGTCAATAGAGAGATAGATAGTTCGAGAGAGAGGGAGTAAGAATGGGAAGATATCTTGTCCACCTGCACTTTGATTACATCTTCATGTGACATTAATAGATCTGTTGATTATAGAGAGAGAGAGATTTTAATAACAGGAAGGTTATTGTCTCCACCCGCACTTTGATTACATCTTCACATGGCATTAATATATCTATTAATTATTGATGAATATACCGAGAGAGAGAGAGAGAGAGAAGATATGGAAAAGATACGTTAATGCAGTTTGATACCTATTCCGCATTGATAGGTCTGTTAATGCGACATGACAATCTCTCTCTCTCTCTCTCTCTCTCTCTCTCTCTCAAGGTTAAATCGAAAATTAGGACCCATATACAGTGGCCCCTCAGGAACCTCACTCGTCAGGGTCATTCCTCTTCGAGCAAACCAGACCATCAGCTACGAACAAGAGGAATGAGCATGCTGGCACAGAAGCTCTTTTTCCCTGCTTCTCCGACTTCATAGCCGCCTAATCGCTCTTTGACGGCTTCCCCAAGAACCTCTTATCAGCTAGTGCCCCACTGATCAGCGACAGAGAAAAGACAGGCTTCCACACGAGTCTGCTCTGAATATTCTTCCACCGCTCTTATTCTCTCTCCCTCTCTCTTAAAGAAGGCGGCGGCGTGTTGCATCAGGACTGACGGACGAGTCGCTGGCCTCCTTTGAACGCGAGACCAGCGGCGCGAGCCCGGAGCGAGAAACTTCCTCCTTCCCCCGGCGTACGACGCTTCTCCCCGCCAATTTTGAAAAGCCAAAGGAGAGTCTCCATCGTAGATACGCATTTTTCATATCTAACCCCTCATTTTTCCTGGAATTACGTATTCATGACATCACCACAGCGCGAACAGCCTTCATCTTTCCCTTATACCCCCAAAAAATTTACATGACACTAACCTTCATAGATTATTTGTCTATACACGCCGCTGGGCTGAGTGGCGGTGAGGGTCTGATGGGAGGTCAAATCGGTCAAATCTCGGCTCCGCTGACCATGTTTGACCTACTCCAGCTTGTCTAGTTTTTGGGATCCGATTCGGATCAACAGAGTAAATCAGCCGACCAAACCCTATTTTTTAATAAATATATGTACTACTGTTTATATATAACATTTATCATATAATTAATGCATATAATAAAATACGAGTAAAAAATATAGATCACGGGGCTGCCTCAGCCACACGGAATATAAGCTAGAATATCCTGAATTACCGAAAATGGATAATTCCCAAGTCGATAAATATCCGGCCATTAATATTCAGCAGCAATTATAAAGCAAGTGGAAAGATAATGAATCCGATTAAACCATAGGATTCCTATTGGGCTGCACGGAATCGGGTGGGATTCTGCCAGCTAGCTCGTATCTTTACCTGGACCAAGCTGGAGAACAAAGAAGAAGAGCATGAGCGGGGGCGGGGCGGGCTCAGCCTGCCGGTTCACGGCCCGGCCCAATGGCCATCAAGTTACCTTTTTTATGGATAATTATAAAATAAGGTATACTGCCATTAAAAAAATAAAAATTCGGCAAATTTATTTATATAATCAAGAAAACGTAGCACTAATTGGGGGAAAAGAGGGAAACAATCTGAGGGCCAGAACGCGTACTTTCAGTGAGTAGGGGGTAAGAGTTACCCGGTTTCTTCAGCCTTCAAGGATGGATTGACCGAGGAATCACAGGCGCCCCACTGGTATAGGTTCCTGCTTCAGAGCCCCTCCCATTCCCATCCTCCAAGATATATCGACCAGTGGAGATAACTCTCTGACATATGCATTAAGAAATAAATGAACAAGGTGAAGATCACCTTCTATATATATATATATATAGGAAGGAATATATTGATATCATACTTTAGGTCGTGGCTGACGACGAGCAAGGTAACTTCAGTCTTCAGATGCTTCAGCAGCTTCACAACGTCGGCTCGGGCTTGCCAATCTGATGTCAAAGATTACTGAGAATGATGAGAAAGGAATCAAGTGACATAAGAAAGAAAATGGGCTGCAATCTTATAGCATTATATCATAGGAAAGGAGTTTCATCAGTTCTTGCATGTCTGAAACCAGGGCAAACTAAATTTTGTCATCAAGGGTTGTCGCCAGAAAATAAATGTATATATTCTCCATAAAATGAGTAAGCAAGAATAGATGATGATCTTTTTACCAAGACCAGCAAGGGGCTCATCTAGCAACAGCAACTCCGGTGTGTTCACCTGAAGCAAAACTATGTCGATTAGATACTTACTCTGTTGACATAGCAGGCTCGGTTGAAAAACAGAACTACATCTTACTAATTGTATTGCGAGTGCAAGGCGCCGCTTGTAACCGCCGCTTAGTGCTTGCGGATTTTGATCCAATGAAATCCTATTCAATCCAACCTGATTTCATGAATGCACGAATTAAGATGTTACTTAAAATATATGCTCAATGGAGAGCAGCATGGGGAGCGCCATCTGAACGAAGGACATTGATTGATATTGTTAGGAATCACAGATGGCATATAAAATATCGAGAGAATGCATTGGAAGAAGCGTCCATACTGAATTAAATGCTGTTTGGAGTCTTGTAGCCAGCTCTTCTCTCAGAACCTGATCTGCCCTCTGCCTTGGCCATCCAAATGTGACTTCCTCAAGGACGGTTTCTGCCAGAAAGTACCTGGTATGAAGGCAGAAAAGAGACCTTTGACATTTCATTCATCTGACAGAATAGACAAATGAAAGAATTGAGCTACAATCGAACATATACTCTTGTATTTGTCTCGAATTACACCGAAAATGACAGAATGATAGACAAGAAAGTGAAATAATTGGCATGATTTAGAAAAAGTGACGGCAACAATTCATCAGCAGACTGTTCTCCCATTCAAGATCCATTGCTGGCCTGACGAAAATACCCTTCCTCAAAAGAAAAGTGCAAGGGTCAAAGTCCAAAGGTCACAAGATTCTAACATAGCTGAATCAAAAAAATCTAAAAAAAGAAAAAAAGAAGTATGCCCTAAAACCCACAAATCATTACTGCCACTTAAATCATTATCGAATCCGGACATCAGCACTCACTTGATCTTATCATTCCGATCCTTGATCTTATGGGAATACGGGAAGAAAGAACATGGCGCCCATCCTGTTATCTTATGCACTAGAGGGTAGAGCCACGCAAGGGGAAGGCCCTGTTGTTTTGGATTTGCATAATAAAAGAGAAGATGGGGGAAGAAGTGTGAGTCCTCCATCACCGACGTCCTCTTACCCTGACACATCTCACCCTTTCTATCCTCTTCAGGCCAAGATAGTAACATCCCAAAGATTTTTAAGATTAGGCGAGCAATTCTACTGATTCACGGCAGCATATGTTTATTACACCAATTAAATCTACATTTTTTTCATCAAACCTTGACATTGGTATTAAAAAAAATGAACACAATAAAACTTTAATACATAAGCGACAGTATAAATTATTCAGCATGTAAGAGCAATCTCTCTCTCTCTCTCTCTCTCTCTCTCTCTATCTATCTATCTATCTATATATATATACTTGAGGAGAAAAGGAACTAATGGCGAACACTGGAAATTCAAACCTTTCAGGAAACTGAAAAACAATCCCAACCCTTTCTGGAGATAATTTTTCAGGGGGACGAATTGGTTTGCCATCGTTTCCACATCTCTGGACAGAGATGGAGCCTGATGTTGGTTTGTTCAGTCCAGCAAGAAGCTACGGAAGCCGAATGAAAGAAGCATTATATACGTGCCCCAATCACATCGGGCCACAACATCTGGGAAATCCATTTAAAACACACGCAAAGAACAAACCTGCAACAGGGTCGTTTTCCCACTTCCACTTCGCCCAAATATCAAGCCAAAACTGCAAGAACAAGATCCCAAGATGATTGACTCCATTCTGATGAAACCATACATAAGTAAAAACATAAAATTAAGATATTATATTAGACTTTCAGCGGTTGCAAATGCAGATACCGATGAATACATGCCTACCTTTTCTCAGGAAGTGAAAAGCTGACTTCATTCAAGAGGTTGTGCTCTGTTCCAGGCGGACGATAAGTAACACCCTTCACCTTTATCAGACCATATTTAATGTTATTAAAACGAATAATGCACTATTAGAATTCTTAGGGTATCATTACCTCAGCTTGTAAATGTTGTGAGAAATACAAGTATTCATCTTGCATTCAACCTAAAGAGGCACGCCCTATTTGTTAAACGTGGAAGGTTTTTCCTCGTAGCATAATTTGTTCTTAATATTTCTTCTTAGAGTTTGATGGTAAGAATACATGATGATATTCGCTTGTGGAGTAAGTACATGATGATAATCCTACTCAACGTGGGGGCCTGACAATGAAATATGGTGGCCGATTATAAAACCTGCTGAACCGATTAGTCGTTCAGAATCCATGTGAGATCCTAATCCACTTGAAATTGATAGGATAAAACCTCATGAGAATCATGTCATCAAGCTCTACATCGGCGTCATTTCTTTCAAAACCACGCCAATATATTAAGAACCAACAAGGCACGAGTTCAAGCGCTAGGACTCATCGTAAAAGACCACCAGTCATCAGAGAACACTCACAGCCTAGGAGCTCTTCCTATGGGACACAGACTTACCGACTAAAGTAAGTAAAGATGTGACGTCGAAGACAAGTTTTGGAAGGGAGCAATCCGATTAAGAAAGAATTTGCCGCTTGAATTCTACGGAATCAAGGGAAAAAAAAGAAGAAAAGTAGACGCGTCTTCCATCTTACCTGGAAACAAGACTGCTCCGATGTAACCCTCCGCGCCGTTCCCGCCCGAGGTTTCCAGCGATGGCGAGGCGGCCGGAAGGGCAGCGGCCTCCGTGAGGAGGTGAACGCGGCCGCTGCTGTTGGCGTGGAGGAGGCATTCATTGCTCCTTCCCCACCTCCTCCACCCCCTCAACTGCACTTCCACCTCCCGCTGAGGAGGAAGGCCCGTGGGTTCTCCTACTCCTAGCCCTTTTTGACGAGCAGAGACCATTCCAGATATGAGAGAGACGGGGGGAGAGAGAGAGAGAGAGAGAGAGAGAGAGAGAGAGAGAGAAATTTCCTAAAAACTTATTATCAATAATATCGTTGAAAAAATGCAGATAATTGTATTTATCAGAAATAACCATATAATTAACATTTATGATGACAAACTCTTATATTCACACCGCAAAATTTACGAGATAGAAAGAGAAAGTTCACTATATATATATTAGAAAATTAAGTGCAGATTATCGTATTTATCATAAATATCATTATATTTCCCATTTATTATATTAAAATATTATATCCTACTACAAAATTTTGAGAGATATAAAAGAGAAAGTTCATTATATATATTTAAAAATAAAAGGGTAAGTGGCTAACAGAATAATTGTCATATTGTTATTTATTTTTTCGGCCAATTTACGTTTTCTAATATGATCGAAGTTTCTGGTGAAGAAAACGGAGGCGGTCCAACAATGCCGGAACGGGGGAGATCCCCTCCTCCTCCATGGCCGCCATGAGAGCTCCGCCCACTCTCCGGGCCATCGCCGCCGTCCCCAGCCCCTTCTATCTCCTCGATTCCTCCGCCGGCTTGCCGGAAATCAGGCAGATCCACGCCCAGCTGGTCGTCGGGGGCCTCCTCGACGACCCCCGGGAGCTCGGCAAGTTCGCCGCCGCCGTGGCCCTCTCTCGACCGGCGCCGGCGGAGGAGGAGCAACCGGTGGCGGCGGCTCTGGCCTACGCCGAGGAGGTCCTCTCCCACGGGCGGTTGCCGCCGACGGTCTTCGCCCTCAACTCCCTCATCAGGGCTCACTCCAAGGGCGCCGCCCCTCACCGGGGCTTCCACTTTTACCGCCGCATCCTCCACTCCGGCGACGGCGACGGTAGCGGCCTCCGGCCGGACAACTACACCTTCACCTTCCTGGTCCGCTGCTGTGCGGGGATCCCCTCGGCGGAGGGCGGCGCCGCCGTGCACGCCGCCGCCCTCCGGCGGGGCTTCGCCGGCGACGCCCACGTCCAGAGCGGGCTCGTCCGCATGTACGCAGAGGCGGGCTCGCCGGAGTCTTCCCGGCGGGTCTTCGCTGAGATGGAGTCGCCGGACCTGGTGGCGCAGACGGCGATGGTGGCGGCGCTGGCGAGGTCCGGCGATGTGGACCACGCCCGGAAGCTGTTTGACGAAATGCCCACAAGGGACGCCGTCGCCTGGAACGCTATGATCGCCGGGTATGAGCAGCTGGGCCGACCCAAAGAGGCCATGCAGCTCTTCCACCTTATGCAGAGGGACGGCATTGGCGCCGCCGCGGCCGTCGAGATCAACGAGGCGACGATGGTCTCCGTCCTGTCGGCATGCGGCCAGCTCGGGACGCTCGACCACGGCCGATTGGCGCACCTCTACACGGAGAAGGCCCGGCTCCGGCCGACAGTGGCCCTCGGCACGGCCCTCGTGGACATGTACGCCAAGTGCGGTGATATGCCCCGCGCCATGGAGGTGTTCGACAAAATGCCGCATAGAAACATCCACACCTGGACCGCCGCCATGAACGGCATGGCCCTCAACGGCGCCGGCGAGCACTGCCTGGCTCTCTTCCGCCGCATGCAGGAGCAGCAGCTGCAGGACGGCGCCGCCCTCCTCCCCAACGAGATCACCTTCCTCGCGCTGCTCCGCGGCTGCAGCGCCGCCGGCATGATGGAGGAGGGCCGGGAGGTCTTCTCTCAGATGACGGACCTCTACAAGCTGGCGCCATGGCCAGAACACTATGGCTGCATGGTGGACCTCTACGCCCGCGCCGGCCGCCTGGAAGAGGCGCTCGCCGTGCTGCGCACCATGCCGGGGGAGCCGCACGCCGGCGCGTGGGGGGCCCTCCTCAGCGCGTGCCGCACGCACGGCCACGCCGAGCTCGGCGCCTACGCCGCAGCGAAGATCACTGCGCTGGAGAAGGAGAACGACGGCGCCTACGTCCTCCTCTCTAACCTCTACGCCGGCTGCCGCAACTGGGCGGGTGTGAGCGGGGTGCGGGCGCTGATGAAGGCGCGCGGCGTCGCGAAGGAGCCCGGCTGCAGCGCCGTAGAGGTCGCCGGCGAGCTGCACGAGTTCTTTGCCGGCGACAGGTCGCACCGGCGGTACCCGGAGATCGAGGCGATGATGGCGGAGGTGGGGAGGCGGCTGAGGGCGGCTGGGTACTCGCCCGAGACGGAGGAGGTGATGTTCGACGTGGAGGAGGAGGAGAAGGAGGAGGCGCTGGGATGGCACAGCGAGCGCCTCGCCATAGCCTTTGGGCTGGTGAGCTTGCCGGAGGGGGCGCCGATCAGGGTGGTGAAGAATCTGAGGGTTTGCAGGGACTGCCATGAGGCCAGCAAGGTCATCTCCCTCGTCTTCCAAAGGGAGATCGTCGTCAGAGACAGGAGCAGGTTCCACCACTTCCGCCATGGAAGCTGCTCCTGCAAGGATTACTGGTGACTGTAATTCCTTCATCCTCTTTACTAGTTATGTTATAAATCATTATTTATATTATAAATTACTTCTCGATCCGATGGTGGCAGTTGCCCGCGATCGTCTCGGTAACGGATAACGTCATCATCCCATACTGGCGGGTGCTCTTCGATCCGACGGCTGGGAGCTGCCCAGGATTGTGTCCGTTATTGACTAGTGACGTCATTATCCCCCTCCACTTATTTTAATTAAATTACTCAATTTTATCCCCCTCCGGGAAAAAAATGGGAGCGAACGTAATCACTCCCGCGACAGGGAGCATCGCGCCATCATGGCCGTTGCTTCTTGATCGGACGGATCGGAGTCGCCCCCGATGGCCTCGCTATAATTTTTGTCCGGTAACGATGGTGGGCCCTACCAGAATCTGCACACTGGGACCTCGAGCACCGAGATAAGGTCACCGAGTCATCGACTAGTAAAGTGACGTGAACACCCTGTACACGTCAGCCTACCTACGCTGAAAACAAGTGATTATTGGGATAGTAAGATGGGGGTAAAACCGTCAAATGAGAAATTCCTCCTTGACCGTACGCTGGCATTACTACTGTCTGAAAGGCTTCGAGGCCTGTGCGCCTGTAAAATGGGGTGAGAGAGAGAGAGTATCTTTAAAATTATACCCTTTAAAAAAATAATATTAATAATACCTGGTTTCAGTGAAAGGGTGATAAAAAAAATGGACATCGAAGGTTGTAATAAAAATTAGAATATTTATAGGGATGATACTAAAATGATCAGCTGGTCTACGAGGAGAGAGAAGCGGCTTGTCGGAGAGTGATATGCTTACACCTTTCCTTTTATCCACACCCCGTCAGGGCCTCTCTCTCTCTCTCCTCTCTCCCTATGTCGGTTGGATGAGAAGAACCCTAACGTCCAAGTCCATTTGAGCAGAGGAGAGGGATAGAGAGAGAGAGAGAGAGAGAGAGAGAGAGAGAGAGGGGTATTGGATTAGAGCTGGAAGAAGCAGCAGCTGCAGGTTCAGAGGCGGCGATGAAGAGAATCTGCCCGAGAGGGGGGGGGAAGATCCACTCTTCCCCGTCGTGCGCCGGCGGCGGCAGCGGAAGAGACGCGGCGGCGGCGCTGAACCTGCTGCCGGCGGCGATCCTGGCGCTGACTGCGGCGCTTGGGGCGGAGGACAGGGAGGTGCTGGCGTACCTGGTGGCGCGCTCCCTGCAATGGCCGTGGCCGGCGGCTGCGGCTGCGGAGGAGGAGAAAGCAGGCCGACGGCGGCGGCGGCGGCAGCTACCCTCGTACTGTGGATGTTTCGAGTGTTACACCGGCTACTGGTTCAGGTGGGACTCCTCCCCAGACAGGGAGCTCATCCACAGGGCCATCGAGGGCTTCGAGGAGCACCTGGCCAGCTCGGAGGGGCGGCGGAGGGGTGGGCGGCGCCGCCACCGCCGGCTCGGGGATCGGGCGGAGAGGGTGACGGAGACGGCGGCGGAGGGGCCTGCCGGAGAGAAGAGCTCCTCCTCCTCCTCGTCGGAGGACGATGCTGCAGAGGAGAGGGACCAGCTGATGGCGGCTGTGGAGGTGGAGGAAGGTAGCGGCGGGATGAACGTTGCGGCGGCGGCGGCAGCGAACTACCAGCATTCCGCCGCGAGGGGCCGGCGGTGGAGAGGCGTCATGGGCCTCTTCACCTCTACTCTGTGGAGCCTCTGGCTTCCTGGCGTTTGAGAAGATGCCCTAGTAGAAGAAGAAGAAGGAGAACTTCCTGGTCTGACTGCTTGGTCCTCTGGGGTAGTCGTCTCTGTTCTCCCATTACAGTCAGTAAAGCCGTTGCTCTACAGCCCATAAAAATTGGAAATTATTTTTAAGGCCTCACACCTCCTGAAATTATTTCCGGAGGAAATGAGCGCAGAATTAGAACACGTGGCGGCGGCGGCGGACCAGACATCCCAGGAAGTCAACGCTGGGAGAGAGTGAGAGGGTTTATTATTATACAGTTATTAAAATTTGAAGTATAAACATACTTGAATATCTTAGAAGGCATCTCTTAGCGGCGAAAGGGGGAGTATTTTTTTAATTGTTTATGGAATAAGTATCAAAATAGCTATTTATTTATAGAAAATCCACCCATTTGGCCTTGATTCCAGGGCTACCGAGGCAGGAGCCTGTCCAGCCCAGCCCACCTTTTTATGGGCCCCCGCCCACATGGACGCACACAGGAGGCCCAGAATCTCTCTCTCTCTCTCTCTTTCTCTCTCTAAAATCTCTCTAAAAATGAGAGCCAGGATCAAACGAGTGCAGCAATCAAAATCACAGGGAGGAAAACATGGACGGCTATGAAATTTCTATTAATGGGAAGAATCTCCAAGAACATCGGTGCTAAAATAGTCCAGAGAGAGAGAGAGAGAGAGAGTGAGAGATAGATAGAGAGAGCTATTTTACTGGACGACGATTCTATGGAATGGGTGGTGGTACCTTGAGGGAGACTACAAAAAGTATTTCATCCGGTCGTCTCTCCTCATCGCGTTGTATATGGCCTGGACCTGCGGAACAGCAGATCCCAATTCAGATAAAAATCAAATCAATTCCAATTAATTAATTAATTAATTAATTGCTGCAGGAAAGAATAATTAATTAAGATGGGCCTGCCACTGGGACCCACCTGCTCACTGGAGACGACTTGGATGGGCCCGATGTTGACCGAGACGTACTTGCCGCGGGAAGAGAGTTTGCTGTTGATGTGGCCCTGTTGGAGGACGAGGGTTAGAGCTAGGGGCAGTTGATGCTTTTATTACTAAAAGGAGAACTATTCTCACTAATATATATATATATATATATATATATTTAAACAGATTAAAAAAAATCCCCATTCCATTATCCGAAGCTCTGAGATTAATTATATTCTGTAATTATAGCTCGGAGCATCATTTAAAATCTTGGTCTTCTTTGAAATTATTTCTCCTTCGTAGGTTTCTGGAATCCGATGATAGAATGTGTCGAGATCATATAAATGACCAAGAAGAGGCCCAGAACCATAAAGAGCAGCAAGAAAAGCATAAGAACATCCAGCAATGGATGGCCCAACATGTGATGATGATGATGATGATGATGATGATGAAATCGTGAAGTCATGAGAATGAACAGGTTGCTAACCTCTGGTATGGTCCGCTGGAGGACGGATTCAACGGCGACGACCATGGACTGGACGAAATCATCACCGCCAGTTCCTATTGCGGTAAACCCTCTGACAGTAGGATATGAATTTACCTGCTTAGTCGTCAAAATAAGGGAACACATACCTCGATGAGAAGTCTCAATTACACGCAGAGGATGAGTTGACATGCTGTGGTTAATTAAGTGGTAAATTGAAGATTATGTGAAATAAACTACGTTAATTCTTTCATCAATGGAAGAAAAAAAATGAGGATCTCCTCACTCTATCCAACGGAAAGATGCCCTTCACATCCAATGAAGAAGCCTGGATATCATCACCAGGAAAGCTTTTATGCGCTATTTTTTCATCTGTCCCAGACTTCCCACGGACAGATAACAAAATAATTTAGTCTTGACTTTTCACATACGGAAATCTAATAATGGCTATTCAAAGTCAACTGTTCTAAGTATTGAAGACGAAATGGTTAAAATAAGTTTCAATAAAACACTACCTATTTCATCCATCCATTGCTGTTAAAGACAGCTACCAGGATAAAAAAAATACATAGATTAGCGGGTACCTACACAGTCAGGCCGTAAGCTTAACCAGGTATTTTTGACAAATAATGCACTTTCAGTGTTCTTACCACAGTTAGAGAACTATTTTAATTTCCAAAACACGAAGAACCGCACCAACATCCACAAGAGTCAAGTCTATGAAGCTACTCAGCTCCTTAAGGGGTAATCGAGTATCTTTGGAGAAAACTTTGCCAGTGAAATGAATTTAAAAATTAAATATAGCTTACTGGCAATGATTTCCTTCCACCCCATATTTATGATCCCTTTCACTCTCTTCGACCAATTAACTTTTTTCCATAGTCTTAATTTGTTCCACCATTTGGACGAAATGTCAAGAAATTATCGATTATTAAGGAATGTTATCAAAGGAGTGAAACCCCACGTGATTATTAGATTTTTTGGGCATGGAGAAAAGAGGACACAGTGGCGAAGCTATTTTAGCAAGGGTGGTGGGATAGGAGGGGGATTTTCCAACGCATTATTCTCCAAATAATTCGATGATTTTAATATGGTCTTCATACTCTAAAAATTTACCCAGAGTCAGCCACGAAACAAAATAGATCAATATTCACGCTTGTAATGCAATTAAAACAGACACGTATATATGCACGACGTAGATGCCATACATTGCAAAACAGGAGGCAAAATGGGAGACTGACCTTCTGATCAAGAGCAAGCCATTCATTGGTGGAATCATCGGTCACAGTACCACCAATTACAACATTTGTGGTTTGAGCGACCCTGCCCTCCCATTTTGATACTTCTGGATCAAATATCCGGATTCATAAAGATGATTGGAACTAGTAATAAATAAATTTAGGACGCTTAAAAAGTATTGAGTTAGAAATTATCACAAAAAATGGTCCATAATAAAAACTAGGTCATCAGATAAATTTTCAAATTTTAATGAAAACGATTCTGCCTCTTATTAATCACGATATTGCATTTATAATGAGATCAACCTTAAAATCTGTTCCACGATACTAGCACATTTAAATCGAATGGACGGAAAGATAATGATGACGACAACAAGCAACACGAATACGAACACATCTAATCGTCCCTCAAATAAAGGGAGGACGAGTAAAATGGGAGGGGATTTACAGAGGTCCACACCGCAGTGGGATAAACGAAGGTCTTACCGGAAATGGCCTTGAGCACGGCCTCCTGGGGAGGATCCTGGTCTCCCGAAGAAGACGACGACGAAAACGACGGGTTGGTCTCCCCGAGGGAACACCTCAGGGAAGCTCCCCGGGGGGAACTCCTCCTCCTCCTCTGGGTCAGTCTCCGAGGGAATTGCAGGGCAGCGGTGGTGGCGGCGGCCGTGGAGCAGGAGAGCCCCGCGCCGGAGGAAGGCGGGCGCCACTGCTCCGCCAAGAGCATGGAGCGAAGGACAGTTCTGCACGCCATCGCCACTCTTCGTTGGATATTTCTCTCCCCCGCCTCGCCCCTATTTATATACGCTTTGAGGTACACGTTCCCACGAAAAACACGTATCCCAGTACTAAGCGCACCACACGAGAGGATGCATTTCCATCAAATCACAGCCATTGGCTGGGTGGTCCCAGTCGATCTGCAGGTCCTCAGCGGGTAGTCATTGCGGGCCAGGGCCACTTAATATGACCCGGCCCGGAAATTACGCGCAATCTCTCTCTAGACGGCGCCAATAATAGGAACGCGTGGATTTCCAGAGAGCTTCCTTCTGTCGCCCGTGACTGATCATTGGCCTCAGGTCCTTCGCGGCAGCGACGGTTGTACGGCCCGGCCCTACCAACATGTTTCGGGCTTTTTCACTCTTCGGGCCAAACCGTGACTAAGTTCAGGCCCGCGTCTGAACTAAGCCCAGAGACAACGTCGTCCTCAGATCTCTTGGCGGCCTTCTCGTGGAGGAAGAAGAGAGGCGGCGACGGCGGCGGAGGGAGTAATGTACGGCGGTGGCGCCGGCGATTTGGCGGGGGGGGACTCAGAGAGGACCGCCTTCAGGAAGGCCGAGAAGGTCTACAAGCTCTACAAATCATCCGCCAGGAGAAGTAGGTCAGTTCAGGCCCTCTTTTCTCTCTGTCCCCTCCCCCCTTCCGCCGGCGACCTGGAAACCCTAATTCCGGAACCTTCCCCGGCCGTCTCCCTCGCAGGCAGAAGCAGAGTCTCCTCCGCCAGACAGATCTTTCCGGTGTAGTTGACTTCGCCGCCGTCCTCGACGATTTCCACCTCGGCGGCGATCCGCCGCCGGGGATTATCAGATTACGATGCTCTGATTTCCCGGCGTCCGTCTTCTGCTTCGGCGACCGGCCAGGTAGCTGAAAATCGGAAGGTTTCCTCGTCTCCCTCGCTTTCTGGTTTCCTCGATTCATCGGATCTTCTCCTCCGAAGGGTTCTTCTTCATTCCCGGAGCTCTGAGCGTTGAGGAGCAGTGCCGCTGGGTGAGGGAGAGCCTGGCCGCCTTCCCCGAGCCCCCCAACAGGACCAATCACACCACCATCTACGGCCCCCTCTGCGGCCTCCTCGATGCTGCTCGGAGAAACAAGTTCCTCGCTGAGATCGAAGCTCCTCCCGCGGAGGGAGGCGCTTCGCCTGGCCCAATTCATTCTCCAGACGAGTTGGGAGCTGGGGCAGCCCGCCTGCCTGGCTCTTGGCGGCCTTGGAACGTCGATTCCACGGCTCCTCGCCATTCCTTCGTCGGGGATGGGGAAGGGCGCCCCTGCGAGCCCCTTCTTCCGGCACTCTCCCTTCTAAGGAAGCTCCGCTGGTCGACCCTGGGGTTCCAGTTCGACTGGTCCAAGGTGCGAATCTCCTTCTCTTCTTCTCTGAAGCTCGAAAAATCAACTGCTTCGGATTCTTTCTCCAGAGGAGTTACGACGTCTCTCTCCCCCGCAACGAGATCCCCCCGGCGCTCTGCTCGCTGGCGAAGAAGATGGCGGCGCCCGCCATGCCGCCGGGGGAGGAATTCCGGCCCGAGGCCGCCATTGTCAACTATTTTGGCCCAAGTAGGTACTTCCTGCCGTCCGGGTCAACTCTGTAATCACCATCCTGCACAAGATCAAAACTTGGACAACCAGGACCGATCACAGACTGTGATTATCCTCCAGGTGACATGCTCGGGGGGCACCTTGACGACATGGAAGCAGACTGGAGCAAGCCCATTGTGAGCATCAGGTGACACTGCTGTGATCCTTCTGCCGGCGTTGTTCTTCCCTTCCCTGTTCATGGCGGCCTGCGCCTGAGAAAGCTCCTCTGCTATCTTTTCTTCCTGGTTCAGCCTCGGCTGCAAGGCCGTCTTCCTCCTGGGAGGGAAGTCCAGGGAGGATCCGCCGCTGGCGATGTTACTGCGCAGCGGGGACGTCGTTCTCATGGCGGGGGAGGCGAGGGAATGCTTCCACGGTGAGTGTCGGTTCCATCTCTGTGACTCAGCCATGGCAGGACCCATCTCGGGATCCTTCTCTTCAAGTTCATCGATCCCCAGAGCTGCTGACTTCTTGGTGGAGAAGCGGAATCGATCAAATGAGGAAGCCTGATTTCCTTTTGTGCGTTGACTTTAGAAGGAAATAAACCGTTCCATGAAGAAGTATCCACTCCTTCCCATTCTGATCTGTGCAGGAGTCCCTCGGATCTTCACCGACGCTGAGAACGCCGATGTCTCTTCCCTGGCGTCTCTCCTCTCCGGCGAGGACGACCGCTGCCTCAACGATTACATTCGGACTTCCAGGGTCAACATTAACATCAGACAAGTCTTCTGACGAGCTGGATTCGATGACCCGCCGCCTTCCAATCTCGTCCGACCATGATTTTGTCTCCTTGATCCAGCCAGCTGACACCAACAGGAATATTACTCTGGGGCTGACAATTTATTGACCCCCAATCGTTTACTTTGACTGTGGGCTGACATGATCTTACAAAATCTGCTGACACCAACAGGAATATTATTCTGGGGTTGACAATTTCTTGACCCCCAATCGTTTACTTTTAACTATGGGCTGACATTATATGATCAAAATCTTCTTGAATAAATCTTCTAACCCAAAACCGATAGACCCGTCCATGATCTTTTCTCTGAATCTTGGGCTAAGTTGGAGCACACATGAAGAGAGAGAGAGAGAGAGAGAGAGAGAGAGAGAGAGAGAGAGAGAGAGAGAGAGAGAGAGAGAGAGAGAGAGAGATATTTTTGGAGATGCCATGGGAAACTAATGGGACTAAGAGATGCATGCAAATGGGACAGCACATTATACTGTTTCTAAAAAAGTCAGCAACCGAAGTCAACGTCTGAGATCCGGGTTATAGAAGAGCCGTCCAAAAGCTACTCAAATGCCGAGAGGGCTGGGAACAGGGAGGAGATTACATGACTCAAAAAGAATTGAAGATGAGTTGGAGGTTACAAAACCTGGATTCAGAAGGGTCGCATTGACTGAGTTGCCAATATCTGTCCTCATGGGCCTAATCTCCAGGCTGCCGCCAACCGCGGTCAAGCAGCATTGAGAGCCTCCAGCTGCCTCCTGAGCTCATCGAGGTCGTCAAAGCTGGGCCCTGGCTCCTCCAACGGGTAGCCGTCGGCACTGGGAAGCTCCCGAACCAGGCCCTGGGGAAGAGCATCTGCCACCGGGGGGAGGAGGGGGAGGGGGGAGTTGCCTCTCATTTCCCAAGATAAATAGAAAAAATGTAGGACATTCATTCAAGATGATGCTTCTTTAGAGGAGGAGAAGCCGTCAGCCTCATGGCGACTGAAGCTCGATAGGAGAGAGATGAGGAAGAACCTGAGATATCGGAGTGGCTCGATTGTCCCTCGCTGTCGTCAACAACGCTGCGATGAGAGACGTGGAGAATATATCAGGGATGGAGAAGATCCTTTCCTTTTATGGGAAATCTTAATGACATCAACGAGGATAGAGAAACCCAAAGCCTAGACAGGGGTGGTCGTACCTGATGTTCCACTCGTTGTCGACATGAATGGGGCCTGTGACCTTCGAGGAGGCTTCCGCGTCCACCTTGGCCTTTATTGCGGCGTCTCTGGCGGGTTTTGCAAGGATGTACTCTCTCTACACCAGTGTATAGGTCCAGTGTTAGAGAGAGAGAGAGAGAGAGAGAGAGAGAGAGAGAGAGAGAGAGAGAGAGAGAAGATGTAACCTGTCGTTCAAGGCAAGCTGCGTTTGAACATTGGGGGTTTGGTTTCATCTCCATTGTGGGAAAGAAGTCCTTAAGAGAATTATAACCCTGAAACAGCAGCGAAGGAGAAAAGATATGAAGAACAGCTATTAATCATGCAGCTTCATGCTGCTCAAAAGCATGACTTCTAATCTCATCTGAAACCTAAAGGAACTGGCCAAACACATGACTAGGCCGGCCAGTATCTTGCCCCTGAGCCCAACACTAGGTTTGAGTCAGACCTTGATGAAGTTAAAATCTCATATTATTTGCCATCGCCTTAGGGTATAGTTCCAATACATGGACCTTGGACCTAATAGGATTGCAGAAAAATAAACCATATGAACTTTTCATTTGGAGAACCCATCGATTAAGGAAATAGGAAACCACCAAGATTATCTCAATGAATCAATAATTAGATCTTAGAGTTCTTGTAAACAGAGAGAAACAGATAGAAAAGTATACAGAAGATTGGAGAAGGATAGAGAAGAGGATATTTACCAAGTACGGAGACACTTCCCCAAACTTCAGTAAGTACTTCAGCGCATTTTGAACTAGTAGTCCAGCCACAACGCCCTAGGATGTTAGCCAGAACTTCTAAGAAAAAAAAATGGTGTAGTGGAAAACTCTATTTAATATACTGTAATTCAACATATCTGTAATTTTGTCAAAGAATAAAGGACCTAAACCATGGTCGAAATCACAGGGAAATGAAAGCATAGTTTGCAATGCAATAGAAACATTCCCCATAGAGTGTAAGCATCAACATATTAGTTCCCAAGACTGAATATTATTGCAGAAAAAATATTTGATTCGTGAAAAAAAAAAAACCTGGGGAGGAAAAACAAAAATGTTGAAGAAGATTATGGAAATCAGCCACCATGGAGGTTGTGAATTCGTTTGGAGAATTGGAAAGATATTTAGCACTATTCAGGGCCTTTAAAGGCCTTTATCTGTTTAATATGATTAGTTACAATCAATATTCGGCATTTTATATGTCGTGGAACCAAACATACCATTCCTCAAAGTGTCACTGAATCAATGACCAGGGGAGGGGAAAACTATGGCACGAACGCTAAGCATCTACAGCTGCAACAATTTACCTCAGCGGACCTTGAATTCAAAATTAGAATTTATGGCGACTGTATTCAAAGGGGACAAAGCAATAGGAGGCTCAAGTCTAGTCATCGGTCACGCAGGATTCATTTGAAATCTGTTAAACCTAAGCAACCTTAATCTTATGGCGAGTTTTTTCTTGGTTCACCAATACACACAACAGTGTTGAGACACAGGCTCCCGGGTATGGAGTTCTAAATGAAGATTTTATGGAGTTTGGAGTTTGGAGAACTTCAGACTTTCTAAATCAACTCGATGATACAGAAGTCAACTGAGTTTAAGGTGCAAACGCAATATCAGTATCAAAACCCAATAAGTATACTAATAAGATCAGTTATTTCTGAATGCACATCTCATCACACTGATCTCGAAAATCATGGCTTACGACACAATCAACCAAGATAAGCATCCAAGTGAAATAACAAAAAAGAACAAAAAAACTCACCATGGTCGTCGGTAAAGAAGCAGCACAAACCCCTTCTCTCTTGAGAGTGCGCTCATCCACTCCAGATGCTACAACCTAAGAAAATGATTATTATAAAAATTCATACATGAAATATAATTGTCAGACCAGACCAAGAAACATGCATGTTACTAACGTTTATGCAGAAGTTGAAACGTAAAAGCTACGGTCTGTTACACAGGATGCATTGTCCTCATACTGTGAATGCATTTCTAGGGAGGAAAGCAATCACATTATGACAAAGAAAAACTAAGGAAAGACAAACCAGAGGTGGAGCGCATGCAAAACAAGCAGTTTCGCCAGGGATAAGCAATTGTATATGACCTGAAACAGCATCTTCAGATACACCTGCCAATGAAACTTCTCAGGTGAATATCCTCTTGTTCATTCTCGCAGGAACAATTAAGTGCATTCTTTATTTACTCAAGCACATTCTCAAAAAAGAAGAAGTCAATGGTCATGATACAGAAGTCAGGTCACGATAATATCAACGGTTTGCAGATAAAAAAGTAATAAAGTTAGCAAACTGATGCCTACCTGCTGATCTCAGAGAACAACATGTCACAATAGAAATTTCTAATTTCCTGCAAGATCCAAGTAATGAAAAGAAGTGGGCCAGTAAAATAGAAAAGTCTTCTTACTTTCACGAAGCTAGTGTATTTTCTACCTGCTGTTCCTATGTTTAAGCGAGAAATGATTTGACTGATCATGTGATTGATTATAAGCAATTTACTTTTCTGAGCAAAAAATATTGATTTTATCCTACATTATCTTCCATAAAAGCACTCCACTGGAAAACTCGCTACATAAAGCATAACATCAATCTAGCATCATGCAGATCATCTGATGTTACGATTTCAAAAATTGGGAGAACTGTGAGTGAAAGAGTGTAATACATCACAGATGCAGAACAAATAGTCAAATAGACAATGATAATCAAAGTATATAAATATCACACGCCTATGACTTTTCTTACCAGACTCCATCCATGTCTGGCTTAATTCATTGCATGCCTGCACGGTAAAAAAAATATTCAAGGTATTAAATATTTAGATTACGCGACTGATAAAAGGAGTTCAAGAATTCAGGCATAGATTAAACTGTTCTCATTAATAAACTAATCAAAAAATTGTTTCAAACGTCTGGAAGGGAAAATGAAAGTTATCATGTTCTGCAATTTGAAATCACCTGGTTCACCACCATACGAGCTTCATAATTATCCACACAACTCAACACAAGGTCTACACAGTGTGCAGACATTCGTGAACTCTTTCTTTTGAGGCTTTCCACAAATGTTTCGAAGCCTTTCACAGTTGTAATGTTCAAGGAATAACTCTACGTAAAAAAGGAGGAAGAATCAGCCAACAAAAGAAAACAGAATAATTGAGTTGTTAACTTGGTAAAAAGAGAAAGGCACGTTCGATAAAGTCAATTGTAACAGATAATCCTTCAAATCGTCAAACATTTCATGCAGTCTGTAGCTCGTTACCTCCAAAATAACATCTGGGTTTATATCTGAAAGAGTCTGTACGGCAGCATCTGTCTTAGTCATACCCACCTGAAGAGCAGCAGCATGAATGAAATGATTATCCATCACTCCCAAAAAAAATCGAACTTTAGCATTATACATAATTTTAAAGTCGCTGATATACATCAAAACTGGCTGCAAATGGTAGTACAAATTTACAGACAATATCATCAATTTAAATGCTACAACGGATAATGAGAAACATAAAAAGTAAAGACATATCACATGAAAAGAAAGAAGTATGCCTGATCTGGACGAAAGAATAGCCTGTTCATGTTTGCCAACTCCACTGTGTCATAGTCATACAACAAAAGACGTCCAATGCCACATCTTGTAAGCATCTCTGCAGCAACGCTACCCACACCACCAATTCCCTATGACCCATGAAAAAAAGAAATGAAAGAAAGAAAATAAGAAGGGTAAAAGAACGAGAAAAGACAATAAAAAAAACATAAAAAAATGAGAAGTTGAAACTTTGAGAAGAAGGTTAAGTATACTTCATGAAATTGGCAACAGACTTAAGAGAAGTTGAATAATTGCCATAAAAAATAAACCATAAAAAAATGAGATCATTTAAGAACATAAAATTACGAAAAGAGTGCCATAATGGCATCTTAATGAGATGGAGTGATATGACTCCAAATTATACTCTAATTGGCTCCACTTCGAAAAACACATTCAAAAATCAAGTCACCAAATCTAGTCAACCTGTAATCATTGTCACCAAATCTCAGGCCCACATGCATGCTTACATTGCCTCACAGCTGCCTTTATCAACTTTCCAATCTGTCCTTTAAACCTTCATCAAGTGAAACTTGAGGTCCTATGATGCTCTTAAAAGCAATGTCCCTAAAAGAGGCTAGCTTTCGAATCACTTGTAAAGGAACTTAATGAAGTGGATAGAGAAAGAGCTCTAGGTCAATCTTCAGAAAGCTTTCTATTCTTCAGCATTGGATTCCTGGATTGGGAGGTATCCAGTATTCAAGTAGATGGCTATTGCATCTGCTTCGACATTTTGGAAAATTATAGTGTTATTATCTCTATAAAAGATTGTCATTGCGAGAGTGTAAAACCAATAATTGGGTGTCTTATATCTAAATAAAATTTAGAATAAGATATCTGGATAGGCTTCTTCCAGTTATCCCATTAAGTTCGTGAAATATTTGAAAAGTAATAGGGCAGAGATGTTTAGGACATTGTCGCTTTCAGGATGCTCTAAAATGTTGGATAGTAGGGCAGAAATGACATTCAAACACAAGATAAGTATATTATCTCATTGGATTTTACTTATTGTGTCACATCAATCATATGCCACATTATCCTTTTAAGAGAGGAACATCATCGGTACCAAGATCTCGTGGGTGATTAAAACTTTCTAACCTTTAGATTTTCTTAGTTCAATCCCCCATCCAATCTCATAGCATTTGACAAGAAAATGAGGATCTTTTTTTTCCTTTGGTATGGTTTTGTTGGTGGGTAATTGTGAGTCACAGAGCCATGATGCACGATAAAGAGTGTTTCACAGAATATAATGGCTTAGTGGAAAATAAATCTAAAATACATCATCACTTTATCACGGAAAATACTTGTAAAATCATATGATGAAGGAATTTAATGCAATTTTTTCACATTTTCATGATATGCCAATTCAAAACCAGAGCTTGGAATACTAGAATTGCATTTTCCTCGAGCAGGTGAGGGTTAAATATTTTAAAAAAATTATATGCAGCAAAAAAATCAAAGGAAATGAAAGATGGAAGCAGGAGAAGGAGAAACTCACAACTATGGCCACTGAAAAATCACGTATGCTTTCATAGTTCTCCACAATACCCATTCGCTGCAGTGCCATAAGCCTGCTGTAAGGGTTGCTGTCAACAACCTCTGCACTCATGTCCTGAAACGCGGAATTCAATAAATGAATAGCAGTGGTTTAGAAATGAAAATAAATAAAAGCAGTGATGAGCAGCACAATTCAGTCAATGAAAATACCACACAATTTAAGTCATGCACTAAACCTGGACTTTGGGTCGTCTTGTAGGTGTAGATTTTGCAAGACCCCTAAGCCTCTCAACGTGCTGTTGCAGCTGGAAAACACAGCGCACATTACGCTAAATGGTTCAAAATCGCATGCCATGGATACACAGAATTTAGAAAAAAAACACGAGAAAAATTCGTATCTCTGAAATATAAATGGTATTCTTGGTGACGTTCGCCAAAAGCAATATTATTCTTCTATTCTGAATGGGATATCAGGACTCCATCGACCAGTGATTGGAACGACTTATGTAATGGGATCTGATATCATCTTTCTCATGTATCCTCTCCATGCCGAACCACGATAGAAGCTAATAGACGCGAAGATGGGTTTCCCGAGAAATGCTCCTTTACGCAAGCAGATTATGCATACTCAAATTCGATCTGGACAGCGGTAAACACGGAAGAACGGCGAGATCACCTCGGCAATCGAATCAGCAAGGCCACGGTCAGCGAGATCTCGCCGAAGGACCTCGAGCTTCTCGGTCATTGCCCCCAGCTCCTCCTCCATCTCTTCTACGCTCCGCCGGGATCTACGACGATCTTCAAGGAGTCAGGATTGGACCCTCCTCCGCGATCTTCTTCCCTCTACTCCGGTTCCTTCCCTCTTTCCACCTCCTCTCGAGCTCATCGAATCCACGCGGCCTTTATGATATCCGGGATGCCGTTACTTGCCGCCGGCTCTGACCGCCCCCCTCCCAGAGTCAAAGCGAGTCGAGGAAGCTCTCTCTCCGGGCTCCGACAAGTTCCTCAGTGGGTCAAGAAAGTCTACACCCCTGCTCGCCCCGGCCTGGCCCGGCCAGCCCTCATTATCTGGCCCGTATCTAGATTACAGCAATGTCCGGCCCATATGTCCCTGCCACGTCGGAAATCAACTCTCTCTCTGTCTCTCTCTTTCTCTTCTCTCTCTTTTTCTCATCTCTCCCTTTCTCGCCCATTTTCTTTCTCTCTCCCACTCTCTCTCTCTCTTGTCCCTTTCACTTTCTCTCCTCTCTCTTTCTCTCATCTCTCTCTCTCATCTCTCATCTCTCTTTCTCTCCCTCTCTCTCTCTCATCTTTCATTTCTCTCTCTCTCTCTCTCTCATCTTTCATTTCTCTCTCTCTCTCTCTCTCTCTCTCTCTCTCTCATTCTGATGGGTTAAGGTTCACTCTCTTGTCTCTTCTTTCTCCCCCTCTCTCTCCCTTTCTCTCATCTCTCATCTCTCTCTCTCTCTCTCTCACTCTCATTCTGAGGGGTTATGTGGAGGGTCGGGCCCGGGTCTAAGCGGCCCGGGTCTAAGCGGCCCGGGACAGAGCCCAGTTTTGAGGTTCTCTGGGCTTTCTAAATGAGACCTGGGCCCGACTTAAATGGGTCGGCAGCATAAGTCAGACCCGTTTAGTCACCCGATGGAGAACGTCTAAGAAGGCACATTTAGATGGAGGTAGAGGAGGGACTTCAGGTGGGCGAGGGTTTAAGGGCACGTCCGTCGGCTTCCCGGCAGGATGGCGCCGTTTGTCGAGTTTGGGGCGGCGGCGGCGGCAGATGCAGGGGAAGCGAGACGGGAAGGAGATGGAAAACTAGGGGAAGAAGAAGCACGGGAGGGGCTTGTGGAAGAGGATGAGGAGGACGATTCCTGGTCGTCGGACTCAGATGTGGGTGACGCCTTGGACTGGCTTGATGCGAGGGAGGGGGCGGAAGTCGGTTCCGGCGGGGGTCCGGGGGCATTCTCTTACGCCCCTTCGAGGAGGCCAAACGCGCACGGAGGTCTCCTGTCCCGCCCGTTCCAGCCGATGTCCAATCGCAACCAGAAGCTCTCCGCTCACATCCGTGCCGACCCTTTGGAGGTATTAGGGTTTTCTGACATGTGATTTGGTTCTAGTTGGTGCTCTTCGTTTGTCTTTGATTATTAACTTTGGTACTTAACCTTATCAACTGGGAAATCCGGTGGTTTAGGAGTGGGAAGGAAGGGTAAACGTCGGCATGTCGAACTCGGTGACGACGGCAATCCGGGGAAGTGTCCGGGACATGGCAATAGGGAAGATCCGGAATACGGAGAAAGCGGACCGTGCCACTGTGGAGCAGGTTAAGTCCTCTAATTTAGATATAGTATTTTTCATTGAATTTCTCTAGTCTTGCATCGTGAATAACTCATTTTTTTTCCGTCTTAGCTGAAGAGGAACATTTGGTTCAATGACGGACGATGACGCTGTCTATTATGCACAATGCTTTTTATTAGCAAGATATTTTATCTATCTTTGAGATCTTCGGGTTTAGTTTTACTGCTTAGTTGACATGTAGCTTTTATGTAGCTTACATATTTCCAATCGATTCACAGGACTCTGACATATTCATACCTAAAAATTATCCGAAAAGTTGTGGCCAAACGTAGCACTTATCCAAATCTTTCGATTTTGCAATTCAATCGGATTCATTTGTTCCTAGAGCTATTTTACTCGATCGCAAACACTTCTTCCAGGAGCATTTTTTTTTTTTCATCTAGACTTCAATGCTTACAAACATAATTAATGCTATGTTTTGCAGGCAATTGATCCTAGAACTCGCATGGTTCTCTTTAAAATGTTAAATCGTGGTGTATTTCATGATATCAACGGTTGTATTTCTACTGGGAAAGAGGTAATGCATTCAACTTATGAGTATTACCATCCACAGAGCTTTATTTTTAAATTTTTATTACGTTATTTTAGTATCTAGTTTAGACATTCTTGAAGCCATGCTCCCTACAAGGAAAACATGGAAAAGGTTTATATGAAATGTGCATCCTGGAATTGTTTATTTGAAGAAAATGTTGGTGTTGGGCTTTCTGAAACACCCTTGAAACATACAGAACTGTATAGGCATACTCTGTGGTGTTTGATTCTTTGAACTTGTAAGCTTCTTTTCCGAGTTATCATCCAACAAATTAAATACTATAAACTTCCCTAGTTTAAAGCATGCTTGAACCATTTTATGTTATTTTGGAGGAAATGTTGTGACTGGGCGACCTGAGCATTTTTCTGACAACACTAAGGTGCAAGATACTGTCATCTGCTATATGCATGTGGCGTACGATCCTTTACGGAGGAAAATTTATCTCGGAGTTCTTTGCCCACCTGTACAATATAACTATCCATATTTCTATATTTCTTTAAAGCACTGCCTGGAGCTGTAATATGCAGCTACTCATGATCGGTTACAAGATCATCTCAGGCTCTAAGCGTCCTCTGCTCTCCGTGTTCCATGGGGAAAAATGGAAGATATTTACCCAAAAGTTTAGTTGTAGGCGCATTAAAAGTTAGAATGGCAAAAACTAGTCCTTATGGCAATAGATGATTAGTTGAAATAAACCTTAGAAGAGGCTCACCACATCACAATGACCACACTCGTTTCTCTTCAAGTGGAAGCCAACTTCATGTCATCTCCCGTTCTGCGAAGGCCAAGTTTTGCCATGCGTTCGTAACATATGAGCCAGCATATGGTGATATCCTCTGATGAGTTTCGCCTTCCTTTCCCAAAAGAAAAGCAGAGAATGAATTCTTAACAACATCAGCGAAGTTCCCATTACCCCATATGTTGATGTGGGACGTATGTGAAAGATGAATTTTGGCCACTCAGTGGGATGTCTTCATAAATGCATCTGTTGTTTCCAATCCAAATATCCCCAATGGCATCTCACAAAGAATCATGTGTTGGTCCGTCCTATTAAAAAAATGGTATTATGCATCAAGTATTTCGAGAAATCTGCCCATTACCATGAATATCTTTCGTTTTGTGTGAAAATCTGATCCCCCAGTGAAGATCTACTTCAGTATGAAATTTCAAAGGGATTCACCTTTATTTCTCTAGTTTTTGATTGTCATATCTAGATGATGAATTATTTTGATGTGTCTCATTTATTGAATAATAATGAAAGGATATCCCAGGAGAACGTGAATGCTGTCTTTATTGTTAACTTTTGGATCTGGGTGTCGGATTATCGGAGTCCATCTCATTTGATTCTAAATTTCATTGTATAGGCAAACGTATATCACGCAACAAAAGTTGATGGTCAGGAACTGGCAATCAAAGTGTACAAAACCTCAGTTCTGGTTTTCAAGTAAGTCTTTTTATTTAAGCGATATATTTCATGTATTGAAGCTCTTAATGAGTTTCCCTTATAGATGCTGTCCTTGGTTTCTTGCCTCTGACATGAACTGTGAACGTTTAGGTAGCATTATTTCTAGTCGCACCGGCTGTAAAACACCATTCTCTTGAGAAAAAAAAAATTAATTATTGAAAAGATGAGGCTGCATATTTCTGACTTGTGCCACATAGCATGGAAGAAAGTGATGACTGATCTGATGCACAATGTGTCTCGACCATGAAACACGCAATTTAACATGCGGTTTCGGTTCTAATTTTATTTTCTTTAACAGGTATTTTAGCAGCTAATAATATTGATTATGATGTTGATCTTATTTGTATTAAAACACATTGACAGTATTGCTCGACTTTCTACTTAAGTGAGATGCTTGTGATACAAAATGTTTCATTTGACGTGATAATTTACTATAAGTATGGGAGTTAATAGTAAAACTCTTCTGTTCACAACCAATAACCAGGAAGTGGGACATCTCACATTATAGCTATATCTTCAACGGAAGAGAAATAAGCCATGACGACAGTTCCCATTTTCTCAAATAACCTGATTTAAAGTTTGGTTCGTTTATTTCCAAAGAAAATATTGGAATTCGTGCTTTGCTTCCGATCTGGACCAGTCTCTGAAGGAGCATATTAGCGTTAATACATGGTTGCTGTTGTAGTCTAATTGCAATTGTGGGTGGGACTGTTAATCTTTTGGAAAAAAGATAGGCATTTACTATTAGGATATGCTTAGTCCTTGTAGAGATAGATTCAACTTGCATCAAAGAAGCCATGCTCTCCTAGGGCAGTTGACGCCAAACCCATATCAGAAAACGAGTTTGCATGTAAATGGGCTTGCAATTTATGACAAGGAGGGATATTTTTCTGCAATTGCTTGACAGTCTGTGGTTTACTGTACAATCGCGAGGATTGTTTTCAGGTGAAAGGAAGATCTAAAAACTTTGTCCCTTTTTCTTGATGAGAATCATGTGTTACCTGTTTTTCCTCTTAACAAGATGTTAATTGCATTGTTACTTAGTAAAAAGCTATTGCATTGTTTAAGGAAAATGGTACTGTGTTGCATTACAGGTTGTGATTATGGTTAAAAATGTGCGTACAGTGTGAAATAAACTTGCTAATTCCATATGTGGTCTACAGGGATAGAGATCGGTACGTACAAGGTGATTACCGTTTCAGATTTGGATATTGTAAGCATAATCCAAGGAAAATGGTGAAGACTTGGGCTGAAAAGGAGATGAGAAATCTTTTGAGGTATGGCAAGGGTACTTACATGGAAATAAGTTCTTGTTTTCACTGATGTGCTTCGAGCAGGAGGCCACTAATTATATTCTTATTCGTCACCTTCTATCAGTTTTGTGATCCCCATTTCTTTTTATTGTTATGCTGAAAAGATTTATTGCTCAGAACCCGCGCTTTCGAATCGACACCTCCAATTTTTGAACTGTTGTTCATGAGCATCTCCACTTGAAACCTACTCCATGAGAACACATCGTAATGAACTAAGAAAAGTTTCATCAATATGATGCCAGTATCATTCATCTTACTATTATTGTACTTGTAGTTATCCTTAGAGCTCCGTCATCATCATTACTCCGCACTTGTAGTTGCCTTGAAGTCTACAGCAACCATATATTTAGGTTAAAACTCTCATTGTTTCCGTTGTGTTTCCTTTGCTGAAGGGTAAAGGCAGCTGGAATACGATGCCCGACGCCAGTCCTCTTGAGGCTTCATGTTTTAGTTATGGACTTCATAGGTAATCCGGTTCATTTTGGTTTGTTACTGGTAAACTTTTAATCTTAGGAATCGTAAAATTAGGGTAGTATCCTTACTTTTAAGGTTGTCTCCTGGATGCTGGCGTTTAGATTTAATTTTATGACCCTTATTACAGGAAGATCTGGCTGGGCTGCTCCTCGACTCAAAGATGCTTCTTTATCTGAGGACAAGCTGCGAGAGGCTTACATGGAGGTCTGCTTTGGCTTTTATCTTCTATCATCTGTTGAACTTTGCAAATAATGTTCAGGGTCGATTTTCCATTGCTGAAATCAATGTATTATGGTTTGAAGGAATCATATTGCTATAAATATCCTTTTTTTGATAGATCATCCAAACTGTGCGAGATATGTACAATTTTTTTTATTTTTTTTTGTGGACAGATTATTACTATGATGAGAACCATGTATCAGAAATGCAAATTGGTGCATGGTGACTTAAGCGAATACAACATACTATACTTTGAGGTGAATGATTTGATTTGTGGCATCAAAGTGCTGGCCTGGCACATGTTTCAAGATCATACTGCAGATTTATCTTTGCAATTGAAAATTGAATCGTCTGTGGGCTTTTTTTGCAGGGGCACCTCTACATTATTGATGTTTCACAGTCTGTCGATCTCGACCACCCAAGCGCATTAGATTTTCTAAGGGAGGATTGCATCCATGTCTCGGTAGGTAACATAGGAAATTATGAAATTATTTGCGTTTGTAGTGGATTTCTCCATAACATATGAGAAGATATATCATGTTTTCTGTCTGGATTCAGAATTTCTTCAAGAAACATGGAGTGGCAGTCATGACTGTCAAAGAGTTATTTGATTTTATTACCGATCTGACAATTGCCGATGAATCCGTGGATGATTACTTGGAGAAGGTTTGAGTTGTTATTACAAAAAATTAAAAAAAATACTCGACCCTCTTTGTTTTTATGAAACCCACCTGTTATTGACATGATTATTTGGTGATTATAGGCTCAACACAGGGTTTTGGAGAGAGGGGACGCAGCTTCTGCCGAGGATGAAATTGCTCCGGCCATATTTATTCAGGTACTTCACTGATTTGACCTAATTGGCCCAGCCCATCCCAGTCTCTCTCTCTCTCTCTCTCTCTCTCTCTCTCTCTTTTCTCAGGATATGTTTTTTTCCATGCTGCTCATCTGTTGGAGTGACTCTTTTTTTTAAAAATCTAATTTGTACTTTCGAAGACGTTGGATCACATAAAGAAATGCGAGGAGGACCTCGTCCAGATGTCGCTGCTCCAACGCCCAGAGCTTGCCTACGAGCTGACCGCAGAGGGGATCTACGACAAGCCCTTGATGGCCTTCATCGACGTCCAGAAGGAGGCTCCTCCGCAGCAGAAACCAGGGAAACCAGTGGAGCAGCTCCCACAGATCGAAGAAGGCTCACCAGATCAACAGACGGGATTGGAGGCGGAAACAGGGACGACGGACGATGAGACTTGCAGCAGCGATTCCGACGAGGACAGGTCGAGATCGTGGGACGATCCAAAGATGTCTGTGGACGAGAAGAGAGCTGCTCGGAAGGAGCACAAGAAGAAGGTGAAGGAGGAGAAGAGGGAGGCCCGCAAGACCAAGATCCCCAAGGCCGAGAAGAAGAAGAGGAAGAAGCTGGCAAAGGCCAAGTGCAGTAGGTAGCCTTTGTGTTCAAAATATTGAGAGTTTCTTCATTCATATCAATTAATATATATATCATATTTATACTAGACTTTGCTTGCTTTGAAAATTATCAAGCAATTTTGATATGTTCATTAGATAATTTTTTTTGCGTTTACTGGGGGAGAGTTCAGTTATTGTTCGGATGCAGTTATCAATCAGATCCTTTTTTGTTTCTTGAGTAATTAAAAATAAATACTGAGTTATCATACATTTTTCTTATTTAATCATATCTACACTATTAAGACCATATTTTGGAAATTATTAATTAATTTTCTTATGTATATTCGTTTGACAAATTGTTAATTGTGGCGCAGTTTAATTGTTTTTCTGGCATCGCAATCACATCCTAATATTTGTTTCTGATTCATTGTCATTACTTTATAGTATCTCATTTATTTCATAATCAAATTTAGGATAATATGGGTAAAATGGCTTCGTCGATTTCAGGATCAATTACCATATAGAATGAGAATTTCTTCATATTTTGAGAAATTTATCTGAAGGTAATTTTGATTAATTCACTAGAGAAATGTCTGGGATTTTGAAGGAAGATTATTATTCACAGCCTAAATATAGAACTTGATAGAATCAACATGACCCGATTCATCACCATAAAACACAGAAGAAAAGTATGTGCTTTCATGCAACTAACATCAACGTCTCTGTCTTCCATAGTTCATAACTAAATAAAAGAAGGCTCCACTTTGACAATATAAACTCCCGAGAAAGAAAAGAACAGATTCATGGGGAAGAGAAGAGAACCTGCTGACCTCGAAGATTCATAGCACGGAGCCCATCTTGGCTGACAAAACGGCGAGGACTTGCCTAGTTTCCTCAAGCTCTGATATCCTCGCCTAATAATGGCCGCCTTCTTGGAACTATGGAGGGCAGGATGCTTGCCTCAAGCCGGAAGGAGGTCGGCGGCGGATTATATCGGCGGCGGTGGCGGCGGTGGAGGGAGGTGGGATTTTGCCATCCCCACCCAAGTGATAATGCCGACGGCCAGAATGATCCACCCGCATATGTCATACGTGAGGTCATTACTCTTCTTCTTCTTGGATACCTGACACAGTTTCCAGAGATTCTCAGTCTTCTTACCGACGAACTTGAATTAAATGCCAAAAACAGGAAGAAAAAAAGATCCTGTGGAACATGTTTGGAGAGCTTGAAGATGAAGATTACAAGGCAAATATTATCATCATATAGGAATTTTGGGAAAAAAAAACAGAAGAAAATATCCCGTGGAACATGTTCTGGAAGGTTGAAGATGAAGATGAAGAACATGTTTTATGATCATGAAGGAATTATTATCAAATGAAAGAAGAAAAAAAAATGGTTGCCCCAACTGCACGATCAGAAACAGATCGGTTATAACCAGTCTGACCGGGATTTTGATGAGATCAGCCGATCCATGTGTAGGGAGAAGAAAAGGACACAGATGAATCATCATACAGTATTTTTTACAAATATTATTCATCCGATGATATTAGTATGATTTCTTCTTGTGAAAACAGGATCTCATGGTATTCATTCGTCTTAGATCAAGTGAAAGAGGACCCCCCCCCTCCACCACCACCCGGAAATTCATGAAAAATCTATGATTGCCATTTTCGTGTCAGTTTGTGTTAATGCCTCTTTGTTTGTCTCCATTTAGCCAAGAACCCTAATCCGGAGACGAACAGTGATTCTATTCTAGGCATTAGGGTTCTTCAGATGACAAATAGGAGTCACTCGCATTAGGGTTTTTGATCATTGTTCATGGTATGAACACAGCTAAGGATGGGAAGAAATTAGGACCCATTATAACTACCAATCAAGCAACCAATCATTTCATGCTGTGGATGCTTCACCTTTGCATTTGAAGCAGAGGATGGTGGTGATGCTGCAGCCTGCTGACTGGCGGCCTGCCGTTGGATCTCCAAGTGGAGGTCGGGCGCCTGAGAAAACTGATCCTCCAAAACAGCTAATTAGCGAGTGAACTTGAAGAGCAGCATGAACGGAACCAGCAGAAAGATACATTCATCTGGTAACGAGCCACAGATCTTCACTTCTCACGATCAGATTGCTGCAAATGGTAAGAACCCTAGAAAAGAGGATTAAAGCGTACCTTCACTGTCACCTCCAAGGACTTGAGGTAGAGCTCATTCCCCGGATCCTACAAGCGAAACCCTCACCATCTGTGAATTCACTCGAAGATATCCAATTGATCAAGATAGGCCAGCCACTCAAGAAATTACCTCCTCCACTGCCTGCCGGAAACATGTTGTTGCCTTGGTAAAGTAAGCTTTTGCCATGTCCTGGTCTGTGGCGAGGAAAGCGTGCTGAGTGTGCGCGTTCCCCAGGCACCACAGCGTGTCGTGTTTCTTCGGATTGACTTCTAGGGCTTGCTCCAGCCTTGAGACGGCCTCTATGTAGGGTTTGAAGAAAAATAACGGATGCGATGAACCGAGTTTTTTTGAAAAGAACATGCTGTGTTAAAAAATGTTCAAGTATAGTTGGGATAAAAAATGCGCGCAACAGAGATTTCCTAGATTTCTTCCTCATAAGATCGACACTACAGAGGATGAGCAATGGAAATTTCCTAGATTCCTTACTACTGAAATCAAGACAGAGGAGCTCTGTCGACGACGAAGGAGAGGAAGAAACCTTTGACCATCTTCAGGCACTCGGGGCCATTCTGAAACTGCGACAACTCGAGAAGAGCGCCTCCCCACCTCGTAAGATTCTGAGGAGCAAGAAGAAGAAGAAGAAGAAGAAGAAGAAGAAGAAGAAAACAGTAAAAATGCCGCCGCAATGAAGCGAGACAGTAACTCTCTTGCTCATAGATACGTATGGATAATCAACCAATGCCACAGGTGAGTTTATACGAGATCGGAGATCAAGACGGCAAGAGACGAGAAGGAAAACCAAGGCAGGGAAAGGAGCTCACATCAGCGTCGAGGGGATTCTTGGCGTAGTTCGCCTCCGAGGTCTTGCGGGCGGCCTCGAAGAAGACGAGCCGATCGAACTCGTTCTGCTGCAAATCCATCGCCGCTGCCTCCGCCTCAAACCCTCGGACGACGCCGCCGCCGCCGCCGCCGCCGGAGATGACCTCCTCCTCGCCGTCTCGATGGCCAAGAGGTTTGTCTTCTTCGACCTGGCGAGGCGGCGGCAAAAAGGCCTCATCGATGGTAGACGCGTGGATCCATCTTAGGCATCGGCGTGTGCCCTCTAAACGGCGGTTTATCGGATACGGATCCGCACCGTCGCGACCCACAGGACCGATACCAGTCCGTTAAGGCCGGCAAAAAATATACAAAAACTAGTTTCTGTAAAAATATGCAAACATGCAAAAAAGTATGCATAATTAAATGGCATAATATCTTAATATAGAAAATTATATATGTTTTCCTATATTTTTTGAAAAATGATATTTTTAAAATATAGGTTGGTATGGTTCAAACACCCAAATATCGTACATGAGTAGATAATAATAGTAATAATAATAATTATTATTATTTTAGAAAAAGATATACATAAAATATTTCATTCTCAAAATTTTATTTTATCATTATAAAATACTAGCTTTATACATTGACCATATATTTTCAAATTCATTCAACATAAATCAACTACTTTTTTTCCTAGCCACTTAAATGATTTGTTTTTTAATATATATATATTTCTTTCATGAGTATTTCTTCTATCTCATGCAGTGGGGAAGATGAACAGATTGAAATGGGTAACTAACAAAGGTGGCTTCTTTCTGTAGGCTTATAGATTCTAGGGTTCTTATAGATGAAGCATGGAAAAATGGACTGGGCCTGTTAGCACATCAGGGGCTCTGACAAAAAGCTTTTACTCTTCAAGAGAGCTGGTAGGTCAACTGAGGAGACAACCATGAGACATAAATAGGATTTCCCAGAGAACCTGATGACCATTATTCTCTCTAGAGAGAGGAGGAAATCAGAAGAACATCCACACTGAATTCTGTGTGTGTGTTGTGCGTGTGTGTGTGTGAGAGAGAGAGGAGAGAGAGAGAGAGAGAGAGAGAGAGAGAGAGAGAGAGAGAGAGAGAGAACTATAGCCACAGTATTGGTTTCTCAGTAGAGAGGAGGAAATCAGAACAACATCAACACTGAACTGAGAGAGAGAGAGCTATAGCCACAGTACTGGTTTCTCTCTCAAGAAATCCCTCACTGGATAGTATTTCCATATCGGGGATTCACAGATGGGAATGAGGAGCTTTCAAAGCATTTGTGATGCGTATCCGATGCCATGATGTGTTGAGAATCCCCCTCAGGTTCCATATCTCTTCCACAGTCTCAGGTTGGACATTTGCTGCTGAATCAACCTGTTCATCGACAGCCATATCATCCACATTTAAATAATTAATTAAAATAATATCAAATCTAAATTGGCAACATCCGTATATTTTTCTGGCATTTTTTCTTAAATATTCGTCTGACGAGCTTGGGCTCATCCAGAACTTTTCCATATAATTTTACTCTGTTTTTATTTTTTTATTTACTTAGAGATTATCTAAGAGATGAACAGCAACAAATGACTGCCTAAATAACCGTAATATTTTTATTCATTATTTTCAGAAAGTAGTCAAAAGATTCAGATCTTACTGCTTTAACAACGATCTCGGCATTATCTGGAATGTCCACCTCAGCCTTGAACAAGACCCAGGCCCACTTGTCACCGTTGACATCATCCGACACATATGGGACACCACTCCTCTGATACCTGTGAGCTTCCACCCAGGTCTTGCCCCCATTCAAAGAAATGTCAACTCTCTCGATGCCACGCCCACCCCCAGAGACTGCATATCCACTTATGGTAAGCTGAACATCCAAAGGAAGTCAGCCATCTCTGTTTTCCATCGAAGAAAATATAAGGTTACACACGAAGAACGAAGTTCACTCACCTTCCCTTGCTTTACGATATCAACATCCTCCAAAGAGCAAATTGCACTCTACCAGACAGAAAAAGGAAAATTTTATTTTCCTTAAGGTGATATGAATATAAGGAAATTATTTCACTTTAATTATATCGCACTGGTCAGAGTATAGATGGCAACTTTATTTTTCAGATATTACAAGATAGATGGTAAATAAAAAAATGATAATTATAATGCCTAAAATATAACATAGAGAGAGAGAGAGAGAGAGAGAGAGAGAGAGAGAGAGAGAGAGAGAGAGAGAGAGAGAGAGAAAGGGGACCTGAACGGGGAAATCCATCTGAGGCTTTCTGTCGGACCAGTTAATGTTATCCCAGTTGACCGTAGGGGGGAACATCTTGTAGTCCTTTTGCATGAAAAAACCCTGGGTCATGGGACACTATGAGTCAACGAGAAATACCTGAAAAAGAATGATGCCTGGCACCAGAAATGGGTTGTTCTATTCCGACCTGGCATTCTTCCTTATTTATTTCGATGCAATCCAACCATTTGACTGATCGCGCACCAATAACCCCGGGAACAACCACGCGTAATGGATACCCATGATCACGATTAAGGACCTTGAACAGCAACATGAGAAGCTAGAACGTGTTAGATCAATTTCTGAGATAAAGGTCGAAAAGTCAACGAGTATTCTCATTGAGAAATCTTGTGAGTGCTGATGAGCCCATTCAGTTTTTTTTTCTGGACTTCACAAATTGGGTTTTAAACAAAGCTAAGCCCAAGTTCAGGAGCAAGAAACTACAGATAATTGCAAAGTTAAACCCCAGATTCTATTTTTATATTTTATCCTAAGTTAAAGCATATGAATATATATGACTGGGACTAAAATGCACAGGTAATATAAATGGATACAATTCATTCACAACAATACAGACTATGATTAAGTAGAGCATGGAACAAGGCTTGGTCCTAAATCTAAGAAAGTGGGCCTCTGTTGGGCTTGATGCTTGGTGCTTGCCTTTTTTAGTGCTTACTTTTTTTAGTCCTAAATCCATTGAAACACTTGATAGAATCAATCTCCTTTGAATTTGTGCCTTAACAGGACTCGAAGAATGTCCCATAAGGTCGCGTACTGTTTTGATGGGGAGCCCAAGTTAACGGACTCTGCCAAAATCATTGTATAACATGATACGTGGGTAGAGTTGGCTCTTCAGATTTGCTACCATGTGTATCAAAATAGAAGTTCAATATCAGCCCCAAAGACAGAATATGCAAGTAAAGTCTTGAAGTTTCATGAGGATTATATAATTTACCTCTCCATTCATTTCATAAGCGAGTAAAACGTCAGCTTCAGGATTTGTGGCCTGCCTTAGGGGAATTGATGCTTTGTATGGACCGCCATTTTCCTCCTACATATTTGAAAATTTATGCCAAGGACTAATCAATTGTAGAATAAAAAACCAAAGAATTGAATTGGCATCAATTCAACATAACAAATTTCAAAATAGGAAAATGACTTGTACTCACTTTGCATCGGTCAACACTGATAAATTCGACATGCTTTGCTCCCATAGGTGTGGTGGCTGTTAGTTTAGGTATGCCAACTAGCTCAAGGACATCTGCTAATTTGGCACCTCCCCAAACAGCTGAACATGAAACGATTTACGCTCAATTACCGGAAGTATGCAACATGAATGAAAAGCAATCACGGTGAAATAGTATCGATCTGCTAGACCAATGTGAAATCGAAAAATTAAACCTTCATGAAGAGATCTATATATAACATATGCTTCCTTCAAAAGGTTTCTGTTTTCTGATGAGCTAGGCTTTATCTGACAGGATAATTTTCAACCTTGGAAATTATCTCTCTGGCCTCTGGCTGAGAAGAAGGCCGAAAAATGAAATAATTTTTAAACATGCAATGCTTCAAAATTGTATTATTTTATATTCTATAGCATCTAATTTTTTTTCCTGTAAATCGTGATTTAGTGTACCAAGATGTGATGAAGTGAATTAGACTAGATGGATTCTCATGTTTGTCAAGCTGAACAGTAACTGAGAGCCTCTAGACGAACCAGTGATCGGCCATTCTTTTATCAAAAGGCTTTACTTTGCATCTTCTCTTTAACCTTATTGATAATAATGCTGCCACATTTTTTCCTTACTCCTTTTTTCTCGTTTTGACTCTCCTCTCCTTCATGGTTCTCAGTTCTTCTCTAGATATCGTAAAGGAATTCCACCATTCCTTCGTCAATCTCTTTCTTGCCCTTCATCCCGTTGCTCTAGGCTTTCTTGGAGATAATTATGTGGATAAGCGATCTGTCTGTTTAATCCTTACTCCCATGCATTGGAGTATATCTGGTAACATCTTTTGCACATAAGAATTTCAAATATCTAGGTACGGAATTGGCCAGAATTCGAGTGTCTAGGTTACCATTGACCCATCACTTTACAACCGATAACTTTCATTTTGGGTGCAGCAGTGCCAATGAGACTTTCAGTTGCCTGCAATATTATGAAATGACATGATCAGAAAAACCGCAAACTACAGAGATACAAACCATTTCCAAGCGCAGAAACATCCCAACCAACACCCTTAACAGTCTTCTTTTTACTCATTGCTGTCCTCCTATTACCTGCACACTGATTTTTCAATTTTTTGAGATATTTATCACCAAATTTCTATTTTTTTGCAATATTAAAGTAAGCGCCCTAACAGCAAATGTATGGATGGTAATTTACCTGCAAGGTCGCCACAATATTATACTTGGGGAGACTCCTAGCAGCCAATGAATGTTGTCAATACCAAAGGTAAGAAGAATGCTGAATCACTCGAAAAAACATGATTCATGCAGATGGTTCCCTCACCTGATCTCATCCATCGACAGCTGTTTTGGCTTTTCTACCAAACCACAAATAGACACTCGGTATCTGCTCAGCCACACGGGGGTTCAGAACGTACGCTCATAGATGTATATTCAAGCTTAGCAGATCAGAGTAAGAAACGACCTGTTTATGTCGTCGACGATAGGAATTGGCCCATGACTTCTCTTGTAAAACATATCTACGGGGGTGACATAGGATGCGACCAAAGCAGCACGAGGTGGCTCAGCATTGAATGGCTCCTGCACAATAAAGACAGAATGTATCTGAGAAACATGATTTCTTCAAGAGCACAAGCACAAAGTCTGTTTCTCCGAGTAAAAAGCCACACATTAATTAAGCGCAAAAGTAGATGGAGTTCCTTTCCCCTGTAATGATTTTCTTTTAACTTAATAAAGTACTTGATTGATTATAGACGAATATAAGCATAAGAATTCTACAAGATGAGCGGTAGCTACACATAGCAGATTGTAAAACCAAAAGGACGGAGAGATTTTGGCGGCAATGGCCAACTTCAAACGATAAGAAGCGTACACCATGCGAACAATAGCCGCGCTGCAGGCCAAAGACATCAACTGCTCGGCCGTGCTTTGGAAGAAGTACAAGATCGTTTACGGTCACCTCTTTACAGATCGCCCGCGTTATAAACACAATGCAATCTCATGCAACCGATATGTTCACACGACAGCAGAACAAAATTCCCTAACGCCATTTCGTCGAGTCCCATCTAAGCATCCTCCGCTACCCCCCGATAGATAGGATCCACGTCGCCCTCCTCCCTTCAAAACCGTGGACAGATTACCTCGCCTTCCACCAAGAGGAGAATGGCCAGAACCAAACTGTTGAATCGTATAATCCGAAGAAATTAGGGTCCTGGCATGAGGAAGAAACATCGAGACCAAGAATGAAACACGCATCGGAGGAGAAGTGGTGGCGGCTTCTCCCTCACCTTGGCGTTGATCTTGAGGGCCGGGTGGCGGGCCGGCTCCTGCGAGTAGTCCGATGGCGCTCTTAGCCCCGGCATACTTCCCCTTCCTCCTCTGGACGAGGCCTTCCCGCTGCTCCTCCAGCGGATGGCTAGCGCCAACTCATGGAGCACTTCTCAGAATGTGACGTCACGCACCAATATGATACTCCCGCGGAACCACGTTGGTCGAACACTGTCCACTCTAGTCCCCGGGAAACGACGAAACGAGAATGGGCGGTATTTATATTTTTTTTCACAGAAAACTATACGATTGTAAAAAGCGATGATATTATGATATAATTATTTCATAATTTTATATAAATTATTAAAAAGCTATTTATATTTACCAAACAAATTTAAATGATGATTCCACGTAAAGGAAAATCATCCAATCGTAGCCCATCTCTGACTCCTTGGGGCCGTGTGGGCCGTAAAAAGGAGCCCATTCTGGGGGTTTTCTCCACCTCAGTTTGAGCAGACTTAAAATGGGCAAATGCTTGGCCCATTACCCAATTCGCGGACTCTATGGGCTTTTAATGGGCCTAACAAGGCAATGGCCCGGTTACGCCCATCTTCAGGCATAGGCCCTCAAAGTTTATCCTGAGAAGATGAAATAGACCCCACCAATCAGAGCGAGTGAGAGCGAGGGAGAGAGAGAGAGAGAGAGTGAGACAGAGAGAGTGTGTGAGAGAGATAAAGACTCCACCCATCACAGAGAGTGAGAGCGAGAGAGAGAGGGACGGAGGGAGGGAGAGAAGGGGAGAGGGAGATAGAGATAGAGATAGAGATAGAGATAGAGAGAGAGAGAGAGAGAGAGAGAGAGAGAGAGAGAGAGAGAGAGAGAGAGAGAGAGAGAGAGAGGGAGGAGGAGGGAGGGGAGAGAGTGAGTGAGAGAGAGAGAGGAGAGGAGGATAGAGAGAGAGAGGAGAGATAGAGAGAGAGAGAGAGAGGGAGAGGGAGAGAGAGAGGAGAGGAGAGAGAGAGAGACAGAGGGAGAGGGAGAGAGAGAGAGAGGGACAGAGAGAGTCAGAGAGAGAGAGAGAGAGAGAGAGAGGGAGAGAGGGGGAGGGGGATATAGAGAGAGCGAGAGGGAGAGGAGAGAGGGAGAGAGAGAGAGAGAGAGAGAGAGAGAGAGAGAGAGGGAGAGGGAGAGGGAGAGAGATAGAGAGGGACAGAGAGAGTCAGAGAGAGAGAGAGAGAGGGAGAGAGAGAGTCAGAGAGACAGAGAGGGAGAGGGAGAGAGACAGACAGAGAGAGGGGGAGGGAGAGAGAGAGAGAGAGAGAGAGAGAGAGAGAGAGAGAGAGAGAGATAGATAGACACAGAGGATTACCATACCAGAAACAAAAACGTTTTACACCAGCACAAGGTCCCACGACATCAAGGAGCAGAAAAGACCGCTTACACAGAAGGTCAACGAGGAGCTGACCCAGCTAGGTAGCGACGACGTGTAGAGCAGAGTCCGTCCCCCCTCACAGCCGGGGATGGCCCAGCCCAGCGGCGCTCCGCCGCGGCGTCCTGCGGGCGCGTACGCGGTGCCACGACGTGTTCAGTATCCCTCTGAGGTTCCATATCGTCCCCACATCTTCAGGTTGCACGTTGGCCGCCGAATCCACCTGCCCACCAGAGAAAAGCAAAATCCTTTGAAGCATTTCGTCAAACAGTTTGACTGCGATAGAAACACAAGTCAACTGGTTCTTCCTCCTACTACCGCTTTGGCGACGATTTCTGCGTCTGCTGGAACCTCCACGTCGGCGCTGAAGAGGACCCACGCCCACCTGTCGCTGCTGACGCCGTCTGCCACGTAGGGGACCCCGGGCTTCTGCTGCCTCCGAGCCTCGAACCATGTCTTGCCACCGTCGACGGAGATGTCAGCTCTCTCGATCCCGCGGCCGCCGCCGGAGACAGCGTAGCCGGTGACGGTGATCTGGGAAGATGACGACACTGCCTGAGGTCAACCCACTTTCATTTCACAAAGAAGAGATTTCTACGGAGGAGTTGACCGACCTTGTTGCTGTCCACGACGTCGTCGTCATTCAGAGAGCAGATGGCGGACTGTCAACCCACATTTGGAAAGAAATGGTTAGATTAGCCGGAGGTGGCAGAGATAGAGGATGAACCTCTGTTTCAGCCGGTCAAATCATCTTTTCATCCTTTGACATCTAGGATAACTCTGTCTGAAGTCAAAGATTAGGGGTGGGCCTGATTTAGTCGAACAGAATCATATTTAGTCTTGAAACCCGGAGGTGGAATGGGGGCCAAATTGCCAAAAATCCTCGGTGGACTCAAGTCAGCGCCACCAGAGCAGAGGCATTGGGACGACAAGGCTGACCCCCCGAAGTCAACCCAAGAAGGGTTGACATGGAGGAGAAGAAACCGAACAGACCAGAACTATATCGCAGAGCTAATCTAAGCCAAAGGCCACGGTTTTCATCTCCTATCTCCTTCAATCAGAGATATCTTTGGCCCATGAACGGACAAATCAATTGCTTTTCGATCCTGCCTGCAAGGTCAACTCACCTGTACGGGGAAGTCCATTTGGGGCTTCCTCGTGGGCCAGATTATGTTATGCCAGTCCACAATGGGCGGGAACATCTTGTAATCCTTCTGCATGAAGAATCCCTGGTTCACAGAAAGAAAGTCAAAGGCTCACCATTAGTCCCCACATCTAACTGTGAAGCACATATATATATATATATATATATATATATATTTTCTCATAATTCAAAAAGACTATGGAAGCCCATGAATCCAACCGTAGATTCAGCCCTGCCCATTTCATTTATTTTGTTCATAAATCCGATATTCTGTCTTCTGTTCTTCAATTATATGGATCGCAAAGCAGCTAGAAACCCATTTTTTTAACCGTGGGAGTCAACTAATCCCATTTAAATGTTCTAACACGTAATCTACCTGGCATTCTTCTTTAATTATCTTGATGGAATCGAGCCACTTGACAGAGCGCGCGCCAATAACACCGGGGACAACTGCGCGCAGAGGGTACCCATGATCCCGATTGATGACCTGATGAATGAAAAACCTGTTCGTCATTTCTCTGATATGAATTTAAATATAATTTTTTCATTAAAAACGGCCGATAAATCCTGCAAGAATGTGAAGCGGTGGGGGGGGGGGGGGGGATCCAATCTCCCTTCCCTGTTTTCTTTTTTTTTTTTCATATTATATGAACAAAAGGGAAGATCATCTTATTGTAATCCATAATCAGTATCTGATCCGCCGCCCATGGTAAATGTAGAATCTTGGACGAAATAGTAATTATTAATTAATTAAATCTACAAATCGCTCCCCCACATTCTTCTGGAAGGCCCAGTAGAACCTGTTACCTCGCCATTCATCTCGTATGCAAGCAGCACTTCCGCATCTGGGTTGGTCGCTTGCCTCAAAGGAATCGATGCCTTGTAAGGGCCGCCGTTTTCCTCCTGATATTTGAAAAATTATAGTCAATTAATCCATGAAGCATTCACCACAGAAATAAAAAAATAAATAAAATAGAGCAGATATGAGTGTGCTTTTACCACACACATATCGACGCTGATGAATTCCACATGCTTCCCTCCATTCACTGTCGCTGATGAATTTTTTGAGATGCCCACAAGCTCTAGAACATCACATAATCTTGCTCCACCCCAGATTGCTGGAAGAAAATATAATAAAAAAGGAAACTAAATACTTATTTTCAGATATACTGAAGCCAAGAAATGGTTCAAAAGAGAAAAAAAAAAAGGGCATTCTAGGTGGAATTAGGAAACTTAGAGACCGTTTCCAAGAGCACACACGTCCCAGCCAACACCTCTCACTTTCCTTCGCTTGCTCATGGCAGTCCTTCTGTTCCCCGCACACTGAGGGAGATATTCAAGATGTGATCAGATAGCACAGTGGATTACTCTCAAGAACACTCGCGAGGGGGAGATCCATGTGAGTAGATATACCTGCAGAGTTGCAGTGACAGTGTACTTGGGAAGCTTCCTGCGGGAGGCACTTTCCCTGGTTAGAGTTGTATACTGCAGAGGAAGAAAGATCACGAGATGTAATTCAATCATATTCACCTTATGTCGGCCATCGACAGATGAATCGATTTTCCCACCAAACCACCCACAGAGACGCGGTATCTGCCATGGAAAATATATATGAGCGGGGGTCAGTTCTTCTGGGATCTCAGATGAGTTTGGTTAGAAGTTTGGAGCACTCTCCAGCAGAGATTCACAGGGTGGGACCTGTCGATGTCAGAAACAATAGGAATCGGTCCGTGGTTCCTCTTGAAGAACAGATCCACCGGGGTGATGTACGATGATACCAGAGCGGCCCGCGGAGGTTCGGCATTGAAGGGTTCCTGTCACGTGAAGCCTATCAGACTGGAGTCTCTGATATCATCTAAGCGGGATGTGGCCGGCTGATTTCTAGAAGAAATTCGTCACGGTGGTTGGGAGGAACCCAAATCCCGTAGAGAACTGGAGACCGCCATTACCTTGGCGTTGATTCGAAGAGATGGGTGGCGTTGGGGCTCCAGGGAGTATTCACGAGGGCCTACCAGGGCAGCCATTTCCCTTCTCTTCCCTGATTCCTCTACTTCCTCTGCAGAAGGGAGAGAGAGATGATCTTCTGGTTTGCGGACTACTCCTTTAAAGATGCAGAAAGACGAAGGGACGCAGGTGGGACGGCGGAGACGACGACTGACGGGGACACCGTGGCACGGTCGGAGTTTATGTTACTGACAAATCCTTAAAATATTTTTTATATGTAAAAAACCCATAGGAATACTTATTACAAATACACTCAAGATTAATAAAAAAGTCATTATCGATTATACCCTCGAGCCTCCAACACGAGCCATTAAACTCCATTAAAATGATTATTATTTCAGTTAGAAATCGGACTTATTTTTCTGACCCGTTATTTTTATATATTTTAAATAATTATAATCAACCAATACAGAATTTAGATGATATCATCCAAGGCTGGGTTTTATTTTTACATTGATGAATAATACCACAATAATTAATGATTAATAAAATAATAAGCATGATTTTCTATTAAAATGATGATTTTCCAGAAAGGAGTACATATTTAAATATACATCCTCTGATGGTGTAACTGCAATTCCCCAGTTAGAAAGGGGACTGCATTAAATAAGAACATTTTAATTATACTTTGCGCAGTTCACCCCCCCCAGTCCGCCCAGGTGGCACATACCCCGCGACATGACGTCACGGATTAAGTCATCAGGGTTCACTCTCTCTATCATTCTATCGGATTACTCCTGGGAAAAGTCGACAACGCGTTTGGGGTCGATTCGGATTTTAATAAGCTGATTGCCCTCGGGGAGGACTAGAGTGAGAATCGTTTCGAGATCAATCTGCTTCAAGAGAGGATCCGTCTTTCCAAGAAGGAGATCGAAGCAAGGGCCCGGATTAGGGTGAGAATGACTTCGGACTGGTGGGGCATCGGTTTCGGGTTCGGATCGAGTGGGTCCTAAGGGCCCACCCACCCGAATACAGCCGATTTATTCCTCGAGCTGGGACTCTCTTTTGGCTTCAGCATGAGGGGCTGTGCTAGCCGCCTCGCCTCGACCCTTGTTTCCTTGCCTAAAGTGGTGGTTTTCTGGCAATCTGTGGGCAGTGTAACATATTAATTAGAGTAGTTGAGCCTTTTGACAGTCATAATTTTGTAAGCTCTGAGATGGCCCTCACCTAGCCAACCCACTTTATATATTTATATATATATATATTTGCAAAGAGAGAGAGAGAGAGAGAGAGAGAGAGAGAGAGAGAGAGAAGCTGACAAGGGGAGAGCCCATGTCAAAAAGTGGCAAAGCCGTAATGGACAGATAAGGGGACCCAATAAGGTCGTAGTTATAATTGCATAATCTCCTAGTCAGGGATGAGCCTAACACGAGAGAGAGAGAGAGAGAGAGAGGAGAGAGGAGAGAGAGAGAGAGATAGAGAGAGATAGAGAGAGAGATAAAGAGAGCGATAGAGAGATAGAGATAGAGAGAGAGATAAAGAGAGCGATAGAGAGATAGAGAGAGAGAAAGAGGGATAAAGAGAGAGAGAGAGAGAGAGAGAGAGAGAGAGAGAGGAGAGAGAGCTGTTGGCTTAAGATTCAAACCAAAATAAGAGCTTTTTTTCATAAAGGAAGTCGTGGGTTCACTTAGACAGCAGGAATCCATTCATCCATTCATCTATCCATCTATCTACCGACGTATTCCCCTCTCTCTCTCTCTCTCATTCACACACACACACACACACACACACAGATGGTCATCATCAGGACTTCAACTCTCCCTGATATGGAGGGCTTCCCACTAGCAGGAGGTCTAATTACACCTTCAGCCCTGATTAGTCGTCCTTCAAGCGCGAGATCAGCTCATCCTGCGTTGGACAAGGAGCATAAATAGTAAAAAGTTAACGAATGAGGGTGGGTGGATAAGAGGTAAGGTCGATGATTCCAATGGCCTTGCCTTCTTGCCCTTCACTGACAGGCCCCGCTCCTTCAGCAGCGTCCGGAGCTTCTCCACGGTGAATGCCTGGAGCTCCTTGTCGGTGGGGAAAGCCTTCGAATCCTCTGCGCCATGGCAAACAGTACATCAGCCGATGAAAAACGATGCAACTTCTTTGCCTAATAAAGGATTTTTTTCTTCCTTTTTTTTTTTTCCTAGCACGTTCCATCTCAACCAGAAAAAAAAAAAAAAAAAAAAACCAAAAAACCCTAGAGAACCCTATCTGTGATTTTGAGATGAGAGATTCATGGAAGATCTAATGCGTGAATAGAACAAAACTTACCTCTCTATGGATCAAATGAGTCTGCTGGAATAATCCCAAATAAATAAATAAATAAATACTAAATTATAGCAATATTGGTGATGCCTATTCTATGCTCATGGTGTTGATCTTGAGTACAAGATGGTATCTACATAATCGGTACTATTAATTGAAAAGGATCTCCACTTCGAAGATCTTCAGTGCAGCCAATGCCATAATCTTCTAGATAGCATGGGGAATGAATAGTGAAATGCTTTTATACTAAATCAACAGAAATTCGACATAATAAATACATAATGTGATAAAGGATAAAAAACGATGAAAATAATTTGAGTCCTAGTTAGAACATCATTAGATGGTTCTTCTTCCAAAAATCATTTAAATGGAGGTTTCGTATGTCGGTGCATGCCTGCTTCATACCTTATCTAATTCATGTCATGCCGAAACCATGGAATTTTGTCAGAAGCAATTTATTCATGGTAAGAGCAGCAAAATAGCGACTTTAAGACGCTATCATCACTAATCCTATTACAATTATGGAATGCAGACTTTAAATAGAAGTTTTTGCAGCGATGTATGGCACTGGATATGCCAAGATGGGTTCCCTTCCACAGACATGAAATGAATTTTCCAACAGCCTACCTTGTCCAGGACTAGAAGAACCACTTGCGATGTTGGCTTTCTTCACTGAAGACCGCACATCTAGAGACCTCTCAGAAGCCCTGAAAGCCAGCAAACATATATCAATGAAGTTCATCATAAAACCATGTCCTTACTAAAATTTCCCAAAGAATCATTTTTTCCACAGATGTAAACAAGGATCCTGCTGAGTGGTTCGCTTAGGTTAAATCACGCTGCAGAACTGGTTTAGATGTTGGGGAGGCATGGAGAGGTAACCGGCTAGCCCATTTAACCCTAGGATGTCTGATTATCATGCTATCCTGTAGAGTGAAGGTGATAAGAGCGCTAAAGAAGATGACAAGAAATACAGTGAAGTGGAAGAAGTTATCGTTCATTGACAGACAAATGAAAGAGTGCCTGAGATGGTTCGTGTATCATGAACAGGACTGGTTAGAAGAATGAGATATGGCCAGATAATCAGAGATGCCGCAAGACGATTATTGGATCTTTCAAATTACACAAGAAAAGGCCCACAATGAAAGGTTATAAGGAGAAAGTGCGAGATGATTACATGAAAAAATATTGTTGGTGATGCCGGCATAAGATGTCTTATGTACTAGTTTTCATGGGTTTGCCTACCCAAGGATATCATACATTCCTTTCTCTTGTTGATTCATCTCTTTTTTATTGCCTTTCTCGGAGGCAGATTGAGCATCTTGTGACTTGACAAAAGTAGTTTCATAGCTACCACCAAGTAGAAAAATATAGGCGTCAAGGAAATAACTCAGTGGATTGCTTCTTACTCCATTCTAACCGGATTGTGATACGCTGATAATTTCCAGAACAAGTAGGATAGAGCGATAGAAACCAGGTAGAACATGTGTAAAACCTCAATGGGAATTGATCACTAAATACTAAATGGTTTACAGCTTATGCCATAAAAACAATGGCTCATGGTCGTGATGACAATCAAGCAATACGACCATTTCCAAGAAACAACTGAGACCTTTTTCACTGTCTATTTTTTTACTAGAATTTTCTTTTGTTCTTTACGGTAGGAGTTTGCATGTACACGCATTTCAAATCGATAAATGAAGGATAAAAAATCATGAGCATAATATCAACTAGATAACTCATTGAAGTTTTGGAGCAAGGCGAGGGGATTTGAGGTGACGAACCAACATATTTCAACTTCGTACTTAAGTATGGGGGGCTCAGAATTTAAATACGTACTTATACATCTTAGATCTTTACCTCTTTCCTCTGTTGCTCTCTGCTACTGCTTTCGCCTTTCCATCTTTCCCCTCACTCCTTTGTTTGTTCAGCTGAAGAGATCGAATTAATATATTTGTAGAGTTTGTCCTAATTAGTTGTTCCTCTGAAAGAATGAAATAAGAAAACGCAAGAATGAGAAACCGTACACAAGTGATCTACTAATCCAACTAGAACACCGAAAAAAAATAAACCACTCATGTATATAATGTACAAACATCACGGAAGAAGCTCAAGTGATGCCAATCAAAAATATAAATCTAAGTACGTTATTTGTTATTTCCCAGAAAAGGTTGATAATACTACTCAATGGACTTCAAAAATAGAAAAAAAAAAAAGAGGGCACAGTGCAGGTCCTGCTCATCACCTACTGAATTCAGCAGTGCAGGGCAATGAAAATCGAGCACATTCGCAAGAAGAAACTAAATATTATATATATATATACTAGCTAACAAGAAAATAGACCAAAAACATTATAATGTGATACCCGCGTAGCACAATACAATTTTTTAACGCCGCAGTACATCCCACAAGCAAAAAGGTGCACAATAAGGAACGAATTGGATGATACTCCTATGATTAGGTAAGGTTAGTACAATGGGGATATCAAGCCCGATGTTTGCTGAGAAGGCAGGAAATGATGTCAAATGTAAGTTTTCACACTGTGTGATTGCTTAAAAGTTGGTTTTCTTGACACGGCCTCAGCCACAGCACAAGGTTACAGATAAAACATAATTAAGTGCTAAATTTACCTACACAATAAAAAATGTGACGCAGACAGGGCCCGTAGTCTAATTCTCGCCCAAGACAGGATCAAAATTAAAACCATAGTCATTAATAATGCTCAAATAGTGGTATCTGCAATGATATGGGCCGGCTAACCTTCAGGAATACGAATTCCCCTTGGTAACTTCGCTTTATAACGGTTGTTGTCTATCCATTCAACCAGTTAACTTAAATGAAAATCTTCACGCTACCCCCACCTCCAAATCACTAGCAGCGATATCCAAGGATTAGAATATTATATTTTCTGTCAGATGTTCACTAATTTCCATTTGATCAAACGGGCAGTCAAATAAAGCGGAATGATTAAAAGGCAGGAATCATCCACATGTCCATCTGAAAGGATTCGGGCGCCATGGATTGCATCTCCAAACTCAACTCTGATTTATTAATAATTTTTGAAATAATGACTAACCGTTTTTATTTTCTTTTGTGATGTAAACGTAAACTTTCTTTAAGATGTTTTCTTAACATGACAAGAAAGAATAGTGAGGCTCAAATGTTAGGTGCCATGCTTTAGGTGGCTAATCTGACTATCATCCACGATCGTTTTGTTCTATGCATCGCCTTTTTCCTTCTATGATCAATATTTGAGAAAGAACCGATAAGTTAGATGTTTGAAATTTTTTATAAGAAAATTATAAGCAGAGTTGTGATAAAACAATTAAAAAAATGATTAGTATGGGGTTGAGCTCCTAGGCAAAGGAGGGTTATCTACATAGGGCAAGGGATTTTTATTACCACAAAAGCAATAAACTATGTAGGTAAAAACTTGAGTGCATCAGAAAAATAGCCACAACAGACTTAAATATGATAAAATGGAAGAAATAAAATAATTTAGAGAGAAGGGTGCGGAAGACGAGGTCATTGTGACCCCTGAATAATGCAGATCATATATTTTTCGATGTTCATGCTATGCAGCAGAAAGGAATATTTGAGGTAAGATATATCATCCAAAAACATATGAAAAGCAAAGGATACTCATAAAACCAGACTACAAGTGGAGTTCTCACACTTATGACTTCTTTCTTTCTTTCATGAACTGACTGTGTGGCATCATCCACTTCAAAATACAAAATGGAGGGGATTGAGTATTTTGTCTTCTAAATTAGGCAACATTAGCAATATATAGGAATGGAGACCTGAATCAGGTGATGTGTTCGCCATAGACTGATGTGAGACTCTTAACTTTGACAGATAATCATACGTTTATATGATTGAAGAGCACATGGACTTTCCCTTCTTATATCTCATCATCATGCATCCTGAGACAAAGGTAGATTATGTTTTTAGTCATGGGCACGGGTGGACTGCTGCATTCAGGGGGAATCTTCATCACTGGGAAGTAGAGAAACATTGCAATTTTCTGAGTAGATAGGATTTACTATGTCCAACAAGCAGGGTGAAGACAATTGGAGGTTTGCAGTTGAAGAGCAGTGCCAGGTTTACAGTGAAAACAGAAGCTGGAGTGAATTGAAGACATTTCTGCAGAATCTCATTCAGCAAACAAAAATTGTCCAGGAGGTCAATTTGTGTGCAGAGAATATGAAAAGTCATCTCATTTTGTAGAGGAGATATCAACCTGTATTGTGGTGAAGGATGGAATGAGGATTTGTTGACATTAGCCACTTTTCCCCGTCCATGAAGGAATCATGAAGTACAGGTTGTTGGAAAGTCACCAGACAGCTAATGGGTATTTATCTTTCGATGGAAAAGATAATGGAACATGTGAGTAAGATGATTTGTTCCTTGTGCTGCGTGCTTTTAAATCTAGGTGTGCCAGGAATTGTAGAGTCTCCTACTACTGCTATTTCATAACTAACAGATGTCTTCATTCTGGCACCTCAGGGCAGGCTATTGTATGGTTTCTTCCATAGAATTTCCCATACGATAATACTACACTAAACTTACTTTACATTCTCTGGTTCCAAAGGTTTTGGTATACAAATTCACTCTTAAAACTATTGAAAAGAAATTGGTGGGAAAAAAAAGTTAAAACTTTATGTGGTGACAAATTTTCAAATTTCCATGAAGAGAGAAGAATAAATATTTACTTTCCGATCAACAATACATTCCTACAAGACATAAAAAAATGATCAACTTTTACTCCTGTCATCACCGAGCCAGTTTAAAATCCAAGTGGAAAACAACCGAAAAAAGTTATGGAGGAAAAGCAGAATGAGCGGAGAAAAAGGCTGAATTATTGGACGTACTGTGACGTGCACACTATTATTTCTCAAAGAAACGGAAAGAGTTTTCACATGATCCTTCCTGAGATGATAATGTAGGTACTATTTTCCGGACAATAAGCATTATACTTGTTTGAATATTTTACATCAGTGGCAAGAAGAGGAAAATTAGGGGGTTCTTATTGTTTTAAGAATACCTTAAATACAGGCTTGTAGGTGTCGTTATGAATCGCGACTGCATCAGTTAAATGCTACGGCCTTTTTCTAAATTCATAGCACGGATATGGCGCAACTAAGTCCTTCTGGACCGGGAAGGAGGCACAGGATAGGAATAATCGGCATTTCTAATGCAGAAAAGCCAAGAGCTAGTAAAATTCTTCCCAATAAACGCAATTAAGGAAAAAAATGCCAGCCTTAAACATACTGAAGCACGATAATACAAGGAAGGGAGTAACCTGGAGGTGACGTGTCGTGATCGCACATATAAACTCGAATGCCACCCTACAGCCGCGTAAAGTACATCAAAACGACACTCCACGACTCAATTTCGTCAGAATCCGAGCATTAAATAAACTCAATTAAGCGATTTGACTTCAATAATAAAATCAAATCGCGGAGTTGAAGTCATCTAGGGTCGGAACGGGGGAGGAGAGTACCAGGTTGGAAGAGAGGACGGTGGAGGAGAAGAGACCACGGGAAGGGAGGTCAGCGAGGTACTTGGACGCCCCCGGCGATCTACTTTGATCGGCGCCCAGAGACGCCGGCGACTGGGCCGCCACTGCCCCCCTCCGGCTCCCCGACGGCGCCGCCATCGTCTTCCTCCCCGAGAGGGCGACGCCCGCTGCGAGAGCCGCCGTAATAGACAAGAACTAACCAAGTCTTCTGCGAGCAAACCCTCTTTCACCGCAACCCGCCCGACGTCGGTTCGAATTCCTCCATGTATAAACCACACGTGCGTATATATCACAATAATCCACGCTTACCCCCCAAATGGCCCGGCCCATTTTTCCTGGGCTTAATAAATAAACCTCGGCCCTGAGCTTTTTATTCTCCGGGCCAGGTCTTCTTCAGTCCGAAGCTAGCTTTTTATTCTCCGGCCCATTTGAGACGCCGCTTGGGCTTTACTAGGGATAGATAACATCGACCAATCCCTACCCTAAATCACTAGCAAATCTTGATTTGATAACTAATTAGGATTAACTAGGTTAACCTCGCCTCAAGTTGACTAATCTTCATAGATCTCTCTCTCTCTCTCTCTCTTTCTCTCCAGCATAGGTTAACTGATCCTAATAAACATGTGGAGATGTCTAATAAACATGTGGGTTCCCACTACTTGATCCTAGTTTATCCCTGATTGGGTCTTAAATGTCTCTCTTAGCCATTTGAGCTTAGCAAACTTATAACTCTTATAATTCATTTATGCTTGAGTTATCTTGGATAAACTCTTATAACTTGGTCTATTCTAGTTGTAATTGGCCATTGAAGCGCCAAGATAGGATCAATGCCTCTCTATCTATTCAATTGATTACTCATTTGATTTCAATAAATTAAATCATAATAATTAAATTTTATAAATTGGCATGTTGCAAACTAGAGTTAACTATCTTCACGACTATCTTAGAAAATGGTTTGGACTTGAAATTAAAGTTGCGTAAGGTTCTCTATGTAAGAAGATCACATAAAATAGTAAAAAGAATTTTGAACTAAATAGTTTGCAATATTGTTTCTTAGAGAAAACTAGAGTTGTACCTAATCATTAACATGTCAATCAATTTTCCAAACAATGAGCAAGAACAATTTAAGTTACCTTTAGAAATTATACTACATGAATATTCATTGACATGACACAAATTATGTACTCTATCTTATTTTTAATTTAATAAAATTTTAAAGTATTTTAAGGTTGAATTTAAATCATTCAAAATTAGTTGACACTTAGTGATGCACATGGTTTCCTAAAGATTTCATGGTTCTTAATTAGCTTACCCAAGTTATTGACTAAAGAACTTTGATACATTAGAAAAAATCTGAAGTTTCTTTAAAAGTTCCTTCACGATCAGGAATTTATAATGCATAAATGATTTCAATATTGAAAATTTGTAACTACACTTCTCCAAATGGGAAACAATGGAGGAGTTGGGGAGTAGAGATTGAATTTTATGGTCTCTTTGAGCCCACTTACGAATTGAATCTTGAAATTCTTGATTGTGGTCCAAACATTCTAATATGCTCTCTAAAATTCTTAGTTTGAACTATTTTCCTATAATTTTTTGTGTTGTCTTTGTAACATGACACACATCTTCTAAGGAGAGAGAAAATGACTAAAATGATAAAACAGTATGATGCCCCCAATGAGCCATCAGAACACTCCCTAACAATTGGAAAACATTTTTCTAACCATTTTCCCCTTAAAAATAAAATAAAACTAGAAACAAAAGGTGATTAGATAAGGAAAATAATTCCAAGTACTTGGATTGAGAAAAAATCATTAAAAGATAAATGTTAGAAAATTGCTTTGAAGCATTCAAATTTATCATTTCTACAAGATGGTTCTATATCTTCAAGATTAAGAATTCACACCATGTAAAATATGCACTGAATATAAAAGAATCATAATTTTTCCACATCTTGTTATTGAGTATTTTTGATAGTTAGGCTGATCTAGAATCATGAATTTAGTGGAGAATAGCTGAGTGTAAATCTAGTGGGTCACTTAGAGTTGTGAGTCTATTGAAGATTTATGGGTTGCTAATTTGGTTGAATCTTCGAGTCAAGAATACAAAGGAGATTAGTTGTGTGTTAATTGGGTTGGCCTTATGAAGGTGTGAATCTAGAAGACATTAGTCGGATATGCTTGGTTGGCCCCTAAAGTCATGAATAGAGAAGAGGTGTTTTTGGGAAATACTTAGGTGAGCTAGAGTTCTGAAATTTAATGGTAGTTGAAGCCGTTGTGTTTAGTGATTGTACCTCATTTCCTTAATGAAACTCAAGGGCTAGGTGATGAAAGAATGAAATAACCCAAACCGGTAGAATAATTAGAAATTAAGTTTTTAAAATCTGAGTCATAATTCATGGAGTTTAAGGGCTAAAATGTAAAACAGAAATTCATCCCTACTATTGGTTTATCTTGCAGCCTACATAAAACTAACAATAATCTCCCTTTATTTATTGGAGGTGTGATTCCCTTTCCTTGTATTACTCAGTTTTATAAAAAATTCTATGATTGACTCCATTCCTCATATTGGAATTGACTTATATAATTTAACAACCACACTAAACAGTGATTAACAAATATCTATTCAGTACTATCTATTTAGAATATTATCACATGATTTAAAAATTTATTATTCGGTCATAAAGAAAATATTATTGGTAAAGGTTGGGATGACATTTTTAATGATAAATAAAAATTTCATTCATCAATAATGGAGTGAATCTCGTGAATAATTGTGATGTCTTTCCTTCACTAAGTTTTGTGATCAATTGTCACATCATACTTGTTGAAAACAGGAGATAGGTGCATTCATTCTTCACTTTTAAAACTTTAAACAAGTATCGTAATACTAATTATTAATCTAAGCCATTTGCATATATTTTATACTGAAAAAATAAAATTAGATGCATACTGAAATTATCATGCACATCTCCCATGCATGCTTTGGGATTAGGCAGGATGTTACTTTCCAATTAATCCTATAGAGTTCATGTTATCATCAATTAAGCTTTTTTGATTTGATAATACAAAGAAAGAAAAAATAATATATTAAAAACTATAGCATATTATTCAACATTGTTTGATGACGTTCATAGTAGAGGACCAACGACAATTCAATCAGCGTGCATAATTCGTCGTCAACGCATGCATTCTAAGTTGTCTGAATAAATTATGATATTTATGCAGCATAAGTACGTGTTCAGATTAAAGAAATCTTCTTAAAAGTCTTTACGGCCAAGATCTTGCCTCTATTCGGTTCACCTTGTACCTGGTTCTCAGTTGTCGCCGCCTTTAAAATCGAGATGGATAAAGGTCTCACCATCGTATGTTTCGTCTAGATCTTGTTTATAGCCTGGGACAGAGAAAGAGTCGCCGATATAGGAAGCATCGGTGGTATCTCCCAACCAACAATGATTTCCACGAGCATCGGCGTGTATCACACTGAAAGGAGATAAGAACGACAAAGAGGCAAGAATAACGTTTTGCAAACGACGAAATCCGCTTTCCACCATCGTCGGGGAACACGGCCGACCGGACCCCACCCCCGGCTCCCAGCCGCAATCGCTCCATTTCTGCTCTTTCTGTCGGCAGCCAAGGCCGCCGCAATTGCTCGGCGCTTCGGTTCGATAGGCGCGTGGACGTAGTCGCTTTCACACCGATGGGACACTTGTGGTAATCAATGGCTGACTTCTTCTAGGGCGTCGTAGACTCTCCGCGCCGACCGTCTTCTCCTCCCCCCCTCATCTTCTCTGAGTGGAGTTCCACAGTCCGGAAAAAGGGGATTTTTCCGCGGGGGCCACAGGGCCGTGCATCTGTCGTTATTACCGTGACTCCCTTTCTCAGTTATTCTGCCGTCCACCACCGTCGTGGGTCTCGTGTCTCTTTCTTCACTGTCTAGCGTTGACATGCCCCGCCGCAAAATTTTCTTACATAAGTGACTTTCTCCTTGACGAAGAAATCAGCATCAATCACAGAAGAGGAGGATGGGATCTCCTGCGGCTTCTTCTTCTTCTTCTTCTTCCCGTGCTTCGTCGTCGTCGGTCGGGTTTCTCCCGCTGCCATGCTCCTCCTTCGTGTTCTTCCTGCTTATCCTGCGACTCCTCTTAGGAGGGCTTAAGAGGAGGCTCCATGGCTACGGACCTCGGGCTTACCCCGTTCTGGGCTGCTTGGTCTCCTTCTTCAAGAACAAGCACAGGCTTCTGGACTGGTACACGGAACTACTGGCCGCCTCGCCAACCCAGACCATCGTCGTCTCTCGGCTGGGCGCCGTGCGCACCGTGGTCACGGCCAACCCCGCCAACGTGGAGCACATCCTCAAGACCAACTTCGACAACTACCCGAAGGGTAAGCCATTCACCGACATGCTCGGGGACCTCCTGGGTAATGGCATCTTCAACGCCGACGGCGAGCTCTGGCATACACAGCGGAAGTTGGCGAGCCATGAGTTCACCGCAAGGCTCCTCAGGGGCATCGTCGTGGGGTCTCTCGAGGCGGAGATGGAGGGCAGACTCGCCCCAATTCTTGGCGCCGCGGCGGACGGCGGCCAGGCTGTGGACATGCAGGAGCTCTTCAAGCGATTCGCCTTCGACAACATCTGCATGATCTCGCTGGGGATGGACCCCGGATGCCTGGAGCCGTCAATGCCGGAGTCCCCCCTCGCGAGTGCCTTGGACACGGCGTCGGGGATCTGCGCGAGTAGAGGCGCGGCTCCTGTGCCCGCCGTGTGGAAGCTCAAGCGGGCGCTCGGAATCGGGTCCGAGAGGGTGCTCCGAGAGAAGATGGCCATCATTCACAACTCCATAATGGAACTGATCAACCGTAGGAAGGAGGGACAGCTCGACGGAACGGTCATCGGCGACGACTTCCTCTCGAAGTTGATATCAGCGGGCTACGCAGAGGAGGAAGTGCGGGACATGGTAATCAGCTTCATCATGGCGGGGAAGGACACCACCTCCTCCGCCCTCACGTGGCTATTCTGGTTGTTGTCTCGGTACCCCGACGTGGAGCAGAAGCTGGTGGAGGAGGCGACAAAGAGGAAGGGAAGCCTGGATTATCAGACACTCAAGGAGATGACCTGGCTGGAGGCCTGCCTCTATGAGAGCATGAGGTTGTATCCTCCGGTGGCGTGGGACTCCAAGCACGCCGCCGGTGATGACGTCCTCCCCGACGGTATTCCCGTGTCGTCGGGGGACAGGGTGACCTACTTCCCTTACGGGATGGGGAGGATGGAGAGCTTGTGGGGTGAGGACGCTGCCGAGTTCAGGCCGAGTCGGTGGCTGGATCGAGAGAAGAAGGAGACGGTGAAGATGTCGGCCTTCAAGTACCCGGTCTTTCAAGGTGGGCCTAGGGTTTGCCTCGGGAAGGAGATGGCCTTCATCCAGATGAAGTACGTCGTCGTATCTGTGCTCCGGCGGTTCCAGCTCCGTCCGGTGAGTAGCGTCGAGCCTGTCTTCGTCCCTCTCATGACCGCTCACATGGCAGGTGGGTTGAGGGCCGTTGTCAGCTGGAGGTGCTTGGAAAAATCGGGACATCAGTGATCCGTAGTTTAGATCCAAAACATTATCATTTATCACGTTAATTAGTTGTTACAGGTCACTGGATATAATGGGACGAAGGCTCAACTAGTACAATTCAGCCTCGTATTCTACGACACATAACTCTATAATTATTGAATATTATGGTAATTATTACATTAGGTTCGTAAAAGGTCCTACTTTAAAATCATACAATCTAAGGGAAAAAGGTTAAATTATTTTATAATTTTTCATGATATTAGCTCATGATCATCTACTTGTCATCAATGGCTTCATCGTCATCAGTATATTTTTACTTGACAATTGATATTTTCTCAAAGGATGAATATTAAAATGTAACAATGGGGTATACTATAGCTATCGTGTCATGAATGAGCATGATTCTGGGCCATTTACAACATTTTTTAAGGAAATTCACCAAATACTCTTTAATGTATTAATACTAAAGTATATTAGTCAGAAGTTAGGCATTCATTGAGAAAACGATGGAAAAGTATATGGAGCAAAAGTAAAGGATTTGAAACTCTCATATCATCCTCCAAGCAGTCAACATGATCACTATGGTTTCTTATTTTTATATTAGGTTTTGGTAAGGGCCGTTCACAGGTTTCAACTTTTTCACATTCTAACCTTGACTAGATGGAGAGAGACCCCATATTGTGGCTAATTTTTATTAAGGTTTTTCAAGCTTAAATATTAAAGATCACATTATTGTGTCTCATACAGTCCCTAGTGAGCGATTTAGGGAAAATATGTTTCACTCGAGAGGGAGGGCACACAAGGAATTCTTTTCCACCCCATGAAAAGCTCAGTTTTCTCAATTGTCTCAAAGAGACAAGGGGTGAACTTGGTCATGAAGAATTACTACAAAGCCACAATATTTCTATCATCTGAAGGAATTTCCCTCAAGTATGGATTTGGAGGTCAAAGAATGAATTGAGAACATGAAAGTGTTATTGTTGAAGTTGTTGGTGATGATGCTAAATCTAGATCAGAGCTTTAGGTTACGTATGTTTTTCTATCCATAATATAAAAATAAATATATCTGTCAACAAGATTCACTCTCCAGGGATTGAAACGAGCTAGAATTCTTAACTATCTATGATGTAGAGTAGATAGAATAGTTTTAGAAAAAAATAAATCACAATAATTTAACCTTCATCCACGAGCATAGTGCTATGTCGTGAAATGGATTTATCGGATGTGAAAAATTCCGAGAACAGATATTATGAGAGATTCACGTTTACAATATAATTTTTGAAATAGCTTTCTTGAGGGTCTGTTTGAAAATAATATTGCTTCTTTTACAATGTATGTAACGTTAAAAGCAATGTTGGTTTCTAGTGTTCTCGTGAAAAGTTTGCAAGAGAGTCAAAAACACACGTCTTATCATTCTTCTAGATGGTATGTAATGGTAAACTTTTATTATTGTTACCGTTGCTATTTCCACTATTGCTTGGCATGAGATATGATATAAATCTGAAATTTATAAGACGGATTTCATAACTTTGAAGTTTTGTTTGACTCGTATGAACACTTTTACCTCTTATCTTGGCCACTTAAAAAAATTTGGAGCAAAAAGGGTTGAGGCGGATTATTGTGGTCAATTTATTTTATTCTCGCTGCATTAAAAATATTACCTTTGAAAAAAATTCTCTAGCCCAGGTTGAAACTCAAAATCTCCCCATGTGGTAGGCCGCTCCCAGCAATATCAAATATTCCTTGCCGTAGAAAACATCATACTAAATGCCAACATGACTACATATACTCAAGGCATGGTCACATATCAATTTTGTTTCCATCGCCCCATCCTCGCCCGCTCCCCCAACCCTTTCCGCTCAACGTTAAGCGGGTCACTGTATAGCGTGTGAGATAAAATTCCATGACGATATTTAAAGGAAGACGGCTCCTTGTTTGACGTTGCTCTATCAACGAACACGCTAACTATTGGTTGCCATCCCACTCCATCGATCGATGACCGGCAGAAAGGTTCCGGCTTATCGGCGCACGAACACTGGACAAGCAGAATTGCGGCGCCTACCCTGCCTAATCCGGCGCCAATCGTTTTCGCCGGCTAGACGGTGAGTGCCGCCGTCATCGCCGACACTCGTTCGGCTGTCCTTGGTACGTGGATTTCACGTTATTTACTCAGACTCCGCCTTGGGGCTAGCCGGAAACATCTCTTTGATTTCCAAAAATGGATGGAACACGTTGGTATTGGATTTATCGAAAAAAAGATGTCAAAAAAAAGGCGTCGACTTAGCGGAGGATCAATCTCTTGGGCACCGCAATCGTGGAGTCTAGAAGAAACGCCGCAGTGACATTGCTAATATACGCAGGAAATGTTTGAAATTTAGCTACGAAGGATGATCAAGACAAATATTTCAAAAATCCATCGTCTGATAGTCTACCGATGAACAATCAGATGATCATTACTTATATGAGTGTTTGGATTCTCAAATGAGAAGGCTCACAATAAAGTTTAGGCTCAATATTCCATTTTTAATCCACTATTGATCATTACTAAAAATCTTACTCAGATACCCTCAATCGAAGTTGGCTTGACCATGTTTTTCGTCATTCAACATTAAGTTTCATTACGACTGACTCAAAACTAAAATGAACAAATAAAGATACTACATCTTTCTTCATTCAATGAATAAAATATAGATAAAACTAGCATTATTAATTTCATATATAATTAGGTACTCACATGATTAACAGTATCATTCGCGATCGTTGACATTGGACATACATTGGAGGAGACCCTCAACCGAGATCCTATACTGCACACCTATGCCGTACCTCTCTCTCTCTCTCTCTCTCTCTCTCTCTCTCTCTCTCTCAGTGAAATCGTACTAACAAAATGGTAGGGTATCAAGGAGAAACTGGGAAATCATTCACGAGAAGGTTGAGAATTCGATATCTGATAAATTCTAACGAATTCCGATCATCTCATGCAAACCTGAAGAGAAATTTAACTTTGTAACAATTTACCATTACACAAGAGAACGAGTATAGATTGAACAATAATATCTGCTTACATTATTTGCGGATAAATTGAACGAGTATAAATTTACAAAGATGGACTTTGCATTTTTGTCTAAATCTTCTGCCAAGTATGTGTGGCATTCGTCCTAGCTGAACGAAAGCGAATTGCTGGTCAGTCCAATCCCAGATTGGGCAGTACTGAGCTCTCCCGATAATCAGGAGGTGGGGGAGTCCTCCAAGACCCTGTTTTTAACTTCCACTCTCAGCCCACCGGCCATGTGAGCGATCAGGAGAGGGACGAAGACAGGCTCGACGCTGCTCACCGGACGGAGCTGGAACCGCCGGAGCACCGATGAGACGACGTACTTCATCTGGCTGAAGGCCATCTCCTTCCCGAGGCAAACCCTAGGCCTACCTTGAAAGACCGGGTACTTGAAGACCGGGTACTTGTAAATGGCCCAGAATCATGCTCATTCATGACACGATAGCTATAGTATACCCCATTGTTACATTTTAATATTCATCCTTTGAGAAAATATCAATTGTCAAGTAAAAATATACTGATGACGATGAAGCCATTGATGACAAGTAGATGATCATGAGCTAATATCATGAAAAATTATAAAATAATTTAACCTTTTTCCCTTAGATTGTATGATTTTAAAGTAGGACCTTTTACGAACCTAATGTAATAATTACCATAATATTCAATAATTATAGAGTTATGTGTCGTAGAATACGAGGCTGAATTGTACTAGTTGAGCCTTCGTCCCATTATATCCAGTGACCTGTAACAACTAATTAACGTGATAAATGATAATGTTTTGGATCTAAACTACGGATCACTGATGTCCCGATTTTTCCAAGCACCTCCAGCTGACAACGGCCCTCAACCCACCTGCCATGTGAGCGGTCATGAGAGGGACGAAGACAGGCTCGACGCTACTCACCGGACGGAGCTGGAACCGCCGGAGCACAGATACGACGACGTACTTCATCTGGATGAAGGCCATCTCCTTCCCGAGGCAAACCCTAGGCCCACCTTGAAAGACCGGGTACTTGAAGGCCGACATCTTCACCGTCTCCTTCTTCTCTCGATCCAGCCACCGACTCGGCCTGAACTCGGCAGCGTCCTCACCCCACAAGCTCTCCATCCTCCCCATCCCGTAAGGGAAGTAGGTCACCCTGTCCCCCGACGACACGGGAATACCGTCGGGGAGGACGTCATCACCGGCGGCGTGCTTGGAGTCCCACGCCACCGGAGGATACAACCTCATGCTCTCATAGAGGCAGGCCTCCAGCCAGGTCATCTCCTTGAGTGTCTGATAATCCAGGCTTCCCTTCCTCTTTGTCGCCTCCTCCACCAGCTTCTGCTCCACGTCGGGGTACCGAGACAACAACCAGAATAGCCACGTGAGGGCGGAGGAGGTGGTGTCCTTCCCCGCCATGATGAAGCTGATTACCATGTCCCGCACTTCCTCCTCTGCGTAGCCCGCTGATATCAACTTCGAGAGGAAGTCGTCGCCGATGACCGTTCCGTCGAGCTGTCCCTCCTTCCTACGGTTGATCAGTTCCATTATGGAGTTGTGAATGATGGCCATCTTCTCTCGGAGCACCCTCTCGGACCCGATTCCGAGCGCCCGCTTGAGCTTCCACACGGCGGGCACAGGAGCCGCGCCTCTACTCGCGCAGATCCCCGACGCCGTGTCCAAGGCACTCGCGAGGGGGGACTCCGGCATTGACGGCTCCAGGCATCCGGGGTCCATCCCCAGCGAGATCATGCAGATGTTGTCGAAGGCGAATCGCTTGAAGAGCTCCTGCATGTCCACAGCCTGGCCGCCGTCCGCCGCGGCGCCAAGAATTGGGGCGAGTCTGCCCTCCATCTCCGCCTCGAGAGACCCCACGACGATGCCCCTGAGGAGCCTTGCGGTGAACTCATGGCTCGCCAACTTCCGCTGTGTATGCCAGAGCTTGCCGTCGGCGTTGAAGATGCCATTACCCAGGAGGTCCCC